CTTTCTCAACTATTTAGATCAAAACAAATAACTTTCCAATAACAGAACACACAATAAATTATAGAAAAGAATAGTACAAATCATAACATGGTTCTTCTTCAATCTTTCAAGAACAACAACAAATTCCAATACTTTTTAAGATTTTGTTTCTCTCTTTCAATTATTAGCTCCTTTGAAGAACAGAGAAGTACCAACAGTTGCAGACACAACGAACAAGCTCCCCAAAACCGCAGGTAACGCACCGCTGTCTTTAATCGAATGAACAAATTGACTGTCTTGAACAGAATGCAATAGCTGTTTTCCATAGCTCTCTTTCTTCTCTTCTTTCTTAGACGTTGAAGAAGACGAATCTTCTTCTTGATCAAACCTCAAGAACTCTTTCAACCATAAAGCCGACATCTTCGGGTATCGTCTAAGCCCATCTTTGTAATCTATGTAATACAAACCATATCTCACTCCATATCCACTGTTCCACTCGAAGTTATCTAGCAATGACCATACGTAATAACCTTCCACTCTTACTCCATCTTCACTGTTAAATTCAAGACATAGAAAATATCTTCAGTGATTTTCAGATATGCTTATAAGTTAGATATACTTAGTCATATATGTCTAACTTACTGGATGGCTTGATGAATCGCATGGATATGTCCTTCTATGTACTCCAATCTCTCTGTGTCGATTGAAGGATTATACATATACAGATTCTGACTCTGTTCCGCTACTTCACCATACCCTGAGATTATCACAGAAAATGTCAAAATGTCACATGTCAAGAAACAGAGATATATACAAATTACTAATGTCAAGAAATTTAGTGTGACTATACCGTTCTCGGTTATCAGAATCGGAGGATTGCCATAAGTGTTTTTCATATACTTCAAAATGTTTCTGAGTCCTGTTGGATAAGTGAAACTCCACTCTGATCCTCCTTGTTTCGCTATTTGTTTCCCATCTATGTTGGTTTCTGCGAATTGTGTTTAGAATGAGCCATAGGTTAGTCACAAAGTTTCCATCATCATCATTATTCATAATCACCATTATCATCAAAAAGACATACTCATCCAATCTACGCCTTGGTCAGTTCTCCAAGTAGGTTGCGTAGGATCCACGTTTTTGATACTCTTCACAAAAAGCGAGCTATAGTAGTTTATACCAACGTAATCGCAAGATCCTATCAGTTTCTTGGATTGTTCTGGTGTAAAACTCGGTAATCGATCTCCAATTGATTTCTTCATCGTTTCTGGATAGTCTCCACAAGCAGTCGGATGGTGATGCCTGCCAAAATATCGCCACAAGAAGACAATCAAAAACTAATAAATTTTGTGAACTTCTATGGACTCAAAACTAATCGACAATGAATAGACCGACTCATGCCTCATTTGGGGTATATTATTGAAACGTAGATTCGTAATAATAGATATTATGATAAAAAAAATGAAGTCTATTTACTTGACTTTTAGTCATGACTTACCAACCAAGCATGAAGTCCATAGCCCGATTACATCCTTCTACATCCTCTGGATCATTCGGATCATATGGCTCGTACCAAAGTGGATTATGCGCAATCCCAATTTTTCCGTTTTTAATCTGCATTGTATTCAAGTCAGATCAATACAACAAAACATATTGGAAAGTGAAGTATGATCCATTAATGGATATTTAAACTCTCTTCTTACATGGTCACATTTTCTAAACACTTCCACTGCTTCTGCGTGTGCTAGAAGCATGTTATGGCTCACAATATACGCCTCGTAGCCCGACATTCCAGCAATACTAGCACCATTAACATACTTCGAGCACCGTCCTGGCGCTTTCCTCCCTGTGTCATATCCCGCAACACTGTAGACCCACGGCTCATTCATTGTGCACCACAGACTCACTCTGTCCCCAAATCTCTCGAAGCAGAGACTCGCATAGTCTCTGAAGTCATCTCTGCATATACACATGACCTAACATAAATCTCTCGAATGGATACATCCGGAACTGGTATTCAAAGTTCAGATAAATGAATTGACTTACATAATCTGCTCGCTTAGAAAACCGCCATATTCATCTTCGAGATCCTGAGGTATGTCCCAATGAAAGATAGTGACAAGAGGAGTGATTTCATTGGCCAAGAGTTCATCAATAACATCATTGTAAAACTTAATTCCTTCTTCACTAACTCCTCTCTCCCTTTTGCCATCTGTTTTTGTTTTCCGCAAAATCAACCACCAGAGATTATTAGTATCGATTTGGTAACCGCGATCGAATGTCAATAAAATAAGGTTTCGAAACCGGTGGTATACTTACAAGGTAGAACTCGTGGCCAAGCAATGGAAAGCCTAAACGAATCCATGTTTATATCCTTCATTCTCTTGATATCTTCCTGTACAAGAAATTAATCACAGATCTTCAATTGCTATACCTTGACAAGTAAGAAATCGGGAAAAAAAAAACAGAACAAGAAGAGAAGAAAAGTACCTTGTAACGATGGAAGAAATCAACGGCGACATTTCCGTCACTAGAATCACTGATTCTGTGAGGAAACCTGTTGGAGAAATGATCCCACATGCTTTGTCCTCTCGCACCTTCAGTCACTGCTCCTTCATACTAATTACGAAAAAAAACAAAACTATAATAAATATCATTTGATCTTGTAATGTTTTTTTTAGTTCTCAGTTCTTGATTCGAACTGATTTACCTGGTAAGAAGAAGAAGCAGTTCCAAAGAGAAAGCCTTTAGGAAAGCTAGCTCTACCCTTAGACATCTCAGTAGGAAAGGTTCTTTGAAGACTGCAGATTAATTTCAAAACATTAAAGATTGTCAACACAATTTCTCTACTATATGAATCTTCAAACGGTTGACATCAGAAAAAAAAAAAAAAGAAACAGAGCACTCACTGTGCCATCTTTGGTTGCTTTTCTCTTGTCTTGAACTAAAAGCTTTTCTTGATTTTTGCTGAAGAGTTTTGATTCGGAAGAAGTTGGAGAAGAAGAGATAAAAAAAAGAATGAAGATGAGAAGTAGATCTTGAAATAATTTCTCTGGTTATAGAGATAAAAGCCTTGAAACGATATGATATATAAATGCGTGATTGAGAGATACAGAGCATTGAGAAGTCAAACTAGGATTACAATTATTTTTTATGGGATTTTTTATTATTTTCAAATCGAATTTGATTGAATCCTATTGCATCCCGTCTTGTTTGCTTGTTAAAAAAATATCAATAAGACCGGTCAACTTCAATTTTTCAGCACACTTGCATATTTTAATATATATATTAATCTGGAGTATTAAATTTGTCCTTAGCCGATTTACACCGTACACATAGTAATTATTCTTAATTTCCCGTGAATATTGTCGGTCTCCATAGACCATAGTATATGAATCAGCAATAATCCATTCTCACCTGGAAAATCAAGTTATTCGATACTATTATAGATGCCATAAACCGAATAAGTTCCTTTATTTAGGTTAGTTTAGTTTAGGTTATAATTAACTTTCTTTCGACACGTAATTCTTTTTTAACAGTTACTATAAGATTCTCTAAATAAATAATAGATCAAGTGAAAAAGGACCCTACAGGTTAATAATATAGATGAGTTCCATGGGGACCCAAATCCAACTACACCTAATCAATGGATTGGATTCATATCTTTTTTTGTGTAACTTAAAGTTCCACTAAGTTACGAAAAAATGCAAATGCTTTATATCCGTGTAAATTAACATGCATGCACAATTTTACTTCTTCTTTTTTTTTTTTTTTTTGTCAAAATAAAGTGGAAAAACCCATTGGACCAGACCCATACAATTAATTATATACTTTGCACCTAATGATGTTGATATCATTTGGAATAACAGATTTCAGTTTTTATGTAATAATGAAGTTTTCGACTTCGAGTCCTCCTTCTGTTGTGTTGGTTCTACATTTATAATCTTTTTTTTTTTGTTCGACAAATTTATAACCTAATAATGTTGTATATTATTATTGTTTATCCTCCAGTCAGTCAACTCTTTATGGATCGAGGCATGAGACTTGAGAGGCTCGTCGTTGACTTTGAATCGTTCATAAGAACTAAAAAGGGTATAATGGTAATTTATTAGAAATGCGTGAATAAATCAGCGGGGACCACTTGACAAATTAGAATTAGTCTTGATGACGTGGCGTCGAATTGGTCAACTTTGTCGTCGATTTTTTTTCTTTTCTTTTTTTTTTTGCCGTCGACTGATTTCACTATCACTGGTTTATAAAAGCGTTTACGTAATCATTAAAAAAAAGACTTAAAATCACATAACAGCTCAGACTTCAGATCGGTTACAAAGGAAGCATCAGTCCTTAAATACTGTATTTAGTTATAGTAAATATTGTCACTGCTTCACTGGAATAGTTTCGTCATTATTCCAGTGATTAATAGAAAACTCTTGTAACTGAAAATACTTTCGTCATTAATTATTGGGTCCCTTATTATTTTTTTCCTTTTTTTTTTAACATATGTGTGTAGTGGATTCGTTACTTTGAATGCAACATACGAAAGTTCCGATGAAGTTCATGAGTAGACTCGGTTCATAAGAATGGTTGGAAAACAAATCTTAACACCGGCTTATGGGTTAACGGATGTATGACTGTACGTACCCTTTTTAGAAACTACAGTAATGTATTTAACATAATAACATCTACTTGTCGATTTGATCATTGTTTTTTGCAGACAAAAACAAAAATATTAATAATAGGTTGGTGCATGGAATAATTGTGTGATGATCATCCGTAATGGCCTATTGGATATTTTTTTTCAGTAGTACATATGAAGTGGGTGAGATTCCAAGTAAATTCTTCTCCGGGTCGTCATCCGAAGACCCAACATTCAATCTGGTTTGGATCTCAAAACCAAGTGCTTGAAGCCTCGAACCACGGCCCAATATAAAAAAAAATTCTTGATATATATTGGTGTCCCAGACTGGAATAAACACTGCTAAAGTTGCATGTTTTTATTTTATTCTTAGGAATACATAAGAAAGTTGTATAAATTGAATATATTAATTATAGATATTTGCGCTAGTTCATTTGATAGGAGGACGAGTTGGATAGAAAATGATGGTACCAAAGAGCAGAACTCTTGAGATATCGTTTGAGTCCATCTTGAAAATCAACGTAGACCAATCCGTATCTATATTTGTAACCAAATTCCCACTCGAAATCGTCCATTAATGACCATACATAATATCCTCTCACATCTGCACCTTGACTGTTTCAATGTTCCATGAAAAAAGAACATCAGTCGTCAACATTATTAGATTTTGTAAAACTATGACAGAAGTTTGAATATTTGAAATTCTTTGTATATGCAATTATTATAATTACCTGACTGCTTCTAGAAGAGCAGAGAGATGGAGTTGGTGATATTTGATCTTTTCACCGTCATTGAGAGCTTTGTTGAGGGATAATGATTTGTTATTTTCGCTAGGCATTCCTAATTAAGTATGTAAAACCCACCCAAAAAGTATGTAAATATCAGAATAAGTAGGGGAAAAAATAATAAAAACAATTGCAATCAAATTGTTGACGACTGATGTTGGTATGCATTTAGCCTATAAAACATTTACCAATATCTTTTACTTTTACCTACCATTCTCCGTGACAAGGATTACTGGGTTTTGATACTTTGATTTTATGTATAATAGAACATCTTGGAACCCTTTTGGACATATAAAGAGCCAATCAGCACTCGTCTGAAAATTAAACATTTCAAAATATAACTTTAATTATATTTACTCACCCAGATAAATTAAATCAACCTACATGTGGAAGAAAATCTTACCGGTTCACCCAGAGGAACTCCATTTTTCTCTGCTGCAATTTTCAACAATACGTTTCAAACAAAGTTTTTTTTTTTTTTATAATTGGTGAAGATAATTTGGGAAATAAGTTTTTTTTGTTACTAGTATGATTGACGCGACTGTCCGTTGTGTAACTAAGATTGGTGTTAGCGTAGAACATAACATCTTCAACGTATCTTGAAGTGTAATAGTTGAGTCCAAAAAAGTCAAAGGACCCTCTCACCATTTTTGACTGCTTTTTTGTGAATTTTGGGAGTCTATTTCCCACCAACTCTCTCATTGTCTTTGGATAATCTCCGTAAGTAATCGGATCAGCAAACCTATCATACAATATGTAAGTGTGAACCAACATTACTAGTCATATTAAACAAGAATAAACAAAACGTTTTCGAAAATGAACCTCTATTTAGCTAAATCACTTTTACTCGTGTTTCACAATAATAATTAATTGTTAGTAAGAAAATCTGAAAAACTTGAACTAAAACTGACTCGAAAATTCAAAACCTATATAATATTAAATACCTCTAGCAAAAATAAAATAAAAATTTACCATCCGAAGAAGAAGTCAAGAGCCCTTTCGGCAGCTTCTCTGCAAGCAGGAGTGTTATATTTTGGAATCATCCAATATGTTTGAATAGTCATTCCTATGGTCCCTCCATGAAAACTCTGATTTATCACACAAGTGACAATACGAAAATTTTAAAAGAAAATAGTGGTACGTATGGCTATGATTTAAAGCCTTTAATTTGTTAAATAAGAAATTGCGATCATAGGCCATAGATTCATGGTTAATTTTTAAAAAGTTTATGAACAAAATTAAAGAACCTGATATTTCTTTCTATAGAGTTGGACAGCAGCGGCATGAGAAAGGATCAAGTAATGAGCCACGAGGTATGGCTCAGTGGCTGAATTCCCAACCGTGCAGTTTTGAACATAGCTCGAACAACGTCCTGGAGCAATATTACCGACATTGTAACCTAACACTGCGAACATGTTAGGCTCGTTGATTGTGACCCACTCCTTCACTCTATCTCCAAACTCTTTGAAACATATATCCACATATTCTAAGAAATCATCCCTGTTCAATCCTGATTTCTAATCAAATTCATATTTTATTTTACTGCAATGTTTAATAATGTAGTTAGTAGATTCTTACACGATTTGTGGGTTTAAGAATCCGCCATATTCATCTTCAAGTGCCTGAGGTGTGTCCCAGTGAAACAGAGTAACCAGAGGCCTTATACCTGTTTTTTTTTTTAAATATCATAATGATAAATTGATAATATTAGAATAAAATCATTAACATATATTTATGGAGGATATATATATAACCCCAAGTACGTAGATATTTTATCTGACGTTATCCAAATAAGAAATAAATTTCGAATTAGCATATAAATGCACTAACCATTTGAAATGAGTTCATTGATGAGATGATTGTAGAAGTTAATTCCTGCCTGATTTACTCCACCAGCAATCCTACCTCCTAAATTGGACCAAATTGGTTTCATTATTTGTCACTGACGTCACTTTAGTTAACCAAAACATAAGCAATTGCTGAAAATAATGGCCACGTAACGAGTAAACACAATGACTTTAATTAATGACTTAAAAAAATCATACGAGGTAGTATTCTTGACCAAGAAATCGAAAACCTAAATGAGTCCAGCCCTATATCTTTCATAAGTGCCACGTCCTCCTGGCCAATAAGCAAAAATAAAATAAAAAATGGTTATTATTGTTACAGAAATGTTTCAAGGAACAAAAATTATATATTGTGGATTGCTTAAAAACAAAACCTTGAAACGGTAATAAAATTCGTCTGCGACGTCGCCATTGCTACCATCCGAAATCTTTTCTGCAGGTCACAAGTTTTAACTGTCTTAATTAATAATTCAACTAATCAATTTGCATTTCATTTCAAAACATCCTCATCAACGTGTATGTATAAGCGTCGTAATTAAGAGTATAATTGTATCAAACACATCGTTTGGGGTTGAAAATAAAAATACAAACCAAAATATAAAAGTTAATTGAAGACTGTAGCATGTCTAATAGTGATCGCTATTGTTTTTTACTACTAATTCGGTTGCAAATCCGGGAATGTGTGCGAATTAATGTGTAAACGACCAAAAGACACAATAGCATCTTTGTTTTTGTATATGTGTTTGCATTTCATGTTTGAATATCAAAACTACGTTAGCTAGCTCTCGTATATTTCACCTACAAGTCTAGTAAAAAGATAATAACCTGGATATTGTTTAGTAAACGTATCCCATATGCTTGGTTCTCTTCCATCAACGTTGGTTGCTCCTTCACTCTGTACTAAATCGAAATCTATATGAAATTCATGATTCTAAACTACGGTTTAGGAAAAACCGGTAATATGAAAAAGAAGAAGGAAATTGACCTGATAAGCACTCGAAGCTGCACCATGCCAAAGGGATAAGAGAATAAAGAGAAAGTTGTTTTGTATTGATACTAAGAAGAGAGTATATATACATCTTACACATGAAACCCTAAACATACTTAGGGAAATTAACATAATAGCCTAAGTATAATATATTTACATTATAGGTCCCTAATACTCCCCCTCAAGTTGGAGCATGAAGATTATACATGCCCAACTTGCGCCGTAAATAAGCAAATTGTTGAGAACCCAAAGCTTTAGTAAAGATATCCGCTGGTTGCTCGGTAGTGGTAAGATGTGCAGTAACCAGTGAACCATCCTGAATTTCGTCCCGAATGAAGTGACAATCCCTCTCAATATGCTTCGTCCGCTCATGAAAAACGGGATTAGCAGCAATATGTAAGGCTGCCTTATTGTCACAAAACAAACGCATCGCCTGCGGATGAGACACTCCAAAACATCCCAAAAGTTCACGATTCCATTTCAACTCTCGAGCAGTAAAACTCATCGCACGATATTCAGCCTCGGCGGAAGAAAACGACACCACATCTTGTTTCTTTGTCTTCCAAGCAATCGGCGAATCACCCAACATAACAATAAAACCTGTAACCGATCTCCGAGAGAGGGAACATGTAGAAAAATCGGAATCACAGTAAGCTGTCAATTGTAAATCAGAATCAGCACTCAACACAATACCTTGACCCGGACAACCTTTAAGATATCTTACAACCCGTATGACTGCAGCCCAATGTTTGGCACGAGGTTGGTGCATAAATTGAGCCAACATATGCACAACATATGACAATTCTGGTCGAGTAAAAGTAAGATAGACCAAACGCCCGACAAGCCTTCTATACCTCTCGACATCTTCATAAAACTCTCCTTCATCATCTGGCAACTTATGATTCTGCTCAAGTGGAGTAGACACTGGTTGACATCCCAACAACCCACATTCAGTTACAATGTCCAACGCATACTTCCTTTGTGACAAGTAAAAGCCATCAGGAGATCGAGATACTTCAATGCCCAAAAAATATTTCATAGTCCCCAAGTCCTTCATATGAAAGCATTCACTAAGATATCCCTTAAACTCCTGAATACCAGTAAGATCATTTCCCCCAATCAACAAATCATCAACATATACCAACACAAAGAGCTGCATAGACCCCCGCACCAAGGTAAACAAAGAGTAATCTGCTACTTGCTGTTCAAAGCCATAACCTTTAAGTGCTTTTGCAAGCTTAGCAAACCAACATCGTGGAGCTTGACGCAAGCCGTATAGAGATTTTTTTAGCCTACAAACTTTCGATTTATCTTGAGAAACGAATCCTGGTGGTAATCTCATATAAACCTCTTCCTCAAGATCCCCATGCAGAAACGCATTATGAACATCCATCTGATGTACCTCCCATCCTTTGACAGCTGCAATTTTAAGAAATTCTCTGATAGTTGTCATCTTCACAACCGGAGCAAATGTCTCATCAAAATCCAAACCTTCAACTTGTCTATTACCCATAGCTACCAATCTAGCTTTGTAACGCTCAATTTCACCATTCGACTTATACTTTATTGTAAAGATCCAATGACTGCCAATAGCCTTCTTTCCTGGTGGTAGATCAGTAATATCCCAAGTATCATTTGCTTCTAAGGCATTCACCTCTCCAGACATCGCATTACACCATTTCTCATCCTTAACTGCTTCCGAATATGACTTAGGAACCGAAACAGCAGTAATAGCAGCCAAAAACGCTCTCTGTGACTCAGAAAATCGGTTACAATTCACATAATTTGCAATGGGATATAGAACCGTACCTGGACCAGAGGACGCTGATTGGGAGGAGGTGGATGAGAGTGTGGGTTGATCGGATGAGCAACGTGTAGTGTGTAAAACATACTCCTTTAAATGACCCGGAAGTTTCTTTTCCCTCTCGCTTTGACGAACTTTAACCACTGTCCCTTTCAAATTATCATTTCCTGAATTCTGAACACTCCCCCTTTCGTCTAAAGCAGTAACCAACGACTTTCCAGTACCCTCAGACCCCGAATTCTCTCTGCAAATCGTACCAGGCAAGGGATCGATCGATCCAGGAGGCGGATCGATCGATCCGTCCGTCGCTGTCTCCCCTGGTCGGACCGCCGGATCGATCGATCCTTGGGTTGGATCGATCGATCGGTTAGCTTCTGGACTTTCTTGAACATCGCCGTCTCCCCTGTTCTGTGGTGGATCGATCGATCCAGGAGGCGGATCGATCGATCCGGAAGTCTCTGGAAATAACTCGTCGTCGACATACGAGGGATCGATCGATCCCTGCACCTGATCGATCGATCGCGGCTCCTCTGTACGAAACGGGAAAACGTCTTCCTGAAACACCACATCGCGAGATACAAAGAATTCAGACTTCTCCAAATCATAGAGACGCCATCCCTTCTGTCCAAATGGATAACCCATAAACATACAACGCCGGCTCCGTTCCCCAAATTTATCCTTATCTCGAAGAACATTCTTAGCAAAACATAAGCTACCAAAGACCCGCAATGTCGTAAAATCAGGTGCCGTACCGATCAACATCTCATAAGGTGTCTTGCCCTCAAGAACTATAGATGGTGTGCGATTAATCAAGTGACAAGCAGTAAGAACACATTCTCCCCAAAACTTACGTGGTAAGGTGGCTTGAAACATCAAGGAGCGAGCCACATTCAGAATGTGTCTATGTTTCCTCTCCACTCGACCATTTTGTTGAGGAGTATAGACACATGAAGTTTGATGCATGATCCCTTCATCCACAAAATAAGATTTCAATCCCATAAATTCTCCACCATTGTCACTGCGAACTACCTTCACCTTTTTGTCAAATTGGCGCTCCACCATCTTAAAGAAATTCTTAAGAGTCACTGCTACTTCACTTTTCTCACGCAACAAGTGCACCCAAACAGCCCGTGAATAATCATCTACTATCGTCAGAAAATACGCAGCCCCCGAAGTAGATAATATGCGGTAAGGACCCCAAAGATCACAATGAATTAAATCGAAAATGCCAGCAGCTTTATTAGAACTTTCATGAAAGCAATCACGGGTCTGTTTCGCCCTCAAACAAATATCACAAACTGTTGTGGAACTCACTGGTTTCATAATATCTAAGTAATGCGATAAATAAGGAACAACACGACTTGACGGATGACCAAGACGACGATGCCATAAATCCCATGATCCTGAACTGCTCACTGTCTTGTGTATCTTCGCACCGATCACCCCTCGAAGCACGTACACGTCCCCACACTCTTCACCAACCCCAATCAGCGTCTTCATAGCACGGTCCTGTATAACACACAGCTCATCAGTAAATGTAATGGAACCCTTAACCACTTTTAACAACTTTGCAACAGAAATTAAGGAGCATGTTAAATCTTTTGAATACAAAACTCCTTGTAACCACAAATCACCCCCGAGACATATATCTCCCTGTGTCGTGGACACCACATGATCACCATCCGGTAGGCCGATCATACAAGGATTGGTATTAATCACATTAGACAAATAGTCTAAATTACCAGTCATGTGGTGTGATGCTCCTGTATCAATAATAAAATCAATACATTCTTTCTTACCATTCAACTTCTCATTAGGATTTGACTTTTGAGAAGCAAAGAGACTCTGGAGAGCAGTCCATTGATCATCACTCATTTGGGGTAGAGATTGACGATCCAAATCAGCCGGTGTCCTTGTTGAATTAGCTTGTATGCCGCCAACAATATTTGCCTGAACACCCGTGACCGCGTTAGCCCTACCACCAGACCCGCGACCACGTCCAAACCGTCCACCACGGCCGCCACGTCCACGTCCACCTCTACCACGATCATTGTAGTCGCGACCTCGCTCTCCCCACCATTCAGGAAGGCCAATTATTTGAAAACAATCAGCCTTTGCATGCCCATACTTACCACAATGAGTACATGTCACGTCCTTCTCGCGATAAAAATTGGAAGTTTGACCCCGTTGCGCAGCTTGTACCGCAAACCCCACAGCCTCCGGAGTTGCATCACGATTCCTAGTAATTGTGAGTTGTCTCTCTTCTCGAATGATCCTTTGATAGACTTGTGAAAGCTTGGGTAGTGGTTCCATACTTGTGATAGTAGAACGCACCGTACCAAACTTCGCAGAATCTAAACCATTCAAGAAGGTATTGGTTCTCTCTTCATTACGGTCTTCTTCCAACTGAGCAGCCAGTTCTCCACAACTACATGATCGAATAGGCTTGTAAATTGCCAATTCATCCCACATCTTCTTAAGTCTCCCATAATACACCATTACCGTATCCCCGTTTTGTCTACAGTTTGCTATATCAGCCCGAAGCTCACTGATTCTTGGCCCGTTTCCCGCAGAGAATTGAAGCTTCAAATCTTCCCACAACGCTTGAGCTTCATCCACCATAGAAATCGATGTCCTGAGAGTCGGCTCAATCGTGTTCATAATCCAAGCGATTAACATTGAATTAACCACTTCCCACTGTTCAATCTCATCATCCTTGGTAGGTTTCTCCAAGGTCCCATCAATAAACCCTAATTTCCGTTTCGTTCGCAAGGCGTTCCGCACATGCTTAGCCCAATCTTCATAGTTTTCTCCCTTTAATTGAACAGTAGTAATCACATTACCCGGTCCATCAGAAGGATGGAGATAAAGTGGAGAGGCCCTAGCCTTCTCCGCCACCGTGAGTCCACTCCCGCCGCCGCCTTCCGCAGTCTTCACCGGAGCAACCTCTTTCCCGTCAACGTCAGCCATCTTCTCTTCTTTTCCCTTTGTTTGATTTTCTTCTTAAAACCCTAGCTCTGATACCATGCCAAAGGGATAAGAGAATAAAGAGAAAGTTGTTTTGTATTGATACTAAGAAGAGAGTATATATACATCTTACACATGAAACCCTAAACATACTTAGGGAAATTAACATAATAGCCTAAGTATAATATATTTACATTATAGGTCCCTAATACACCAAACCTAAAATCTTGAGGAAAGCTACTTCGATGGAGAGAGGTCGAAAGACGAAGAAACGAAGGATCCAAAGCATAAAGTTCAGATATTGATATGATGATGATGATGATAAATATGGATTTAATGGCCATGGTTTCTTTAAGTTTTTGGAGGAAGGTTTTATAACTGGATCAAATATATTTGTTGGGTTTAGTGGTCCCTTATATAGATGAAGAAAAGTCATGTTTTTATCCTTTGAGAAACCCCCAAATCTGTGTTCGGTGATTTGGTTAAGTTTTTAATTAGTTACAGACGCTAGTTAATGTCTTGACAATTTCTGTAATTCAAATTTGGCTTTACCAACTATTAGTGAGAGGTACTTGTATTCAGTAAAAGACTCTATCAGACAAAAGAAACACTATATTGAAAATTGGTTTGAGTCTTGAGGGTTATTATTTTATTGAGATGGTAATAAATAGATGTAACCTCATTAAATTGGCTGGTAATGTATCCTTTTTTTAAAAATATTTTATTTTCAAATTTGATGTGGTGTGAAGAGCCACGCTAAAATAAAACAACTAAAAAAGTTTAACGTAAGATCTAGCAAGGCAAACCAAGTGTCCGTACATCAATTAGCTCTTTAGTAATTATTTATTAATTTTGGGGAGCCCATATAGGTAAATCCTTATGACTTTATCTTGTATCTCTTTTGAGAAATAAGAATTAAAAAATTAAAGTAACACAAAAATAATAAAAGAGAGGCGACAGATCATAAAATGTTAGACATTGGCCATAATCTGACCTAATATTTCCTTAATGATCTATCTTTATATTTATCTAAAATAATTGTTGACGAAAAAAAAGAACGTTAAATAATTACAATACAATAATAATGGAATTATCTTGTAACTCTGACGCGTTGTACTCGCGCGTGATTGTCACTCTCCCTTCAAGACAATGCTGAATGTTGTGAGAAATGTCCGTTTGTTTCCGTTCATAATCGTTAAGTCCACTAACCGAGGCTATTAAATTGTCCTCTAACAGAACTGTCTTACTCCATTGGGCTAAGGCCCACTATTTGTCTTTTCTTTTTGTCAAGATGGCCCAATAATATGTCCACGACGTGAAAATCGACTATTTTCGGTTGGATGGATCTCTAAACGGTTAAATGGTTTAGACCTCTCAAATTTTAATTGAAAAGTTTTGATGGTTTGAAGAAAATCAGGCCAAATCGGTAAAAAAATTCGACCGGTTTTTTTTTTTAATAAACTCAATGCTTTTGATCAGACCGGTTTTAGTAAAGCCAATACAAAAATCGAATGGCTCTCGTCGAAAACTTTGCTATGGTATATCAAACTTATCTTATTGACAGTAGATGCATTTCAAAAGTGTAATTTCATATTTTCATTGCTTTCGTCGGATTCTTGGTTCAATGATCTATGAACCCAATTCCGAGTGAGTTCTAACTCTCTTAATATTATTCTACATCTTTATGTATTCTATAATTTCTCAAAAAAATAACGAATCATTTTTATAAAGAACTTATATCATATGCAGCGCATGCCACCACTTCTTCATACTCTTAAACATATCCAAGAGTGTCGGATGTTCTGATCTCTCGAGGAAATGTTTGAACCACTTGGAAGAATCTTTAGCATATCGTTTTAGATCGTCTGAGTAGTCAATATAATAGAGACCGAACCTCACCTTGTATCCATGTTCCCATTCCAAGTTATCCAACAACGACCATACGAGATAGCCTCTGACGTCACATCCATCCTCACTGCATTTGTGTAAAAATTGACATTAACATTAACTATCATATAAGATTATTAGTCACTAGTCAAATGTTTTTCTTCTATATAGTGAAATTTTCTTACGTGATAGCTTTATGGAGTTCTTGAAGATGTTTCTCGTGGTATTCTATCCTCTTTGTGTCCTTTAATATTTGTTCACGGGGAATTGTTCCAACATCGTAGTCATCAAATCCTACAATTTATTAATGGTTTGATAAAATAGATAGTTAATTATATATTGTTAGGTGAGAATTAGCGAAATGCTAGAGATTATTTCTCTCGAGTTCTTACCGTTTTCAGTTATGTAAATCGTTGGATTATTGTATTTATTTTTAATGTAATTTAGTATCTTTCGTATGCCTTCAGGATATGAAAAGAGAAGTTTTGTTCCATCCTGAAATCGCAGAATAACTCCATGTCAAACTATGCTTCAATAATTGTAATTCTTCCCAGAACTTTTTTTTAAAGAAATTTTAATGAAGAGATGTAAGTTCATACATATTGTGAAGAGATGTAATCGCCGCTCCGATTTGTCACTAACCAAAAAAGACAAAAGAAAAGGTATTATCAGTTTTAGTTGAATTATGTTACTAGGTTAAAAAATAGGTATAGAAAAAATGAAGCTTTCTTTTTTGTTATTTCAATTTTTGAGGTTCGTACTTTTGTACTCAAGGTGTTGATCCGTCATAAAACGAAGTCGTGAAGGGTCACTATGCAACTGATGAGCGACGAATCGGGCTGTATAATAGTTTATTCCAATAAAATCAAATGAGTTTTTGACCATTTCTGATTGTTCTTTGGTAAAAGAAGGTAATCTGTTTCCAGCGTTTTTCTTCATTGTTTCCGGATAATCTCCAAAGACTAGAGGATCAAGATGCCTACATAAATGACGATAGGATAAGCAGATTAATGCTTACACAAATTTATTGAGTTTTTAAATAATTTTGTAAATGTGAAAACTTACCAACCAATATAGGAGGCAAGAGCTCGTTCAACTGCTTCTTTATCAGCATGGGAAGCAATATCATAAGGTTCGAACCAAAACGGAGATAACACTATGCCTATTTGTGCGTCTTGTGAAATCTGTTTTGCCAAAAAAAAAAACGATTATTATCTTAAAGGGAATTTTTATATCTTTTGAAATAAGTTGCTCCACATTTTTCTAACACACTAATATAATGAGATATTTTCGTATATTACCTTGTCACAAGTTCTAAACTCTTCAACAGCTGCAGCATGAGCTAGAAGAAGATGATGAGAAACTAAGTAAGGTTCCGTGCTTGAATCACCAGCCACACATAATTTGTTTACCCATTTCGAGCATCGTCCCATTGCTTTATTACCACTATCATAACCCGCAACACTATAAACATACGGTTCGTTGAACGTTGTCCACATATCAACTTTTTCACCAAAATTTTCGAAGCACACTTTAGCATAGTTCCGGAAATCATCACTGTTTTGCAAACATCAACACAAATTGAAGTGAAAATTATTAAATTAATTTTATGTTTTTTAGTTTGATTTTATATATGGTACGTAAGTTTTGAAAGAATCTCTTTTTTTTTTTTTTAGTTACTTACATTATCCGAGGGCTTAAGAAACCACCATACTCATCGTCTAAAACTTGAGGGATATCCCAATGATAAATAGTAACAAAAGGTTTAATGCCTGTACATGTTTGAATATAGTATGATCAGAAATACTAGAAATGTTGGACTAAATTGTTCAAGAGGTGTTATATATGAATACAGTACTAGTTTAAGCGTATGATTCTCACCGTTCTTGATAAGTTCATCAATGAGATTTTTGTAGAATTGAATTCCTTCGCTGTTTACCCCATCGCTAAGCTTTCCACCTGAATGTATAAATTTCGAAAGATCAACAAATGAATATATATACGACAGAATAATTATGTTATTATTATTTAAAACAAGTTTCGAAAAATTTATTACTACTTACTTGGTAAGATTCTTGACCAGGAGATGGAGAATCTGAAAGTATCCATATTCATTTCGTTGATCAACTTGATGTCATCCTGCTTGTTTAGTATGTGAACTTATGGTAAATATGACATTTTTTGGTTAAAGATAAATATGAGTTATATGCAATAAAATTAAAAAAAATGTTATTTAATTAAGGTTTGAGTCAAGTTCTATGTCCCGCCCATTTTTTAAAGTAGTAGTTATTACTAACTAATTAAATAAATGTTAAATAAAAGTCATTGAAATCATCATACCTTATAACGATGATAAAAATCAACGGCTATATCTCCATTGTCCATATTTGTCCTTTCTGCAAAATTTTACCTTGTTAACATACTATTTGTAGAGCCAAAAATATTTCACATGTTACAAAAAATTTTGTAATTAAATTACACAAAATGTTAATATTGATAATATTAATTGTGAAAAAGGAAAGAAATTAGCTAGATGAATACAAACCTGGATATGCATGTGTGAAGTTGTCCCAAATGCTATACGTCCTTCCTCCTTCTTCGATTGCACCTTCATACTGAATATCATGAAATATTACTTCGTCCATTAATAAATTTGTGAGGCAATAGATACGAAAAAGTTTAAGCATCACAAGTACATAAAAAAAAACCTGATAAGCTGAAGAAGCAACACCAAAACTAAAATCAGGAGGAAAACTATAACGATCAAGTGATTTCGTCGAAAATGTAAGAGATCTTCCTTTTGAAACAGCGCATGAGGCTACAAAGAGTGTGACTACAAGGGCAAGCTTAAGTGTCATTATTTCGCAGCTTAATTAAGCAAATCAATAGAATAAAATACTTGATATGTAATTAGGGGTTATGAGCTATATATTGTTGCCTGATAAGTTCCTGTTTCCATGTGGAAGGGTTTATATAGAGAGAGGGAGAGAGGAAGCTAGGGCATACACGTGAATAAGGGTAGGAAAAATCAAACTATGATCAGTTGGCTTTCATTGACTATTATTTATTAATTTAATGATCTCCATGATAAAATTTGATCAACAATTTTTGTTTGGGACAATAACTCAATCGTTGCTTAGGTAGTTATATTTACGTTTATGACCTTTTTATAATTATTATACAACATTTATATCTGTTTAATTTGATCAAAATATTATAAGCTTAAATGCAAAAAAACAAAAAAGAAGTCCTCTGCAATTAGCGTGTGTGTAAATATATATTGTGTGCATGAATGTTTCTTTTTATAGAACATTAAAAATAAAATTTATCTCCTTCTTAAATGAAGATTTTCACATATAAATGTAAACACAAATATATAAAATAATACTACTAAGCCAGTTTTAAAGTTAGTAATTTTGGCCTAGTCTTCCAACTTCCATATATATACTTCCGTCCAATATATAGACTAGGAAGTGATTGTTAAGAGTCTGTCATGATTTACTTTAATTTTCCTAAAAATAATTTTTGACTAGTGATCATTGTAGGTGGTTTAGTGATTTATTAATTAGTGTTATTATTGTTGATATGCAACATAATTGTTTGTATTAGTGTTATTGTTGGATTTTAATCCGTTTATAATTATTAATGGATATAGTTGACAAAAAAAAATCTTAATTTCAAAACCAAAGAGTTCATTGAAGTGTATATTGATATTATAAATAACTTTATGTAATCTATCCAATTAATAACCAAATATAGTTTTTATATCATTTTACTGCATCAATTTTATTTATATCTAAAAGTTAAAGCTAGAGCAAAAACATTTATGGTCAAAAATAACATTTATTGTTTTTGGTAACATTTTTTTTTTTTTTAAAACATTTTCTTGGTCATGACCCCAACAAACATATTCTGTCAATTTATATGTGTTGAAATTTGGTGACACTTGTTCTTTCCACAAACATTTTAACATTTTCTAAGCGTATTAACAATGTTTTTGTAAATCCCAAACCACGTTTTGTTTGATATACGAAAGAAAACACTTCAAAGAACGGGATATACACTACAAAGACTACCCATATATAAAAAATTTAAACTATTATATACTCCTTTGTTCCTAAAAAATGATGTTTTAGGTTTTTACATAGGCTAAAAAAATAATTTTTTTTATTATTTAATAACATTATATTCACTTTCTTCCCTTTATTGATAAGATATGAAAATTATCATGATGTTGATACGAAATATCAATTTTTTTTTTTTTAAAAAAAAAAGAGAAAATATAAAACAATATTTAGGCCTCCACGGTATATTGTGTGTTTTCATAATAATTTTCCATGCATACTTTTCAGTATCCGCATTCAGCAGTTGCTCCTTGAAATCATTAAAAAAACATCCAATAAAATAAGTAAATTTGTTCCATGAAAAACGTGTTAAAAGTCACTTAAAACATCAGTATTACGCTTTCTAAAACTCCTCTATTGCTTCAGTTAAAACAAGTCTAGAGCACTTTAGGAAAATCCTTTATGATTTATTCAGATAGAGCATTAATTTGGTTCTGTTTTCATATCTCAGTATATTTGTTATATATCTCATCATCCTCCCTTTTGTGTTGAGAGAAAGACCGTATTTTACAGATCTCTTATGAATTCAAATATAAAATTGTCGGATCTTGAAATGGATAAATCTGATGTTTAACGGTCTTCTTCAAGAATCACATGGTTTGTAGATTTGACATAACTAACGAAGTTGTCATGATGATTCGAATTCAAAATTTCCACAAGCCTCTTGCAATTAACAGTGGATTTCTTGGGTTAGGAAAATTATAAAATTTCTTAAATCCAGAAACAGGAAAAATAAAAAAGGAGTTCGTCCTTACAAAACCATTTTTATAAATAAATAAAGTAAATTGTCACAGTTTTCCAATGTTGTCTGTCGATTACCTCTGTATCGTTTCTTTATTATGATATAATCAATAAAATGATTCGCTAATACAAAAAAAGATCTCCATGACAAAATTCCAAAGTGGTATTTACCTTTCTTTTGGGTCAAACGCTGTTTTTGCGATTTCCACGTATCTTCAAAAATGATTAAATATTTATCTAAGACATTGATGTAAAGCGTGAGTGATGAATATTTATACTATTGATGACAAATACTGATTGAATGTTGATCCAACGGCTATCTATGATGCAGATCAATATGGATCTTTGTCTTAATTAGCTGCCCAATTTATAATGAATTATTTTAATCAATTAATGTGGTTTGTTAAAAAAAATCAGAAATACGGACGTTAATCAGTAAAAAAACACACACACACAATGAAACGAAGATCAATAAATTTCAGGAACATATATGGCTATGACAATAGACTAATTTTCTACAGATCTAAAGACAATCCTAAACTTTAAAAAAGTCTTTTTCTGCCATCATTAAGTCACGAAAACATTGAATCGTAAGTTGCAGTTTATGGAGTTAACTTTGACGCAAGACCGAGACCAAATGCCTATTAGGATGAATAAATGATCTTCAGGAGCTTCAGTGCGACTCTCACCCTCTCCATGTCCCACTTACAATATTAGGAGTTTTTTTATAATATCTCATTCATTCTTGTCCTCGGTGATCCACCGTTTTGGACCACGAGTTGAAACCCTTATGGTTAACAAAAATAAATTATAATAGAGCTACGAAAATTGTGACTAAGCTTTTGTTCGAGACACTGAACCAAGTGAATATAATATCATTAAGGTAGTGTTGGTGCTGCTAAGGTTAAAAACTCATGAACCAAGTGGATAGAAGACAATCTTGATTTGGACAACGAGGTTGATTTTTTCAGGGAAATTAAGCTGAACTGCGGATATGACTTCAGAGTTTAGAGATTTCTCGGGCAATGATTGATGTTGGGCGAGTTTTGGAATGGTGGATATGATGGTTAGGCGCTAGGCCTTATTCGAACGTCCGATTTAGCGCATGACAATATTTTGGACATGGTTCATAACCAATTGGGCCTTAAAACAGTGATCTCTTCTAGTTTTGGTATCTAAGTAGAAATAGCAAAAAAAAAAAAAAAGAAGACTAGACCAATTGCAACTAATCTCTCTGTTTTTGCTTTTGGTCATCAATTGAAATAATCTCTCTTTGTTTCAAAATCTCATATGATTCACTTTCAAACAAACAAAAAAGACGGAACATATATACACTTCACGGAATTACAACCCATAATCACGAATGTTACTCGACCTGATGTTTCCCTTATTGGTAATATACAAAGATTACTAAAACACCACAACTAGAAAAGCTAAAGAGTCTCGTCCAACAAAAGGTTCTCTAGAATCCCAATGAGTTTTGTGGCTTCAGAAAGTAACCTAACTGATCATTTGGATTCTTTAAAGCACAGAAATCTCCCTCTTCTTCATCATCTTCTTCTTCTATTCTCGATCCATTTTTGATGAGATTAACAATAGAATCAACTGAAGTCTCGAAACCCTCTGAATCATCCAAAGCCTTATTATTTTCTTCCTTATGTGACACATTACATACTTTTTCATCCTCTGTTTCTTCACTTTTTACGACTGGTTTACTGAGAAATTTCTTGAACCAGTTGACGGAATCTTTAGGATACCGTTGGAGATTGTTTTCGTAGTCAACATAGTACATACCAAATCTAGTAGAGTATCCATGCTCCCACTCGAAGTTGTCGAATAAAGACCACACGTAATATCCTCTAACATCACACCCATCCTCTCTGTTATAACGGTCAAAATATTGAGTTAATTTGATAAATTGAATATATGCTTAAACAAAAGGAATATATGCTTAAAAGTATATGTCAATGGTATTTTTATAAACATATACACTAATAATTAATGTTTAAATAATAATCTAGAACTCTAATATAATAGATTACACGGTTATACATGGAAATAAAAATTTATTTGATAAAATTAGATGACCACAAAAAAATATAACATGTTACGGAAAAAAATTGTGCATGCATCATGTAAAACTTAAATGATAGGAAAAAAAAAGGCCTCAATTTATCAATAGAAAAAAGAACATGTATGGAAAAATATATAGAATTAATTACGGATTTTGCCCTTTTTTATAAAGGCATTTGTGGATTTTGCCCTTTTTTGAATAGTTTATGGATTTTGCCCTTTTTCAGGCTCCAAAAATATGATTTAACATGCGTTTCACTCGTTATGTTTGGGTTTAGTCGGTTCCATTTGCTCTTAGGGTTTAGTATTTAGTATAAAGTACGTATTTTTGCAAAAAAAAATCATAAATACGTACTTTTTTAAGTGTTAAAAAAGGGCAAAATCCGTAAACTATTCAAAAAATGGCATTTTCGTAAGTTTTTCCAAAAAAATGGCATTTTAGACAATAATCCCAAATATATATCATGCTGCCGCAACAGTTAAATGGCATGTCACATGTGTAAAACCTTTTCTTAGTTATCATCATTTCTAATGCCATCAAATGCAAATACCTTAAGATATTTTTAAATTATTTACAAAAAATAAATTTGTTTGATGGATAAAGGACTGATAAATCTTTAAATTAGGGCGGATCATCTTTCTGGATTTACATTTTTATTGTGTATACGCCTATACGGTGAGTTATTGTGTATACTTTTGATTTTCAAAAGAGAACACACCATTTTAGTAGATTTTTATCAATATCAATTGAAAATTATAAGACGTAAACAAGAAAAAAATTCTGTTTGCGTTTACAATTTCAAAATGATTTTGATAAAAAAAATATATTAATATGTTGTAAAAAAAAATTAACTAGTAAACGCATTATAACTTTTTGCGTTTAAAACAATCAGACTTTCAATATATACGTAACCTGTGGACTGGAGTTTACATTATAGCTTTGTGAAGTTGTTTAAGATGGTCCTGATGGTAGCTTATCCTAAATGTGTCCTTGAGAATTGTTTCCCGTGATTTTGTACCATCATCGTAGTGATCGATTCCTACAAAAATAAGTTAGCAAATAATACATAGAAAAGAAAAAAATTTATTCAATTTAACAATTAACTAAAGAAACGTAAAAAAAATCATTTGCTGTTGATACATTATAAATATATATTATTTCTTTCTTACCATTCTCTTTTATATAGACGATAGGGTTATTGTATTTATCTTTGATGTAGTTAAGAACTCTTCGCAAACCTTCTGGATGCGAGTGAATTTTGCCTCGATCATCCTGTGTGAAAAAAGGAAAAATAAAATTTCTTAACATATATATTACTGAATAATTTTGTTAAAACATTTCAAAATTTTGGGGTTAAAAATGATTAAAATGTTACATACCCCTGGTCCAATTTCGTGGTTACTGCGATTTGTTACTGCTCACAAGTCACAAGTGATGTATAAAAAAAGCAGTTTAGTGTACGAGTTTCACATGAATTTACTCATAAAAAATAAACAAAAAAGATTTTAGTTTGCAGCCTTACCTTTCTTCTCAAAATGTTGATCAGTTCTGAATCGAGGTCGAGTAGGATCGATGTGAGGAATATGAGAGGTAAAGTGTGTACTATAATAGTTTATTCCAATGAAATCTGATGAATTTATTAACATCTTTGATTGTTCTGGTGTGAAAGCAGGTAATCTATTTCCGACATGCTTTTTCATTGTTTCAGGATAATCTCCGTAAATCACCGGATTTAAATGCCTAACACATATACATTCAAAATATGATAAATAATTTGTATGCTACCAAAACATATAATTTGTAAAATATAACGTACCAATCTACTTCTACGGCAAGGCCTCGTTCAACGGCTCCTTTGTCAGCAGACGATGTGGAGTCGTAAGGCTCAAGCCACCAAGGCGATAACACTATCCCAATCTTATCATCTGGTAAAGTCTGTCCCATGAAACACTTGATTTATTTCTTCATACAAAAGTAAACTATACTATCAAAATATTTGCATTATGAACTTGAATATTTATGACCACCGCCGTGTAATCCAGATTCAAATTCGATAATTAATGTACATATGTGAGTTATAGATGATAAAAAAAAATGTACATATACCTTGTTACAATTTCGGAACTCTTGTACTGCTGCAGCATGGGAAAGAAGAAGGTGATGTGATACAATGTAAGGCTCGATGGCCGAGTCACCAGCTTGACACCGACTATTCACCCTTTTCGAGCACCGTCCAACCGCTTTGTTGCCTGTGTCATAGCCCGCAACACTTATAACATAAGGCTCGTTGATAGTTGTCCACATCTTAACTTTGTCTCCGAAGTTTTCAAAACAGACTCTTGCGAAATTTCGAAAATCTTCTCTGATTCATTGAATTAAAAATAGAAGTTAGTTATAGTTTCCTTTGTGTACATGTAAATGATATAATAACCATTAAAATAGTTATTTTTTATATGTCATGCAATATTTTGTTTTGTTCGCTTACATTATTTGAGGGTTTAAAAAACCACCATACTCGTCCTCGAGAGCTTGAGGATGGTCCCAATGATAGAGAGTCACCGAAGGTTGAATGCCTACACAATTTTGCCACCAAACCATATTATTAAATCATCCTTAATTATCTATTCTATATACAATTTTGATCAGAGAGATTTAGTTTAATTAATTGATTGATAAATACCATTAGCAATAAGCTCGTCTATGAGAGCCTTGTAGAATTGTACACCTTCTTGGTTTACTCCATCCTTTACCTTTCCACCTTTAAAATTGAAAAAAAAAAAAAAACATTAACATAGGAAAAACACATTCTTGAGTAAGAAAAATAATATAATTACACTTACTGGGTATCATTCTGGCCCACGAAATCGAAAATCTGAAAGCGTCCATATTTAACTCTTTCATCAATTTGATGTCATCCTGGTTTAATGATTTGAAGGTCATTAAAATAATTAGGCAAATAACAAAAAACAAATAATGGGCTCACAATAACAAAAACCATTTATAATAACCTTGTAACGATGGTAAAAATCGATGGCAACGTCTCCATTCTGCATATTGGTTCTTTCTGCATTTCAAAACATTATAACTCATTATACAGCTATTAGCCACTAATATAAATATAATAGTTGTTAAAACTATAAAGAGACCTGGGAAGGTGTGGCTGAAGTAATCCCAAATAGTTGGCGATTTTCCACCTTCGCTTGTTGCGCCTTCGCTCTACATAATGGATCAATTGGTATATAGACAAATTAGAAAATACTTTATATAGAACCTAATATTTACAAACTATTTTATATGCCTACATAAACAAAAGGTGGAGAAGCAAATCAACTAGAGAAATTGCAATATCAAGACAAATGACTTATATTGCATTTCAATTACTATTTTTTGAATATATTTTGTTCTTTCTTTTGATTGGAAATTTCGGACCGAAGTCAATAGTCTCTCCTTGTTGGAGCCAACCTATGATCCATCATATCTAAGCTTATGAAGCTACATGAGTCATCCAAAATCCAATCTCTTTTAGAGGGACAACTAAAAGTCTAAAACGCTACCAGTCCAAGACCAATTTGTTTTTTTCTTCGAATATTTAACATGCATCGAAGGAACTAATAATTATATTTTAAACAAAAAAAAAAACTAATAATTACAACTTCATGGTTTTTTTTGATAAAGGACTATACCGACTTCATGTTACCAGCTTTTTTTTGTTAATGCATGTTATAGTTACTATCTTAAATTACCTGAAAGGCCGATATAGCGGTTCCGAAAACGAAATCTTCAGGAAAACTACTTCTATCAAGTACTTGAGATTCTGGAGGAAGAGAAGTAATCTTCGGAGTAAGCCATGAGATTATCAAAAGGAGGATGAAAAATTGCACTTTCATTTTTTTCTTTCTTTTTGGTTTTCGATTTTGTAGATCTTTTTCAAATTTAAGTGATAAAAGCTAAAATTTGTAGACGTTACAAACAATGTGCTTCTCTACTGATATATAGAGAGCTTAGTCTCGTGACTTGGCGTTGATCTACGTGGAAATGTATATCCTTATGGTCAAAAACTCTTTTTGCATGTAAAACTCTCTGAAATGCTTACAACTCTCACGTTCAAAAGGCTGATTTTACGGACTTTGATGATATCGTGGCCGTCCGTTACTATCCAAGCCCTTTGCTTGAACATTTATTTTTTTGGTTGGAAGTGGAATTGGAGGTTTTAGTTACTGAAATATGAAATAAAATTCAACTATTTCGATTTCCTATGAAATTAGACTTAATTGACAGTAAACCGATGCTAACTTTTACTTAAGAGCTGTTTCTTTTAAAAGTGACACTAAACTTAGTAATTAATCTAATTAGTTAGATTAGCAACGTTTAATTCACAAAAATAGTTCTCACAGAATTAAAAAAAAATTGTAATGTTCAACTTCTAGATATACTTTTAAAAGGAAAAAAAAATACCTTAATAAAAAGCCTATATAGTTGTGGTCTAGTGGTGGTTGAGAACTGAGGAAATATTAGAAAGAACTAACCCATGTTCGATCCACCCTGAAAACAAAAAAAAAACACATTTGTGTAGGGAACTCTGGGTTTGGGCCAAAGGCCCAAGCAGTTTACCTGGTAGTCAGTAACATGCGATCTGGCTACTCCTAGCATTAGTCGGAAAGCATTCCAAACTCGGGACAGACAGTGTGGTGACTTTTCGGAGACAAACAAAAAATTGTATATATTAGAAGAAAGAAAACTATATTCCAACGAAATCTACGAAAACTTGTGAAAATACGGAAAAAATTGCATAAGATTTACTTGGGTGTTGGAAATTAAAGTGGTACAATTCAACAAATACGGAATAGCTATACCATTTAAGATCGGATTTGTAACCCTAATTTAAGAAAAAGCAGAAAGCTTTCGTTTCGCAACTGTGAAAAAATAATGAAGTTACTCTGTTTTGAAATCGTTTATATCACATTGAAGAGAGTGAAAACACGATCGATAACCTAGAACGATTGTGGAAGAGACGAAGGGCACGATAAGAAAGATTTCGATGCGATATATTTTTATTGGCGATTCAATCTGTAGTCGTAATCTTTTTATAGGTAAGATTTCGAATGAGTTGATGTGGCAAGCACTGAAGTAATGTTCAACTTCTAGATATATTTTTAAAAGGAAAAAAAAATACTTTAATAAAGATTGTAAAATATAAGTTAAAATATTATATTATTGGTAGACATTAATGTATATAAGATATTACGAAAATAGCATATTTTTCATGATATACCATTTAAATTTAGATTTTTTATTTCACGAAATTCTTTCAAAGAAAAATAACAAAGACATGTAATTTGGTTTGGGATTTGTATGTTGTGGACAATAAACTTAAAAGATTTTCATAAAACACACTTTTATTGAACCAAATTGACTAATTGAGTATTTGAGTGTCGGACCATTGGGTTCCAATTAGGTTCACCGATATATTTGTAATTATCATTAAATATATAACTAATAATGTATGAAAAAGACTAATTAAATATATTCATAGGTTTTAATGAATTTTGAGAATTCTTTGTCTAACATAATTTCTTAAAACACTATATTTGTATTAATATCTCATTGCAAAGATATAGTATTTTATCCGTTTTAAAATATAATATGTTTTACTTAAAAGTATGCAGGTTAAAAAAATATCTACTTTAAAAAATTCAACCAATTATAAATAAAATATATAATATAAATAATTATAAATATTAAATTAATCTATATTTCATATAAAAACTTGAAAATATCTTATAATATAAAATAGAAGAAATATTACTTTTTTTTTTGTGCTCACAAATTCTTCATTCAAACTTAAACGATTATATTACAAATGGAAAATGCGCAACCGGACACACCCGAAATGCGAATACGAACACCAAGCAAATACACACAAAAGCAGATGATAAAAGGATAGGCAAAAACAATCCTAGCACTCAAGCAAGCAACATCCTCGCGAATACTTTTTGTTTGTATTTACGTTCTTGTTTTAATTGATAAATCGATTTCCAACACAGATAAAGTAAATTTGGATCAAGAAAACGTTTTTTTTTTTTGGATCAAGAAAACGTTATATTAAGTTTATTATGATTATATAGAAAGGATATTAGTATATTTTAATATCCTTGTGTAACGCAAGACTTAAATATGTTGACAGATGTTAGTCGAATCATATTTATCGCAATAAATGCAATCGTTACGTTACTTTCTTTTTCCCTTAAAGAACTCTTACGTTACATACCTCGAAACTTGCAATGTCGCTATCGTCAAATTTATTTTTGTTTTTACGGCCCTTTTTAAGGACTTGTTTCGAGGGTCATAATTTTATTTAGCCCCATAGATCGAAGAGAACCGAACACATCACTATAACGTTCTATTTGCCAACATCACAATTTTAAACACTTTTTCATTTATTGTGAATTTATAGTTTATTTTTGTCTACTAGTTCAGGTGGCTTATTTTTTCTCACTTTTGTGTTGGTCGACAATCTCTCTACTCTCTCTATTGCTTTCTAACCCATCTTTTATTCTTGGATGACTATTAGAAATAAAAAGTAGACTAATCAATTCAGGCAATATTCTGTATCAAAAAACAGAACATAATTTTTATAGGAAAAACCGAAAAAATGTACAAAGTGTATTTATGATATTTTATTTTTACTAGATATGATTAAAGTTTTAGTTAACTGGTTATTCAAAGCTTGATGACATATAATTTTCTTTAATATAGTTGAAAATTAGAGAAAGGAAAGGTGAAGCAATTCTTGTTTTATTTATAAAAATAATTTTACTGCTTAGAATGATTTGCATCAAATAATTGTTTTTGGTATTATCGTCTTTCCTTTCATAGCCATATTTCTTTGTTTGGTACTCACCCAGCCACCCTCAAATTTGTGCATGCATTCCAAGTTTTCCATAAAACTTTTTTGTACCATCATCTCAAAATGTAGCGTGTTAGAAATCTGACTTACGAAGTGAAAAAACTTTAACTGAAATTTACCTCAAACTTTAACTAGTTTGAGGTAAAATTCATTATTTTTACAAAAATGGTATAATAAAAAAAACCACTTTTCAAGATTACTATTTGGATAAAATGCTATTACCAAGACTCGATCCAGACATTGAAACATCAGTCATGGACTATTCCTTTAGTGGTGTTACACTCGGTTCTAGAAAGGAAACAGACAAGTTTATGCTTATGGCCCTCAATATATAAGCAAAATTTTATCGCTAATGAAGCTTCAGTGCTTGGTAAGAAATACAAAGAGAAAATATTGGTCAAGAAATTGCCACCAAAATACGCACCACACAAAGTTGTTTTGAAGATAGCGATGAATGTTTGATGAGATGAAGTTTGATAGACTTTTGGATATTCTTAAGACTGCAGAGATGGAATCATTAGCAAAACTACCTAAATCACATAAATGTGTAGCATTCTCTCAAGTTTATTCCGTTTAAGTTCTACTCAATCAAAAACAAACCAAAACATTCTCACTTCAGTCTACGATCGATTTCTAACTTCAATTCATGCCAAAAGTTTCCAAATCTTGCAGACAAAACCAAGTTCAATAATGTTTTTGTCACAAAGAAACGTATATTTAGATAATGTATTAAGAACCCTAGCTTACAAAATTGCATTCCCACCACTAGAATCAGAGGGATTTACGAGGACTAGTTGATGGTCTGATTCTAGAAGGCATCTTCAAGAACCTCTCTGTTTCGAGCATAAAGGAGTGTTCAGGAGTTATAGACATCTTGCTCACCCCGTTATCAAGAACAACGTCATCATCACAGTCCTCACTGTCTGTATCTCCATTCACTATGACTTTAGCAAAAAGCTCATCCTCATCATCTTCGTGATAAGCAATTTTCACAATTGACCAGTCGATGAAGTTTGGAGAGATAAAGCTTCAAGATTTGACAAGCAAACGGGTGAGAAAGAGAGTACAAACTATGCAATGCAACTACTTAGATTCTTTGGACATCATCATATTCAACATAGGAAGAATCTTTTCCAATGATTTCAATCTCATTAAAGATATGCAGTAGAATTTGCATTAAAGATGCTCAAGTCGGGTAAATCATCAAATGAGTCAAGAAACTTCGATAAGTTTCTCATGTTGCTTCGTGCTTGCTTTGTAAACGGAAGAAAATCAAGAGTTAAGAATGTGAACCTGTTAGAGATTTTCAACAAACACGGGTCTAACGGGACGAATGTATCAAGATTCAAGCCTTTCAAAGCTACCAAAAGCACGAGAGACCTCAGACTCGAGTACGGCATCGAAAATGAAGGCTTCTAAGACAATGAACAGACTACCAGCTTTGTATTGTTTAAGGAACTCAGAAACTACAGATGGAAGTCACACATGTTCACACACAAAAAAAAAGGCAGGTGCAAGCTTTATGCATTTGATTGTTCAGACCACTTGAGATATCACATGAGCTATGGGAGAAAAATGATAGAGTAAGTTACCATCAACGGGTTTAGTTTGTGAGATAAAACTGACTCCAATGGTGTAAGCTGCGATTGGAAGCGAGGAACATCTAGGATTGATCTCACTCGGAAGCATAGCACATACAAGATTGCCTACAGTCACAGAAAAGTAAGAAATTTAAGTCATTACTTGACATAATTGTGTATCACTTAAAACGCTGATAGGCAAAACTCTTTGAGATTTATAAGGGTAAGATGACTAATGTTATCACAGAAGAATTCTTAAGGAATAAAAAGTAATAAGATATGGTTCTAAACTTGGACTATACCTGACATCCTGAATAGAAAACTTAATGTACTTCAGGCTTAGCATCATCATTGCATGTTCTGCAATAATCCGCACACTAGTCCACCATTCTGGATTTCAGACACAAGAGAAACAATGTTACAAGTACAACAGAGTGAAACTTGAATCAGATCAAAGCAATTATCTTTTTCAGTTTTTTTAGCAATCTCTTTGTACCTTTTAACATGCTAGCTACATCAACCACTCCACTCATCCTGTTTAGTAAGGGGAGAAAACAAAATCATATGCAAGTGGTGAGTCTGGTGAGTAGAACAGTATTAGCTTGAAATCATGCAGAGAAATTTTTACCATGAAGGATAAGATGAAACTCACCTAGTAACTCAGAGGTTTGTTGCTGGAGAGAAATATGTTCAGCAGCTTACTGGCAAATTTAACACCACAACTTTCAGGATCTAGTAAGCACGCATAGAACATCAGGAACTGCAGATGAAAGCAAAATGAAGTAAAGTGTTAGGAGCCTAGAATAACGAATTATCTAGATGAGTCAAAGCCAAGAATTAAGTTCTCAAAACATCAAACTCGAAGAGAATTTCAAACACCTGCGCTAGAACCATGAAACAAAGAAGTCCCAAAAGATGAATGAATCTACCACAAAGGAAATGAAAGGAAAGATATGTAGATGAAGCACCATTTGGTGACATAGCTCATCCAGACGACCAGCACATTGACAGGACTCAAGATGCTCAAAAGATAGGACCATTAGAGCATGATTAACGGCAACATCTTAGAGATATCTTAGTATTAAAGTTGATTAAATAAAATCAAACCAACATCTTAAAACTAAGATTTGTATCTAAGTTAAGATGTTTTTCTTAACTTAAGATGTTGCAAGGTGTCACATTGTGATTGGTTAAAAGTGATATGTTTTGATACGTATTGGTGATATGTTTTGATACGTATAAATTTTATACGTATAAATTTTATTTTTATATTGGTGATATGTTTTGATACGTATAAATTTTATTTTTAGATATGTTTTGTCAATTGGTGATATGTTTTAATACGTATAAATTTTATTGGTCAATTGGTGATATGTTTTGATACGTATAAATTTTATTTTTATATTAATATTTTTTTTCTACGTCTTCTCTGTTTGATAAAAGTGATATGTTGATACGTATAAATTTTATTTTTATATTAATATTTTTTTTTTAAGAACCACATGTTAAGAACCTACCATTAATCACACAAAAATCTTAACCCAAAAATACTATTTCTTACCTATCACTTTTACAAATATATTACTTAAATATTCCTAAGATTTATTTCTAAGATACTACCAATAATCATGCTCTTAGTTTGTCCAACAAATCAGAGACTAAATCAAATTTATGAATAATGGCAGATATGATAGATCCCCAGGAAACCTCAAATCAATCAAAGTCCAAATTTTCATAGTAAGAGAAAAAGCATCTTGTAATCCTGAAACTTTGAACCATTAAGTTAAGTAACAATTGTGGAAGAAGCAACATTTTGGACAGATGCAAGGGCAATTCTAATGGCATAAACCAAAGCTGTGTCGCTTAAGTCAGCAATTTATTCTTACCATTCAATTTTTCTTCTCTTCTATAAGAAGAAGCCCCTAACAAAAAAAAAAAAAAAAAAAAAAAACAGAGCCCAAAACAAAACAATGGTTTGAGAAGTCACACCGATGAACAATTTTACATGCTCTGCTTCACTTAGCTACGCCGCAGATCAGGCTTCAGATCCTAGCGAATTCCACCGGAATCTCAAACGTCAAATATGAGCATAAACACTAGAGAGGCCTAAGGCCCTAAGCTTTGGGGCACCAACGTCACCTTCCTTCTTTGTCGGCAGAAGAAGTTCGAATGGATCCGCGAAACCCTCAAAATTAAATTTCTATGTTTAACATAATTAATTAATCCAATAATTCTAAAAGCCATTATATATCATGCACATAACAATTCCTTAATTAATTATAAAATATCATAATACACATAAAGTATTTAATTAAACCCATAAAATTTAACTTATCATTACATTAAAAAAAAGCTACAACATAACTCAAGAATTCAAGAATAGAGCAATAAAATGTATTATACATATCTCATTAGTAGTTTTTATTTTCCATTCAACAAATCTCTTCCTACATTGACAATATTCATGGATAAAATCAAAAATTTAAAGTGAAGGCCTAAAAGGTCTAACTTCACCAAACGTTTTCTAAAATCTCAAATAACTATATGATCCCAGCAATAAACCCGACTGATCATTAAGATTCTGAAAAGCGCATTGATCTCTTTTTTCTTCTTCTCTTCTCGATATGTTGGTCATTAGATAGAGAATCGAACCAACAGATGCCTCGAAACTTTCTGAATCATCGAAAGTCTTATTATACCTTTCTTCATGTGACCTCTCATGTGACAAATCCCATATTTCTTCATCATTTGTTTCTTCATTCTTTACATCGAGAAACTTCTTGAACCAGTTAACAGAATCTTTGGGAATACGAGTGAGATCGTTGTTGTAGTCAACATAGTACAGACCAAATCTAGTAGAATATCCATGTTCCCACTCGAAATTGTCTAGTAAAGACCACACGTAATATCCTCTTACGTCACATCCATCCTCTCTGTTACAACAGTAATTATATTATTTTAGAAAAAAGAGAGATAGTAAAAACTTTATTTCTAATCACCAAAGTATAGCATTTAACTTTTCAAATTATTTTTACTTTTAATAGATTTTAACATTTTTATTCAAAAATTTATAGTGAGTATTGATCAGTTAATAGTTTAAAATCTTGTGTTTTTTATAAAAGTGCGGACCAGGATTTACATTATAGCTTTTTGGAGTTGTTGGAGATGGTCCTCATGGTAGCTTATCCTAAATGTATCATTGAGAATATCCTCTCGTGATTTTGTACCATCGTCGTAGTCATTGATTCCTATAAAAAGTTTAGCAAATAAACCTTTAACAAAGAGAGAAACTTTACTGTTTAATAGATAAAAAAAAATATTTCTTAAAGAGATTCTTACCGTTCTCTTTTATATAAACTATAGGGTTATTGTATTTATCTTTGATGTAGTTAAGAACTTTTCGTAAACCTTCTGGATGTGATTGGAGTATGCCTCGATCTTCCTGTGTGTCAAAAAACAAGCCTTGATATTCTTAGAATCTTTGGAGTTAAAAAAAAAAGGAAAAAAAAAATAACTGCGACATTGATTTTGTCTTAAAACTAGTCAAAAAAAAGTCACGTACCCCTGGTCCGAATTGGTGATTACTGTGATTTGTTACTGTTCAGAAACAGACATAAAAATAGTTTAGGAATTTATTGAATCTCATACGAAGAAAATGGTCGTGCGAATGTTAACATTAGCATTCTTACCTCTCCATTGAAGTTGATGATCGGTTACAAATCGTGGACGAGCAGGATCGACGTGTGGAATATGAGCAACGTAACGCGCTGTATAGTAGTTTATTCCAATAAAATCCGATGAATTTTTCAATATTTTGGATTGTTCTGGAGTGAAAGAAGGTAATCGATTTCCGGCGAGTTTCTTCATCATTTCTGGATAATCTCCGTGAATAACTGGATCTAAATGCCTGATAAAAAATGATAAATAAATATCTTATGATTATAATAAAGATTACAATTTTAAAAAGTAAGCTAGCATTACTTGTTTTATACTTATTTAATGTATATAACAACTTACCAATCTAGTTCAGTGGCAAGAGCTCGTTTAACAGCTTCGTTATCGGCAGGAGAAGCAGAGTCGTAAGGCTCAAACCACAAAGGAGATAACACTATCCCAATTTGACCGTCTTGAGTCTGTCACACAAATTATTTTGATTAATTTATAAAATCAAAAGCAAAGAAACTAATCAAAAAGTAATTGATTTAATTTATTAAATATAAAGCTTCAATATATCCACCTTGTTACATTTTCGGAACTCTTGTACAGCTGCGGCATGAGCAAGAAGAAGGTGATGTGATGCAATGTAGGGCTCGGTACCTGAATCGCCGCCTTGACACTTACTATTCACCCATTTCGAGCATCGTCCCACCGCTTTGTTGCCCGTATCGTAGCCCGCAACAGTTATGACATAAGGCTCGTTTATTGTAGTCCACATTTTAACTTTGTCTCCGAATTCTTCAAAACACACTCTTGAAAAATCTCGAAAGTCTTCTCTGTTTATGAGAATTAAAAAATAATAATAGTTAGTATTGATTTCTTTTATGTCTATCTTAATGATATAATATCCATAAAAATATATAGAAAATTTGCTAAGTTCGCTTACACTATTTGGGGGCTTAAAAAACCACCATACTCGTCCTCGAGTGCTTGAGGATGGTCCCAATGGTAGAGGGTCATCGATGGTTGAATGCCTGGATATGTTTGTTCATTAGACCATATAGTATAAGATAATGTAACGCATAATATAGGTTAATTTCATTAGAGAGGTTTGGTCTAATTGATTAGTTAACATACCATTCGCAACAAGCTCGTCGATGAGAGCCTTATAGAATTGTACACCTTCTTGGTTAACTCCATCCTTTACTTTTCCACCTTTAAAATAAGAACAAAAGTTAAAGTAGATTCACCAAAATATTTGAATATATCAATTTTAACTGAACTTATATAATAATAAAAAAGAAGTAAAAGTTACTTACTGGGTATCAATCTCGCCCACGAAATCGAAAATCTGAAAGCGTCCATATTTAGGTCTTTCATCAACTTGATGTCATCCTGGTTTATATAATTTTGGTTAATTCATTTAATTAGGAAAATTACATAATGGGTCCAAAAAAATTTTATCGACCTTGACAAGAAAAAATAACAAAAGATCGTTTCGCATCCAAGATTTTACCTTATAACGATGGTAAAAGTCGACCGCTACATCTGCATTCTGCATCCTGGTCCTTTCTGCATTTGGAATACAACTATTAGTCATTAATATATCCTAATATAATTAATTTATAGTAAACATTTTAATTAAGATAAGTGCACGGAACATAATCATATATATAAAGAGACCTGGAAAAGTGTGGCTGAAGTAATCCCATATAGCTGGAGATTTCCCACCTTCACTTGTTGCACCTTCGTACTGTACATAATTGACAAATGGATAATCTTAGTTTTTTAGTGAGAGTTGATCTTCTTCTTTTTTATATATATATAGAAAATCGAATGAGGAATCAAATCACAACAATCAAATCAAGTGGAGATGCTCGCTTCGACAAGGCACTCCAATTCTGGTTCCAATCAAGATCGTGATCTATTTCAGTTTCAAACTTTAAGAATTTTTTCTGATAAAAACTCTTAACTAAAAGTGGCACTTGTTGTAAAAACGTTATTTTCTTTTTGAATTTAATTTAACATTTTATTCAAAAAAAAAAAAAAATCGAATATTACAAACTATATAAATTGTCTAGTTATTATTCATTGTGATATAGACAAAATGTGAAGAATAAAATCAACGACGTCATCTGAATTGTAATAAATTTATAAGACGGCTGACTTAAATAGCATTTAAAGTTTAATTCTTAGAATATGAACTTCCACATCAACGGGAATTATACCTACGAGTACGTACGAATCTTAGATTCCGCATTTGTCAACGTCACACAACTATAATTAAGTCCGTACGTAACCAATTGCGTTTTATAATGATGATTTTAAAAGAATAGAAAATAATCGATTGTTTCATATAACCAACTAAAATATTACCTGAAAAGCCGATGCAGCTGTTCCAAAAACAAAATTATCGGGAAAACCATGACGATCGAGTACTTGAGATTCAGGAGGAAGTGAAGTAATCTTCTCCGAAAACCATGAGATTATGATAAGGAGGATGAAAAATTGCATCTTCATATGTTTTTTTGTTTTTTTTTTTTTTTGGAATTTCAAAAGTTATGTGTTTTCTTCAAACTGTTCAAAGCTGAGATTTGTAGTTGTGACAAACTACGCATTTCTCTTCTAATATATATATAGAACTTAGTCTCGTAACATTGTTGGTCTACGTGGAAAGGTATATCCTCCTATCAGTATGTATTACTATCATAAAGTACCTTAATTATTATTAAACAATGATTCACCCTAATGAAGAGAATTATGGTAATCAAATAAAGAAGAGAAATCAATTTTGGTTTCCTTTTCTTTTTTACCCCCAAATTAGACCGTATTCTTAGCTTCTGTTCATCTTCGTGTTTGAATGTGGTCGGGATCACTGCTTATATTCAAATCTAAAGAAATAAGTGTGTCTTAGTGTCAATGTTTGTACTTGGACAAGTGGAAATGGAATGTGGTTCTTAATATTGACTATGTTCAGTGCACTATCGAAAACCCTTTTTGCATGTAAAACACTCTGGAATGCTTACAACTTTCACGTTCGAAAAAGCTGACGTTTCCTTTTACGGACTTTGATGATATCGTGGCTGTTGCGGTGTAACATTCATTACAAAATTTTATCAAAAAAAAAAACATTCATTACAATCCAAACCCTTTTTGTCAATTTTGTTTTTGTTTTTTTTTTGTTTTTGTTTTTTTTTTTTTTTTTTTTTTTTTTTTTTTTTTTTTTTTTTTGCTTTCCTGTGGATTTGGAATTGGAATTTGTTTTTATTCCCAAAGGAATTGGAGTTTTAATTAGTTATTGAAATTTAAGATAACTTATTTTCGATTCATCTGGAATTAATCTCTGAAATTTTGTAATGCTTATCAAAAACCTCCAATTCCGATTCCGCAAAAAAAAAAAAAAAAAAAAATCAAAGAGTGATTCCATATTGAAAATGCAAATACAACAGAATGTGAATCCTCCTGAATTTGAATATCCATATATTGTTCCTTTTATTCCATTGGTGGATAAACATCGTGCCTTGAAATTTATCCACATATAGTGTATATTATATATAGTATGATATTTATTGGTAATGAAGATATAAAAAATACTTTAATTCTTTCCTGACAGTTTTTACATTCAAAGCTGTAAATTTCGATTTCTTGTGGATTTTTAATCTCTGAAATATCTGTTGACAGTAGGTATTCTTAATTTTTCTAAATATCCACTAATTTACATTTTTTCTAAAAAAAATAATAGTTATATTTGACATAATTTGCTATAATATCTAATATCTTTGACGTAAAAATTCTTAAATTCCTAAAAATCTTATTATGTATAAAAATTCTTATATTCTTAAAAAGAATAGTTATACATGTATCGATAATATTAGCATTTGGACTCCACTTTGGCTCGTGAGAAGCTGTATAATTTACCTGCAGGCAGTGTATGTTACATATAGCATATAGGATAACTAATCAGTTTGGATATGGTCGCAATCATGTCTTCATTCATAAGTTCGTACTATACGTGGTTAGTGACGACAAGTGAATCTGTACACGCAATTTCATTTTATAACATATCTTCTCTTCAAAAGTTGGGCACTGTCAAACTGGGAAAGTTTAACCCATTAGGCCCAGTTCTGAACATAATCTTGAGTGATTTAAATAATATTAAGATAATCTTATGTGTCATGTGAGCTATCAAAGCAATGCAATAATTCGGTCACTGACGAACCATTCTTTTCTTTTTTTTTGTATAGGTCCGATATCAGCTTTTAGTAAAATTTATGCGAAAGCGTAAACCAATAGTCGCAACTGGAACTTAGGATTTACATAACTTTTACTTAAAACATCAGTAGAATTTATCGATTGAACTATTGATTTTGGAATAGTACTTATAAAACCGTGCATAACATTAATGTAAGTATTTGGATCAAATTCAGGTACATGGTCATGGGTGATACTCATATAAGTATCATTAAGAAATTTTTAGTATTATTTATAATGTTTGTTTAATGTTTTTTATTTTTTTCTCCTATTTTTGGCAAACGCGACCAATCAGGAGATGCCACGTCAGATGATACTGGTATCAAAAGTATCATTGGACTGATACTAATCATGTCCATTCTAATTGTTTTGTCTATATAAAAATAATTTATGCGCTTGTGATACTCTAAAAGTATCACCCATGTACATGGTAAGTGGTCTCATAGTCGCCTTTACTGACTTCTTGTTAGTTGTTGACTTGTTGCTATGCACGCATGAGAGACTAGTTTGAGTTTTAACTCTTTGTACTTTTCTTTAGTCAAACGGCGTGAAGAATTTTTCCTTCGGATAATAGTGGGGCCGCTAAGAAAATAGAATTATTAAACTGATGTATTTAACCTTAAAATGATTCGAAATTAGTGGAAAAGATGAAGCTTAACTACACTCATATTTCCTGAAATACATCAATGTATGTTTACTCTTTCAAAAAGCAACAACGTCTGTTTACTTTTTCTGTCTAAGAATTTTGTTCTTCTCTAAGAATTTTTTTTTTTGTGGGAGATGAAAGAAAATATATTCTTTTCTCTCGAGAAATATTATATATACAAGAAAATTTGATATTGGAAGATCTGGAAAACTTCTCTATAGATACCAAAGTCTTGAAATTATTTCAGATAATATGGAAATTTCTACTCCTCACTTAAAAGCTTAAGATATACCGGATTGGATCATGGATTTATAGCAAAATTTCTCTTAACCCAAGTATCTTTTAGAGAATTAGATTAATTGTTGGAAGTTATGTTTTCATTAGCATAACAATCTTTTATATAGGCCACAACATCTTAAAATAAAAAGGAAAACACTCAAGCCAAATTTCAAAAGGGAAAACACCTAAACTATAGTTCTAATGCATAAATGAAAACACCAAAACCCATTAACCGTATAAGAAAACGATGTCACACAAAACAAATCCTGCCTGAACGATTCACTAATTGTTTTTTTCTAGATTGAAACACATTAACGTTTAAAAAGCATTTCAGTTCAAGTTGATTCTAGTAAAGTAAGATCCCAATTTGCCATCTATAGGAATGAGAGACAAATTTAAAGAAAAACGACGATTTACCATAATAAGAAAAAAAAAATCGAGAGGCTTTTGTATTTGGTGGTTACATATTCACTGGGCATTCTATTTGAATGCGTATAATAGAATATTCTCACATAGAAGCGAATAATTGTTACATATTATAGCAGTACTGTCAACATCACACATGCTATAATCAATAATGGGACCATCACAATCTTAAAGAAATATCAATAATCCAACTCATAATACCATATATGATCATCTTTGAAAACCATGAGATTATCAAAAGGAGAATGAAAGAGTGCACCTCTTTTTAAAGATCGAACTTTTTTTTTCAAATTGATATTATAAGCTGAATTGTAGATGTTTTACAAACTCTACCTATATCGATTTCACATGTTCTCAGTTTTAATCTTTTTCCAACGAGTTTAATATTAATTTTCCTTATACAACGTACGTAACATCGAAAGATGATTTAACATCGGCTAAACATCAATCGAGTTTGGGTCGGTTCGTTTCATCATCTACCATTTCCATCCAAATGGTTCATTTAAATGTTCCATCCAAATGCTCCATCTCAATGTTGTTCGTTTCAATTTTTGGATGGAACATTTGGATGAATTTTTGTTTGTTTATTTAGTTTTTACAAATCTTTATCTCCATCTAGATGAATTTAACAAAAAAAAATGAACCATCATTTTTGTTTGTTTATTTAGTTGTTAAAATAGCTAAAACCATTTCTCATTATTTCCAAAGGAGAAAAAAAAATATAAATCTCTCAGAGTAAACAGAGAAACTAATATAATGAAATATACATATCTCATCAATTGTTTTTCTTTTCATTCAATAACTTCTTGAACCACTCAGCCGATTTCTTGGGATATCTCTTACATCCATCTTTGAAATCCACGTAAACCAGCCCAAACCGGACCGTGTATCCCATTGCCCATTCGAAATTGTCTAGCAACGACCATGCGAAAAATCCCTTCACGTTGGCTCCAACCCTAAATTTGCCAGTAAACAAAAGCATTTGCACCAGAATTACATGAATGTTATGATTGTTTATGTCGAATTAGGAGTTTTACAACTAAATATAAAAGGATGCTTACGAGATAGCGTCTTGAACCATTTCGAGATGTCGAGCGTAGTAATCGATCCTGTCACCATCTTGAAGGAAGATTTTATTGGTACTAAATTCATCTCTCCCTACAAAGATTAATTCACATCATTATGAAACTAAAATAATATCTATGTTACATTATTCAGAACTGAAGCAGTTGTTCGTGTGAATTACCGTTTTCGGTTATGTACATGACAGGGTCCTTGAACTTGTATTTTGCATACAGGACAAGATCACGAATTCCCTTTGGATATATTAAAAGCCAATCTGATGCAGCCTATAAAATAAAACCCACACATACACAGTTTAGCTTAGTTGTTGTTGGGTTTTGAGATTGAATAAATTCATAAATATTGATAACCGTTACAAGTACCTTTGGACCGATGGGAACTCCATCTCTTTCACCTGATTTGAATACAAACACAGATTTTGGACTCGTAAAATTTCGATTAATTTAGTTTATAGTGATAAAAGAATATAAAAAATTGGATGAGAAGAAAACAGACCTGTGACACTAGCACAAGGATCAGAGAACATAGTAACATCTTTGGTGGAGCAGGGAACATCCTTTGCGTAAGTGGAGGAGTAATAGTTGATGCCAATGAAATCATATGAGCCTTTCAGCATCTTAGATTGTTGTGCAGTGAATATAGGTAAGCGACCGCCTTTTACGTTGTTGACCATATCAGCGGGGTATTTACCGGTCACAAGCGGCTCCATAAAGTAGTCAAATGTGAAAGCCATGGCTCGTGCCGCAGCTAATCTATCCTCAGGTGATTCTGTATACGGCAAGTTCCAACCCGCGTTCAAAGCAATACCAACTTGACCTTTTTGAGAAGCCTATGAAAACAACATTTAAGATCTTATTTGCCACAATATGAACTAAATAAACGCTGTCTATTTTCAGTAACGTGATGCTTAAGAAACAGAGCATATTTTTATTTTTTTTGCTAACCTTGTATTTTTCTCTGTAGACTTGGACTGCGGCTCCGTGAGCAAGGATGAGATTGTGACCAACAATATAAGGCTCAGTGGCTCCATTTCCACCGGTGCAATTAGGGTTTGTGAATTTGGAGCATCTTCCTGGAGCCATTACACCTGCAACATACCCTTGTTGCACCACAGTCAATGGCTCGTTCAATGTCATCCAATGCTTCACTCTATCTCCAAAACTCTTGAAGCAAATATCCGCATAATCGCGGAAATCGTTCCTATATCATTACACAACAAAATAAAATTAATCTGATCTGTCTTGTTAATTGTAATGGCTAATAAAACTTAACTATCTATTTACAAATGCTAAAAAAAAAAGTTATAGATTTGGAGGACTTACACAATCTCGGCACCACGGAATCCGCCATAAGCATCTTCAAGGGCTTGTGGTGTGTCCCAATGGAACATGGTTGCAAAAGGCTTAATTCCTGTATACAGTTACATAATATTTACATTAGTGTTTGCGTTGCGTTTGTAACTAAAGCATGATATCCTAATTTGAAGGGTGGAACTTGGAAGAAAGATGATTTTAGTATAAATAAAATCGAATTTGAAAATTTGCTAAGCTTAATTTTTACAGATTTTTAGTCTTTTTTTAATACTAAAAGCTTGATTTAAAGTCATAGTTTGAAACAGAGAGCGTTACTTTAGCATGTGTGTCAAATTGGATTTTGTCTTTTACCTTTGGACAAAAGAGCATTGATCAAGTTGTTGTAATAGTCAATACCAGCCTGGTTGATTCCTCCTCTTAGATTCCCACCTAAATAAGAAACAACTCAGTAATTATTGGTACTATGTGAGAAATAGTCAATTTCATGTGTGAATGTCTGAAGACAAAAAAAAAAAAAAAATCTTCAAAGAAGAAGAAGATCAGACGTTAAGATAACTTACGAGGCAAGATCCTCGACCATGAGATTGAGAATCTGTATGCGTTGAAGCCAATTTGATGCAACAAAGCCACATCTTCCTGCATTGATTTTTAATTTTATTTTAATAATGATGATCAAAGAATGTGACTGGTTATGAAGCCAATGGAAATAAGCACAACAATTTTCTTTTGCATATGTAATCCAAAAAAATGGAAAATTACCTTGTAAAGATGGTAAGAATTATCTGCAACAGACCCATTGCTACCATCCTTTATCTTCTCTGGAAATTTAAAATTAAGCATTAATTTCAGTCTTATTAACTATAATCTCATTGAAAAATCAAAAACAGAGTATTTTAGGAAAATAAAATTAGGCATTAATTCTCAGCGACAACTAACATTTTACTTCTTTTTCCAATTCTCATCAATTCTTGAACGATCAACCCCATTTTTCATATTGAACAGATTCACACATATACATCTATACTAATTCACGGATCTTGAATTTAAATATTCATATAAACCATAAAAAACAATGGGATTAAAAATAAAAACCTGGGTATTTCTCAGAGAAGGTATCCCAGATACTTGGTCCTCTACCATCTTCATGAGCACCTCCTTCGACCTATGAAGTGTTAACAAAAAAAGAACCCATAAATTCTCTAACAAAAAAACATGATCGGAATTTTTTTAAGAGAAAACTAATAAGAAGAAATCACAAAAAAAAGTACCTGGTAAGCAGAGGTTGCAGACCCAAAAATGAAATCTTCAGGAAAATCACTTCTTCTTAATTTAGGTGTTGAAGAGTTGTTGTTGGCAAGAACTTCATTGGAAGCCAAGACAATGAGCACTACTAGCAAAGAAAGATAATTACCTTTCATTTCTTAAATTTTTTCTTATGATTATTAAATCTTGTTTTCTTTTAAGAAGATGAATTAAGTGGAGGTTTATATAGGGAAGAGAATTACAACTGGATATGTATGTGAATATCTAAATAGTAGAGCTATTTGAGAAAGATGATCTGATAGAGGGAAAGAGAAAGAGAGTAATATGATAAAATATTCTAATTTTCTTAATTAGTAAACGGAAAATTCAAAAATGACCTTATCAAGTTATATCAAAATAGGAAAAGAATGATAAAACGTGAGTGATTTTTTTTTCTTACATAATTTTTAAATTTCTTATCTAAAGCTGACAAGCTGAGTCATTATAATTAAAAAAAATTTAGAGAAAATTCAAAGCATCATTGCACGTCTTGTAGAGATTTTCGGGATGTGGTAATTTTGTCAAGGAACGTGAAGACGTGTTAGTATTGATAAGTCCATTTTCGTCATTTTGTGTTAAAACGTCTTTGGATAAGAATATCGACAAGTTTCACGTAACGGCTATTATTTCGAATTTTAATTAATTACTTTTGTTTTACTTCTTTCTTTTAAACGTTTGTTTCAAGATTTTTATATTATTTATATTTGTATTGGAAAAAGGTTATTTTCACAGGTTGGTGTAGTCTGGAACACGTTTGGACTGTCGGTCAAAATAAACAATATAATTATCAAACCTAACATGATCTATTTAATAAATTAATTAACACTCTCTTTGATCTTCAATGTGACGAACCAAGTCATTGTTTTGGTTTGAGAGGATCGGATCTTTTTCCACATTTAATCTTATAATTTTTTGTTAAGAAAGGAAGAAGACAGCTATCATATTTAATTTTATATGAACTAAATCTTAAAACTTAGTAATAATTTTTACTATCAAAATATTTATATTTTAAAAAAAATTTTCATTGCAAATTTTTCAATTATAATAAGATCAGTCAGATACAAATTTATTTGTGAGCCAAAAATAAGTTTAATAAAATTTATTTCAAAAATTGATGAAATCAAACTAGAGCAGGATAAAACTTTATCAAATTGTGGGTCGTCTTAGCCATCACCGACACCGATTACTGATTAGTTTTCAGTTTTCATTTTTCATTTTTCATTTTTCAAATTTGTGAATTTCCTATATAATATAGCTATTGTCAGAGTAATATGCTGGGCCAAAAAAGCGAACTTCTCTAATGGGCCGAAACATTGACGGGATAATTAGGTGTCTCACAAGTCACAAGACACAAATAGACTTTCGTCTAAATTGATTATTACATAATTGTTTTTCATTACATAATTGTTTTTCATTTTTCGAAACTTTTCATTCACAAAACAAACCAAAAAATCAAATAAACGAATGGTCTTAGAAAAGGAGTTCTAATGCTTTCGAGGATTCAGACATCTTAGGTATAAAGCAGGAAAGTGAACCAGATGATGTTAAGAATCTCTTCCTCTTCTTGTTAACAACAAAATTCAACGACCCTTCCTTCTCTGACTCCTCGATCTCTTCTTTCTTCAAAAACTCTTTGAACCACATTGCAGACATTTTGGGATAACGTTTTAGACCGTTGTTGTAGTCTACGTAGAACAGTCCGTATCGAACTCCATAACCAGCGTTCCATTCGCAATTGTCGAGCAATGACCATGCATAGTATCCTTCTACTTGAACACCATCCTCCCTAAAAAGAAAAAAGATGATTGATGATAAGACCTTATTGTTTTTCAAAGTCGATTTTTAGGTTTTCGCACATGTTATTGCTTGTCAAAAAAGTAAAGAGAGTAGAGACAATGAGACATACTTGATGGCTTGGTGGATGCTTTGGAGATGTTTTTTGTGGTACTCTGTCCTCTGCAGATCCATCAAGTTTGAAAGTTTTGCCTTTTTTTCATAGTCTATATCGCAATGTCCTATCAATTTCAATATGAAATAAAGTTACAATTTTCCGAAATTTCACTTTCCGAAAACTTGAAATAGTTATAAAGATAAATAAATTGGTACCATTTTCAGTTATCATAAATTTAGGGCTTCCGTATCTGTTTTTGGCATAAACCAAAAACTTTCTTAACCCTTGTGGGTATAAAAAGTCCCATTCTGAACCACCTCTAGGACCCAAAGTTTGTCCTGCTTTGTTTTGTCCTGTTTTAAAACAAACTTGTGAGCCAAGAAACCACAAAAGATATTAAAAAAAAAGAAAAAGAAAAAAAAAACTTACTTTTCCATTCGATGTGTGCGTCAGATCTCCAATCGGGAATATTAGGATCAACGTCAACAACATTTTTAACGTAAAAGGCACTGTAATAATTTGCTCCAACAAAGTCAAAAGATCCTTTTAACTTCTTAGATTGCGCTGCAGTAAACGACGGTAATCTTTTTCCAATCGACCTTTTCATGACTTCCGGATAATCTCCATAGACCGTTGGATCCATGTGCCTATAAAAAAAAATTAAACCCACATAATTATTATTAGTCACTATTATAGTAAAGATAAGTTTCAATTATAATATCGATCACTCACCATCCAAACATAAATTCCATGGCACGCTCGACCGCTTCTTGATCTTTAGGACAGTTCGAGTCATAAGGTTCGAACCAGACCGGACAATGCGCAATACCAATTTTCCCATCTTTACACTATAACACAGAATATCATTGTATATCAATAAATTTAGTAACGATCAATTTACTAAAATCCCTAGTATATAATTAATGTATCTGAAAAGAAAAGAAAAGATTTATGCATATGCGTACGTGGATAAAAGAGTATAGACAAAAAAAATTACTTATAAGAGATCAGTTTTTTTTTGTACCTTTGGGTTATTCCTGAAGACTTCAACAGCCTCGGCATGAGCCAAGAGTAGATTGTGACTAACAGTATAAACCTCACGACCCGATTCACCAGCCAAAGCTGCTTCGTTCATGTATTTGGAGGCACGACCAGGAGCTTTTCTCCCGGTATCATACCCGCCAATACTATAAACCCACGGCTCATTTAGTGTCACCCAATACTTAACACGGTCGCCAAATTCCTCAAAACATATAGTGGCGAAGTCGCGGAAATCATCACTGCATGCATCAATAATATGATTATATATTGGTATATGTATAAAGTTAGATGTTTATTGAAAATCATTTAACGTTAAAGAATAGGTATATATAACTGATGTTTAATATCTAGCTACTTACACAACTTTTTCGCTTAGAAAACCATTGTATTCATCTTCTAAGGCTTGTGGAGTGTCCCAATGGAACAAAGTCGCGAGAGGAGTGATTCCTGTTACGTATGATCACGGTAATTATTAGAACACACATACGAATTGACAATTTCATATAAAGATTCGAATGTGTTGATATATATACACAAGAGACGGATCATGTTATACCATTAGCTAGGAGTTCATCGATGAGGTCGTTATAGAATTTGATTCCCTCCTTGTTCACTCCTTTAATTTTCTTTCCATCTACACATAAAAAGTTAAAATTTTACATAATGAGTTTGGTGAAGAAAGCTAACAAAAAAAAAAGTTCGAGGTTTATGACTTACGAGGAAGAATCCGAGGCCATGAGATTGAGAATCTGAATGAATCCATATTGATATCTTTCATTCTTTGAATATCTTCCTTGTAATGGTGATAAAACTCCACAGCTTGGTCCGCATCAGAGTAACAATTCCTTTCTGGCACGTATGAATTGAATTAAAGCTTTAATTAGATTACATGATTAATAAACAAATACATAAGATATATGTATCGATAGATATAAACCTGGATGCTTGCGGACAAAAGTATCCCAAACACTTAGCCCTCGAGAGGCATCGTTAACAGCTCCTTCGTATTGGTAAGCCGATGAGGCTGTCCCAAACAAGAAGCCTTCAGGGAAATCGGATCGGCCAAACGAACTTTTATCCGCGTAAATCTTCTTTCCTCTGATATAAAATTAGAAACCATATATTAGATTATTTTTTACGTTCATTTATATGTTTGCATTTAAGTTATTGTGACTTACTGCATCATTTTGGTTTTGCAACGTAATTAAGTCTTGCAAGAATGAAGCCTAGCTAGATATTTTTTCTTCTTTATGAAAAGTAACAAAGAAATGAAATGAATGTAATGGGAAATGGGTTGTGATTAAAACGATGGGATAAGGTTTATATAGGCAAATGAAATCGTATGAAGGAACCAGGAAAATTCTAACTATAATATGGTTCATATACAGATTATCCTTACATGCATGCCATAGTCAAACTAGTTGCCTGTGTGACTACGTCTGTTGACTCGACTTATTTTTATATATGCTTCGCATTGCGATCACGAGCTAGATTGTCCTATGTTGACTTCAAAAATGAATAAAACAGTGTCGGGGAGATTACGCTGCTACTAGGGTGGATCTAAGAATTGTGGATAAAACTGTTTCTGTTTTTCTCCTTAAAACTAGAAACTTTCAAACTTTGATATTTTATTTCAGAAATTAATCTTTGGTAATACTTACAACTAGATAACAATCCGCACGATGTGCGGGATGAAGTGATTCAAGTAAAATTATTATGATTAAAATTATTATCCGGGATTCAAGATCCGTTTGTGTAAAACGAAACATATTACAATTTTTTTTTTGTTTTATTCAAATTTGGGACTATTTCATATAAGAATATGTTTTACCCGTGAAATATTTGAACCTTGAATAAAGCTTCAACGTGATAAAAAAGTATTGACGAAATGTTACCATTTATGGCAATATGTCTTTCCGTATGTTTTAAAGATTTCGTAGTATAAAAAGAATTTTTTTTTTTAAATAAGTATAAGAAATCCAAAATTTAGCAAAGATGAGATTTGATAGTTTTCAAGCTAAGATTTTGTAGTGTTCCAAATATAAGATTCTTAGATTATGAATGGATTATTTACGAAATGGTTATAATGTGGCCAGATTTTGGTTTATATACAAATGTGGTTATAATGTTTTTCTTCGAAAAGTTAGAACTCCTCCAAAAAATAGGATTTTAAGTATTCGTAACATATATAGAAAGGAGATTATCTTATTTATTTAAGTAAAAAAATTATGAAAGATGTAAAGATTTTGTAGTTTTGAATTCGAGATTCTTGAACCAAATGTATATATTTTATCATTTAAATATAAACATAAATATAAATATAAATAAAAAGATTGTATACCCATCCGCTAAAGAAAATTTATATAAATCTATATAAAGAAAAATATAAATATAAAAATATAGTAATATAAGATAAACAAAAAGTGTATGTTTTTAATTATTAATGGGATATATGGATGTATGAGACTAATGGCAAATTATGTAAATAGTCTAATAAATCTTGGGTAATTATCTAAATAAAAGCCAAATCATTGTGAGAGCGACACATCAGCGTGGTAATCTTGTTAATAACACATGATGGTAAGGTTTTTTTTTAAAAATGTTTCTCTATTAATATATAGGGGATTGTTCTAGCAAATAAGCCACTACTACTATCTATCTAATTAATCCGCGTAACATATTTTTTGTGTTTATGTAACTTAAATCTGCGTAATCCTGGCGAGAGAACTTTTTTCTAAAGATATGATATTGGAATGGCGATATATTCCTTTTTTCTCTATAAAAGAGTAAAAGACCTTGTTTTTTTTATATATAAAAAGACCTTGTTTTTGGTCAAGTTTGTTGACTTCTTGAATATGTAAATAAAAATCACTCAGTAAATAGGGTAATGTGCTAGAATCCCCTATCTTTATTCATCCATATAGACTGAGGCTGGAGGAAGTTAAAAATACAAATCTAAGGGAGTTTAATACTATAAATTTGTTTATTCTGACGACCAAAATAAATAATTTATCCTTTAAGTATTAGTATTCCAGTTGCCAATAAAGCATATAAGACGACTCGGCTATTAATTTATCATAATAAAACAAATTGAGTAGTCGATTTTCACGACAGTTGAGTAGTTAGACATAATAAAATTGAGTAGTCGATTTTCAGGTCAATAATGAATTAATTAATTGAATTGATTATCAGGTCAATCAAGTTGAAGTTGTCAATCAAGTTGAAAATCGACTTCTCAATTTACACCATTAGACATAATAAAAAAAACAACAACAAAAGAAGACCGGAAAATCAAAAGATTCACGACAGTTGAGTAGTTAGCAAGATAAAGGAACCACATGTTAATCACTTGATTAGCAAAAAAAATGCTTTACCAAAAAAAAAAAAAATCTTAATCATTAGTATATTCTTGGAGATTTTGGATCGTGGTCTAATAAAAAATTAAATATAAATAAAGATAAATATTATTATTATTATTATTTTTTTTTTTTTGTAAAGATAAATATTTGAGAAAACAGATGGAAGATATCTAATGGTGTAAACTGAGAAGTAGATTCTCAGGTCAATAATGAATTGAATTGATCGTAAATATCTCTGTTACTACTTACTAGATGTTCTATACGTATCAAACTCTCGAAGACTCGAACCACGGGCTTAATTTCTTCACTAGTCCAATTCTTGACCGTCCCTGGTACGTGTATCAATTTATATCACAAAATTTATAAAATGGAACTCCACAAAATTGTTGACAAAACAAAAAAGGGAACTCCACAAATTAAATTGAAACTTGAATCGCATAAATCGTCACCAAGTTTTACAGCAAGTTTCAAGAAAAATATATATTAAATTGACTTTGAATAACTCCTACAATCTGATTGGATTCGTAATCGTATCGATTCTTGTAGTTTATAATGTATTCGAAGAAACCTTCCATATATCAACAGTGTAATGCCGATTAATTAGAATCGATCGTCTTCGGAGACACCGCGTAAACTAAGAGAATACAAGTGAGTTTTTGCTAGTTTTTAAAACCGATTTTCCTCGTGATGACATAAGCATGCGGGGTTAGGTAGAGACGTAGAGTTAAATGTGACAACGAAACATTGGAAGAATAAGAAATAATATTAAAAAAAAGAGTTAGAGGATCCATCAAAATTGAACTCTTTCTCTATCGTACTATTTTTATTTTTGGGTCAGTTATTATTTCACTTTTCCAAGTTTGAATACGAATTTTCCCACTACGTTGACGTAGTTGTATTTACTTGAACATATTTGAGCAACAACATCCGTTTTGTTTACCAATTATCATACAAATAGTTGGGCCTACTTATAAAACTAATGGGCTTGGGTAAGGCTTTACACAGAGTCTGGATAACACGTGGATAGGGATGAAACGATGGCGTTTTGATTCCCTCGTAAATATTTTGATAATTTTAATGAGAATGAATCTACGAAAATTTATTTTCTCAACAATTTGTTTTTGTTTTTAAAAATTAAATTGCGTCTGTGTTCTTATTTTGGCAAATAATGAGCTTTCGGCAAAATCTGTAATCTCTAAGCTGAATCACTTGTAGTGGAGCTCTGATTTGTTGCCGGAGCAAGATTTTGATCCGTCGCTTCTTTCTTTTTAAAAGCTCGACAAGTACAAAATTGAGCTCAAACCAAAATCGAGTCTTCTTCTAAGTCAAATTGAAATCAACCTCGCGCAATTGTTCTTTGCTCTTCTTGATTCTTCGTCTTGCTTCTCCAATTTCATCTTCGAGATTAGTCTCTTGATTAAAGCTTCGTAAATGGACTACGAAGCATATGATAGCAGTGGTTAGTTCCCGAAAAGTGTTTAGATTTAGCTCGTTGTTCTCTCGTCTTCTCTATTAGTCACTGAAATTAGGGTTTTACACAACTTTTGGGATTTCTCCTTACGATTACTGTTATACATTGTGTTTTTTTTCGGTGGATTGGTGTTTTAAGCTGAGAGTGAGATTGAATTTGACTTAAACATATCTAGTTTGATCTCAAGCTGAAACCTTTTGAATGTAATGTGTGTTAATGATTGATTCACAAAGGTTTGATTTTGATTATGCAACATTGATTGTTTTCCCTGTGGTGTCTTCAGGAACTGATGATGATCTGCCACCACCGCATAGGGTTCCACGAGGAGGAGGAGGAGGAGGAGGGCGTGTGGCTGGTAATGGAAGACCTTTGAATCTTCCTCCATCTTATCCAAAGATATATGATGATGTTGCTGCTGATATGGAAGCTCAGATTCACCAGATTGAGAAGGAAGCATATATCTCTGTTCTAAGAGCCTTTAAAGCTCAAGGAGATGCTATTTCATGGGTATTTTTGATGAATCTTGGTCTACTTTGATTTCTCTTGTTGTGTTGGGTTCTTGTTATGTGTAGTGACATGTATTTTATGTATGTATCTTGTTCAGGAAAAAGAAGGTGTAATAACTGAGCTACGTAGAGAGTTGAGTTTATCGAATGAGGAGCATAGAGAACTTCTAGGTCGTGTTAACGCAGATGATACAATACGAAGGATAAGGTGAGAGCTAAAATCTGAGCAATAATGTAGTCGTTTGAGCAAGTGAAAAGTTACTTTCTGTTTTTCTATCAATAACATACGGTTTTCGGTTATTAGGGAATGGAGACAATCTGGAGGAATGCAACCAAGTGTGCGCAATGCTGCTCAAGTGGTTCACGACACATTGCCAAGCCCTTCTGTTTCAGCTTCTATTAAGAAGCACAAACCAAACCAGCCAATTCCTTCTCAACCATTCGCCACTTCTTCACCTTCTTTTCATCCTCAAGCTGATCCCACTCACCCGTTTGCTTCATCGACAGCCAAACGGGGTTCTGTTCCTATTGTGAAGGGCAAAAAACATAAACCAGTGAGTTAAAAACTCAGAAAATTGGAATGTTTTTTAATCAGAAATTATCTTCTTACAAGTTACTTCTGTTTTTAGGTTTTTCCTGGTTCGTCTTCCACAAAACCTGTCCCATACCATCCTTCAGATCAACCTCCACGAGGACAAGTCATGAACAGATCTGTTCCTACCAGTTTAAGTGAACCCACAAACGGAACCGATCCTGAATCTTTTGTTGGTAAAAGAGTTAGAATAAAGTGGCCTGAAGACAATACATTTTACGACGCTGTCATTACCATGTATAATCCAGTTGAGGTGTGTGGCTTCATAAAATTGGCATAAAGTTTCTGTTCTTATAAAATACGAAGTTTCTCTAACTTGCTTATATATTCCTTTAATCTTGAATTTTAGGGTCGCCATTCTTTAGTTTATGACATTGCAACAGCTCATGAGACATTGGAATGGGTTAATCTCTCAGAGGTAATTACTTTTTGATCAGTAGTCTGCTGAGACTTATGAGTAGAATGTTCTAAACTTTGGTCAACAATTCTTTGTTAGTTTTTAACCAAGATCTCAAATTCTTTAACAGATATCTCCTGGGGATATAGAGTGGATAGGAGAGGATCCTGGGGTTGGTAATCGATATGGTTATAACGGACAAGGTCATGGACTGAATAGAACTACCGGACCCAACAGTATTCCACAACGAGGAAGCGGTTTGGCAAAGAACACTATCAGAAAGGATTTCAGAACATCACAGAATGGAACTGGGAAAAAGAAACATCTCGATATACGAATCCGCCAAACAAATGTCTTAATCAGAGAGGTTGGTATCAATTGTTTACAAGGCGAGTTTTACAGCACGATAATTAAGGTTATTTCTCAAATGATGATGGTATCTGATAGGTGGAGAGAGTTCTTGGTTCACACAATCCAGATCCCCACGAAGTTGAAAGGGCTAAGAGAATTTTGGAGGTTTGATTGCTACAACAACAAAGATCCTTTCGTACATACTTTTGTTTATAAAGACAAAAGTCTTAAATGGTCTATTATTACCTTTAATCTAGGAGCACGAGCATGCGCTTGTGGGCGCAATTGCAAAGCTTGGAGATATTTCAGATGGAGAAAACGGCAAGTTTTTAGTTTGATATATCAAGCATTTAGCATATCTGAGCCCTATATCCTCAGTGATATTCCTCCCTTTGAGCAAGTAATGACGAAAATGCTTATAATTTCAGATCAAATACATTCACTGAAATTCTCGCTCTCTGTTCTTTTCTACAGAAGGTGTGTTTCGTCGGTAGCTTATATTTGAATCAAGCAATTTTGCCAAGGCACAGTGCAATGTGCGGTCCATGAGCCGGTGAAGAAGAGATAGAAGGTCAGAGTCTCAACTTCTTTGATGTTACCCTTTTTTTGGGTATCTGAATGTAATTTTTTGCTGACACTAGAGATTAGCTCGACCTGGATCTTGGTCTTGTTGGATATATGTTCAATGGAGTAGTTTCGGTATCTTGTCACTGTCGTTCTAGTTTTTTAGGGATTCAAATGGTGGAAATGAGCAAAATATAACAGAAAAGAAGGAATGAATATTACTGATGCCAGCAAGCCAAAATACACTTTCCCTAATCCATAACTATGAGAATATGACTTCTAATGTTAGAATTAAGATAAAATACTCCAAAGCATATTATATGGATATACAGTACCTTGAGCTCTTAAGAAAAGCCACCAAAGGGGAAAAAGGTGTTTTCAATTCTCATTTTCTGATTCTTTTCTTTGGCTGTTTATTGTCCTTTCCCGAGCTTCCGGTATCTCTACCCCGTTTTCCCGAGGCAGATGCGGTTGCAGTTGCTCCTGCCTCTGCTGTTTTCTTCTGCGGTCTCCCAGGGGCTCTTTTCACCGGAGTATTCTCTACCTCGGCCTTCTTTTTACCCACACTGCTACTTCTAAGTTCTCTTGGTTTTGTTTTACTATCTTTCTTACCATTTCCACCGCTCTTATTCTGATCTTTAGCTTCTTTTTGCGGAGAGTTCTTCTTTAATCTCTTCAAGAAATCAGCCATACTCTTCTTCTTATCTGATGAAACCGTTTTCTTCTCTGTTTTACCTGTATCTTGTTTACTACTATTGTCATTTGACAAATTTGTTTTCGACTCTGTCTGTTTCTGTTTGTTCTTGCCTTTGCCCGTCTTGGTATTATTGGCGACAACCGCAGCACCAGCAACCACCTTGTTGGCCCTTCTCGAGCTTCTTACACCAGTCACAGTGTTGTCTTTCTCCTCTGATAATGTCTCTTCTTTCGTCTCCTCTTTTTGGCTAAAGCTTGATGACGAAGGAGAAGCCTTAGCGGAAACAGAACTCCTCTTCTTACAAACGACAAGAGGAGCCGAAGATTTCTGTCTAGAGAGAGACGAGTCTGATGTATCAGCATCCGCTTTGCCACTACGTATACCCGATGCTTCCCCGTTTATTAACCTGGGACCAGATTTTCCGGTCTCTTTCCTGATTTCTTGAGAAACAACAGCTCTTAGTTCGTGAGCTGCCATTGATTCTGAGGAAGATAAAGGAAAAAACACAATGGCGTTTGTGAAGAGAAGCTGTAGATCTCTGTAAAAAGTGAGGCTTGAAGAATCATAAGATCCTTGCTTCAACTTTCTCTGTATCGTCTCAATGTCCAAATGTTGCTTAATCATGCTCTTGTAATCCTTAGCCTCCTGCGTGTTAATGGACTTATAAACGTAAGTGACAAATATAGGTCCATTAGGACCAACAAAAAGCCCAAAATAGAAAAAGTTTAGCGGAAAGACACGATAAAGCCATGCTACACCAAGACTCTGCCACGTGGACTAGATTGAGTGACCAAAACGACAACCGGTGACCACGAAAAAAGTGGGTTCGTTAAATTAATTCTTTTTTCCCTCTTCACCTTCTCTCTCCATATTTAAACATTCCCATAAATTCTCGAATAAAATTCGAAAATGGACGTAAAAATAGATTTCAAAAATGAACAGATTCCATATATAATATAGAGTATTTATTCAAAATATATAAGATTTCTAGAATACAGATTACAAGAACTTTGTAAGAAGATTTCTCTTTTATGTTTCCTAATACTTATTTTTTGAATTCACTTAGAAGGAATATTATTAAATTATAATATCCGTATTTAGGTATGAACAATTAAGTTCGATTTTATTTTCACTAACGATGTATAATAAAGAAACGTAAAAGAGAAAAGAAACACATAATAATAAATTGATTTAAGATTTAAGATTGGATATTAAATATAAAAATAGAAGGAAAAAAAGATATTAGCATACCTGGCTCCGAAGCCGGCGTTCGAACAAAGATCCACGCGGATGGGACCGAATCAGATCAAGAAGACCAATCAACGGCTGTGATTTACTCTCAGCCGATCTGATGTCGCCGGAACCACCCTGTTTCCTACGTTTCCGTTTCCATTTCGTTTCCGACGTCCCTGACTCGCCTAACTCGTCTGAGTGACTCGCTTCCGATCCTCTACTAACCGATCCTTCCTCCTCCTCCACCGCCACCGCCGCATCCTTATAAACCGGATCAGGATCCGGATTATTATTATCACCCGAGTCATCTTCTCGAGTCTGACTCGGTTCATCTCCGCCAACTCTCTCGTCTTCTCCGGCGGTTTCTGTCGAGTTCGACTCGTTCATCGACCTGTTTTCCCGATCAGATTCCTCCGCCGCTGAAACCACCGCCTTTCCACGGTGCTCAGATTCAGAACCATCGTTCTCCGATCTCTCTCCTTTCCTCTCATCTTCCAGATCTGGTTTCTCTTCTCCAACTTCTCTCTCCTCCTCTAATTTCTTAACCTTCAATTGAAGCGATCTAAGAACAAAAAAAAAATCAAACAAATTCAAAACCGGAAAAAAATCTCAGATCCGACGGAGAGAGAGAGAAGCAGAGATTCCTTGTTTCCGTACAGTATCGAACAATCATATCGCTCAACTTCACGACGGAGCTCAGCTACACGAAGGTTACGTAGCTGTTCAAGCCAAGGGATATTATTACCGACTCTCTCTTCTTTTTCTTCTTCTTCTTCCACCGTCGCCGTCGCAGCCGCATCGGTTTTTACTTGGTCCTGAAATCGACGCTTGAGATCTCGATACTTGTGCCTACAATCATTAGCGGAAGCGAGGAGGTGGGAGAGAGAGCTCCGGGATCGAACCTCTGTAGCGACGGAATCCCAATCACCAAAGCCGTGTCGTTTAACGGCGCATGCTAATAACAGCTCTTCCCACGTGCCCCATGTTTGTGCTTGGCTCTTCTTACTGTTGTTATCATCTTCATGTTCTTCGATGTAATCATTATCAGTGCAAATATAGTTGTTAGTATCGTCGACGTTCATGTTATAAGATCGTGCTTCTTCTTCTTCTTCCTTCCTCATCCTTTTTCCATACAGACTCGTCTCTCTCTTTCTCTCACACAAACAAAAACGCTCGCAGTTTTAGGGATTTTTATTCTTTTTTTCTCTTATTATATTTTTTTATATATTTAAATTTGTATTGTTGCTTTCTTGTCTAACTCGCTCGCTTAATATTTTCGTTCTTTTTTTCTCTCATCTTATTTAAATACTTGTGTGTTTTGATTACGGTATAATAAAATCCGTATAAATTCAAATCAAATCAATCTATCGAGTTTAGATTTGTTTCCTACAAGTAATGAGATCTATACTAATTCAAAGGGAAATAAATAAATAAGTAATAAAACCGAAAAGTAGATTAAGTAACCCTAGTTTTTAACCGCTGCTTTTTATCCTTTGACCCTTTCCCTTTTTCAACCATTAGGCCAAATCATAAGTTAAATTGTAAATTTAAAATCCATAGCGATAAGCGAGGCCGGCCCGGTTAGGATTCGTTCAACATCTTTCGGGAAGAAGGTTTGAAAATATTTACAAGAATGGCCCTCTTTGGTTTCTTCTACTTTCTAGAAACAGAATGCCTTATTTCCGTCGTGTTGTTGGTGAAAGGTTGGTCGGACTACGTTTACGAATCATGCTAAGGCCTAAGTGTAGTCTTGTTTTCAATTGGGGTCACTGAATTGGATTTGACTAAGATTTGAGATTGGAATGTCTCTAAGAACCATGGGCCGTAACATATAGAACTACTGGACCCGATTCGGGCCCAATAAGTATTCATACAATCGATCCAAGTGCAAACAATTCCGACAAATATGTAATTTACTCAAAATGTAGATACATACAATAACCGTTGCGTTTAGCCAGATTTCTGGATAATGGTCATGATGGTTAGGGTGGTGAAAAAGTCAGCATTTTTTCCAGTGTCCATCGACAGTCCTTTCAAACACGCGTGGTTGTCTTTTTGGGAAGGTTTTGCTCCAATCTGGATGTTTGAGTAAATACTCCCAAATCCTGAAACACAAAAAAAAGAAAGAGAATGTAAAATTTCCATGTTGCGTTTGTGGCCTAGATTATGATCCAATGGAAGCTTCCAAAATGACTAACCTTCTTGAATTGTCTACGAAGTCTGGACCTTCAGCAGAAGGTGACGTAGAACAATTTGTGAGGATTTCTTCATCAGAAAGCTGATTAAGTTCCCAAACATATTCAACCAAGCGCATTGTCCTGTGTATTACAAACAAAAACACGATTTACTAAACTGCAATGGAGAGTAGTGGATAGAGTGATTACTTCTAAATCTCGTGAGAAAGACAAATATATAATGGTAGATCATGCGATTATATGTAATGTCGCAGAAGTAGCGTTTTGTTTTTTTTACCAGCGGCATGGTGCAATGATGAATCTATCAGTTTTTGTGTCATATGTGTCGAGTAACTTTCCCTTCCAGCTAGAATCTAAAAATGATGATGAAACTCGAATTCTTCTAACAATCTCATCCGGACATCTAGATGTTCTGTCGAAACTGGCTGGTAAAATTGCACCGGTGGAGGTATTCACCTGGTAAAAAGTTTCCAACAAAACAAGGTAACGATGATTATATATGAAATGTTTTCAAGCAATCATATTGTCTGGCTAAAGACCTCCTAGTTCTTTCTTATCCATGAGGAGGAAAGACGAATATTTCAAAATAAAAACCAATTACAGAAGATTAACCTTTACACGTCTCCTACTACATCTTCTAATTAACATCCTAAAACAAAAAAAAAGGGTAAATGGTGAGAAAGTAGGCTAACCAGGCATCCATTAAAAATGGGGCAAGTGTTCGCTTGTGCATCCAACTTGGTATTGTGCCCAAGAATAAAGAGGGTTTGAATGTGAAAGTATTCTCTTCTCTTCTGCAAAGTTTCTACTAATTTGCAACACAAAGGAAATGAGTAACCCTCTGGTTTGGCATAGTCACCACCATCAGCATTCTGCATATAACGTTCAATACATTCAGCTTAAAACCTCTCTACAGCTTAGTACTAAAGTAGACTGAGAAATATAGAAAATCCTGAGACACACTTTTATGTGGACATCTTCATAACCACCAAACATATGTACCTGCATACAAAGCCGTGGACATATTCAAAAGTACTCAGAATAAAATACTGAATGATTAACATAAGCTCAAAGACACTTGGTAATCTAAAGGAGAGTGATAATACATCTAACTCGGCATCTACGTCGTCCTCCAAAACCAATGACAACATCTGGCTTATCCCCAAATCCACAATCTCTGGTGAATCCATATGCGCAACAGACGTCCTGCAATTTCAGATGATCATAAATTTTTTGCATCTCATCCTCTTAATAAGCATATAAAGGATCAATTCTTACATTCCAGATTTTCTGTTGCGGATAACAAGGCCTACGCAAGTTGTTGCTTCATCGGTGCCAACAAACTAATTCTCATTCAATAAAACAAATGGGCAAAATCATTAGAGAACCAACAATACTAGAGTGGATACTTTTAAGATGGGACTTGTGAGTCAACAACAACATACATCAACAAGAGCTGGATTCACAACAGCAAATTCTCTTTGGAATATGTAAACATATCTGTCTTTTGTTGAGCTCTCTGAATCACTTTCATCAAAAGAAACATTCTTTTCCTCAAGATTCTTAAAAGAATCAGAAGCTAACGTTATCACAGGATGACTCATTACATCAAGAAGCAAGCTACTTCCCTGTTCACCAAATGATGTATATGTTAGCCATTTTGTGATTAGAGTTTTGGCTTACTTCAAATTCAAACAGATTGTGAAACAGAACAATGATTACTTTTGGTTACTTATTAGCAAATCCTAGTTAAACAATTAAATGGAGATTTGTGAGAGGCGAAGAAATAAAATCTACCTGAGATGAAGAAGACAAGGAAGATGAGCTATTCTCATCTCGAACTGGCACTCCACCAACGTAGATCATTATCGCCGGCGAGAGAGTTCAACGGCGGCGATGACAAATGAGAAGCAATCGCCGATGACTTTTAACGAGAACAGCCTTGAAATTTCTACTAAATTAACAAGTCGCGTATATATACCCTAAGTAAATAATTACTTTCCGTTTTCAGTTTGTGGGACAAAACAGCGTGACGTTTTTGGTTTTTCCATAAGACAAGAACTTGCTAAATTGCGAATCTACCCTTGATGTTTTTTACCTTCTAATAATCTACCCCATAACATTGGCTAAATATTCGAAATCTGAATCTTGAATTTTTGAACTTAAAATCAAACACTTCAAGATATTAAGTTAAATTATTTTCCCAAAAAAACAAAACTACGATATCAAAGTTTCAGAGGCTAGCAGAAATTACAAGTACACATAGAATGTACATATACATTCAGCCATATTCAGACGAGAGCAGAGTTATATGAGGTTTTAGTAATGATGGAGCAATAGTCAAGATTCCGGCGAGGTTTTTCCTTTACCTCAGCCTCCTTCTAGACCTCGTGCGAGGTCCATTGTTTACATCTTCTGTTCTTCTCCTAGAAGATGAAGCGGAAGTACTCGAAGTAACCACTTCAGTAGGATTTACAGTTTGGCTTCTCGTTGTAATGGAGGAGCTTGGAACAGCAAACTCTCTAGGTGCTGAGGAAGCTGAAGAACCGAGCCTGAATGAAATCGTTTGAGAAGCATTGTTAGTTCGGTTTCTCTGATAAGAAGCTCGTACAGCTGGTGAAGGTCTTCGACGGTTTCTTCTCAAACTAGTTGTGTCAACAAAACTATCAACATCGAAAGCATCATCATCAAAAGGCGGTATGTCCGAGGTATCAACTACAAGACCTGGGAAAGCAGCATATGGTGTAAACAACCTCAAAGGTCCAAAAGGCGGATGATGATGATGATTTTGTTGTTGTTGCCCACCATTGTCTCCTCCATTGTTTATGATGTTTGTCAAACCAAACTCCTCGCCTTGAGCTAATGCTTGTAGTCCTATGGAATCAATAGTTCTTCTAATATGTTCGATTGTTTCGTGATCGTGCCCAGGGATGAAAGGAATCGCTCGGTTTATGATCTTTTGACGAACACTTTCCACTCGTTTAGCATGAGGCCTTGGAGGTAGACTGATACCACAATCTTCTAACTTGGGTTTAGTACCATCACAATCATCTCCATTACCATATATCGGAATCACCTTGGCATCTGTCACTTCTCCATCACAAACCGGACATTCCTTTATGTTTAAGTAAATCAGAGGCAACTGATAGAAACAACCCCAACAGAACAAATGACCACAGCAAGTCAAAATAAGATCTTCAGCTTTCTCTAAACATATGTTGCAGTCAAAGAAATATAAAGATTCCAATGTGTTGATATATATACACACGAGAGAGATTAGGTTTAAATACCGTTAGCTAGGAGTTCATCGATGAGGTCGTTGTAGAACTTGATTCCCTCTTTGTTCACTCCTTTGCTTTTCTTCCCATCTAGCTATATATTAAAAAGGTTAAAATTAATTTTACATAATGAGTTTGGTAAAGAAAGCTAATATATATAAGAAAAAGAGTTTGAGATTTATGACTTACGAGGAAGAACCCGAGGCCATGAGATTGAGAATCTGAATGAATCCATATTGATATCTTTCATTCTTTGAATATCTTCCTTGTAATGGTGATAAAACTCCACTGCTTGGTCCGCATAAGAGTAACAATTCCATTCTGCACATATAAATTAAAGTTTTCATTTTTAAAAAATATGTAAAGAAATACAAATATTAAGCAATAAATCGTTTGATAAATACAAACCTGGATGCTTGCGGACAAAAGTATCCCAAACACTTAAGCCTCGAGAGGCATCGTTCATGGCTCCTTCATATTGGTAAGCCGATGAGGCAGTCCACCTTTAGGGAAATCAGATCGGCCAAAAGAACTCTAATTAACTGCGTAAATCTTCTTTCCTCTGATATAAATTTAGAAACCATTATTAATTATTAGATTACTTTTTACGTTCAAACAAAAAAATGCATATTTTTTTCTTTGTCTTATATATCGGAATTTAAGTTATTATTACTTACTGCATCATTTGTTTCTTTTGCAACTTAATTATGATTTTGTAAGAATGAAGCTAGTGATATTTTTTTTTGTTCTTTCTGAAAAGTGGATAAATGAATGTGGGAATTGGGTTGTGATTGAGACTATGGGATATGGTAAGGTTTATATAGGCAAATGAAATCGTGTGAAGGAAGCAGGAAAATTCAAACATTAATTTAGTCAACCTAGTTGCCTGCGTGACTACGTCTGTTGACTCGAATTGTTTTTAATATGCTTCGGATTAATTGGAAAAAAAAGAGTATGCATGGGTTACCTTCGCCTAGCCAAATAGAGTCTCCTATGTTGACTTCAAAATAAGATATAGTGTTGGGGAGATTACGCTGCGGCTAGGGTGAATCTTAGAATTTTGGATAAAACTATATATATATATTTTTTTCACTTCTTCCTTAAACTAGAAACTTTCAAACTTTGATGTTTTTTCTTCTATATTTAGAAATAGGGTAATGTATAGGATCATCGTCTCTTTATGCATGCATTTACGGTGTATACTATTAAATTAGTTCTTCTTCTTTTTTTCTGACGAGCAAAAGAAATAATGTTCTGTCAAGTCTAAGTTTTCCAGCTTTCCACTAACCGCGGGGAAAAGCATATAGGACGACTCGACGATTAATTTACTATAATCAATTCTAGTAATAACTTCAACTTAAAACAACTAAAGAAGACTGGAAAATCACAAGATTCACGACAATTGAGTGGTTAAGGAACCACATGTTTAGTTTCTCCAACTCCAAGTATCATATAAATATATAATCATCGTATAATCTTTGAGATTTCGGATTATGAATATATGAATATACAAAAACATTGAGAAAAGAACATGAAAAATGTTAATGTTAATTGGTGTCAATCAAAAAATCGATTTTTGTAGGTCAATAATTAATTAATTGAATGAATCCCAAACATCTCTGTTACTAGATGTTCTATACGTATCAAACTCTCAACCCACGGACTTAGTGTATTCACTAGACCAGTTCATTCTCGACCGTCCCTGGTACGTGTATCACTTATATATCACTTAATTTTTTTAAAAATGGATAACTCCATAAAAGTAAAAGTGAATCACGTAATTAATTGTCACCAAGTGTTATCGAAATTTTCATGAAAATTGTATTTAGGCTGACTTTGAGGGGTTTATTGGATCATTGATTTGAATGGAATTAGAAATCCAAGTAAAATCATGTGTTATTCAATCATTGATTTTAAAATCTTTATAAAAATCAAGTGTTATTGGTTCTATGATTTATAAATACTAGTTAAAATCACCCCTTATTCAATATTGAAGATTTGAGTATGGATTTGATTTCATATTGGATTTGAATGGATTTGAAAATCTGTTTTAGTTATAAATAGAGAGATTGAAATCCTTGGGTTCCACCTAGTTATTTGGGTGGATTTGAAAAACAAAAAAATATTAGTAGTTTTTATTTTCCATAATGCAAGTATTACGTAGAGCAATGTTTTGAATATCAAAAAGAAAAAAAACTGCTAATACAAAAATCACGAAACATCTTCGTATAATACTTTCAAGCATATCGATAACAAAACAAAACTGCTAATACCAAAGATCATTAAACACCTTCATATAAAAGTATATTTTATCAATATAATAAAAATCAAAAATACTAGAAAACAAAGGGAGGTTTTCGAAACCAAACAAGACCAGAGGAAAAATTCTAGAAAACCAACAATACTAGAAAACAAAAAAAATAATTAATCTAGCATTCCATAATGTTACGCTTAATCCAACCATGACGTTCATTAGTGGACATACTAACAAAGACTTCTTTCATTCCTTATTGGTGAATCACTTTAACCGCTTCGTAACGAACGGTTTTTTTCCAAATTATGGACTTCTTTGATATCTTCCCATATGTGTTGAGAGAACACTCAGTGGAGAGAAACAAGAGCATCAAACATGTGGAGTGATTCAATCTAGCATTCCATAATGTTACGCTTAATCCAACCATGACGTTCATTAGTGGACATACTAACAAAGACTTCTTTCATTCCTTATTGGTGAATCACTTTAACCGCTTCGTAACGAACGGTTTTTTTTCCAAATTATGGACTTCTTTGATATCTTCCCATATGTGTTGAGAGAACACTCAGTGGAGAGAAACAAGAGCATCACACATGTGGAGTGATTCAATTCAGAGTTCATAGACAAGAACATGATAGGTTGTATTTCCTTTGAAATTATACAAAAAAAAAAAAAAAAAAAAAAAAACATGATAGGTTATTTTGTTTCTCATAAAAATTTTCATGTTTTAATTTTATAATCTCTTTTCTATGATTTTCAAATCCATTTTATTTGACTCTAAAATCAACTTTATTTGATTTTCAAATCCACATTGTTTGATTTTAAAATCAGTGGATTATGTGTGAATTTCCAAATGTTATAAGGATTTCTAATTCTATTCAAATCAATGATCCAATAACCCCTCCTTTGAATTTGATTGGATTCACAACTCTATACGTTAGTACTTAGTAGTAGTTCTTTTTAATATTATTAAAGAAACCTTCCACATTTCAAAAGTAGATTAATTAGAATTGATCGTCTTCGGAGACACCGCGAAAACTAGAGTATACGAGTGAGTTTGGTTGGTTTTTAAAACTATTTTTCTTCGTGATTACATAAGCACGCAGGGGGTTAGGTAGATTTAAAATGTGACAACGAAACATTGGAAGAATAACAAATAATATATATATAAAAAAAAAGAGTTAGAGGATCCATCAAAATTGAACTTTTTCTTTATCATATTTTTTATTTTTGGTCAGCTATTTCACTTTTTCCAAGTTTGAATAAGAATTTTCTCATACATCGTATTTGCTTGAAGCCACATACGTTTCGTTTATCACAAGATATTATATTGAGTTTTCGTCGAGACTTTTAAGGGTTTCATATAGATAGGATCTAAAAGCCATGTTTATTCATGATATTTTATGAGTTTCGTTAAATATAAAATTATTAAAACACACACTCTTCTCTTCCTTTTACTCAACTTTATACCTTTTCTTTCATCCTTTTACTCAATTTTTATTAATTTTATATTTAAACACACCCAATATCTCCTCTTCACTCTCTCCAAAAGTATCAAAAATATCAATTTTTAGAAACTCTCACTTCCTTTTACTCAATTTTTCTTAATTTTATATTTAAACACATCTATTATCTCCTCTTTTTACTAAACTTTTATTAATTTTATATTTCAATACACACTCTCTTTCTTCCTTTTATTCAAATTTTAATAATTTTATATTTAAAAAAACCCACAAAACCCACAAAAGTATCACCAATAAACATGCTATACAAAGCGGTACAAATTTTTAGCAACATAAGAAAACGATATATGTATAAATAGATAATAACGATAAGATGTAGTAATACAAGAAAGCGATACAAGAATAATGTTCGTACCGAAGTTGCAACAATGAATCAAGTACGGGGTTTTAGGGATGAACACTCTCTTTACATGAAGCACGAGAATTAGGTTGCGCTCGTGACAAATTATGGTTGGTTTGTTTTATAGCTGCGCCTCGGAAGGCTGCCTACGTACCCTTAAAAAGGGATCAAGCTATTCGTAGTTCGATCTCATAAGCGTTGAGGTAAGTACGGATCTGGATGTATTGTGACGAGTTGGATGAGCCTCTAGACGAGGAGAGCGTCGAGCGAGAACGTCAAGCGTCGAGCGAGAGCGTTGAGCGTCGAGCGAGAGCATCGAGCATAAGAGTCGAGCGTAAGAGTCGAGCGAGAGCGTAAGAGTCGACTAGAGTAGAAATGGTTTTATTGAAGAGGTCACAACTAGAGTAGAAAAAAGACATGGAGTTGTTGACAGGATTAGCCTTGGATCGGAATGGAAGAATTTTGTGGAAGCTGAGAATTTAGAAATAGGTGATACTATCACGTTTGGCAGTGGTGGGGATTATGTTTTGATTCTTTTGGAAGTTGAGAAGAACCAACAAGTTTGGGAGGATCATGATACGCAGGTTGAAGCCAAGTACCAACAAGTTTGGGAGGATCATGATACGCAGGCTGAAGCCAAGAACCAACAAGTTTGGGAGGATCATGTTACGCAGGCTGATCAGGAGAATTTGGGCATTTGGATAGCAAAATCAAGATCTTTGGAGGTTAGTTATATTTGTATCCTTCCCTGATTTAGTGTCTTAGTCTCTGTCTCTAGTCTCTGTATTAATTTCGTATCAGTATCTGTCTTTGTCTCTAACATGAAACATGTTCCTCACAAACTGTCTGTCTTTGAATCAACCATGTTAGTTTGTTAGAAACTTAGATCCTAGGAATCACTTTGTGAGGAACATGTTTCCTGTTAGAGACAAAGACAGTTACTGATACGAAATTAATACAGAGACTAGAGACAGGGACTAAGACACTAAATCAGGGAAGGATACAAATATAACTAACCTCCAAAGATCTTGATTTTGCTATCCAAATGCCCAAATTCTCCTGATCAGCCTGCGTATCATGATCCTCCCAAACTTGTTGGTTCTTGGCTTCAGCCTGCGTATCATGATCCTCCCAAACTTGTTGGTACTTGGCTTCAGCCTGCGTATCATGATCCTCCCAAACTTGTTGGTTCTTCTCAACTTCCAAAAGAATCAAAACATAATCCCCACCACTGCCAAACGTGATAGTATCACCTATTTCTAAATTCTCAGCTTCCACAAAATTCTTCTATTCCGATCCAAGGCTAATCCTGTCAACAACTCCATGTCTTTTTTCTACTTTAGTTGTGACCTCTTCAATAAAACCATTTCTACCTATCAACCGCAGCTTTTTGTTCCCCTTGATCTTGTAAAATTTTGTGAAATCTATTCCGAGTCTGGGATTTTTTATGTACCTCTTGCTTAGTGAAATAGTGGTAGACATTACAGAGCCATGTGCTGGTGCCAGCGCTCCAGCTTCAGCCATAGCAGTTTGGACTTGTGAGCCAGTTCTGCTAACCTCAACAGTCATTTCACAAGGTAATCCCCTAGTTTCCTGACTAGTTACTGTTGCTCCATTAAAATTTTGCTGATCTTCAGCTTCAGCCATGACTACAGAGCTGACATAAAATCAGAGTCCAGAAACACACATTAGTCCCATTAGACATATACGAACAGTTAAAGATTCATTGAAGATTTCACTTCCTCCTAAACATATATGAAGTACAAAAGATAAAACAAAAAAATATCTCCAACAAGATATTGTTATACAGCATGTGTTAGAAAGAAAAATAACGGCTAGAGTTAAAACAATGCATCACTACTAGCATGAGAAAATCTATAGTAGTAACAGCTGCTTCGCCAACAATATGCTAATTCAAAATCTAACATAATAATTGTTTCTTAGGATAACACCAAAGATCAAACATGAGTCAGTCCCTACAAATCTTCACTAAACAAAAGCTAGAGATGTAATTAATTACCAATTCATGTAGACAAAATTTGGCTCTCTTGTTTATCAAAACAATTTTCCTCTAAATGGACTTATAAACCTACGCATTAGATATGAACTCCATATATGTTTTAAAATATACTGTCAATGGATCTTCCTTTCGTGAAGCAATCAATGATTTGTTTGGTCGGGAGATCAAAAACTTCGATTCAATATCAATGACATAAAAAAATAGCAATCTCCAGCCTAAATCGATAAAGTTACATCCTTCAAATGATAAAAAAAAAATCAGCCTAAAATCCAGAATCCGCATGGCTTAAAGCACGAGAAAAGTAATCTTCCCTTGAACGAAATTGATAAATAATATTTGTTTAAAACATAACTACAAAAGGAAATTAGAAAATCCAAATAACAAATAGCTAATCAATCTCAGTTGTTCAACCCATTGCAGATAATGCATCCAAAAATTTCTCTGATCACTCATACAAACACCAAGACCAAACACCAAGACCAAGCAAAAATTTCTTCTAAAAGGAGACGATAATTGAATAATATGTCTAGTAGATTCATCATATCTTCCGCTGACATATGAGTTTGATACTAAGCAACAACTAAAATTCTTTAATCAGCTGCATCAAGGAACACAAAAGCTAAGCACCATTTTATAGCTTTGACACTTTGAAATGACAAAAAGCAAGTAAAGGTACAACAAACACAAACCCTAGCTGAGGTAAAAGTAAGCTCTATATTCAGTATCTTGCAACCTGAATACAATCAACAAACCATAGAAAAATAAGCAAACAGAGTTCAAGCTCCTTAATAAGCAACCACGCCCAAGAGAAGTGCCAAAACAAAAGCCAATAATCAAACCCATGAACTATAAGAATCAAATACACGACTAAGAATCCAATAATCAAACCCATTAACTATAAGAATCCAATAATCAAACCCATGAAAAATTATAGCCGCTCAAATACACACAAATAATTCTATGAAAAACCCATGAAAGATTATAGCCTATAAGCATCATAAACTCAATACAAAACCTATGAATCTTACCTTAAACTAACGGCGAAAGATCCGGCGGAGAGAACGGCGAGAGATCCGGCGGAGAGAAACGGTCGGCGAAGTGGACGGCCGGCGAGAGATCCGGCGGAGAGAGAGAGCTGATTTTGTTTGTAAAGAGAACAAAAACAGAGAATCGTCGACGAATGAAAGAGAAGAGGATTAGGTTTTAGGAGTGTAATTTTCTAAATTAAGTAGGGGTATTTAGGTCATTTTCCATTTTAGACTGAATCAACTCCAGTTAACTGCTCCGATCAGACTCAGCCGGATTCCAATCATTTTTCGGATGAGTTTATTAAAAATCATCCAACTGATCCATCTCACTGTTCTGTTAAATTGCTCTAAACGAACATCAATATTCATCTCCATTCAGCTGGATCATCTGAATGGAGAAACGAACAGCACCTAATATTTGAGCCCGGCCCATTATTTGTTTTTTCTTTTCTTTTTTTTCTTTTCCCAATTTGTTTTATATAATTATCTTGGTCAACTCCAACTTTCTTTATTTAAATATCATCAAAAGTTCAAAACACCTAAATATGCCGACCAAAAAAAAAAAATTTAGCTATAATAAAATTGAAATGAAGGTGGAACTGTAAAAAAAAATAGTTTCCCTTTTTTGGACTCTCTTAGGTTTCATTCTTCTAAGATATAGAGCTTTTTTTTGTGGAAAACACGTTACCTTTATCTTACCTAAACCGATATAAGTCAAAAGCGAGTTCTTTTTAAAAAATCTTTTGCTCCAATTGGTGACATGAAGAAAAAAGAATGATTAGGAATTTCTTGTTCCTCTTTCTTCCTCAAATTGTTTTACCATTTACAAGATTTTTTTTTTTCCAATTTTCAAATATGCAGGACCTACATTATTCCTCTTCATTCCTCAAAAAATTAGGAATGATAGAACAAAAATGTTCCTCTTCAAAATTGTAGAGGAATGATTAGGAACAAAAATTAAAATTCGTTTTTTAATTATTAAACAATTTAAAAATAGTTTTAATAATAATATTTACATTTCTATATATAAATACTTCACGAAAGTGGCTGGGAAAATTGAACCAGTGAAGGTAGGTATTCACCTGATAAAAAGGTGTTTCAAAGAAATAATCGCTAATTACCAATTCATATGAAATTTTTTTAAGCAATTCTATTGTCTAGTTGAAGGCCTCCTACATCTTTCTTAATCCCTAAGGAGAAAATACAGTATTTTGACAATGAAAACCAACTACAAAAGTGTAGTACGTACGAAGTTTACATCTTACATAATTAACATCCTAAGAAAACAAAAATGGCATATGGGGCAAATCCCAGACAAAGTAAACTAACCAGGCATCCATTGAAAATGGGGCACGTGTTCGCTTGTGCATCCAACTTGGTATTGTGCCCAAGAATAAAGAGGGTTTGAATGTGAAAGTTTTCTCGTCTCTTCTGGAAAGTTTCTACTAATTTGCAACACAAAGGATATGAGTAACCCTCTGGTTTGGCATAGTCACCACCATCAGCATTCTGCATATAACGGTCAATACATTTAGCTTAAGCCCACTCTAGAGCTTAGTAGTAACTAGACTGAGAAATATAGAAATTCCTAGTACACACTTTTATGTCGACATCTTCATAACCACCAACTATATGTACCTGCATACAAAGTCGTGGACATATTACAAAACCACTCCAAATAAAATACTGAATAATTTCCATTAGCTCAAAGACACTTGGTAATCTAAAGGAGGGAGATAATGTACATCTAACTCAGCATCGTCGTCCTCTAAAGCCAATGATAACATCTGACTTAACCCCAAATCCACAATTTCTGGCGAATCCATGTGTGCAATAGACGTCCTGCAGTTTCAGATGATCATAAATTTAGATTAAAAACGTGATTGCGGCTTATCCTCTCAATAGCATAAATAGGATCAGTCCTTACATTCCAGATTTTCTGTTGCGGATAACAAGCCCTACGCAAGTTGTTGCTTCATCGGTACCAACAAACTAATTCACATCAGTAAACAATTAGAAAAATCATTAGAGAACCAACAACACTAGAGTGGGTAAGAAACTCATTTCTAGCAGACTAACTATAAAGTTAACCCTTTTAAGATGGGACTAATGAGGCAACAACAACATACATCAACAAGCGCTGGATTCACAACAGCAAATTCTCTTTGGAATACGTAAACATATCTGTCTTTTGTTGAGCTCTCAGAATCCCTTTCACCGAAAGAAACATTCAGTTCCTCAAGATTCTTAAAAGAATCAGAAGCTGACATTATCACAGGATGACTCATTACATCAAGAAGCAACCTACTTCCCTGTTCACCAAATGATGTATATGTTAGCCATTTTTTGATAGAGTTTTGGCTACTTCAAATTCAAACAAATTGTGAAATAGAACAATGATTACTTTTGGGTACTTATTAGGAGATAACATAAGAACATCAAACTGACCAAAATCAATTCCAGGCTAAATATTAGGAAATCCTAGTAAAACAAGGATTTAGTATATTTCCATTTATCTAAGACGATCGATATGTTATATTTACATTATCAATTAGGTCTAGATCGTGTGTATAAATACAATGTAACTTGTTTATAGTTCAATAACACAAAGTATTATTCTCGTGATGTTGTGTTCCACGAGAATGAGTTTCCATATCAACCTGTTTTTGTTGGTACGTCTAGTCTTGAACACTCATTACAGACAAATGATGGTTTGTTTGCTGATGATGATTGGAACGTTAGTCCAATTACCAATTTCGCGGATAGGGGGAGTTCTTCTTCTGATAATTTGGTTTCTACAGAGGAAATTCAGCCCACTATTGTCACCACTGGAGAAGTCACCGCACCTATCATTGATCAGACTTCCGATGAAGACACGGATACAGACCCGATAACACAGCCTGGTTCTGTTTTAACAGAGGCTGAAAACAGAGAAAATTTTGTTGCTCCTGCAACTCCAATTCAACCTCAGGAACCATCTTTTGTTCCAGTTATCACTACAGATTTGGGAAGAGGAAAAAGATCACATAATCCGCCTGTGAAATTTAAGGACTATGTTGCACACAATGTTGTTTGCGAAAACGAACCCCATCTCTCTCCAAGCGGCTCCTCTCCCTCGTCCTCTGAAACTGTCCAAGGTAAGACACAATATCCTTTAGATGAATTCCTTTCTGATCTAAAATACTCACCTGCGCATCAAGCATTCCTTGCAGCTGTGATTTCGGGAATGGAACCCAAGTACTATAACGAAGCCGTAAAATATCTTGTTTGGTGCAATGCCATGAAAGATGAAATTACTGCACTTGACGTCAATAAGACTTGGGATATTGTGTCGCTTCCTCCAGGCAAAGTCGCGATCGGATGTAAATGGGTTTACAAAATCAAGTATCTTGCGGATGGTTCTATTGAGAGATATAAAGCAAGACTTGTTGCTTTGGGAAATAAGCAAGTTGAAGGTGAAGATTTTAATGAAACGTTTGCTCCGGTTGTTACAATGGCTACAGTCCGTGGTCTTCTTGGTCTCGTCGCTGGTAAGAAATGGGAAGTGCATCAAATGGATGTTCATAATGCGTTTCTTCATGGTGATCTTCATGAAGAAGTATATATGAAACTTCCTCCGGGTTTTAAACATTCTGAACCAAACAAGGTTTGTCGACTTCGTAAATCTCTTTATGGATTACGTCAAGCATCTCGATGCTGGTTTGAAAAGCTCACCACAGCGCTTATTGAGTTTGGTTTTGAGCAATCTTATTCCGACTATTCTTTGTTCACTTACTCACGTGATGGAATAGAAATTCGGATCCTTATTTATGTTGATGATTTAGTGATTGCAAGCAATTGTTTGTCAATGTTGACTAAGTTCAAGGCCAAGTTGAGTGAACGTTTTCACATGAAAGATATGGGCAAGCTGAAGTATTTTTTGGGCATTGAAGTAGCTCGCTCTGAAGAAGGAATTTTTATTTCCCAAAGAAAATATGCTTTGGATATAATCAAAGAGACAGGACTTCTTGGCTGCAAGCCTGCACTTACTCCCATTGAACGAAACCACAACTTAGCATCCGATGATGGCCTCTTGTATGATGATCCAACTCAATATCGACGTTTGGTAGGTCGCTTGGTTTATTTGTCTAACACACGTCCTGATTTGTGTTACGCAATTCATCTTTTGTCACAGTTTATGAAAGCTCCTCATGTTGCTCATTGGGAGGCTGCCTTACGTGTTGTTCGATTTCTAAAAGGGTCACCGGGTCAAGGAATACTTATGCAAGCAGATAATGATTTACAATTGTCTGTATATTGTGATGCTGATTGGCAATCGTGTTATGTAGTACTTCTTGGTGGTTCTCCGATATCTTGGAAGACCAAGAAACAAGACACAGTCTCACACTCTTCCGCTGAATCAGAGTATCGATCTATGGCCGCAGCTCTACGAGAAATTAAATGGATGGTTCAGTTATTTGACGAGCTCGGTTCACCATTTTCTCGGCCGATTCGTTTATATTGTGATAGTAAAGCTGCCATACACATTTCTTCTAATCCGGTATTTCACGAACGCACTAAACACATTGAGTCGGATTGTCATAGTGTTCGAGATGCTGTTCGTGATGGCCTTATTACTACAGTTCATATTGGTACGAAGGAACAGCCTGCTGACATTCTCACTAAAGCTCTTCCTCGACCACAGTTTGAATATCTTGTGTCCAAGTTGGGAGTTTTGGATGTACACACTCCAACTTGAGGGGGAGTATTAGGAAATCCTAGTAAAACAAGGATTTAGTATATTTCCATTTATCTAAGACGATCGATATGTTATATTTACATTATCAATTAGGTCTAGATCGTGTGTATAAATACAATTTAACTTGTTCATAGTTCAATAACACAAAGTATTATTCAAACAACTCTAGTTTAACACTAAACGATCTAGAACACATTACAAACATACAAGCAAAATCCTAGTTAAACCATTAAATAGAGATTCGTGAGAGACGAAGAAAAAGAAATTTACCTGCGATGAAGAAGAAAAATAAGATGAGCGATTCTCATCTTCAAATGGCACTCCACCAACGTAGATCATTATCGCCGGCGAGAGAACTCAATGGCGGCGATAACAACTGAGAATTAGCAATCGCCGATGACTTTTAACGAGAAAAGCGTGACAAAAATAACTACTTGCCGTTTTTCAGTTTTTGGGGTAAAAAGCGTGATGTCTCAATCGAAGCTACGGGATTTGATGCTAAATTGCGAATTTACCCTTAATGTTTTTTTTTTCCTGCTGAAGTGCTAATAATCTACCCCATAAATTTAATCTGAATCTTGAATTTTTGAACTTGAAATCAAACACTTCAAGAAATTAAGTTAAATAAATTATTTTCCCAAAAAGACAAAGCTATTTTTTTTGTCATAAGGAGATTTCATTAGAAATTAATCAAGAGTTCTCCAAAGAAGGAGGATACAAAAGGCTACTAGGAGCCAAACAAGCAAATTCTGTGACCCACAACATGGTCAAGCAAATGAGAAAACTAAAACTACAACCATAGTTCAAACAGAAACAGAGAGATAAATGGGAGTTCGCAAACTCAACCGAAGAAGCGTACACACATCGGCAACCGGGGAGGGAAGCACCGGAGGATAAGTCCGAGTTAAACGCATCAAAAACAGAACCTTCCTTTGCTACCAAGGAGGCCTTCAAGTCAATTCCTTCAACTAGAGTTGCGAGGAAGACATAACAGCGACGGACACCGTCGAAAAGGGGAACTTCAGAAGCGTCGGAGAAACACCAACCCATGCCACGGGGAGATGAGAGAGTGAGCCACCTAGCAACACCGGAGAAGATCTTCGTCCCTACATTACACTTAAATCCACCACAAGGGGGAAAAAGTAGAACCACAAACTGCTCCATAAAGGAGTAAACATGACACAGATGGTCAACGCACAACCAAGGCAAGTGAGACACGAGAGCCTTGTAGACTAACCAAGCTTTCATATAGGCAAATGTGACCAAACAAGGAACACACTTCCAACTAATGAGACTTGTGAATCCACTATCTAACCAACCGATCCTAGAAACTGTAGGAAAATAGAACGCAAAACCAGAAACAAACCTGGTAAGAGTGTATGCCGGATAGAGACCGGAAAAGAGCCTGCATATTGCAGTAAGGGGTGGAGTACCACCAGAAGACACCAAAGTAACTGTCAAAGAGAACGTGGGACGCAGATCTGAGATCTGAGAACGAGGCGGATTGGGGAGCTTATCCTCTTGTACCCTTTGACCAATAAAACATTTCTCATATACTCCTCAATGGTAGAAAGACAAAATTACCCTTAATGAGGGTTGATTTCGGATGATAAAGGTTAAATACAATTAAATCGGTAAGTGTTCAACGAAAAACACAATAGCTCAGTGGTTTCGAGCTCCATGCGCACGCGCGCGCCCCCAGGGTTCGAATCCTTTTATACGGGTTGTAACTGGTACAACTAGGGTATATTCGGGTACAACTAGGAGGTGGTACAACTAGGAGGTGGTACAAATAGGTGGTACAACTAAGGTCTGGTACAACTAGGAGGTGGTACAACTAGGAGGTGGTACAACTAGGATACCAGTTGTACCACGTATACCTAGTAAAGGGGTAGTTTCGTCCTTTCATTAAAAGGAGGAGAGGTCAACACAGAGTCAAAGGGTACTAAGAACATAGAAGGGCATTGTTGAATTGTTTTTCTGGTCAAAGGGCCTGAGAGATGATTCTCCGCGGATTGGTGCAAAGGAAGGAAGAGGACTGAAGCAAAGGGCTTCGAAAGAAACCCCACGGAGAGTCAAAGGCCACGAAGAAAAAGAGATACCTTGGCCAACTATCTGGAGGGTCCGGAGGCTCCGGTGGGTTCGGTGGTGAAAGGGGATCCGGCAACCGCAACGGAGGAAGCTTCAGCACCAGAGAAGCACACATAGACGTCGAAAGTGGAGGAGAAGAACGCAAGTTGACTATCAAAGGAGATCCAGTCATTTCACACCAAAGAAGGAGAAAAAGCTCACCGGAAAAAACAACCCGGAAAGGAACCCGGAAAAAGTCCGGTAATTGCTGAGAAGAAACTCGAGAGGGAGGAATCAGGTGAAGGAGACGCCAGAGAAAAACCACCGGTGAGGAAACGCCATTAGAGAGCAAGCTTCAGCGGCGCCTCGAAACTCGGGCCTGGGAGAGAACTAGGGCGAACTGCATAAACTCATTATTACTATCATTTTATTATTGTGAGGCAGGACAACATATTTAGAGAAAGAGGGAATCATAATCGAAATTGTTGACAAAGCTATTATATCCAAAGTTTAAGAGACTAGCAGAGATTACAAGGACACATAGAATGTGCATACATACATCCAGCCATATTCAGAGAAGACAGAGTCATATGAGGTTTTAGTAATGATGGAGATTCAGCAATAATCGAAAATCAGACGAAGTGTCAAGATTCCGGCGACGATTTTACAGTTACCTCAGCCTCCTTCTAGACCTGGTCCGAGGTCCATTGTTTACATCTTCTGTTCTTCTCCTAGACGATGAAGCGGATGTACCCGAAGTAACCACTTCAGTAGGATTTACAGTTTGGCTTCTCGTCGTAATGGAGGAGCTCGGAACAGCAAACTCTCTAGGTGCTGATGAAGCTGAAGAACCGAGCCTGAACGAAATCGTCTGAGAAGCATTGTTAGTTCGGTTTCTCTGATAAGAAGCTCGTACGGCTGGTGAAGGTCTTCGACGGTTTCTTCTCAAACTAGTTGTGTCAACAAAACTATCAACATCGAAAGCATCATCATCAAAAGGCGGTATGTCTGAGGTATCAACTACAAGACCTGGGAAAGCAGCATATGGTGTCATTAACCTCAAAGGTCCAAAAGGCGGATGATGATGATGTTGTTGTTGTTGCCCACCATTGTTTATTATGTTTGTCAAACCAAACTCATCGCCTTGAGCTAATGCTTGTAGTCCTATGGAATCAATAGTTCTTCTAATATGTTCGATTGTTTCGTCGTGCCCAGGGAACGGAATCGCCCGGTTTATGATCTTTTGACGAACACTTTCCACTCTTTTAGCATTAGGCCTTGGAGGTAGACTAATACCACAAGTTTCTAACTTGGGTTTAGTACCATCACAATCATCTCCATTACCATATATCGGGATCACCTCGGTGTCAGTCACTTCCCCATCGCAAACAGGACATTCCTTTATGTTTAAATAAATCAAAGGCAACTGATAGAAGCAACCCCAGCAGAACAAATGACCACAACAAGTCAAAATCGGATCTTCAGCTTTCTCTAAACATATGTTGCAGTCAAAGAACCCACCAGGAACAGAACTTGTTTTCTCCATGTTCAATGCCTTTGCTATCAAATAAGTCTTGTTTTCGCCGTTTTCGACCAATCTCTCACGAGAACGCTCATGTATAACTCCTGCAGTTGAATCTCTATGTTCGTTAAGCGACACCAAAGCCGGTGTTGTAGTTGTAGTTATTTCTCGTTCCCTGATTCTTGAAACTATTGCTTCAAGCTGTCTTATGCGTTCTTGAATCCGCTCTTGAGCAGATTCAAGCTCATTTAACCATGGAGAAAGCTCCGTCATCAAACCACCCGGAGACTCGGAATCAGAAGATGGCTCTTGATTCAAATCAAGATCCATTGTCTCTCCTTGAACACTACTCGTCATCAGAGCTCAAAGAACACCAAACTTGACAATATAGGCACAGATCAATCAAACCCAGAAACGTCTCTCTGCAAATCAATCTCAACGTTTCCGATCCATAGATGATAGATCCCACCACCAATTCTTCCAAAATCAAAAAAGGCTGAGCCTTTTTCAATCGATTGAATTGGAACTTCCCCAAATCCCGAAATCAAGCAACGCATGCATCTGCTATAGAGTCAACAACACAAATCAAAAACAGAATCAACTTTGAACTAATTTCCTATCGAAATTCAAACAAAATGATTTCACGAAACAGATAATTGATCGGACAATCGAAGAAAACAGAGACATATATGAAGTTTGAAGAGAAAGAAGAGACCTTTGGAGAGAGCTAGAGATCAAAAGAAGCAGCGGATGACGTAGATTTCGAGGGCGGTGGTGACCATGATGATCGGTGGCGAGAGAGAGAGAAAGAGAGAGACACCGATAGACGAAGTAGGTTTAAACTAAAAACTTTTAATCTCTGACTTAGGACATGATTGTCTTCCAAATGTTTAAGGTTTGTGGTTGCGTCAGTTAAATGTTTGATTTATGTTGTAAGGAAATAAATTATAAAAAAATAATAATTAGAAAATATATTTTTCTTGGCATGAGCTTGACCAACCATTATATATTTATTTAAATTAAACATGATAATTAACATATCTTGACTATTAAACGCTAACGCAAACACAAATTCATAAAAACAATCAAATCCCGGCCCTTATTATCAGTTTATCACTAGTTTAAAAGTATTATTAATTTGTTTTTACATCGCTAATTTAGTAGTATCATCAATTTTTTTACACCTTTGATGATAAAATTATTAAAAATCACTAATTTAGTATTGTCGTATGTTATTAATTGGACTCGTCAAAAGTATGAAAATGGATGATGAAAATTTATAACATTAAAAAAAAAATTAATAACATCATCAATTTTTATATCTTTAATCTATAAAGATTATTTGGGTCTACAATTTAAGTTTTTTTTTTTTTAACAATCTAATACGATCTTCTTTATTAAAAAAAATATCACCGAATAATAATCAGTAATGTTTACATATAATGTTGTCCTTACGCTTCATTGTTTCTCTTTACCATACTTTCATTGCTTTTAGGCATTATTCCGTCGCATCTCTTTTATCATTTTTTTTGTTTTAAACTAATTGCTGCTGATATTATTATAATAATGTCTCCGACCATATGGATAAACCTAACAGGGAGAAAATTTAAATTATCTGAAGTCTATAAGTCCCATTAAGTAACCACACAACATTGAGTAATTATGGTTTACTAATTACTACAAACGCAATAAATAAAAATCGATCAAAAGCAAAGTGCATATATATACTCAAAAACTTTAGGAGAAGAAATCAAGTCCGGAGAACAAAGTGGAAAGCAAAGAAGGGTCAAATCCAGCAAACACCGACGGGTCAACTGATGAGAAGACCGACGGATCAAACCCGAGAAAACCAGAAGACGAAGATGAACCGGATCCATCAACCGGTCCACCACTGCCCATTCCCAATGGTCCGAGCAATTCATGAAGCTGAGAGACTTGGCTTGGATTTTGTGGCGTATTGGTTACAAGATTATTAATCATCTCATTAATCATCGGTCTAATCATAGGACTCGTAATCGTCGGCAACACCAAAGGATACGGATTATTAATAACCGGACTAGGAACATTAACAAACGGCGTCGTGCCAATAAACTGCGGTTGCATCCGGTTTTGATGAACATGTTGGACCAAATTTGTTGGAGTAGCAAATTTTCTTCTAGCACACAACAAATGAGCATCGAATCCACCACACTCTCTGCAGCTATAGAGCCACGAGTTAGACCCCAGTGGCGGAGCCAGATATTTGGCTTATAGGGGTCATTTATATTTAATTATAATTTTTAATTATATATTTATATTAAATAATATATTTAAAGTATAATAAAAATTATTGTTTAAATTGTATAGAGAACATTTTTTTACCTAAAACAAAAACTAAATATTTTTTAATATAAATTTATGTTGTACTATTTAAAATGCTTCAACTTTCAATAAAAGATACATATAATTCATATTTTTATTTTTATTTTTGTTGTGTAACTATTTTTTACAAAATATATTTTTATCTAATCTATAGTAATTTGGAGAGTAATTAGGTGTTATATTATGTAAGAATTTTGAAAAGAAGGTAAGAAAATAAATAAAACAGGATATTTATGAGGAGAAAAAAAAATCAATATGTAAGAAAAGTTAGTTATTTATAGTCTCTTCTTAAGAAAACACAAAACAAAAATCAAAATAGAACTAATGTTAAATAAAAAATGAAAATGAATGGGGTCAAAGGTTGGAGATGATCATATGGCATAGGGGTCAACATGAAAATTTTATACCAAAACAACTAATATTATTAAGTAAAATACTTTACAATTAAGAATTTTCAAATGTCATGGGGGTCAATTGACCCCCCTCCCTATTCATTGGCTCCGCCTCTGTTAGACCCTAGACCACGGCACACGCAACAGCTGAAGCTAGATGCCGCAGCGGATCCCGGTCCTCCCGATGGCATGGAAAAAGTTAAAGAAAGTTGGTGGTGAGGGTGAGATTGGTGGGTGACTCGAGAAGGCATGTTGGCACAAACCGTGTGAAGATCGATTCCACAATCTCCGCAGTGGTAAGCGAATCCATCACCGTCTTTTCCACACGCGTCGCAGCGGAATAGCCCTTCTTGGTATTTGGGAGAGGGGATTAGAGAGAGGAGATGGTTTTTGTCGAAAGGGTGTCTGATTTTTTGAGGTAACTCGGAACATTTTCGGTGGATATGGAAATTGCAAGGTTTGCATGAGTATGAAGGAAGATTTAGGAGTTTTAGCTTGCAAACCAAGCAAAAAAAAGAAGAAGAAAATTGGTCTGGAGGATTGAGAGATGAGTGGAACAATGGATGTGGATGACTGAAATGTCGAATTGAGTCCTCTGGTTTTGGCCTTCCCATTGTTTTGTTTTTGTTTGCTGCACAAATATCTTCCTACTGGTTTAGGGAGATTTTGTAAGTTTTAAAATGCTTTTTGTAATTTGGTATAAATATATAAATCAATAGCTTGGATTGATTTGTTGAAAGACTTTGTTTTGTGGTAGTCATTTGTTACCGTGTGATGTGGATCCTACGCTTTGAGACGATGACTCCTTAGGCGACGACTTCGAAAGTCAATGGTTATATTGTTTGATCAAGTCGTTACCTACTTGAATTATATATGGGAAGCTCAATTATTGATGAATACTTTTGTTTTGTCACAACTTCCCAACAATCGCCAAAATTGGAGATTTTTGAATCTTATCTCTGGTGATAGTTTCGTGTCCAGAATTATGCAACTCTAATGTCAACCATTTTCTATATATTAAACTACAACTTGGTGAATAATGAAAACCAAGCTGACAATTATTTAGCCGAAAATGGAAATCACAAGTCATCTACATATTTTGCTATTTATAGTTTCTAAACGCTTAAACAACAAATCCCATACACAATGGCTTCAAAAAATCCGGTTAATCGCCCATCCGTGAGGCACCCGAGTCACAACCATCCGTTGCGTGTCTTTAAAGCTCGAGACAAAGATGAGGTCGTCTGCTCTGGCTGCGAGCTCGAGTTAACCGGACAAGCTTTCAAGTGCATGAAGTCAGATTGTGATTACTTCTTGCACAAGTCATGTTTCGACCTACCTCGTGAAACTAATCACAAGTCTCACCCAAACCACTCTTTGACCCTGCTTCATTCCCCACCATATGGTCAGTCTTACACGTGCGACGCATGCGGTGAGTACGGATCCGGATTCACTTACAATTGTTCTGAATGTCAATATGATGTTCATGTCGGATGTGCTTTTATCCCTGAGACCGTGGAGCGCGAAGATCACGAACACCCACTCACTCTTCTCTACAACACACCATGCAAAGGTCGTGAGGACGGTGCTAAGTTCATATGTGATGTTTGTGAAGAAGATATGTCAGAGAATCTTTGGGTTTATTACTGCAAAGAGTGTGATTATGGAACGCATGTACATTCTTGCGCGGTGTATGAAGATCATGAGCCAAAGGAAAGAGGAGGAGGTAGGGAAGAAGGAGAAGCGAGCTCTGCGGTTTCAAGGATGAAGTCGTTGATGAAGGCTCAAGATGAGATGGCGGCGTTGCAGCTCGAGGCACGTATTAGAAACGACACTAATAATGCTATACTCGATTTATGGGATAGTCCAAAGCGGAGATATTATTGGTGATCGAATGACCGAATGATCAATTTGACACAATGATGAAGCTTGTGAGTGTTTTTTCTTTGGAAATTCGTTTTTCCGTGTGATTATTGTAAGTGTTGTTATTTCATGTAACTTTGCCTTCGGTAAAAAAAGAAAGAATAAAATACCTTACCTTTAACTGTAATTATAGATAGAATAAGAAAAACAAGCTAGCTGGTTGATTTTTTTTTTTATATAACAAAAAAAAAAAAAAAACAACAACAAGTTGATTGATTATACATTTTGCTTATTTAACCATTTACATATATGAATAAGAGTGATGATCATGAAAACTATTGAGAGGCGAGAGGAGAATATGGATGGCTGAAAGATTTTTTTTGTGCGATGCAATTTCTAACGTGAGATGTCGATCCAACACTTTACAGTCGACGACTTTTTTTAAAGAAAGAAAGAAAGTTGGTGGTGAGGATGAGATTGGTGGGTGACTCGAGAAGGCATGTTGGCACAAACCGTGTGAAGATCTATTCCGCAATCTCCGCAGTGGTAAGCGAATTCATCACCGTCTTTTCCACAGGCGTCGCAGCGGAATCGTCCTTCTTGGTATTTGGGAGAAGGGATTAAAGAGAGCTGGAGATGGTTTCTGTCGAAAGGGTGTCTGATTTTTTGAGGTAACTCGGAACATTTTCGGTGGATGTGGAAATTACAAGGTTTGCATGAGTATGAAGGAAGATTTAGGAGTTTTAGCTTGCAAACCACGCAACAAAAAGATGAAGAAGAGTGGACTAATGGATGTGGATGACTGAAATGTCGAATTGAGTCTTCTGGTTTTGGCCTTCCCATTGTTTTGTTTTGTTTTTCTTTGCTGCACAAATATCTTCTTACTGGCCTGTTTAGAGAGATTATGCAAGTTTTAAAATGCTATTTGTAAATTGTAATTTGTATGAATATATAAATCACAATGGCTTGGATTGTTGGAAGACTTTGTTTTTGTGGTACTCATTTGTTACCATGTGAATTGTGATGTGGATCCTTTAGGCGACGACTTCGAAAGTCAATGATTATTAGTCGTTACCCACATGAATTATACATGGGAAGCACAATTATTGACGAATTTTATTGTTATGTCAATATTTCCTAACAATCGCCCAATTTGGAGATTTTAAATCATATATCTACTGGTAGTTTCTGTAAAGGTTATGTATATTAAACAACAACTTGGTGAATAATCAAAACCAAACTATGTGTTATTTAGCCGAAAATGGAAATCACGTCATCTACATATTTTGCTATTTATAGTTTTTAAACGCTTGTTAACCAAATTCAGACACAATGGCTTCAAGAAAACCTGTTAATCGCCCATCCGTGAGGCATCCGAGTCATAACCATCCGCTGCGTGTCTTTAAAGCTCGAGAGGAAGATGAAGTCGTCTGCTCTGGATGTGAGCTCGAGCTAACGGGACAAGCTTTCAAGTGTATAAAGTCAGACTGCGATTACTTCTTGCACAAGTCATGTTTCGAGCTACCCCGTGAAACCAGTCACAAGTCTCACCCAGACCACTCTTTGACCCTGCTTCATTCCCCGCCATATGGTGAGTCTTACACGTGTGATGCATGTGGTGAGTACGGATCCGGATTCACTTACAATTGTTCTGAATGTCAATATGATGTTCATGTCGGATGTGCGTTTATTCCGGAGACCTTAGAGCGCGAAGATCACGAACACCCACTCACTCTTCTCTACAATACACCATGCAAAGATCGTGAGGACAGTGCGATGTTCACATGTGATGTATGTGAAGAAGATATGTCGGAGAATCTTTGGGTGTATTACTGCAAAGATTGTGATTATGGGACGCATGTGCATTCTTGCGCGGTTTATGAAGATCATGAGCCAAAGAAAAGCGGAGGAGAAGAAGAAGAAGAAGAAGAAGGATCAAGCTCGGCGGTTTCGAGGATGAAGTCGCTCATGAAGGCTCAAGATGAGTTGGCGGCGGTGCAGCTCGAGTGTCGTATGAAGAGAGACGCTAATAATGCTATACTAGGTTTATATGAGGAGCCAAAGCGGAGATATTATTGGTGATTGAATGAACGAATGATCAATTTAGTGAAAAAGCTTGTGATTGTTTTTCACTTTTTTTTTTTTTTTTTCGTGTGAGTTATTTGTAAGTGTTGTTATTTAATGTAATTTTCTCTTTTAATTGCTATATATTGGCCTATTTTACCATTTACATATAACATATGTAAGGAACAGTGATGATCAACAATATGGATGGCTGAAAAACTTTGTTATGTGCTATGCAATTTCTAACGTGAGATGTCGATCCAACACTTTTCACTCGACGACTTTTTTGCAATGCTATGGAAAAGTCAACGATTATATTGTATGCCAAATTCTCTACTTGGATTACATGGAGATTCATTTGTTGACTTCGTATTTTTTTTATTGCTGGAAACTTTAAGAATATTATTTTTTAAATCAGAAAATCTTTGGTCTATACATTACCCTTGTAAGATGTGCCTGGGAGAGAAAATTCTGATCTTACTTTTTTTTTAAGTCTCCGATTGTGATTGTTACTTTCTTTTGGGAAGTTCTTTCCTCTTTTGGATTATTGTAAGTTCTTTATCATGTAAATTTTATCTTTAATTGTTATGCAAAATAAAAGAAAAACGAGCTGATTGGTTATACATTGGCTTAATTAACCATTTCGATAACCTGAAAATTATTGAGAGATGCGATTGACCAATGCTATCAAAAAGTCAATTACGATTATATTAACATTATGTGAGAAACAGAGAATATGCTTTTTACTTGTTTACAAAAAGGGACATTACTTTTTTATATCCGCTGTATATTAACCGATATCATTTGATATATATATATACAAAGGTTAGATCAACATAGTCACTGATAAATGATTTTTACTGGAGTTCCATCATTCGTCATCAAGATAGATGATTTCATCGACATCGATAATTTTATCAACATCGAAGATTTCTGCTGAAGATGAAGCTTCTGTTGTTTCATCGATGATTTCGGCTGTTTCTGCTGTTGCTCCACCACATGCCCTGAAAGAATGCTTCTCACCTGAGAACACGCATAGAACACAAGGCAAGAGACATTAATTTAATGTCTAGGCGTACTTATCCTAATTCAGCAAAGAGAGTCAGGTGAGTCAAAGAGTATACCATGTTGGATCAACTCAATGTCTGTCCCAGGAGATTCAGCAGTTGAAGTAGGATAGGCAATAACATTGGCCTCTTCATGTCCTGGGCGCACTCTGCAGAACACGCGCACTACTAGAAAACATGGCATATTCCAACAAATGTTTCTAACAATCGGATTTTGTTGGAAATTTCCAATGAATATCCCATAAAATTACGTTTAGTATTACATTTGTTAGAAATCTATTGTAAATTTCCAACAAATTTAAGTTGTGGCAAGTATATCACATAATTTATAGGAAAATTGTCAAATACTAGATTGTTGGAAATTCAGTGCAAATTTGCAACAAATTATAATTGTGACAATTACATCGCATATTTTGTAGGAAAATCGTTGAAAATATCCAACAAATATTATATCGGTGGAAATTCATTACAAATTTCCAACAAATATTAGTTGTGGTAATTACGTTGTATAATTTGAATGAATATTATTGGAATTTTCCAACAAATATTATATATTGTTGGATAGAAGCAATAACTTTTAAGTTGTTGGAAATTACTAACAAAATATTTGTTGGAAAATATTTCTGATGATTTTGTGACAAATAATAATATTATCTTATCTTAATTTGAATTAGTTAAATCATTTGCTATTAAATAAAACTAATTTTCATCAATAAAATTTGTAATAATTAACACTAATTGGCTAAAATATTAATTAGCCAAACCAATATAAGTTGAGAACATAATATTAGACATGCACTGATGCACGTAGACATCTCCCACCTCCCACATCCCACATCGAAAGAAAGGGATAAAGAAGCAATATATATTTGCTATATATATTAGTATTATGTCTTCATATTTTGTAAAATCATTTGTTATCCAGTTATAACAACAGTAATATTTGAGAAAATTCAGAAGTATCCAATAAGGATATTTCAGATTTTAATAAATCTTAAATTACCAAATATAAATATTTTTATATTTGTTTAATTAATAAATTTAATCAAAACTAAAATTTATATAATAATTTATATATAATATTTATATAAATCAAATATTTATTACAAAAAAAAATACATTGTTTTAGTTATATAATAAATTTTCGACGTTTTAAAAATTTAACACTTAAACCAATTTTTAAAAAGTAATAGTGAAATTTACATTGTTTTAGTTAAAAATTATTAATTATTTTCTTAAAATATAAGTGTTAAATTTTTTAAAAATTATTAGTGAAAATCATTATTATTTATTAAAAATAAGTTTTAAAAGAGAAAGAGAAAAACATTTTTGTAGTTAAAATAAAAAATGGTTTAATTAAAAAGAAAATAAGAAAGGAAGAAACTAACCTGGATCTCGTGTATCTGACAGACTTGCTGATGGAAAAGCCCAATAATTAGTTTCCGAAGCCCATGTCTTCTTCTTTTACTTGGGCCGAGACTGTAGTTTGTTGAGGAAGAGATCGATCATCGATGGACGACGAAACTCAAAATTCTTCTTTACCCGGGACTCGTAGTGGTCTGAGCCATCGAAATCCCAAACCTTTCACTGACCCGAAATCTCTTTGTTGTCTTCGCCGTTCTGAAATCGTTCTCAAACTGTGTCACGAACAGAGATGCTTTCCTTTGATCAATCTCACGGATAGGCTTCACTAGGTAAGGGCAAAACCGCAAAAGAGTGGCTTCAATGTCTACAACATGGATCATCGGCTTCACGGTCTCGACATCGGCGATATTCTCGTTAGGCATTCGTAGAGCTTTCTCGAGAAGAAGAAACATGTATTAGAAAGAAAAAAGAAGAGATTTTTGTTTAATCTATCGAAGCACGAGAATTGGAGAAATTTGATTACTCAAGAAGCGACGAAGAGATGAGTATTTATAAGGAAAGGTTTTTATTGTTTCCTTTTTTTCTTGGGATTTGGTTATTTCCTTTTTTTCTTGGGATTTGGTTATTTCCTTTTCTCTATATTTGCGCTGCAAAAAAATGGATATTGATCACAACGGTAAGAAAATGTTACTTTACCGTTACAACAGCCATATTTTTCTTACTGCGTAACAATTTATCAAGGTAAAATTATTTATTTGAGTGATTAAACCATCCATTATACAAAGAATCAAAGATCTTTGTAGTTGCTCATCTTGGTTAGTTTGTAAAAGACAATTACAAAGTCGTGAGATACAGAAATGTTATAAAAAAAACTTTCACTCATAAAAGAACAGAACAGAGCATTCTTTAACCATCCATGTTGTTGTTGATGTCTTCGCTAACAACCAAAGTATCTAGAAATAAGTAGAAGATGCGTCGAGGAAAGCCTTAATGTCTGGTAGACGAGAAAGCTTAAGGAATGATAAGTAGCATCAAGACTACAAAGAAGGCTGAATCTGTGGCTAATACAAGATAAGATCGCTCACTACAAGAGTAAGTCTAGCCACATATGCTATCTTCGTAGATACAAGAGTCTTTGACAGAAGTGTATAGATAGTTGAAAAATTTTCTTTGTCAGAAGAGCATCACCTAGTTGTACCAATATAAGAACCATTATAGTTACCACAGAACAGCATATTGCAATGTTGTTGAACAACTAAAACCCTTAAAAGTCACTCTACTGAGTACTGACCAATGCAGCCATGCCTAAAATATGGAGCAGAACTGATGTAACCACCAGGTAAAGTCAACTAGTCAAGAAAGATACAAGGATAATCACAGTTGTTACTAGTGTTGCAGTCATTATCCTTGTATCTTTCTGGATTTTGGTATCTGGTGCACCAGCAGATACCAAAGCCATCCAAGTCAATCTCTTTATAGCTAGAAGTTATAGAAGACTTTATATACATTTTCCACATAATAAAATCGTAATTTCTAGTTTGTTTCTTATCCCAAGTTATAGTCTCCTATATTCAGATTACTTGAAGACAATAATGTGCATTAGCTAGAGATCCAGCGTAGTTAATTGACCTCACATCCTTCACTATGTCAACTTTATTGTATACATTTCCAACTTGCAAGTTTATAATATTTAATTACAATTAACTATTTAATCAATTATAAAGGATAGTACAATAAAACTAGATGGCATGGATGGGATCAAGAAGAAGAATTCCACCACTTGACTTTGAATTCAAAATGAGAATCAATCTTGTATATATCGTACACATCTAAGCGCGTACTGCATTCTTGTCCCAATATAGTTAATAAATAAGCTACACAACTTGGTAAATAGTCAAACCAAAATACATCACTACTCAACCCTAAAGAAGACTCATAATCACAAGTCGTCTTACTATTTTCACTATAAATACTTTGAAATCCCTTAGCTTAATAAGAATCAAAACAAGAACAAAAACCTCAAACACACTTAAAAAAGAAGAAGAAGATATTAGCAATCATGGCTTCAAGAAAACCGTCGGTGAGGCATCCGAGCCACAGCCATCCATTGCGCAGTCACAAGGCCCAAGTTGAAGAAGAGATCATCTGCTCTGGCTGCGACCTAGACCTGTTAGGCGCAGCTTTCAAATGCACAAAGTCAGAATGTGATTACTTCTTGCACAAGTCATGTTTCGAGCTTCCTCGTGAGACTCGCCACAAGGCTCACCCGGATCACCCTTTGACCCTGCTTTATTCCCCACCATACGAGTCAACTTACACGTGCGATGCATGCGGTGAGTATGGATCCGGATTCACTTACAACTGCTCTATCTGCCAGTACGATGTTCATGTCGGATGTGTGTCCATGCCCGAGTCCGTGGAGCGTGAAGGACACGCACATCCGCTCACATTGCTCTACCGTTCCCCTTACCAGAACGGTTTGATCTTTAACTGTGATGTTTGTCAAGAGACTGTACCGGATAACCTCTGGTCGTATTATTGCAAGGAATGTGATTATGGCACGCATTTACATTCTTGCGCGGTAGAGGAAGAAGAAGAAGAGCCAAAAAGAGGAGGAGGAGGAAGCGGAAGAGGAAGCACAAGCAGTGGTGGTAATAAGGGAGGGAGAGGGTCAGCGGCTTCGGAGTTGGCTGCAATGTTGGAAGCTCAAAGGGAGATGGAGAAGATGCAGATTGAGTTACATATGGAGATGCAAAGAGCTAAGATTGCTAAGAAAGCGAGAAAGGCTTGTCTCAAGTTGATCTAAAAACGTTTTATCAAAAAAAAAAAAAAAAAAAAGAAATCGTTTCTCTGGAGCTATCTGGGATTCTTGATGCTTTGGAAACTCGTTTATTGTTTCTTGTGATTGGACGTTCTTTGTTTTTCATTGAATTTGCAAGCTTCCATGTTTGTTTTTTTCTCTTGAATAAAAAGCCTTTTGAGTTTTGTTCTTATCATTATATTCATCACCGTCTCAAATTTTAATTGTAAAAACAAATTATCATAGGTCGTTGTGGTCTTGTGGATATAATCATACATTCATATTCGTGTGAAGTGTACATACATGGTAAAACGATGATAAGCATTGACCTTCACAAAGGAATAAAAAATGGTTTTGTCTCTTTAGTTTAAATAATCAAATTTTATTTAATTGTTTTGGTACGAAAGGCCAAAAGTCAAAGTCCACGTCAGAGATACAAAACAATTAAGAGAAATTAAAAAACAAGACAACCATTATAGCGTGAGATTCACGCGCGCCGGTTCCTTGATCCGTCGTCCTTTTTATCTGATTACCCAAACTAGTATCAGATTTAAAACCCACGATTACACGAATCATCATCATCATCAAAAGCAGTAATTAAAATTGATTTTTTCGATTATAAAATAAAAAAGAGAGAGCAGAGAGCTCACAGAGAGATATGGCGGATGGTAAACCCGACGAGCAGCTCTTTCAGCTTCTATCGGGTCTTCTTCAACAGGTTTTTTATTTTGTTTTTAATTCGCTCTCGATTTCGTTATGATCTGTGAAATTCGTTTCTTCTTTATTTTGATTTTGGTTCAATTACGAGTTTCTGTTCTGTTCGTCGAATTTCCCAATTTCTGTCTAATTCGTCAAAAAAAGGAAGAGCTTTTGATTCTTTTTTATATTATTGTTGTTGGACAGTAATTGTTACTACATTGAACTTACTTTGAATCATTTACCAATGTTTTGGTGCCTCCTGATGATTTTTCTCAGGTGGAATCATTGACAAATACAGAAGAGGTTGAGCTACGTTCTAAGATTGAAGCTCTTGGTTTAGAAGTCACCAAAGTGCCTTCAAAATCTGCTCAACACCTCAATGAGGTATGTGTCCTGTGTTCATTCATAATCTGATACAAACTGTAATGTAAATCTGGGGTTTTGTGTGTGTTTGTGTTTTCCAGGTGGAGATTGCTAAGGAATTAGACAAGTTATCAGCAAAGTTAGATGATGTAGATGAGATGATTTCATCTGCTATAGCTTCTGATCCACAGGTTCAGACGCTTCTTAGCGGCACAGCCGATGTTTGGATGCCGGTTATCACTGCCGGCGCCGAGGAGAGACTTAACTTCACAGCCTCTCTTGCTGACGATGATGAGCTTTCTAAGAAGGATACTACCAACAAGACCAGCTCTTAATCCCATTTTCTTTTGATAAACTCATGTCACTGTGTTTTTCTTTTGCTGTCTTGTTTCTTTTATGTATATCAACCCAAAAAAGTTTTAAATTCATGAGTGATATTGATGTTGGATGTTTATGCAAATTGAATACAACTGTTTATTTATTATCACGAGTTTCCCGGAATGCAAATTTGCACCAAGCATGTGTTTCTCAAGAACAATTTCTACATGAACAAATGTTTCTTCTGTCAAATAGAAGGTAAAAAAAAGGCTATTCAGTGTGGAAGAGAATGGCTTTTGTTTAAACACGAGAAAGCGAGCCAGACTCGTGACTCTGGTGGTGGCTTAAGCAGATGAAGCTTTCTTACAATGGGCATCAAGCCAGTCCATTGTAACACTCTTTGGCCTCTCAAGTGCAAGTCCAAGAGCTCGGTCCCATATTAGCTGTGAATTAAACACAAATGAGAAGTTGAGTATATAAGTTCTTTTTTAAATGGACTGGCGTACTGTGTACTGTGTAAATAACTAAATATATGTTACCTGAGAGCAGATGCCAAGACTCCTTGAAACACCAAAGAGCACGGTGTAGTACCTATAAAACGCACAAATATTATATATATGAGTGTAATCCTAAGCCTCAATGATACTTGAATGAGGTGTCTACTTCTTACCTTGCTTCGGTTAGACCATAGTGGTTCAGCAAGACCCCACTGTGAGCATCAACATTTGGCCACGGGTTCTTCACCTGTTGTAACAAGCCATCATCGGATTCGCAAGTAAATGTAAAATTGATTCGCAGGAGGCTCATAAGCATTGTATTTAGGTAGGTGCTGTAGAGTTGTTGGGGGAATATTGAAGGTTTTATTTTCTCAGAGATGTCATACTTTTTATGCAATTCCTTACATGAAACGATCACCATGGTAAACGAGACAAAGGTTAAGAGATACTACCTTTCCAAGCTGAGTGAGAACAGGAGGCACGACTTCATAAAGCTTTGACACCTACAGAGTTGGAAGGATTTGTTAGCTACTGGACGTTGATAGAATTTTGAGAGCCGAACAGAAAAGAGAAAAGAGAAAGAAAAAACGTACCAGCTGGAAAAGAGGGTCATCAGGTAGATGCTTCAAGGCAAATTCTCTTTGGCATACATATCTTGGATCAGTATTGCGCAGAACACCGTGTCCATATCCCGGAACAACCTAGAGACAAAACAAGACTCGTCAATAGATCAATCAGTAGACTATCCTTGTAACATTACATCCACAAGGTAAACTAGGAGAGGGAAAAACAGGATCCAAAGCTCTAATGGCGGTATTAGTTACTAGGAGCTATTAGACTGACTGACCAAACTTTGAAATATTAGCCTATTATGACTAGCAGACAAGATATTAATTCATTTTCGCATGCTCAATCAGGGTGAAACTTTCATCAGTCTTGTTGGCTGGCTTCAAAAGTGGGATACAGCCTACAGGTACAAGACCAGAAAGTGAAGAATGTCAAGGCAGAGGAATTTCGTGTTTTTACCTTGCCACTGTTTAATGTCTTCCAAACATATTCTTTCAACTGTTCTTTCGATATGTCTTCTCCACATTCCTCGACAACTTGTTTGATCCAAAGCAAAACTTCCTGTTGAAACACGACAGTAAAAAAAAGACTAATAATTTGTTCCCTCCAACTTACGGTTGTACCATCGAAGTCAAACTATCACAACCTACCTAGATAATATACAAGAGAGATAACTTATGAAGCTCTATTGTAGATTGAAGAGTTAAGACTTATTCAAGATATAGACAAGGGAGAATACCTGATTAGCCAAACCATGGAGTGGCCCAGCTAAACCATTTAATGCAGCTGCGAATGACAGATATGGATCTGAAAGTGCACTACCGACCTACATGCACAAGTATTTTAGCAAAAGAACCATTAGAAACTTCTGGTAGGTCAATCCTTCAAAGTTGACACAGGGAGAGACTGTAAGCATACATACCAGGTGACCAGTGTGAGCACTAACATTTCCACCTTCATGATCACTATAACAAAAAAAGTAGAAAAGCAAAATGTTATACTAAGGCCTATTTTAAAGTCTTAAAAGAACAAACAAAATTACAAGATAGTTAAGCTTGTTTTAGAAGACTTGCATGGCTGAAAAAAATTAATACAGACCTGTGGATAGTGATGTAAAGCCTCATGAGCTCTTTCATCTTTTCATCATCAAATCCCAACATGTGGGAAAAATTTGCACCATAATCCAAAGATTTATCTGAGGGAATGGAATCACCATTCTTATACATTCTGCAATGATTGATTGGAAAAGGTCAATAGTCAATATAAAGCAAAAACAAGGGATGACAAATTTTCCAATAAAGGGCATCCGTGCCGAAAATCCAGAAGCTACAAGAAACATGAAAAAAGTACAAAAATATCTAGTCTTCACCAACCTTCGATAAACATATGCAGCTACAACAGGAACACGAGCAATCAGGTTGAGGCAATCCTCATATGTTGGCTCCCAGAACCTGGATAAAAAGATCTTTGTTATGATGCCAGCTACTAACAAACGCTATCATGAACTAAACCAGAACTCCAAAAGCATACTTTGACTTATGAATTCCATTCTCATATGCCTTTTGGAACTCACTTTGCACCTGGAAATTAGGTAAAGAAAATTATCATTCTGCTGAAAATTGTTTACTTATAGCAAGAAAAAGAAAAAAAAAAAGTTTCCAACCCATATCACAACAAGAACAGAAACAACAATACGAGTTTAGAGAACCACACCTGGAGGGCCATAACACCGCTAGCAAATTGAGTCATTGGATGAGCTGTGGAAGGCAGAGCATCGATGGCATTGTACACATAATCTGCATAAAAATTGGATACAAGTTAAGAATGAATGGAAGTATAACATAAAAACAACAAATGTATTTCATTTCTGTTAAGCAATTTCTTCTAAACATCGATGTCAAATAAGTTTGAATAAGCCACTAAACAGACTCCCTTATTTGCAACCAGCCAGAGCCAAAAAAGTTAATATCCAAACCTGGCACAGCAGCACGGCTTGCCAAGTCTTTCGACAGTGCTTCAACTTGCTCTTTGCTAGGTACCTATACGAAAAGGGGTAAAAAAGGATACCATAAGATAATACACTGAGGAAAACTAATCGACTGGAACCAAAACCAACTTATAATAATGTACAGAAGAGCCACACCTTTCCAGTTAAGAGAAGCCACAAAAGACCCTCGGGTAATGGTTCTGCTCCAGACTGGGCAGTAGGTAATACTTTCTGGCACTCAGGAATTGACAAGCCCCTAAAGCGGATACCCTGAAATAATGATAAGATAATTGCATCAACTGCCTTAAAACAGGAAGGAGGAGCATTTGACATATTCTACATCTAGGATCTAACCAAGGGATTGTAACTATATACAAAAGAGTATCAGTACCTCTTCCGGGTCAAGCAATGAGGTTTCCCAAAGCAATCCAGTCATCCCTCTCATCCCACCGATAACCTATATTTCAAAGGGGAATATGATGAGTTATGTAAGGGAAGGTGAAAATCATAAAAAGAAACCAAAAAAGTGAAAATCATCATTGTTTCTACCATATCAACAGTGATGTTTCCCAGTTGGACCTTTCCATGTTCTGACTTCAGTTTCTTCAGACGGTCCTGAAATTGGAAAAATTTTATGAGGAAAAAGGAAACTAGAAAAGCAAAGAGATTCACTACAGCTATCCTGCCTTCTTAACTTAGAAACAATCTCAGCTAACATAACAATAATAAACACATTCAATGAAAAAAAAGTCTAACAACACAAATTTTCATTTAAAGCAAACGGAGTCTAAGCTAACCTGCTGTTCCGGAATTAACTCTTGCAGCTGCGACTTCAGGTCCTGCATTGCCACCATTTAAACAAAATGAACAAAGACCCCACAAGCAGCAGATCCCAAACCAAACTTACATATGAAGGTTAATAAGCATTTGACTAGCTTGAGACATAAATAAAAGCTGAAACTACATGATCATGATCACACACCGACATACGAAACAAAGGAGACAATTTACCAGGTCGGTAGAGCTCTGCATCTGAATCCATCTGACCGAATTGCTGAGCGAAGATTGTTGCCCCTGGTTACATAGATTCGATCACCAATCGATTAGCATGAAACAGCGCGATCAAACGGAAACAAACACAAAACTGGAATCAAAAATTTCAAATACTCACGACGCGAGACCTCAGCCTAGTAAAGGCCGATACGCTGCGGAAAAACACCATTCTCCAAAATTCAAAACCTGTGACAGACGGTAACCAGCAAATTCTCAGAACAAAGTCGATCACCAAATTCTCAAACAAAGTCGATCCGTGGAAAAATAAGCAATCAACACTCACAAAAATCAGAAAAAAAAAAAAAAAAAAGAGGCAAGGTTTATCGTCGAATCAAATAATTCAACGAAACTCAAAGATTCGATCAGCGCAATTCACCGGCGAATTCAGATTCCAGAAGAAGAGAAAAACGTGGACTAGAATCTCCGAAAATTATGGAAGACCAAAATGAAAATGAGAAACGCTATGAAGAATCAAAGAAACTTACCAGAGATTCGGGAGCTTGACGGAGATCGAGAAAAAAAGCGATTGTTGAAAACAAAAACAAAAAGCTGCGTCTGCGTGTGATGTACAAATTAAAAAACGGCGAGAGGCGAGCAAATGACATTTGTATATAGCTGGAGGAGGTTTATACTAAAATTCCAATTTTGACCTTCCAGAACTTTGAGAAGCCAAACCAAACTAAACCGGGATTGCAGAAAAATGACCTTTATGCAGTATTATTCCGGTTTTCTGCAATCTCAACAACAATTTGGGTTTACCGGTGTCGTTATTTTTGGTTCAGATCAATTTCATTTGCATTATATTGTTCATAAGTTATCATTTTATTTTTGGTTTTAAAAATCGTAATATTTATATGAGCTTTTCAAGCAGCCGGAACGTTTCCAAACCTAGAAAAGTCGGGTTTGAAATTGTCCTTTACAATGTTTTCATCCAATATTATGCAACCAAAACCTGTTTAGACTAAAAAATTAATCCTAATGCCTGAAAAAGTAGACTAATTAATAATTATAACATGTGCAGAACCTTACAAAAAAAAATAAAAAAAAATGTTGACGTTCGAGAACTTTGAGAAGGTAAACCAAACCGAACACGGAAGCATGGGAGTAAACCGGAATCATATGCCCTTTCCTTATTTGGGGAACCAAACCGAATAATTGGGCTTTATAGAGACGATCACTTGAATGTCAAAACAATTTCGGTGTGCCGTTACGGTTATATTCGGTTCAGATCAATTTCCTTTGCATTTTGTTGATAGGTTATATCATTTATTTATTTTTTTTTGATAAAAGGGTTAATATCATATTACTCTTGCTTTTCGAAAATAAGCATACTCAGATTATGTATGAGCTTTGAGCCTTTGAAGCAGCCCGAATGTTTCATCCAAACCTAGAAAAGTCAGGTTTGAAAATTGTCCTTTTTCATCTGGTTTATGCAACCAAACCTAATTAGACAAACTGAAAAATCAAAATCCTAACGCCTGATAAAGACTAACTAATAATTAGAACCTGTGTACGAACTAAGATTTGATTTTCGATTGAAAGGTTATATATGAAGTTATTGATTAAGATAGAGAAGACAAACAATTTTAAACTACATGAGGATCGGACAAGAAGTTTCAACCTTAGATCCAGAATATATTCTTGTAAACTTACAGTTTAATTTAGTTTTTTTTTTAAAAAAAAAGTTAGTGTAACTGTAATTTAACCGTTGACTTATGCAATATCAATATTCAATATACAATCAATCACAGTATCTATAACAATCGAGAACAAGTCAATCTTTGTTCTAATTACCATACAAACTTTTTTTCCCAAAAGTACAGCAATCACACCAAAGAATTAATACACATCCAATAATAGCACATCAATGAAGTTACATATTAAAACATCTAGGGCTTAAATTTTTTACCGACGACATCTTAATTAGATACAGCCACTTCTCGTAGAAGGGCTGCAAGTAGATTAAACTCTTCATCACAACTCTCAACCTTGGCAAAGTCAGTCCACCAAAAGTTTAAGTTTCTCTCATCATACCCATTTTTGATATCTATATACAACTTCTATGCCTTTTTCCCCACAAAATATGACCTTATCGTTGCGATTAGATCTCACCAAAACAATGCGATTTGCAGAATCAAAAAGCCTGAAAACCCTAGAAATTAAACTGTTAATTAATTAGGACGAATTATGAGTCTTTGTATCGAAGTTGTTGTTGGTGTTGTTGTTGTTGTTGTTGTTGTTATTGAAGATGAATCCTTCGACTTGTGAAGAAGAAGAGGATCTCATGGGAAAAGAAGAGAAGTAATCTTCTCCGACATCTTGAATCAAACCTTCTAGATCAAAGTAAGTGTTTGTGTTTGAAGTACTCTGATCACCTGATCCCCATTCTTCTTTCACCTGGTGGTTTCCTCCGTTTGCTAGTAAACCGGTGAAACCCGAAAGCCTGTTGACCGGCTGATGATTTTCGCTAACCGGTTCTTGGGACGTCGAAATTCTCGATTTGCCTCTCTTTTTGCCGGTTTTGGCCTCTCCCGGTGCCGGTTTTCCGGTTAGAGACTGGACGAGTGAACGGAAGTTCTTGACGTCTGTCTTGATGACCTCCGGTGCGAATATATGGATTATGCGAATCTTGGGTTTGATCTTGGATATTACTTGTGAATTCCTGTTCATGGAAACCCTAGAACTCGAACCTTCATTAAAAGTTTGATATTGAGTAATCTCCATCGAATCTCTCACCATTCAAAATAGAAACCAAAAAGAAGAAATTAGAAACAATTGAGAAAATATTTGATCCTTTTTTGAGATATGTGTAATTTGAACAAAAATAATTTGTATGCCGTGGAATAATACTGCGGCGGTTGGGTTATTTATATATATAGATAGATAGTTATATAAATTTTAATATATCGGATTGTTGTCAATAACATTAAATTAACAACATACTTGAATATTGAAATGACAAAGAAGGTGTAGAACGAAACAGCTAGCTATGGACCTGCCTCCATGACACACAACAACAACTTGATTTAAATAAAGTTGTATGAGTGTATATCAATATTATTTTACACTAGTACATTTTATTTTTATTTTTAATTTACAGTCGGAATAAAATAATGTGGTTATGATTTGTGATTAATCAACTGACGATAAATGTAAACTATAATATTATACAATATCATATAGTCAAAATATCTAAACATAGATAGCGTGAGCCATATGTATGTCTTTGGTCGCAAATTTGTGTGTGTGTGTGAAAGTTTTAATTGTCGGCATGTCTGCTCTGTTCTGGTTTTGGCTTTCCTATAGTTTCTGTAGAAAACTAATTAAATATATATGATGCTATTTCTATTGTAATACACTTTTTTTTTACAAGTTTCATTTTTTTGTCTTAACCGCAATGATCTATGATATTGGGCGTCTCTACATGATCAAATGATTGATAGTCTCGTTATATTCTTTTGGCTAATGACGTTGTGTGTGGAATTTTACTTTATCATAACTTATAACAATATTAGTAGATGGAAACTAAAATCTTATGCAATTTTATATCGATATGTGGGGTCAAATCTGACTCAGGAAACTGTCACTTGAAAACGTAACCGACCTAATTAAAATCCTAAGTTTTAGTTAACTTACTTCGGTTTGATGATGCTCTTTATGTCATATTTCTTTTAAAAAAAAATTATAGATCTATAACTAAACATGAAGATTCCACTTGATGCAGATCATTAATTTTCATATAATCTTATTTAGTTTCAATTTTAGATTTGATAAAACCAAAAATTACCTTTTAAAGTAACCCCACTTAAATAGTTTTGTAATGTCCATCTCATCAATTTTCATCTCTATATGTGTTTAGACACTTACATATGCATGAGATCATTCATCTACAAATGTTTGAGGTGTCGTGTCGACACGCATATATATGCCTTTGTGTGCTTAAAAACAAAGAAGCAAATATTTACTCGGTTGTTTTTGTTTAAGTAATTATGATATGAAAGAATTATTTTATACAAAAATGACATACAAACCTACAATAAAGAATTTCAAAGTTGCAAACACATAAAATAATAGTTGACTTTTGTTTTGCCAAAGAAGCAAACAAGAGCGACAGGATGGATTTAACCTCCGTTGACTTTACGTAAGTTGTGGTTTATTTATATTTTAAAAAAATATATTTATATCATTGAGAGTCGAACTAGAACTCGAGATCTATCGAGTATCGATAGGTTAGAAAACTTACACACGGGATTGTATTTTATTTTTCTAGTCGTTACAACAAATTACAACATATTTGCAATAATGAATATTTGTACAAAATTACATGAAATCAACAGAATATATATAATATCTCTTGAAGTCTACCACCTATGTAGTCCACCTTTCAATGTAGCTTTGGCCTAAGTCTGATAATTTTGGTTTTACTTTTAGAGCACCACTCTTTTTGGTGAATTCTTGTACAAATGTATACAATACCACTATTTGGTGGTTTTGACCTTGATTAATCAATTCTTTCTTGTAAACAATAGCCTATGATCATAGGGAGAGGTCACATTAATTTCAGACTTTCAGTATTGATAATCATTCTATTTATATTAACGTCAATCCATTTAGAAGTCAAACTTATTTAAATCTATAAATGTAAACCATACTATTTGATATTGGCGCGTTTGGTTACATAAATCTAAGAGATTCGATATAAATAGCTGTATGGTTTTTTTAATCAGGTGAATAACATAAATTTGAGCGAAAAAAATCTATGAGTCATTATTAAATGCCATTACGCGGACTGGGGACTTGTTCTACGTATGCGAACTGCTTAAAACAAATATATGCAAAGGCCATAAATTAGAAATCATATCATCCATCAATTTAGATATCTAGAGAGTGGAGTTCATTGATTCTTTTTTTTTTTCATTCAATATACATGTCCAACGTGATGTATAAGTAAAATTATGATTTTTATGAAGAAAAAAAATTATTCCATTAGGAAATTTGCCTTCCTCCACTATAACACTAGTTTTTGTTTACTCTATATTTCACAATTTTCTTTTTTATTTATTGTCCCGAAGCAGGCCCAAATCCAATAGATAGGTCATCTTAGCTAATAAAACGGATTTTTTTTCCTAATAAGACGCATCCGTTTTTTTTTGTCATCTCATAGAACCAAGGTTTGAAACACATAACATAAACGATAAGATGAATTTTAAAAACTTAGAATAAAGATACGCTTCAGAAAGCACTTGATAGTGAAGCCAAGAAAACCCTCCTAGCGCCAAATATGATTGGAGTCTCCTATATCGCGTATAGCGCTAGCAACTTTATTAGCAGATACCGCTACTCGGTGGCACTCCCATGAATTGAGCCCAATTAATATGCTATAAATTTCGCCCAAGAAAATGCAATACTTTGGCCGTTCTTTGGGATTATTGATTGCCTCCATCGCCGCAACATTGTCATATACTATTTCCACTCGATTAATGTGCAAGTTGCGTAGAGCTTCAAGAGTCCATAAGACGCATCGTAGCGCAGCGGTCATCAGAGAGTCTACTCGGGGGAATGAAGCTCTAGCATGAAACACGACCTGACCTTCGTCATTTCTTGCGAGACATTGACCAGCTATTAATTCATGAAAACAATGTTACATATTATAATAGAACTCTATTGTTGCCATGTGGATTCCATACTGGATCTTAAGATCTATACCTCTTTCCATTGAGATGAGTCTTGTTGAGCTTTTCATATCATCTCCTTGAAAAATGAAGTTATTCCTGTATTTCCAAATATCCCACATCAACCATGGGATGACTTCTCATGTCTCCTCAGGAACCTCATTATTCTGAATTAGGCGCATGAGGTGCTACCAATTCCTCTCAACATCAGTTTGGGAGAATCCATTAAGAAGCATCGGATTAAAGATTTAAAACGTGAACTGCATAGATCTAATCCGCAAAACATTATAGCTTATACCACTACTTCACCGAAGTACTACTACGTTGTATTAATCTGTTTTCGATACCTCTACTACATACATGGACACGTCTAAATACACATTGAAAGTAAACTAATTGTGAGGTAACTCGCTCTAATATTATTGAACGAATTCATGAAACGTAAATGGTACCTTCTGAAATTAATTACGCTCATATCAATGTGAGATTAATGTGAAATCTACATATAGATATAATTAATTTTATATGAAAATTTAGGATATCATTTGCTGAATTTGTTGATGATAAGGTAAATCCATATATAGATTTGAAAATAGATATTAGTACCAAAGTAGATCTATATAGATGTGAAAACGTTATAAAACGTCCATCCATCGAAACCTACCTACAATTTTAATTTAGCCGTCTAAACTTTGGTACAAAGCGAGAGTGACTCCTGTATCTTCCTCCAAGTCGTCCTCTACGGTCAATGCATCAAACCACATGGTCAGATCACTGTCATCTCCAACAGAAGCAACCGGGAGCTGAAATCGACAGAGAGGGCATGAGTTATGACTTGTGAGCCAAGGAATAATGCAATCATTATGGTATAAATGGTTGCATGGCAATTTCCTAGCAGATTCTCCAACCACGAAATCTTCTCTACAAATGGCGCATGGTAAAGTAGAATCATCTGAGGAAGCGCAAGACAACATTGAAGATGAGATCTCAACGGTCGGAAGAGATTCAATGGAGTCGAGAAATTGAGATTCCTCGTCATCTTCGAAATCATTAGGACCAACTTCAAAAGGGGTCGAATAAGTGAAAGAAGAAACGATATTGCATAGAGGACAGTATGGAGGAGAAGCCGAAGGCGATGAGAGAACCCTAAGCATTATGTCACATTTTGGACACGTGTAATTCCGCATCTCCAGTTGGTATTGGGTAGAGGAGGACGACATTGAGAAGTTGGTGGTTGAGGAAATTTAGAAGAAGAAAATGGGATCTCTTTAGATTCTTATAATCTAATGGAAATGTGTGTAATAGGAAAAATGGGTGCGAATCTTTAAGTTTTGGTATTTTTTTCTATTCAATGGTATTGTTCATATGGTATTGATTTTTTTTACTGATTTCTCTTTATATCTTGATACTAGTACCAAATTATTTGCTGTAAGCAGCTGTCAAAATTGATTAAATGTTTAAAATTTAAAATTCTAAACACATGAATTTACCAGGAAGAGAAACAAAATCTAAATATATTGGTAAACTGATATTGAATGAGTGCATAGTTTAAACTTGAACTCTAGTGGTTTCTACTAATGTTGCCGCCATGTCAAAATCCGGATTCATACGTAAAATGTAGACTACAAAATAAAGCATTAGCGAGCGGTTTTTCTACAAAAACTACGTAATATCGGATAAATTAAAACTACGTAATATTGGATAAATTATTATTTTTCTGTAATTATAAAAAAATATTATTACCTTTTTATACACTAAAGAGTAACAGTGTTGGTAGTACCTTTTGTTTTTTGGTTAAAAACAATGTTGCTACTTGCAGTTACTTGTTGACAAATATTTTTTTCAGTTAAAAATGTTAATAGAGATTTATAAAAATATTATTGATCTATATATAATTATATATATATATATAATTAGAATTTTCAATTTTACATTTCTTAAAAGTAAAAATTAGAGATATTAATAATTAATCGGTAGAATTGGTGTTTCCAAAAATTGTGGCGTCATCTCATTGTGTCATCTGTCCTTGGTTCGTATAATTAAAGTGCCAATCAAAGAGCAAAAAGTCGCTTTGGCCGAGTGGTTAAGGCGTGTGCCTGCTAAGTACATGGGCTCTGCCCGCGAGAGTTCGAATCTCTCAGGCGACGAATAATTTTTCCCAAATTACTTCCAATTTCGTCCTTAAACATAATTATCATCTTCCGATTCCTCTTTTTTTTTCTCGGTATGAATCAATCATCATCATCTTCTGATTTCTTCAATCCCAAGTCTTCTTTATAAAAAAATCTTCCGATTTATTCATACAAAATTAAACCACTAAAATTCTCACAAAGTTTTATTTATTCATACTCTCGCTTACACAAAACACTACATGAACAACCACAAACAAAACAAAGACGAAGACAGTTAAAAAGATCCCAAAACCATCCATCACCATCACGAAGAAGCTTTCTTCTCAAGCTTGGAAGCTTCCAAATCCGCAGCTTTTTTCAGAAAATTATCCTCATCATCATCTAACACCATCGTAATCGGACAAGACCCAAGCCCATCAGCAATCGCAAGCACAATCTTCTTCATCTCCGATCTAAACTCCTCCAGATCCACAGAACCGCTCTGGTCCGTATCAAATTTCTCGAAGATCGAGTCGTAGAGCTTCGTCAGCTCATCCGGAGGAGTCACCACATCGACGCCGAAGTGTGATTCAAGTAGCCTCATCGATTCAAACGCCTTTCGTACCTCCGATCGCGATAAAACGCCGTCTTTGTTTAGATCCAGAGCTGCGAACCTCTCGTCGACGCTTTTTTTGAATTGCTCTTCGTCTTCTACAAAAGATCGTACCGTTGATCCATCGATCACTACTACTCCCATTTTCTTCAGTTTTCGTTTTCTGTTTATTAATAAAAAAAGAAGATTGCCGCATTGATATATAGAGCCTATATATTATATAAAATAAGTTTCAGTCGGTGAAGATAAGAATAAGCGTATATATTATATTGGGCCAGTTACAAACCAAGTTTTTGTTTTTATTGGGCCGATACTAATGGTCCATTGATTGAGTAACAAAAATATTATTGGGGTCATTGCATAAGACTGTGGCACTAGACTTTGAATCTTTGATTGTAGAAAATTTGGTTTTGTAGATTTACATTCTTTGATTTAAAAATAATAATTGAACTCATGTTATGTTAGGCCAAGCCAAGTGACGTCATAGATGACGCCATGGTCTCGTAGCTTACTAGCTTTAGTTACAAAGAGATTCATAGACTGCGCCAAGTGTCAACGCACGCAAATTTAAAGTCAATCATTGAGCCGACACTTCCTCTCGGTGGGTTGGTGTAGTGTGGTCAGACTCCGATCCCTTTTCTCTTTTCGCACTCCCACAAATTTATTTTTAGCTTCGCCCATAACTATATTCTTTTAGGGAATAAATAATATTGAAAAAATAGATTTGAAGTTTCACCAACCACGGCTTGTAGGATGGTAATTAGTATGTCGCCGTATTACGATCTCTAATATATAAAAATAAAATTTAGAACAAAACCAAATGGATCAACTCGTATGTCATAACCTGTTCGTTCCCATATATATGAGTCATATAATATGACATAATCACATAGAACTGTAGAAGTATAGAACGATCTATTCCTCTCACATATTTCATCGCCAGTTAAAACTAAATCCATGAACTTCAGCTTCTCGACACGACAACGCGCATGCAATCATCACATAAACTTACATTATACAAAAACCAAAGTTATTATTTAAAAAATAAATCTTTCTAAAAAGAGAAATAATGCTATATATATAAATCTTAAGAGAGTTAGGAAACAAATGGTAGTGGAAATCACAATCACAACAACGCTGAAAACTTAAATCAGAACAAACAAAATGGGATCATGGAGGATTAATCTAACGGCGACAGCAATAGCTTTAACAATGGTGGTGGCTATGGTGGTGGATGCCGGAGATGATAAGGCGAAAGACAAGGAAGAGTGTACGGAGCAGCTGGTTGGTATGGCCACGTGTCTTCCTTACGTGCAAGGACAGGCAAAATCTCCAACGCCGGACTGTTGCTCCGGCCTCAAACAAGTTCTTAATTCCAACAAGAAGTGTCTTTGTGTGATCATACAAGATAGAAATGATCCTGATTTGGGTCTCCAGATCAACGTCTCTCTAGCTCTTGCTCTTCCTTCTGTTTGTCACGCCACTGCCGATGTCACTAAATGCCCTGGTTCGTACCTTTTCTTCTATTAATCACCTCTCTGCAATTTCACTATATAATATATATTAGCAAATAATTATCATCCTTTGATTAAAATCGTTATATTTATAGTTTAATAGGTAACTCAAAGTGACTAAAAAGGCAAAAACCTACCTACACAACATTCTGTGAAGTAAATTAGTCATATGTAGTTATGTACATCGATATATATAGCACATTCAAGAATAAGAACAGAGTATGTATATATATTTTAGTAAACAAGTTTTTAAAATTGATTATAGATTAAAATTAGCAAACTCATAACTGTTTTGGGATGGGTGTTTCAGCTTTGCTTCACTTGGACCCGAATTCTCCAGATGCCCAAGTGTTCTATCAGCTAGCTAAAGGTTCAAACAAAACTGGCCCAGCCTCTGCTCCCACTGGCTTGGCCCCTGGGCCCACCAGCATGTCTCCCACCGCAGGATCCGATGATGGTAACAACAGTGGTCGAACAACCTCTGTGCCAGGCAGGAACAACGCTCAAAGCTTCTATAAACAATGGCTAGGGCTCGAAGTTGTTGTCCATTTCTTCGTAATTTTATATATATTCATCCTCTTATAGATAGATAATAATAACGAAGAGTGAAAAGTATGTAACGTTGATTTTGTGAAATTGCGGTGACGCTGAGTTTTGCAGTTACTGTTTCGATTAGTATATGTAATTCTAGTTCGTGACAACTCTTCTTGATACGGTTATAAAATCAGTATATCATTATTAACTAGCTAGGTTTCAGGTTGTTTTTTTAAATGACTCATAACACACTGAGTTGGTTGTTAAAGCTACTGTACAACGTAAATGGATTTTGCTTCGTTTATAAAGTAGACTTTAATTAATAATTAGACTTAGAGTCTCAGATGTTAAAGGACGCCAAGTTACATTTGACTCGAAGACTTGTAAACCGATGAACGAGTCCAGTCCTTCAATTTCGAATTTGATGAGTGTCTAGTGTCTACTAGCAAAACCTATTGTCTTAATTATTTTAATAAATTAATATATCTTAAAATTGCTGGTAGACGCCAAGTTACATTTTTTCTTTGGGTTTTAGCGTCGGTTAAGGAATTGAAGTTCAAAAAGAGATATCTTCTAGTAAAAAATATCTTGTAGAGTTGTACTGATTTTGAGAAGAAATATCTTTTGGTGTCAACTCATCACCGAAAGCAATAATGTTGTTCCTTTAAATTCTGTACATAAAAACATCACTATAATAAAAAAAAACTTGGGATGAATAGTAAGCAAGAATGTTTTTCATTTTCATTTTTATTTACTCTATATTTATTCTAAAAGCAAAAAGTCTTAACAAAAAACAGTCGAATTCAATTTCTCATTTTTCATTTACGAAATTGAATTGTTTTTAAAGAACTTGAAAAATAAATTTAACAGAAAAAAAAAAGTGGTCGGTCAAACAAAACAAAGAGGGTGGAAAATTGACTTACCAAAGTCTTTATAAAGTTGATAGACTTTTGTCTATATTCGAGATCTATTATTGTCACATATTTTACCATTAGAAATTCGATTTTTTTTTTGGAATCATTGAAAATTATTCTTAGTTAAAAAAAAAACGATCCTTTTCAAAAAATTGAAAATCCTCTTAAGAAGTTGGAAAGTGAAAAATTTTATATACAAAAAATGACTTATCAAGGAAAGAATTAACAGTCTTGATAAAATCTACTCTTATTATTAATAGACCAATTGAGCGAATGAAGATAATGATGTTGACATTCGAGAATCACATGTTCTCACAATTTTCACCACCAAATAAAAATAAGTCCATGAACTTCTCAACACGGTAATGCATGCAATTTCACAGAAACTTACACATACAATAAACCAATCTTTCTTAAATAAGAGAAATAATGCTATATAAATCTTAAGAGTGTTAGGAAACAAATGGCAGTGGGAATCACAACCACAACAACGTTGAAAACTTAAATCAGAACAAACAAAATGGGATCATGGAGGAATAGTCTAATGGCGACAGCAATAGCTTTGATAATGGTGGTGGCTATGGTGGTGGATGCCGGAGATGATAAGGGGAAAGACAAGGAAGGGTGTACGGAGAAGCTGGTGGGTATGGCCACGTGTCTTCCTTACGTGCAAGGACAGGCAAAATCTCCGACGCCAGACTGTTGCTCCGGCCTCAAACAGGTTCTTAATTCCGACATGAAGTGTCTTTGTGTGATCATCCAAGACAGGAACGATCCTGATTTGGGTCTTCAGGTCAACGTTTCTCTCGCTCTCGGTCTTCCTTCTGTTTGCCACGCCACTGCTGACATTACTAAATGCCCTGGTTCGTAGCTTTACCTCTCTACAATTTCACGATATAATCTTTGCTACGTGGTTTGAGTATTGGTAAAATGTTTTTTCTGAATCTATCGGTTAGTTGGATGCTTTTTATTTTATTTTGAAAGTTTGTGCTAGCTAAATCTATGTTTTTAGGTAAGACTTTAAATTGTGTAGACATTTTTGACAGAGACTAGTGAGCTTACATTATTGATTGGAACGAGGAACAGAAAACTAAAAACTTTCATAGCAAAAAAAAAGACTAAATTTTTTATCTAAACAAACATACCATAAAGTTAGTTAATTGGTTTAGTTACTTAAAAGTCATTTGTGTTACCATGTAATCCGAGAGTAAAACATGAGTAAAGTTGTAAAGTAATTAGTCATATATATCTTTTCTTAAGAATAAAAACAGAGTATGTATTGAAAAAAAACAAGTTTGAAATTGATCAGTTGCAGACTCATAAATTTGTTTGGGATGGGTGTTTCAGCTTTGCTTCACTTGGACCCGAAATCTCCGGAGGCCCACGTGTTCTATCAGCTAGCTAAAGGTCTGAACGAAACCGGCCCAGCCTCTGCTCCCACTGGCTCGGCCCCTGAGCCCACCAGCATGTCTTCGACCCCAGGATCCGGTGCTGGTAACAACAGTGGTCGGACGACCTCTGCGCCAGGCACAAACCACGCTCAAAGCTTCTCTAAACAATGGCTAGGGATCGAACTTGTTGCCCATTTCTTCGTAATTTTTTATATTTTCATCCTCATTTAGATAATAACAATGAAAAGTGAAAAGGATGTCACGTTGGTTTTGCGGAATTGCGGACATTTGCGGTGACGTTGATTTTGGGCAGTTACTGTTTTGACTGATGAATGTAGTTTCACTTCGTGACAACTCTTCTCAGCTTTTTTTTTTGTATGGCGCAGCATAAGACACGAGCTATAGTTATTCTATCTCTCGTTTGCTTTTATCAATTTTATTTAAAATCTTTTACTTCAGTTCGTTGAGTCTAATTGTTTGGTTCGACTTAGTTGCATGCATACACACGTAATTTCATTTACGTTAGCCTCTTCTTGACTACAGATTAATTGGAATTATTATGGTATCTATTTTATTTTTTTGGGTCAACAAAAGATTTGATTATTATGGTATCTATTTTTTTTTTATGGTATCTATTTGATACTCTTTTTTTGGTTGGATGGTATCTATTTGATACTCTAAATGAACAAAAAAAAAAGGGGTTCCATAAGGCAAAAATGGAACATGATCATTGAATTGAAGGCACAAACAACAGCAGTGTAGATATCCAAGTTGCAATATCTTTTTACATATCAATTGATATTAATATTGGTGCTCTGGACAAGTCTTCTTTTTGGGGAATGTATAAGTACTATAACCATAAAATAGATATATCTTATAGTTCAAAAATCAGTTTCTATGTAAACAATCAAACCGGACTACTGATCAAGGACTTCAATATTATGATTCATCCAAGACCAAGAGTAAGGATTACAGGAACTACTCAACAAAGTTAGTTGAACATTTCGACAACCCGAATTTAGGCTAACTAATTTTTGTATACAAGAAATTGCTAAATTATTACAAAAGTAATTCAATAATTTTGAAAAAATATTCGTTTCTGGCTGAGACAGGTAACAGCACACAGAACCAAAACATATTCAACTATAAATAGATTTCGAAGAATCTTGATGCTATGCCATTATACCATCCAAAAATTTCCCATAACCAAATCGGCAAATCCATAGAGCAATCACATGACCGCACAGTTTCCTATATTATCTTCTCTGTCTCTCTCTCTCCACGATCGTGTGAATTTCCGATTATTCTTTTCCTTTTCTTAACGTTTTTTTTTGTCTAAATATTCTTCTTCTTTGGTCAATAAATATTAAATTCGTCTTACCAAAATAAAAAAAAATTAAATTCGAAAAAGAATGACGTATTTACGCAAAAAATAATAAAATTAGTGTAACGTATTAATACAATGATGCAAGTTTCTCGTTAAGCTCGCACAAACTTTCTCATTCACCGTTGCTTTTCTTATTCTTATTGCCGTTTCTTTGGGACAATATCTTGAGTCAATTCTAATACAAAGGCTCTGACTCAAATTCGATTTTGGGATCGAAAGTTTCTTCCTTTCGACCCTACAGGTACGAAAGTTTGTTCCTTGCTCGTTTCGAAATCTCTTCTCCTCTGACTCTTCCTCAATTTCTTAAATCCGAAAGTTCGTATTTTTAGATACAATTTAGTCTATTCCAGGTTTTGGGTATTTCAAATTCTTGATGGGTTTTGCATGCACGTCTTTGCAGGTTCAAGAATTGTTGAAGAAAAAAACAAATTTTGTCTCTTTTTAAAACAATTGGTTGATGACGTCATCGGTTATTGTCGGAATGGAAGAAGAAGAAGATCCATCGACAAAACCACTTGGAAGATTGTCTGTGTTCTATTATGGAGTTGGACATATGCTTAATGACATTACTGCTTCTTGTTGGTTCACTTACCTCCTCTTGTTTTTAACCCAAATTGGTCTCTCCCCAAGGTAAAATCTTCTCCTGAGATTTTTTTGTCAAAAGTTCTTTACCTTAATCTGTAAATCAGTGAGATTAATCGATATTTTTTTCTGAAGGGATGCTGCAATTGTCATGCTCTCTGGTCAAGTTGCTGATGGTTTTGCTACTATCTTCATTGGTGAATTGGTAACTTCTTTGGAACTTATATTTTTCATTGTAGTCTGAATTGAGATAAAATGATCTTTTTATCTCACAACTTTGTCTACTTCATATGGCAGATTGATAGATTTGGGCATTTCAAAATTTGGCATGCTGCAGGATCTCTATTAGTTGCTATCTCATTTTCCTCTGTTTTTGGCGGTTGTTTGCCTTGTTCACTCCTCCATAGTAACTCTTCAACTATCGAAACATTATCGTACAGTATGTTTGCAGCTATCTTCAATATTGGATGGGCTGCTACTCAGGTTTCTCACATGTAAAACAATCTTTCTTTTTTCTTTACAACTTCTCTTTAGGTTGATCTCAAAATTTATTCAGTGAGATGTTCATTTTTGCATAATCTTTGTTTTCTTTAGGGCTATGGTTAATTGCATTACATTGAATTCAACAAGCAGAGTAGCACTAACAAGCTCCCGTAATGCGTTTAGCATGGTTAGCTCTTTCCCTTTGTTCTTATTTAGGCTCTTTATAATGTCTTTTTAGGTTTATATGTAATATTTCCATCGACTGTTTATTCAGGTTGCTAATTTAGGCTTATACGCGATTGCTTTAGTTGTATTTGGTGTTAGCGAAGCCGTGACAAAAGAAAATACCGAAACTCAGGTTTGTGCTTCTATTGACTTGTTTATGTTAATGCCTTTTGATATGATTCTAAGTCTGCCTAAATCTACAGTATCGTTGGATTGCTTATTCATCCATCACCGTTGGCTGCTGCTTTGTGGTCATATTTCTTATGGGGACAAAGGAACCAAGGTAATGCACACTTTTCTCTGAAATGCTTATATCAGTTTTTACCGACGTTTCATGCATGATAGGTGATATTTTTATTGAAAATGAGTTGCTTTCATTTTATTTTCAAAGGATGAAGATAAATTTAAGAGAGACTAGCCGATCAAGAATACCATGGTCTTATTGGTTCCGTAAAATTCTATACTATCAAGTTGCTATGGTTTATCTCCTCACTCGACTAGTATTGAATGTTTCACAGGTTAGTTACTTTATGTATCTTTCATGCTTTGCCTCTTTTGTTTTTGATCTTTACTTACGTTTCAGGATGACTTTAATATTTGCAGGCATATCTTGCATTCTTTGTTATTGACGATTTGCAAATGGCTCAATCGGCTAAAGCTCTGGTAAAAGAAAGAGAAGCACTGCACTTACCTTTCATCTCTATGATCATCAAACTTTTCTGATCAATGTTTAATTTTCAGATTCCCGCAATAATCTACATATGCAGCTTCGTTGTATCGGTTATGCTTCAGGTTGCAACAAGTTTAAACGCATTTATCTTCTTTGTTTCTGAACTTTTTTGTTTTGTTTTCTGTCTGTTATGTAACTAACTACATATTCCATTCAATGTAGGAGATTCCTTGGAATGGAAAACGCCTCAAGGCATATTATTGTGCGGGTGGTATTATGTGGATATTCTGCGGTATATCAATCCTCTTATTGCCCAGAAGCATTAACTCTTACATGTATGCGATCTCTGTCTTTATCGGCATCGCAAATGCATTAATGCTGGTAAGACACTCCTTTGTTATATCTGAAGTCTTCATGTGTTTACATGTAACTAGAAGATCTGTCTTTTGATAATCACAATTGTACAGGTGACAGCAATTAGTATGCAGAGTGTGTTGATTGGTTCGGAACTCGGTGGATGTGCTTTCGTCTGTGGGTCATTAAGCTTCTTAGACAAAATGTCATGTGGGCTTGCCTTATATGTTCTTCAGTCACATCAAGGTAAGTTTTTGTTTTTCTTTTTAATATTATCTTAATATCTAGAAAATTGTTGATGGAAGTGTGGTTTGGAAAATGGTGCAGGCACTTCACCAAAGGTCGATGTAAACATCAAAGAATATTTTTACTTCTCGGTGACCAGATATGGGTTAGGACTTGTTCCAGCTGTATGCTCGCTTGTTGGAGTTGTTGTAACATATTTTATGGAACTCGATAGCACAATTCTAAAGCCTTTGTGTCAACCGCTACTACTAGAATGAACAGAAGGAAGATACGCAACGCCTCTGGTCTGGTAAACACATATAGCTCAAACTTGGTTATTGTTTGACAGTAATATGTTTCAGTCTGCTAATTATTTGTTCAATTCAAAAGGATAGGTTTATATCACACTGCGACAGGCAAAACATTTGTACAAGAATTACTTCAAGTCATTAAAAATTAATGCAAGTTGATTTTTATCATGTTATCTGTTCTTTAATCGCTTTCTTCACTGAATCTTCCTTGTCTGATACCCTGAAGATTTATAAAGAATGAGTCTTTGTAAGTCTTTCTGATTAGTACTCTTTGTTTTGGTTTCTGTTAGAAAATTAGAACATAGATAATTGATGAACACATTAAGGTAAGAGTTAAAACTTAACCCATTACATAGTCTCTCAATTCTCAGAACATAGTCTTTCTATTCTACAGATTCTGAGAAAAAAAAGATTGATTCACAAAGCAATTGATCGTAATGCACCATGTTTTGGCTATAGATCAATGTTCAGTTCTTTTTTGGTCGTACTGCACATTTATCTTCTTCTTTTTTTGGGTCTGGTGTAATGTTAAGTTCTTTCATTTGGTTATTCTCTGGCGTTTTGAGACCGGGATGATAAATGCTGATGAAGTATGAGCAATGAGTCCATAAGGTGATTTTCCTATTTCTTTTGCTTTCACATAAAGATAGGAAATACAATGGAGAACTGTGTCTTTTAAAGCAGTTACTCATGCAAACCTGTTTGTGGTCTTCCATCTTATACTGGTTGATTGAATGTTATACTGGTTGATAAATGGAGGAAATGATTCAGTTTTTTCGTATTTCTTGGCGAAGCTGACTAGATCTAGCCATGTTGATGCTCTCAGGGAGAAACATCTGGTCCATTTGTTAGGGGTCTCAAGCAGATCACATAACAAGTAGAGAAACAGAGCAAAAAGATAGCTGAGCACAGAAAACAGAGCTACCAAAGAAAAGAAAACAGAACACCCGAAACAGAGCAAGTAAAGAAACAGGACATGAAAAACAGAGGATGAGGAAGAAACTGAGCAAGTATATGAACCTCACCAAGAAATCTTGTATCGGCTGATTCTTTTCATCTTTACAAAAAAAACAGCTGAGTAAACATCAAAAATTATCTTGCTAAAGATCTCAAATCCAAACATTTTGTTCAGATTCTTGTTGGAATGACTACAATCGCTGAAACTTGTGATCAAGCGATGGACATGGAAGCCAAGTTAAGAAAAAATAACTGCGTCAGTTAGTGTTTAAATCGATGGGACAAACCGACAAAGTCAAACTCTGCAACACTGACGATACCTTCGCTAAAACGGCGCCTTACTGCGAGTTCCCGTCAAAGCCCATTTACGGCCCACGTAAAAAGATGCCGTTTAAATCTGACTGCGAATTCCGTCAAAGCCCATTTATGACCCACATACGTAAACGATGCCGTTTCACTTCGACACTTCAGTTTAGGTCGTTTTTCACCTCCGACTAGTATCCCGGAAATTCTCTCATCCGCATGAGCTCCGGTGAAAAATGGAGGCCAAGAGCAAGAAAGCAGGAGCATCTCGTCTCTGCTTCTTATGCAACCTGAGACGTCCCGTTCTCAAAAGACCTAAAACCCTTCAACAGGTAACTTTTCAAATTTTCTTTCTTCTCTTTTCGCTTAGAATCTCGTGTATTTGGGTTTTAGCTAAGATTTTAAGGAGAAGCTTGGAACAAACTTCTATACTGTAAGATTTGGCTCTTTTATGAATTTCATTGGTTTGGACTGTGTATGATCTCTGTGTGGAATCGAATCAAAATTATCAATCTGGTTCGTTGGAGTTGGATCAATAGTGAAAGTGACAATCTTTAGTTTCTCAGTCCGATGCTAGTTGCTAGAGCCTCCTCTTTTGGTGTTGTTATGTATGAGAAGTGATTGAGTATGCGTGTTTTAAAGATATGCAGAGAGTGCTTCTATGAGGTTTTTGAGGAGGAGATTCATCAAGTCATTGTTCAGAATCGTTTATTCAAATCCGGTGAACGTGTTGCTATAGGTGCCTCTGGTGGAAAAGGTAATTCCTTCTCTTTCAAACTTCCGAAACTATATTTCGAATTCCTTCGATTTTGATTGATCTTTTTCTTATACATACTGTTGCACATTTAGATTGTTCTGCTAGTTGATTTAATTGAAGGTAAGAATCGCTTATATCTTCCTTGTTTCATCAAATAACTCAAAAGCTGAGGCTTTGTGCAGATTCTACAGTTCTGGCATATGTGTTATCAGAACTAAATAGACGCCACAATTATGGGCTAGACCTCTTTCTCTTGTCCATAGATGAAGGGATTACGGGTTATCGTGATGATTCTCTTGAGACTGTTAAACGTAACGAAGTCCAAGTAAGCTTCTTTTTGAATTCTATGTATGTTAGGCGATTGTTTTATGGCGTTTTTTAATTTGATGGGTTCTTTATTTTTCTTGTCCAGTATGGTTTGCCTCTTCAGATTGTTTCATACAAAGATCTGTATGGATGGACAATGGACGAGATTGTGAAAATGATCGGTTTGAAGAACAATTGCACCTTTTGTGGTGTATTCCGTCGACAGGTAGGGGAGCAGTGCAGTTTTCATTTTGTTGTTCAACTTACAGTTTGTCAATAACTCTGCATACCACCAACAATCTTGTGTTTAATTGCTTCTGTTTAATTCATCTGAAGGCACTTGATCGAGGAGCTGCCTTATTGAAAGTAGATAAGCTAGTCACTGGACATAATGCTGATGATATAGCAGAAACCGTTCTCTTGAACATATTGCGAGGGGATATTGCTAGGTAAGTATTTGTTGATGATTTGATGGAAATTGAAAAATCTCTCTCGTTCCTCAGCTAATTGATATTTATAACATTGGCAACTGTAGATTAAGTCGGTGCACATCGATTACTACTGGTGAAGATGGTCCTATTCCAAGATGTAAACCTTTCAAGTATACGTACGAAAAGGAGATTGTCATATATCCTTCACTAAATAATCCTTTTGTTGAATACTACTGATGATTATACATCGCTCAAATCTGTCAACAAAAGATATTGTGATACCTTAACATAGCTATACGTATGCTTATTTCAAGAAGCTGGATTACTTCTCCACCGAATGTAAGTGTGCAATCATCGATTTTTTTTGTAGGGTTTTCTCTGTTCTTAAGTTATAGTTTCTGATTTCTAGTTATTTTATGGCTTAAGACAACTCTTGTTTTTTTGAGTTTGCAGGCATATACTCTCCTAATGCATATCGTGGGTTTGCCCGTGAGTTCATCAAAGATTTGGAGAGAATAAGGTCTTTTCTCGACTTTTTTTTTAGTATCCGCTACAATGAAACAAGAAAACTAGAGATCTCTAACTTATACAAAGTGCAGGCCAAGGGCGATTCTAGACATCATAAAATCTGGTGAAGATTTTAGAATTGCAACAACCACAAAGATGCCTGAGCAAGGGACGTGTGAGCGATGCGGGTATATTTCTAGCCAGGTGAGACCTTCTCTTATCTTATCACATCAAGTCAATTGTTATGCATAATAGAATAGAGTTAAACATAGTGTTTGCTTGTTTTGGATTTTACAAATGATATGCAGAAATGGTGCAAAGCTTGTGTTTTGTTGGAAGGACTGAACCGTGGTTTGCCTAAGATGGGTATTGGAAGACCGCGTGGCGTAAATAGCGACCATAACAAGGAAACAAAGAAGCCTGGATCTGTTGCAAAATCTATAGAGAGCAAACAATGTGGATCTCTGGATTTCTAAAATTTTGAGAAAAAAAGCTATGAAACTCACATAAGTCATAGTGAATGATTGATTGATTATATAGAAAAAAAGAAAAAAAAAAGATAATCCTTTCATAAACTCCTTGTAGAACTTATTGTACTTTTGGTTTTTCCTTTTGGCTTACTGTATCTGAAGTGTTTTATTATGATACAAATATGTTCATAAATTTCAATTTTTTTTTGGTTTTTTCCAATTAGCCAAACATAGTGTTTATATAAAACATAAACTTTTTACATAAAAAGAGAATTTTATAAACAAAGAATCAAGCCAAACAATCTAAAAGAAAAACAAACAAATTCATCAACTTTCATCACCAGCCCAATTACTCTTGAGTTTAGGCCCAGTAGGCCCATCTTCACCATAAACTTCATCAGGAATTTTCTTCACAAATTTAACAAAGGCCTTTTTCAAAAGCCCAGGCAATATCCTCTCAACACTCTTAACTTCATCATCAACATTATAATCAATCTTCGGTCCCCACTTCCTGAAATAATTAACCCACGGCGGCTCCACCACTCCTCCGCCGTCATACTCCGCCGCAATCACTTCATAGCCTAACCCCGTATCAATTACCTTTTTACCCTTCGCCGTATCATTCCTAATCCCAATCCCATCGTCTCCTTGCAACACCAATCCAGGTTTCGGATACATCGCGTGTCCATGAAGCGAAGCGTACGCCACAAACTTATTACTTCCTCCTCCTTGGAACTCCAAATCACAAGCATCGACCCAAACTCCACCACTATGCTGCGATAAGAACACTCTCCATAGCTCTCCGGTGAAATTACTGATCCGTAGCGTCGTGTGTTCCCAATCTCCAATGTGTTCTCCGATTCTCCCCAGTGGTAGATTCACGAATTTGACTTTGGCTTTTGCTGGACCATTGAAAGGGTAAAAGATCCAGATTGATATGTCTGTGAATGTTGCTCCAAGCATTGGTTTGATATGAAGATACACTTTTGTGCTTTGTAAGTCTCCTTTTTTGACTCTCTCTTTACCATTTTTGTCTATAGGAAGATCTAGCCAGTATGATCCATCGTTTGATCCTCCTTGTGGAAGATTAGAACCGTTTGATTCGATAGGGATTGGTTTCGATTCTTCGCCTTTCTTGTATAGTAATGCTCCGTTGTTGAAGTACCAATTGACAGAGGAAGGTAGATATTCTTCGTCTGGATGGAAATAGATCCATGGAGAATAAGTTTGGAACAATTCTTCGATTTGGGACCCATTTGGCATTGTAGAGAAGTCGAATTTTGTGTTCTTCAAGCAAGATAAAGCTGGAGGAGGAAGAGAAGAATTTTGGGTTTGGCAAGTGAATGTACCTACAGAGACACCTGTAGCTTGTGTTCCTCTTGTGGTTGGTCTTAGATTTGAGATGTTGACTCCGTTTGTTCCCCATATCCATGTATCAGCTTCACATTGTTCGGTTATATCGGATCGGATGCAGCGTAGTTTGTCTAGAGGTGGCTTTTGTGAGGAGTTTGTGACTATTAGACCAACGGCTTGATATCCATCAGGAGGAACGGGCTGCCAGAAATATCCAGTTCCGTCTTGTTTGATTTTGAATGACTCGGTGTTTCCTACGAGGGTGTAATCTACTGGCGGTTTCAAGGTGTTGCTTGAGAGATCTCTAGCTGTGAGTACCCAACCGAAAAGTTTACGGTTGTTTGGTTGAGCGTAGTAGCCGAGGATGGAGAAACCGGAAGGGATTGAGGATGGTTCAAAGAATGTAGCTCCGAGATTGTCTGGTCCACCTTCATAAGTGGACCAAACTTTGTTGAATGTCGAAACTTGACTAACTTCGAGACCACCACCCAAGCCAATTGTTCGTTTCGCAAAACCATCACCTGATGATGATGCAAGTGAAATCAAGATCATCAAACTAATTGAGAGAGAGATCAGTAAGAACCGATGATAATACAAACCTTGAGTAAAAGTAGGCAATGGTGAGGGAAACTTGAAGGCAGTCTCGACGGGAAGTGCTTTGAGAAGCTTCTTTGATACATCTTCAAGAGATGGATCCGAGATTGAAAGGCAGTTTCCCATTTTTCGGATAGTCGAACATAAACAGGAAGATTGATATACAGATATTTCAGCAGAGGAAACTTGTTTTTTTGGTATTTGTTAAAACAAAGGAAACTTGGAGTCATGGGTTATATAGAAATGCAGTATCTCGGTGTCAATTTTCTTAACTCATCAATAATATAGAAATAAGAAAGAGAGGATAAGTGTAAAGCATATTCTTCTCTGTGAATGAGAAAAACGCAAACTTAAACGTATAAGTCAAAGTTGATCGATCTAAAGGAAGGTGTCGTGCAAGATTTTATTCTAAATATACATAAATTTTATCATATCCTTCTATCTTCTTTTTCTGCAAGTTACAATCGTGCAAGATAGCACTTGGTAAGTTAATTAGTGACAACGACTCGTTACGTTTTTATCCAACAAGAAAAACGTGTTGCTTGATAAAATATTGATTGATATGACTTTTTTTTTTACCACAAATGCAAAACCATTTATTAGTCTTCAATAGTTTACATCTTTAGAACGCTATTAAGTTCAATCACAAAGGTTGTCCCAAACATTTTCTAAAGAAATTTCGAAAAATCATGTCACTTTTCATAGGCATTGAGGGTTACGTCCAGGCCCGCCATAGAAAATGTAAGTTCCCCACCTTCGGCTAGAGCCAACCTTGAGGTTATAACATTCAGGCCGAGTAACTATAGCTTCAAGATTTTGAGGAAAGGGTTTGATTGGATAATTAGCTTTATCGATGTACTCTATGCTATTGATGTAAGCCGCCTTCTTAAACCCTTCTTCCGCGAAATGGCCACTCCCCATTTGCGTACTCGTGTGTTCCTTTTGGCCACTAGCATCATGCGCAATTTCACCTCCCCAAGCGATCATCCGTGCTGAGTCTTCTAGCTTCGGGACTAGAAAGCTTGGCCAGTATCCAACTTGATATGTGTCAAACTTAAGCCACCAAAGTCCGGTATCTTGTTCCTAAAATTTTGTTGTAGCTTAATTTAGTGATGACCTTCTTTTTGAAACTGTTATAAGTTGTGTTTGTTAAGTACTTCTAGATAAATTATACCTTCTCAATAGTTAGAAGGAAATCATATTGGTTACCATTGTAGGTCGAGATACTGTTGAAAGCTGCACCAAGGGCAATATCTTTATTCACTTGAACAAAGCCTGGACAGTCAAGATTGTAGCAGCTGTTCTTTCCATATGAATTGCTCTATATATGTTTTATCAGAAAATATTAGTAACCCTTCGTCAATGCATGACAATTTTAATTAAGATTAATAAAATAGGGAAACTTGCCGTCCAATAGGTGAAAAATCTTGTATTATTGTCACCGTACATATAATTAAAAATCTATCATAAAGAGTAAATAAAATGAAGTTAGAAATATTAGTAGACTTCCGAATACATAATGTGGTATATATGAGTATTACTTATTATCGATTCAAATTGAGTTAAAAAATTAGTTAATTTTGCAACAACGCGACACTATATTCTAGGTCCAATTTTTTACGTACAAAAAAGCCCCCCACACACAGAGAAGTGTTAACTAAAAAAAAACAGTACTGACCTGCCAACCAGACTCCAAAGTGTTCAAACCATTGTCCCAATCTCCATTGACGACCCATGTTTGAGCCAAACTAAACTCGGTCGTATTTGAAACGTTTGGTTTCCATATACTTATACGGCTCTTGCTGCCATGGTATTCACCATAGTCCAGGTGCACACTCGCATGCTACAATTAAAGGAAGGCATCCAAAATTATATATAATCAAATCGTTATAATAGTTAAGGGTAGCTCTTAATAGTTTTACTATAAAGAATAAAAATTAAAGCGTCAAAAATATTTAATTATAAAATGAAGCACTTTTTGAAAAAACTTTGAGCCGGGGCTATGTATACATACCTCATGAACTTCTTTTTGATCATCGGGGAGGTGATAAGTAGTTGAAAAAATGGTTGGTGGGTTCTTTCTTCTATGAGTTTCGATGGAATCTGATCTTAAAAGATCATCTCTTGTTCTTCTTCTGATAGGAATAGTGTCCTCAGGACATTCACCTTTTGTGCGCCACAATTGATGTATAATGTCTGTCTTGTTACCTCCAGTCTTGTCCCTTATCGAGTCACTTTTCGGCCACATCTTCCCCAAAATAAACAAGAAGCGTTTGATCAAAACGTAGAGGTAATATGATTTGAAGAGTGAATAAAAAAAAGTATTACAAAAAACCTGAATGGTGTGGTTTTTGAGTAAAGGATGATCAAAAGCTGGTTGGTGATATATCCATACACAATCAATTATATCTCCATCTGGACTCTATTCAATATAAAAATTAAAGCAAAACATAAAACCATTTAGCCAAGAAAATATTGGGAATAGCAAACCAGAGGTAGTTGACCAAAAAAAAGCAAACCAGAGGTAATTAAAAGTAGTTGTGAATACATGGATAGATTTAACGGCGGGTTTGTTGAGTTGTTTCAACCGTTGTTCGATTTTCTGCTCATGTAAATCAGAAAGTTTGATCTTTCCGGCCAAAGTAATTCCGACTACAAGTGCTATGATCACCCAAAGAAGGAGGAAGATCACTCTCTGATTAAGCATCATTGTCAGTATAAGCTCACACTTTTGAAATAATTGTTGGAAGATAATTGGGACAAGGTACATATATATGGGTTTTTGTGTTGTGTACTTGTGTTATATTTGTAGCTTGTAAGAAATAGAACATTCAACTTTTTTTTCTATCAAATATAAAAAATATCTTTAAATATCTAAAAATAGGAAAAGAGATCCCTAACTTATATTAGTTGTTTCTGTATGTTTAGTATTGATAAAGAAAAACTTTTGTCAGTAGATTTAAAATATTAGTTCTGGGGATTTTTTGTCTTTTTAAAGAGACTACTAAATTAATCACATAAATATAAAGCAATAATTCAAATAAAACCAAAATATTTGAAGTCACTAAACATATTTTATTTAATCGCGTTAATATCAAATGATCACATAGAAAATATAAATAAGTTTAAAATCTTAAAAAAATTGATTAATATATTTTTAGGGTTTATTTTTATAGAAATAAATATTTAGAAATAAAATATTCATATTTAGGTCTAATTTATAAATAATTTAAATAGTTAACCTAACTTTAACTAAATGCACTAAATATTACTCCCTCTGTCCCATTTTATAAGATATTTTGATTAAAAACACGTATATTAAAAAAATCTTTTCTTTATAAAATATCATTTAATATTATATTTTGAAACAATTCAACCAATCATAGAAATTAAATACTGCTTAACATCAATGATTAGAAAATACTAAATGTATTTAAGTGTTGCATAGAAATCTACAAAATATCTAATAAAATGAAACAAAAAAAAATTAAACATCTTATATATTGGGACAAAGGGAGTATTATAAAAAATCTTAATAACTATTTTTCAAAAAGAAAATTTAAAAATGAAAGTAATAATATTCCATCGGTTCCTTTTTATAAAATTTCAACTTTCTAGACAAAATTTAGATTTATTTAATAGTTTATTACCATTCTAATGGTGTAGTATTTGTTTTCATTTGCTGACTTAATTTTTGTTATGCATTAAATCTTAGTTTTTTTTTTTCTTTTAATTTTGGTACTTTTATCTAAAAAATCTTATAAAATACGAGGGGAGTAGTAAATATCATTAAAAAATCTTACACTAAACTACGTATCCTAAAATATTATTGTAACATAAATGTCCCAATTTAGTCAAAATCGGAGCAACGAGTGTGAATTGTCCGATTAGTCGTACAATTTTTATTTTGTCTAAGTATGCCAATCAACCAATTTTTTTTTTTTGGATATTGCATGTCCATTGGCCGTCGTCGGAGAGAGATCGCCGGGAGTAAAAGAGTGATGGAGGAGATATGCGTCACCACCGATTGTTTGTAATTTTGTATTGGGAAAAGCGAAGTGTGACTGTGACTTTAATGGCTAAACTCCTCAAAACGATGTAGTTTTAAAATTAAAATACAATTATCTATATATACATTTTTGGAGTACACTTAGCAAATAAATCCTAGAGTTGACACTTATTTACAAGAGAATGCCACTGTCATAAATGTTTATCTATTAATTAATATTACAAAATATTTTCGAAAATATCTTTTAGAAAATACGACTTTCAAATATGGTAACAAATTGATTTTGTTTCTAAATTTTCCTAAAACATCTCTACCAAATTTAAACATTAATATATGATTCTTCTTTCATTTTTATATGATCTTATAGTTATTTATTTTGAATTTATATAATATACATATAATTAATAAAATAATAGATTTTTTCTGCATATTATGTGATTCAAATTTTTTTAAACGGATATATATTACTCAATCGATGAAGAAAAAATATGTGTACAATGTCCCACATTGCTTAAAAAATTTGGCAATGGTTCAGAATCATACTATAAAAAGGACCAAAATAATTTTGAATACAAAACGGGGTTATATGGTAGGACGGGTTTGGGTCGATATTATTACAGGACGGTATACCACGGGTGAAATCTAGAATTAAAAATAAAAATATAATTATATAATCTTAAATACTAAACAAACCAAACAATATTAACAAAACAAATATAACTTCAAATTTAAAATTTTTACCCGCAATATACCGCGGGTAAATTTTTTTGATATAAAATAATATCAAATTATTATAATAGTTCATGATTATAAATGCTTGCCAATATTAACACTATATCATTTCTACACCTACAAATCTTCTAAGTACACATATTTCAACTATATTAATTATAATATAAAATAATTAAATGATAATTTTTTTTTAATATCAATTTAAAAATCCAATAAATTATAAATTATTATATAAAATGCATAAAATATAATTTTGCCCCGCGGTGTACCGCGGGTTAAATCCTAGTGCATATAATAAAATTCGAACACGTGATCTTTTTAACAAAATCTGCAAATTGCGATTAGAAAAATAAGACCGTTGTAAACGGTCCTTAATTCTGATCAATTGCCTTTTTTTTTTTTTAAGTCCCAATATGAAAAAAGGAAAACAACCTGATTTTTCCTTTTTTCTTTGCGTGAACCTTTCCTTATTAATATTCATCTCTCTTCTTTCTTGAGAAATCATATTTCTTCTTCTTCTAAAGACCAACCAAAATTCTTCTTTTCTCTGCTACTGTTTTACAAAGACGATCGTCTAGCAAGAGACCGTGAAATTGATGATCCATATACATAGCCAATACCAACGCCATGTCGAGAGAGGTCTCTCGTGTTTGTTTATGGAGGATTAATCCGAGTTCCGGCAACGAGTTCGAGGTGACGACGCAAATTACGGATGCATCTGTGAATATTTTACAGAGAGTATCGTGTCGATCACGATTTCTAGCCAACCATGGATATGCGGACCTGTCTTTGCTTTCGGCAAAACGTAAAGAAACTCTTGAGTGGCAAAGACGAGTAGGTTTGGAGTTTCGATGGCTCAGAATCAGAACTCGCCTGAAGAGAGAAGATGAAGATGACTTCGAGTTGCGTCATATCTCTCATCAACAAATTGCAATCTCAGCCCAAGATGATATGGGCTTCGGAAAACAGCCTATGGGCTTTCTAGCAAAACAACAATCCATGACCAACGTCTCCCAATTTCACGTAAGCCAGGTTTGTTCCTTTCTTAATTTCCTTTTTTTTTTAATAAAGATTTTGATTTCTTTATTAATTAACGTTATAGATAATAATTGGTTTTGTAAAAATATTATTTTCAATTATAAATATTCGGATTTCAAACAAAAATAAAAAGTTTTTTCGTAACTAATATTGTAAAATAAAATATTTTATTTTTAAAAATGTTTTCAAACTTAAATGTTAAATTTAAATACGTGAAAATGGTTAGACTTAGCATCCCGTCCTTTTGGTCCGTAAGTCTTGTGGTGTCATAAGTTTAACATGTTTTTACGTATTTAGATTTAATTTTAAGGTTTTTTTCAAAAATAATGTTTTAACTAAATCGCTTAGATATTTTTTAGCTAAAAATATTTTTATTATATAAAATATTTTCAAACTTAAATGTTAAATTTAAATACGTGAAAATGGTTAGACTTAGCATCCCGTCCTTTTGGTCCGTAACTCTTGTGGTGTCATAAATTCAACATGTTTTCACCTATTTAAATTTAATTATACTAATTCAAAAATTAATATGATTAGGTTATAGTTTTACTTTCTTTTTGGTTTTAATTTTTACTTTTAATTTAACTGTAACCAAACAGGATATATATATATGGTTAAAATTAAAACCGAAAAAAAAAATAACAGAAAGATTCAATCCTCATCACCTAACCAATTCCGCTTCAACTTCGGACCAGTAGGTCCTTCCTCTCCAAAAACTTCGTTAGGCAATCCTTTAACCGCACTCCTAAACGTATTCTTAAGACTCTCCCCAACCATAATCTTCTCCACACCTCTAATCTCATTTTCATGACCATAATCAATCTTTGGTCCCCAATGTCTCATATAATTCAACCAAGCCGGCTCCTCCACTTCTCCTCTCATATACTCTGCTGCAACAACCCTGAACCTAACCGCCGTATCAATTACTTTTTCACTCTTTCCGGTATCGTTCCTGATCCCCACATTGTCTTTGCCTTGTAACACAAGTCCCGGTTTTGAGTACATTGCATGTCCATTCAAAGAAGCATAAGCCACCGGTTTGTTTCCTCCGCCTTGAAACTCGATCTCCGAAGCATCTGTCCAGCTTCCTCCGCTGTGTTGCGACAGATACATCCGATGTAACTTGCCGCTGAAGTTACTTATTCGGAGAGTGAAATGTTCCCAGTCTCCAATGTGTTCGCCGATTCTCCCCAACGGGATTGTAGCGGCCTTGAGCTTGGCTCGTGACGGGCCGTTGAACGGATAAAACATCCACACGGCTATGTCTGTGAATGTTCCACCGAAAACAGGTTTTATGTGTAGATACACTTCCATGCTCTGCAAATCACCACCTTGAACTCGTTTCCTTGCGTCAGAAGCGACAGGTAGGTCTAACCAGTAGAGACCGTCGTTGGATTCACCTTGGGGAAGGTTTAAACCGTTTGGTTCGACTGGAACTGGGTTTGATTCCTCGCCTTTCTTGTAAAGCAAGGCGCCGTTGCTGAAGAACCAGTTGACAGATGATGGGAGATACTTCTCATCCTTGTGGAAATAGATCCAAGGGGCGTAAGCTTGAAACAGAGCATCGATCTGGAGCTTGCTTGGCATACAAGAAAAATCGAATTTGTTGTTTTTCAGACAAGGTAAGGTCGGACTTGTAGAGTTTGAGAAGAACGTGCCAACGCAGACTCCAGAGGCTTGTGTTCCTCTGTTAATAGGTTTAGAACTGGAAACGCTAAACCCATTAGATTCCCATATCTGAGCGTCAGACTCGGATTGATCGGTCAAATCGGAACGGACACAACGGATCTTGTCTAGAGGAGGTTTCTCATCGGAGGTTGTCACGATTAGACCCACTGCACTATAACCATCAGGAGGTACAGGCTGCCAAAAGTATCCAGTTTCAACCCCGTTGTTTTCTATCTTTGTAGATTTGCCGCTCCAAAGAAGAAGATAATCCACCGGCGGTCTCAAAGAGTCGCCGGAGAGGTCTTTTCCGACAAGTGTCCATCCGAAAAGCTTGCGGTTATTAGGTTGAGCGTAGAACCCGAGAATCGTAAAGCCTTCAGGTACTGAAGACGGCTCAAAGAAAGTGGCTCCGAGATTATCTTGTCCTCCTTCGTATACAGTCCATACTTTGTTAAATGTTTCTACTTGGAAAACTTCAAGACCTCCCAAATCGATTCTCCCTTTCGCAAATCCTTCTCCTGCAAACGTAAAAAGAAAAAATTATAAACACTCAAAACAAAACAGAGCTGAAACAGAGGAAAAACAACAAGTGAAAGTCAAAACAAGAACCTGAAGGCCAAGATGGTAATGGAGAAGGAAGATTGAAGGTAGAATCAATCGGCAAAGAAGGTGTTGAACTTTGAGCAGAGGATTTGTTACCCATTTTGATTTTCCCGAATTCAAAATCAAATAGTGACTTTTTATGATTAGTGTTGTGGAGTGGTAAAGACAGAATTAAAGGGAAATGGGGACAGAATCAATATAATTGGTCGAGTTAGATCAACCACATACACAAAAATTCAAAGATTTGGTCTTATCTAAAGAGAAACTCAGCACATGTTTGGTATTTATTGTGAAACGAAAAGTCATCGCAAATCACTGTTATGTTGTGTGGCCTTTGATTCGATCATCATAGTTCGTTATAGGATTTTAGCAATGTTTTGCACGTCTTACCATTACGTATGTTACTTCTCTTGTATTTGTTTTTCTTAATTTTTTTCCAAGATCTCTTTGGATTTTTCTTTTCCCTGTGAATTGTTTGTTACTTTGTTATGAATAATATCATCATGGCAAAACACTGTGTATATATAGACAGAATACACATTTAAGCTCTACAATTATATTTAAAATGTCCTTGTTTTTTTTCTCAGAAATATATGTCCACGTCACATCTATATAATTTGCCTTACCGGAAAATAATACATAATTCTTTTTTTCTTTTTTTTCCGTCAATAATACATACTCCCTCCGTTTTAAAATATAAGGCGTTTTAGCGAAAAATACGCCGATTAAGAAGATCTACTTTTTAAAAGTTCAGCCAATCATAAAAAAAACTGCATAATAAAAATAATCATAAAATATTAAAATAATATATAATTTGTCTAGAAACTTGAAAACGACCTATATTGTGAAACAAAAAAGTTTCTCTAAAACGCCTTATATTTTGAAACGGAGGGAGTAATTCTTATCATTCTAGTTTTGTTTTTAACGGATTCATGCGTTATATTCCATAGTTATAGACTTATAAGTGATTAATGAGTTATGATAGTATTAATTAGCCATTGATAATAGTCTACCGTCCAACGATTGATTCCTCAACGGAGCAAAGAATACGTTTAATTTACATTTATTAAACGTGCAATGCTTTTACATTTTATTTTTTTGCGAATTTAATCTAAAACAGCTGTATTTAGTTAACTATTAATATATACGTCTTTTATTATTCTCGAGTTATTTCAATTTCACTGTCAACAGTCTGTTGATTGATATCAAAAAATTGACAGATAGAAACATTTCTGATGACGTGGATTTTGGTTCTTAAATGACTATCAAATGTTCTTATTCAAATACAGAGTGAAAATCTCAAAAGCTTTGAACACACAGATCATCAAGGACATTTAACGTTTCGACCAGGACCACCATAGAAGAAATAAGTCCCCCAAGAAGTTCCACCATTTCCTGTCTTAATATTGTAACAGTTATGTTTATCAGCAAACAAGTAAAGTCCTTGTGGTTCTCTAAGAGTATTGGTTCCATCAACTATCTTAAGATTCCTGAAATAACTTGCTTTCTTAAAACCTTCGTCTGCAAAATGCCCACTTCCCATATCTGTGGTTGTGTGTCTCCCACCAGTCCTCGAGTTAATGATTTCGCCTCCCCATTCAACTCTGGTAGTTTCTCTTCCTAGAGAACTGAACAAAGAGCCTGGCCAGTACCCAATAACGTCCTTTTCATTGACCCTAAGCCACCAGTTTCCTGTTTTTCGGTCCTAGTGATTGCAAATTATCCATTCCGGGTTAAATGGAGAGGTAACTTTAGGGAAAAGGTATGTATCTTGCCATTGAAGTTATGTTGAATATATGAATCTCATATTGTTGAGGTGAAATATAATTACGTTATTACCTTCCATATAAAGTATGGAGAGATCGTATTGAGTTCCACGGTAGCGTGATATGGTGGTGATCGATCCACCAACAGTGTACCGATTACTCGTCTGAACAAAACCTGAGCAAAGAAGGTTGTAGCACCCTGTTTTTCTGTATCCATCGCGCTATTTACGAAAATGATTTCATAATGGTTAAAGTCTTAGACTCATAACTTTAGAGACCAATAGTAAAAGAAAGAAAACAAAAACTAGTTACGGACTTCTCTATAGTTATTTTCAGGATCCAAAAAAAAAAAAAAATAGTATATAAGACAAGTATGCGTAAATCTGCTGAAAAGGAGAACGTACCGTCCAATAAACAAAGAATCTAGGATTATTTTATTTTTTTTTTTTTTTTTTTTTTTTTGTATGAATGTAAAATTTATTCACCAAAAAAACTGTTTTACAATAAATGCGTCGTGTAAATCGAATGTGAATAGAAATGTTTTGAAAGAATTAAAAGAATTAAAAGTAGAGGAACGGACTAGAGACTATGGGTTTGAAACCAGAATCGTAGGCCGCCTTCGTACTCGGAGGAGCTTGACGATGCCAATGTGCTAAGTCTATTACGAACGCTCTTGTCAATCATCGAGATAAGCTTGGAAACTGGAGTTGGAGTCTCTCCATGACGTCGACTGTTACGTTCACGCCAAATGCTATGGATAGAAATCTGAAAGACGTACCGCAAGACGAAACAGTGAAGACGTGGAGTAGTTGAGACCGTGAGAATGGAAAGAAGGGATTCCCAACTTGTCGTGAACCTGTGATCAAGAATGCCACGGGAAAGCGCAGCCCAGACTTGGGAGGAGTACGGACAAGAGAAAAAAAGGTGATTCCTTGTCTCGACTCCTTCTCCGCAAATAGCACAACTTCCATTCGCACCAACGTTCCACCTAAGCAATCTATCTCCAGTAGCTAACCGATTTTGAATTGCAATCCAAGTTATGAAAGAATACTTGGGAGTAGCATTGGGGAACCATACTACCTTGTACCATTCACACCTTGGATTTGCTTCCCTTATTAAGTGCCAAGTTTGTTGGGAAGAAAACTTGCACTTATAGGAATCGTTTTGTCTTTTCCACAAAGAGAAATCTTGACCAGTTTGAAGAACTCTGTTTCGGATATTGTGAAGCTCGTCTTCAATTCTGTTCAAAATGTCATGCCGATGTCTTCTACGACGGTGAGTAGCAAGAGCTTCAGCAACAGAACTTCGTGATGCAATTCCCAGATCAATACTACCACGTGGACCTAGAATCTCAAACAAACTCCCAAGAGGGCACCAAACATCGTGCCAAAAGGATGTATCCTTCCCAGTTTTTACCTCGACCTTGTGAAATGGTCTCGCCGTTGGCCTATACTTCAGAATTCTTCTCCACATCCAAGACCCTGAGGTTGAGTTACCACTCACTGACCAGAAGGAGGCATTCCGCAATAGTGTTTTATGGACCCATGTGACCCACAACGAATCCCTAGCCGAAACCAATCTCCAAATAAGCTTCAAGACACTAACCGTATTAGACTCGGATAACATTCTTATCCCCAATCCACCCTCCTGTTTTGGTTTACAAACATCTTTCCAAGCAATCTTCGCCTTTTTTGTGTTTAAATCAGGGCCTGACCACAAAAAAGCGGAAAAAAGACTTTCGATTTCTTTAATGCACTTACTAGGCAAACGAAAAGCAGAGAGCCAGAAATTTGTGAGGCTTGAAAGGACAGATTTTATCAATTGGAGACGACCCGCAAAGGATAAAAACCGACCAGTCCAAGAGCTTATACGTTTCCTGATTCTCTCTATCAGAGGGAGATAATCAGCCCTTGTCATACCTTTGGTGAGCAGTGGAAGGCCTAGATATCTGACCGGTAGTGTACCCGCTTCAAAAGGAAATTGTCGAAGAATATTATCTCGATGTTGTGGAGTAGTCCCTGCCAGGAACAAGGTAGATTTCTCCAAACTTATGCTTAAACCCGAAATTGTTGCAAACCGATCAAAAACCTGCAGAATCCCCGCAACTGACCGAGAACAACCATCCGAGAAAACCAAAATATCATCCGCGAAACACAAGTGGGTGAGTCTCATGTTTTTACAACGAGGATGAAATCCTATTCGTTTATCCGCAGCCGCTTTGTCAAGCATTAGGGACAGAATATTCATACAAATAACAAAGAGGTATGGAGATAAAGAGCAACCTTGTCTTAATCCCCTCTCGCTCCGAAAAAAACCCGCCAGCTCCCCATTAACCTGAACTGAAAACGAAGCAGTCCCAATACATAACTCTATCAAGTGAATGAAGCTTTCCGGGAGATTCATAGCCTTAAGAATACTGAGTAGAAAAGGCCATTGTACAGAATCAAATGCTTTGGAGATATCGATCTTGAGAGCACAACGACGAGAGATAGATTCTTTGTGATAATCCTTTACTAGTTCCGATGCTAGTAACTGATTCTCCATCATAAGTCTATCTTTAATGAAAGCAGATTGGTTTGGTAGTATTGATGAGGGGAGAATCTTCTTCAACCGATTTGCCATGATCTTCGAGATCACCTTATACATGACATTACAACAAGAAATAGGCCTATAGTCTCTCATCTCTTGAGCTTCAGTCTTTTTTGGGATAAGAGCTAGAATCGTGGTATTAACTCCTTTCGGCAAAAAACCGTGTAAGAAAAAAGATTGAATAGCTATAACAAAATCTCTTCCTAGAATCGGCCAGGACTGTTTGAAAAACTCCACTGTATACCCGTCAGGACCCGGGGCTTTATTACACGGCATTTTGAACAGAACATCATGAATCTCCTCCTCTGTCACCTCACGCAACAAGTTGGCTTGATCTGAAGCTGAGCAGCGAAACTGCAGTAGTTCTTGAATATCTTCACTCGAAATACCCACAGATTCACATGGTTTTTGCGTTAGAAACTCCTCAAAGAATCTCACTGCTTCAGCTTTAATGTCTTCCTGTTGTGTAGCAATAGAACCATCTTGACATTTTATTTCCCTTATGGCATTTTGAGCTAAACGGATTTGAACTGCTTTGTGAAAGTACTTGTTGTTTTTATCTCCAACTTTAAGCCAGTGTAGCTTAGATTTCTGCTTGAGAAACCCTTCTTCTAGCTCAGACACATGATCCCAAATTTTATAGGCTTCAGCTTCTTCTTCCATTGCAGCAGGAGTAGGATTGTCCTCATATAGAATCTAGGATTATTATCATCATATAGTTCTGGATAAACCTAGAAATTATTAAGACAAACAAAGGTAGGGTAAGTTAAGTGTTTTGCATAAAAGCAAAGAAGATGTAGTCAAGAAGGAACCAAACCTGCCAACCAGCTTCAATGGTATTTAGACTAGAGCCATTTCCTGACACAACCCAAGTCTGAGCCAAACTAAATTCTTTAAGAATTTGGACATTTGGTTTCCACAGATTTATTGTAGCTTCTGTCCCATAAAATTTTCCATTCCTCACACCCATTAACGCGTACTAAATTAAAGGCACTCCAAAAGAAATGAAAAGTGTAAACCACAAGACATTAACAACAATACACGTGTGTGTGTGTGTGCATGTAGTTGTACCTGATGACCTAATGTTGGATCAAAGGTTGTAGTTCGTGGGATGCTTTGATGTGACTTTCTCCCAAAACTCCTGATGGATTTTGGTCTTAAGAGATCTTCTTTCTTTGTTCTTCTGATTGGATCGGAACAGTGTTTTTGGGACACTCTCCAGTCTTGTGCCAAACCTGAGTTATAGCCTTTGCCTCTCTCTTGGTGTACGTAGAATCACTTACCGGGTAGAAACTCGGTCTCATCTGCATATGTAAACTTTGAGTCACAATTGATTCAAAAATCATGTTTTCAAACAATAGAGAGACTGGGAGTGAAACCAAACCTGGATGGTATGATTTTTAAGTAAAGGATGATCAAAAGCCGGTTGATTAGTGATAGGAACACAATCTATTACATCTCCATCTTCACTCTATAAGAAAAGATGAATTAGAATCCTTTATAGAAACCATCTCTTAAAAAAGTACTTTGTTTTTGTCATGATATTTGCATATGACATTTATATAAGATATACCTTAATGGATTTAACAGTAGGCTTGTTGAACCGTTTCAAATGTCGAAATTCTTTAATTTCGCGGTGATCAAGGAACTCGTTTCCATCAACACAAATGGCGAATATCGCTGCTGTCACCATCACAGCTACTATGAAACCGGTCATTCTCATCATGGTAATACAATTCTTAGCAAAACTTTAAGACAGTATTCATTGGACTTTATAGGAGTAGATTGCTTATGTTTCATAAATTATTAATTTTTTCTAACCGGTCTTCTCAACTCCTATATATTAATACCCAAAATTTTCACTGTGAATATTTAGGTAGGTTAGTGCTTATATAAAATGTTTGTCAAATCGTTGACTGAAGTTTTATAATGCAACTCCATATCTTTAGTTTTTACCAGTCACATTATTTCACAAAATCTAGATTTGAATCCATAAAATTCAGGTTCGAGTCTTAGCTAAATAAACCTTGTATACATGCATGCATAGCTTTGATTAACCGGCCAGATAATTCTTGCGAAAATGTAAAATGACATTTGACCAAACGATGTATGATTAATCTAAGTGAACTGCAGATTATATATTATGTAACCTCGTCTTCGACGTTATCTATACAAATAAATTATCTGTGACAAGAAGAATATAAATCAATTATCATTCTAATAAAATTAAAATATCATTTGTTAGTCTGTCATGAACCATTCCGTGTGAGGTCACGAACTTGAAAATTGCATCAGTTCATTATTAAATTTCGAGATGAATTTCTAATATGGTCGGTACACTCTTTTATTAAACTTTCTTTTGGCACCATTGAATATTTTGTTACATGATTATGGTCGGTAAATTATAATTCTCTTAGTATGTTACCTTGATTATGCTTTTATGATTGAGAACTCGTCAACGCGATCAAAGTCAACTCTCTTGTGGCTTCTGGCCCAAAAAATTTCGTTGACTTTAACAGAGGCCAGGAAAGATAGATCTGTAGTTCAACATAGATTTAGTTTGAAATTATCTTAAGAAAAACTTTCGAAATTGTAAAATTTAACTTGCTTATGGGCTACATAAAAAGGATAAATCTTGAAAATAAAAATTGGTTTTGTTGATCATAGTTCCAATACAATGGAAGCCTGCTGATGAAAACAAAGTTTATGTTAGTCTTATATATGAAGTATCACAATAAGAATTAAAAGATTTATTCATGATATTAGTTTAATTAAGATTGGCCAATAATTCTAAAAGATACTGTTAAACATGACTGATTAATGAAGATCCAAAAACCAAAAGTCCCATCTCCATGTTTTGGTATATACAGACAAAGCTATTAACACAGGTCACTGAAAACAAAGTACCACTCATACACAAAAATAAATACAATATTCATTAATAATGTGATCATTTGATTTCAGTATACACATGGGACCATGTTCTTTAAAGAAATTTATCTTCTCTTCACTCCATGGAAACAGAGAAAACACTCTCAAACAAACAAACAAATTCTACAGAATTTGATTTACCATAAACCACTCTTCAAACCTGAAATTAATAATATACTTAAGAATGTGTATATATATATTATATGTTTTTATACAATTGATTTGGAATGTGATCTGCAATGTGAGTAAGTCGACCAAATCTTAAGGGCAATTAGGGTTTCGACCAGGACCACCATAGTAGAAGTAACTTCCCCAAGAACCTCCATTCCCACTTTTCACATTGTAACAGTTCTCTTGATCAGTAAAGACTTGAAGATTTTCCGGGTTTCTCAGTTCATTCGATCCATCAACTACTTGAACGTTCTTGAAGTAACTTGCTTTTCCCCAACCTTCCTCTGCAAACCTCCCACTTCCCATCTGAGTGGTCGTGTGTTGTCCTTCCTCAGACTGCGAGTTAACCACTTCGCCTCCCCATTCGATCATCGATGCACTTTCTGATAAGTAAGAGAAGAGTGAAGCTGGCCAGTATCCGATTATGTATTTCTCTCCAAATTGTAACCACCAATGTCCTTCTTTTGGGTCCTGAGGAAAAACAAAACTGAAATTTCTCAAACCAAAGCTTAACCAAAACCGATCAGTAGCACTAATTTCATGCCATACAAACAGAAATCACTAAATAGATGGTTACATGTAGTTTTCAGAGATGGTAGCAATTTGGACTTTTGTTGTTGGTTTACCTTCCAGATGAGTATGGTAATGTCATACTGAGAGTTTCCGTAGTTCGATAAAGGAGAGATCGATCCCCCCATTGCGATTTCCCTATTAATTTGAACAAATCCTGAGCACAGATGATTATAGCAGCCTGTGCCTTGGTATGCATCACTCTGTTTTCACAAGGGAGAGACAAAAGAATGATTCTTCAAGAAAGCCAAAACACACAAAAACAAAAAATTTAATTTGAATATTCAGAAACTTACAGTCCAATAAGTGAAGAGTCTGGTCCGGTTATCACCATACAATTGTGGGCTGACCTGAAACACAAATCTTTGAATCAAGAACAGTTTCTTTTTCAAGAAAGAATTACCAAAACCCAATAGAACAAAAATACCTGCCAACCAGCTTCAATACTATTAAGATCAGAGTTAAAATTTCCACCCAAAACCCAAATCTGAGCCAAGCTAAACTCATTAGGCATTTCGACATCCGGCTTCCATACATTTATCTTCGCTTTAGCCCCGTAGAAAATCCCATCTTCGACATACATTATAGCGTGCTAAATCAACAACATAAGATAGAGAATGAGGTTAATGGACACAACAAAAATGAGTAAAAAAAAACCAATTCAAATGTGAAGAAAAATATTACCTGATGACCATTTTGTGTAAGGACATTAGGTGGCTCAGAAGATTTAGGTTTAGGGATACTTTTCTGATTCTTCATACCGTAATTCTCAACGGAATTTGCTCGATAAAGATCTTGCCTTGTCGTTCTTCTGATGGGAATTGTGTTCACTGGACATTTCCCATTCACATGCCAAAGCTGCTTTATAGAATTAGACTGCTGATTCTTGGTTTTTGATGAAACTTTACTCTCACTAAAAACACTTTCTGGGTTAAAACTTGGCCACATCTAGAATAAACCCATAAACAAACAATGTCAGAACAAAAAACCACAGAGTATAGAATCCAAACAAAAAAAAAAGAGTAAACAGAACAAATTATAAACCTGGACAGTGTGATTAATGAGCAGAGGATGAGCAAAAGCTGGTTGGTCAGTGATTGGAACACAGTCAATTATATCTCCATCTGGGCTCTGTTTAAAACTCAAAAAAAATCAGCAAAAGAATGAAACTTTATGAAGTTTTCTCTAATATCTATGTGAATTATACCTTAATCGATTTGAGAGCTGGCTTGTTGAGTCGTTTCAAGTGAGTACGGATTTTAAGATCGGAAAAACCATTTCCGCCGGAGACGACAGAAGGAGCAAGAATCGCCACCGTCATTACCAGAGCTAAGAAGAAGAAACTAACCCTTGTCCAATTAGCAGCCATAGTTAAAGAAAAACCCAGAAAGGTTTAAGCTTTCTTTAACAGAAAGAGAGAATTTTGTTGAGAGGAAGATGAGAGGTTTTTCTTCTTTCTCTCTTTGTGTGTTTTTTTTTTAAGTATGGGATTTGGATTGAAGTGGATTGCGTTAAATTCTGGGCACTAATGACACTTTGGCAAAACCTTCATAAAAAGGACCCATTTTTTTAAATAGAGACAAGTGAATTTTTGGATTCTATTGCATAAGATTGGTTGCTTTCTTTTCTCTGTTCAATTTATTTTTGTCAGATTCTTTTCTGGAATAATTCGAAGGTTAGTTTTAAAAAAATAATTTCAAAAAAGAGTATCTTATTTTACTGTCACCTTTATTGAAAAAGGGAAATTTTACTGAACTGGAACATTCTACTCTTTTGTTACTTTAAAAGGTTTTTATTGGGATTTCAAATTTTTTGTTCCCAAGTTCAAATATTTTTCATTTGGGGAAATGACTACAAATCTTTTCTGATAAAGTGACAAAAAGTTACTCAAATTTAAAATCAAAAGATTCAAAACTAAATAGATAAAAAAAAATGATGTATATATGATTGAAAGGATTAAATGCAAATCTCTATTATTCTTTTCAAATTGCCTAATGATGCCCTATTAAATATGCACAAATCAATTTCTTAATTAACGTCTTAATTCTTTATTAACTGATCCAACTTCTCATCAACATAAACAATTGGAAATACTTATTGTAGAGAATCTAATCCGTATCAACAAAATTACTAGTTAATCATCTAGCTATTATTTTTATCATCTCTAATCACATAATTGTAGAATCTTACATAATTTTATTTAACTATTCACAAATCACAAATCGATTCAACCCAAAGTTTTGAATCCACAACCTACACTGCAATATACTCTCTTTTTATCGAATAAGTTAAAACCTTAAACATATATATCGATGTTGGCAACAAAAAGAACATATAGATACTATTAAATTACTAGGTCAACTATTAGAGCAAATGTTCCACACTATGATCACTAGTTTTAAAATATTTATTTTTAGAGTAAGATTAGAAAAGAAGGGCCGTGATTGGGTGGGAGTGAGAGAGCACCACAAATGTGAAAAAACAGTGTATAAGTCAAAAGTCAGAGAAGAGGCCACTAATTGTCGGTTAATATTATTAGGCGACATCTTCTCAAATCAATTTCCACACCTTTCGTTTTCCATTCTGTTACATCTCCTCCATCTTCATTTCCCACTTTCGTATTTTTTTTTTTTTTTCTTTTCTCTTTAAGCCGACTCATGGACCTATAACATTAATTTTGTATTGGCCAAAATACATCTTGTCTATTTTGGTAGTGAATTCGTACAATATCTTCTATTTTTAAGTTGTTAATACAAATATTTCTTTGATTTGTATTCATTTATTTACAATATTTATGTTTTTTGGTACACTATTTTTCAAAATAGTTCTTATAATATTAAGAATTGATGTGCACCGCTCCAACGACAATAGATATTTTAGAAAGTCATGCAACTTGGTTGCATCTATCGTCCGTACTAAAGTAAATTTTTATTTGCAAGAATTACTATCAAAGAATCTTACAAAAAATGTTAGGTGATGTTCAAATATTTTGGCTCCGTACCTATTAAGGTCTTCCAAATTTTCCAAATGAGTCATGCTTCGAATTAATAGATGATTAATATATGCAATGTATATTTTATTTTCAAATGGTTGATTAATTTGTATTTTTTTTCTTTAGTTCTAGGTTCTAACTTTAGTCTTGCTTGCAAAGTCAAAATATTCATGAACGGCGGCATCACAAAAGTACTATATTACGCAATTCGTTATAAAATCAATCAAACTTCTATAAATTATATAAAAAAATTAATCACAAAAAGAAAGCATTGGTATTGATTTGAACATTTGCTTTATTCCTCCTATGTATACAAGGACGTGATAAAGTGTAGGAAGTGACATCATTGTACATTTACGCTACACGTGAACCCTCCTTCAAACTTCTAACGCCAAATTGCCGAATCTTTGAATTTAGGAGAGGTTAAAATCTCACACGTCAAAATGTTTCCATTACAAACCAAATCTCCTTTTTTTTTTCTTCCTTTATTATTTCCAACGTTTTATATTTTTCTTATCAACATGCGAACTTCGAAATTGAATCCAAATTTTAACACACCACCGACCCTAGGTCAAATTTTAACTGGTCAAACTTCAATTATTTTAATCTCTCTGGACACTAACTTTATTATATACTTGAAAGATGGACAAGAAAAACAGAGAAAATAAACAAATTCAAAAAGACAAAAGAGAGAGTGGCTTCATCTCGTGGTTTATTTAAAAGGTGACAAAGGGGAATATTGGAGTGTTATGGCTTAACTACATGTCACGGGTATTCATTGATTGACTCATACACTTCATTTCAACGTCCCACTCACTGAATAAGATTACACACTAACAATTCAAATCCCACGCTCGATTTGGGGATAAAAGACTGGACCACCCCATAATGGGCTATGTCAATGGGCCTAAGCCTCGTAGTCCTCACATATCCAAAGACCTAAGAGCTTGATGCACAACAGCACAACAATATCCTGGAATCAGGAGCACAATGTCAAAGAGTGACAAAAACATTCTGACCAAAAACATTGCTACAATTTTAAAAAGACACAAACCTTAGTATACATTGTGTTTTGTTGCAACAATATTTTGCATCATTAGCGTCGAAACGCATTGCCTTCAGCTGCAGTTCCACGTTGTGAATAATAGCTTCTGCGACGAACACTTTCTTCAATTGTTGAGCTCCCGCCTTTCTCAATTCCGTACACACTTTTATTAGCATCGTCCAAAAAGCTTTTGCCCGTGGTTACTTTGTTCTTATCAGCTTCCACTGCATCAGTCTCATCAGCTTTCTTCAATCTTTTCCATCTTTGCTCCTCGTGCACCTCTGCATCCATTTGCATTTGCTTTAATCTAGCAGCTCTTTCTTCTTCTGATAGCTTAGAGCCACCTTTCCGGCGTCTATTCTGGTATTCATTCTCCCTCGAGGGATGCTTTCCATTGTCTAAATCTTCTGTTTTCCTCTTTTTATCCTCTTGACCATAACTCTTAAGATTTTCCCTTTCCACACCGCCTTTAGGGGAGTGATTCCGATATTTCTCATTCGGTCGAGTTTCTCTATGACTTTCTCTTCTTTTTGGTTCATCATCAATATCTGACCTTCGTCTCTTATCTTGACTTTCTCTTCTTTTGGACTCATCATCCAAATCTGACCTTCGTCTCTCATAGTGCTTATCAAGACTTTCTCTTCTTTTGGACTCATCATCCAAATCAGACCTTCGTCTCTCATAGTGCTTATCCCTACTTTCTCTTCTTTTTGACTCATCATCCAATTCTGACCTTCGTCTCTCATAGTGCGTATCATGACTTTCTCTTCTTTTGTACTCATCATCTAGTTCTGACCTTTGTCTCTCATAGTGCCTATCACGACTTTCTCTTCTTTTTGACTCATCTTCTAAATCTGACCTTGGTCTCTCATAGTGTTTGTCATGAGTCCCTGACGTTTTCTGATGGTGAGATTTTCTTCCGTTATACTCTTCACCAGAATCTTCCTCTGAATCAGATCGCCGTCTGGATGAAGATTGCTTCTGATGCTTTCCACTTTTACGCTTATGCTTTTTCTTGTGCTCCTTTGTGTCTCCATCTTTACCCTTTCCTTTTTCTTCTACCTGTAGAAAAAACTCTCCAACAGGGTCAGTAGATGTAGAAGGAAAGAAAGGCAAAAACATATATGACATCAAATACAATCCCAATTCTAAAACCCTCCATGTAGAAGATCAAAAGAAACTTACCGATTTGCGAATAAGAGCCATTTTGACAGGATTATTCTTGATTTTGGCAAGAGCTTCCTGCTCACGCTGCCTGATGAGAAGCAAAGGGTCAGAGTGAAGTTTCCTCCACGAATCATTAGCAGATTGCGCCTTCTCCTCAAACAGCGCACCAGGAGCCGACTGATCTGGCTTCTCACTGGCACTATTACCGGCTTCAGCTTTGGCTAAAGGCTGCTCTTCTTTCTGAAACGAAACACCTGAACCACTCGCACTTCCCTTCCCTACAGCTAATCCTGAATCATACAGAAACTCCAATCTCTCTTGTCTCCTGCAATAAGATAACAAAAAGTATAAGACTTTAGAACGACCCGCAACTTAAAATCACCGATTCCATCGCCAACCATTAAAAACCCAATCAAACTACCATCAGATGCATCTAATAGATTCTCTAATTACTCCAAAGTATACAACTTTAGAACAACCCACAACTTCAGATCACCGATTCCATCACCAATCATTAATCAAAACCAATCAACTACCAGAAGATGCATCTTATAGTTTCTACGCTAAAAACCCAAATCGCTAACCCCAATTCCGAAATTAGATATCACCCCAAATCAATTGGGATCGAGGGTAAGGAAAAAGACAAACTTACGGAATGAGACCGGCTTGTTCCTGGAGAGCACGAAACTCAGAACGCTCTCTCTCCTGCAAGATCTGGAGACGAAGCTCCTCAAGCTTTTTCTGCTCGGCCTCTTGTTTTTGCTCAGCCTTCCATACGGTCTCGATGTTACGGAGACTCCCCGTATGCCATCCCTTCTTGTTCAGAAATTTCATCCCCATGATTGCTTCTCTTTTTGTTTCTCCTACTCTCGCTTCAAATTCTGGTCACCTTTTTTTTGTTTCGTTCAAATCGAAAACTCGTCGAGGGTTGTCAATAATTTTCTCCGTCGCCGCCGTATAAACAAAAATATGAGATGAAATCTGAGCCGTCCGTTTTTAAAACGTGTGATGTCGATGTTATTATTGGGCCTCATGGGCTTGTTGTTAATGATCGTGCTAAACCGCAACTCTAAAGCTAATTGGATACGGTTTAGTTTGGTTTAAGTCCAATGAAATTCTTACTGGCTGTTGAAAAATGTGTGAAACTCTCAAATACTCGAGTTAAAGACACATTTGTTTCTGCTAAATTCTGGATAAAACAATGGCAAAGATTATTGATATTCAAGACATTATAAGACAAATGGCGTATATACAAATTCAATAATTTCTTGTTATTAGAGAGTTTGGTGAAACACCCAACACTTCAAAAGGAGTCTTCTTTGTTCTCTTACTAAAGATACTGTGATACAATGCTCAGACAAGGCTAATGGATCATTGATACTCAGGTATTACAAGACAACGAATAGTATTTACAAATTCAATTGTTATTTGAGGTATGTAAGAAGACAGATTATGAGTTTGAAGCCAAACCGAAGAGCTTGAGTGTTGCTGCACTGGAGATAATGACAAGTATGGCTGGCTTTTTGACTGTATGGTTAAAGTAACCTTCTGGGGAAAAAATCATCAAACAGAAGTTGTGCACTCTTGCTGATGGCACTTCTTCTGGTGCTGAATAAGCTGACTTCTAAGATAGCATTCTTCAATCTGCAGAATAAGGAAAACACTTTCTGATTTCAGAAACTGAAAAGAAACAAATGGTTATGTCACCCAAATGGCTATGTACAGGTTTTATACCTGTGATGAATGTGTTTTAAGCATTGCAACTCTGCAATCTTCTATTGATGCTTTCTCTATGCTGCTTACTCTTGCTAATTCCGACATTAAAGTCTCCATCTCTTGTGTCTGCAAAAACCATCAAAGAAGTTGTCTCACTTTCAACATTTGCTTGTGTAGAAAAGTAATTAACTTTGTTTCTGTTCATGTTCAATGTGAACTGTATTTTGCTAACCTTAGGCACAAGATTTCCAATGTTTTGGACAATGCCTTCCATAGACTTTGAAGCGACAACAAGTGCTTCTGCTAACTCTTTAGTCTCAACCTGGATTTGAGAAGCAAAATTCAAATGTTTTGTACAAAAGAGAACAAGATTCTTCCTAGTTGATGCGACCAACACAACATATACCTTGATTTTTGAATCGAGAGGCAACCGCAATGAAGCATTCAATAAAGCTTCAGTTGTTTCCAATAGAGAATTTGAGAATTCATCTTCAAGAACAGACCATTGCTCCAAAGAAGGAGTCTGCATAGAGTTAAAAGTAGTTTAGTCACCAATTATTGCAAACTACACATTTCCTCTAAAAATGTAAAAATAATGTGATTTTTCAGATCTTTACTTACTTGAGACTCTACAATCTCCGTGACAGCTTTCACTCTCCGTAAATGTTGGAGTTCTATTCGTTTCCTCTGTACAGAATCAGACAACTCCGACATTTTCAAACCAAGTGAATAAAACATTCTCTGCAAGAAAAACAATTTACAGTTAAAGATAGAGACTTTTTGCTAATTCAGCTTAATCCATAAGATTATAACCTAAACCACATTCATTTCTAACACTATGCAAAAGCTATCAAATTTCTGATTCTCAGGGTTAAAAAAAAAAAACAGAAACTGACCTCAGCTTGTGCTTTCTGAGATTGTGTTTTGACCTCAGCATTTGCATTTGCAAATCGCCATTGCAAGTAACGGTTATGAAGCAGTTTCAAAGAATGTATATCCGCTTGTTGTCCTAAAGCTTTCTTCTGCTTCTTTGTATCGGCTTGAATCTTCGAATTAGGAGCAACCGGAGGCAATGACAAACCAACACCATTTTTAAGCGACAATGAAGCTCTTACATCTCGAAACAAGGAAGAATCATCAGAACTCAAGGATCGAGAAAGAGGTGAAGCGGTGGGATTGTTGAAGAGTTTTGCTTGGTTCCTGATTGTTGGCAACAGATCTGAGCCGTTGGATTTGGAAATCTCTCTGTTGTTGTCTTCTTCACCGTCTGTGGAGGAAGATAACGAGATCCCGCTTGATCGGAGAAGCCTAGTCGCAGCGGAGGCGGTGAGCAAACGCTGTTGGTTCAACCGCGATCTAGACGGCGGCGGCAACATCGCCGTCGTCGGTGTGTCGAGACGGAGACCGTTCTCTTTCAACGGCTTAGATCGAATCTGCTGCTTTGGGATTTTACCTCCGTCGACTTGTTGAAGAGGAAAAGGCGAGTCTAAGCTACGCGCCGTCTCTGAAGGACGATTCTCGTCGCCGTCTGGCATTTTTAACTGCCGTCTCATCCTCTGAGCCGAAGTTGACCTTTGAGTCTGGTGTGGGTGATGATGCCTGGGAGAATTTGAAGTCAATAGATGGAGATCTCCGGCGGAAGAAGATGACGACGACGAAGATGATGAAGAAACGGGAGACATGAATCTTGAGCTCACTTCTCTTACTCTCGGCCGCCGCGTTGATGGTGGAGGAACCGGCGCCGGAGCAGTAATCGCCGGCGTAGATGGGTGCTCCATAGATCGGCCGATTCTCGCCTCCATTCCAATCAAATTTCTTCAAAAATAGACAAAATCGCCGGAGACTCCAGATGCCGGAGATTTGTTCCGATTAGAAACAGATATTACTCAAATCGGATTGAAGATTTTCGAAACCCTAAGCGAAGAGAAAGGGGGAAGAAAGATAAGAGAAGAAGAGACAATAAGGAAACTAGCCGTTGAGTAATGCTCACAAGCGCAACGGTTCTCTTGTCCGTGAAACGATAGGTTAGTATTTTAATTGCTTCTCTAAATTAAGTTAAATCAGAATATCAGATAAGATAAGACAGATTAATGTTGGTGGGCCTCTTAATATTGGGCCCAATAAGGAGCGTGTTCTTTAACGTGAGGGGTTGTAAATGTAACTATGAAAGTTAGATTGGGATAATTTGCAATTTCTATAAGAAAAGTTGGAGTGAGAAAGGTAAAAGAGTAGACTTTTGACTTTTCTCTCTTCGTCTGCTTATTTCTCTGCTAGTCTCATCAAGCTGCTACGATTTCTCATATAATGCCTTGTTAGAATCAGTTGAGATGGCTATACGAAACCCAGAAGTGGCAGCTATGGAGGAGTATACTGAAGCTGAGTCCTCTTCTAATGGAAAAGAGACTCAATTAGCTTCTGACTTATCCAAGAATCTTGATCTTGCTGAAGATGAAAAGGTTGACAACCAAGAAGATGAGGGAATCAAAGGTAAATCATTTCGTGTTGAATGATGGATCTTTGTTGCTTAAATGTGCACTCATGAGGGGAAAAAAATGGATTTTGTATATTTTTGCGTGTTCTTGATTATTACTAATTGGAGATAGTTGTCATCAAAGAAACTAACTGTCTAGGGAATAGTCTATGTGAAGTTGGTTCTTGAGTTTCTTTATTAAATGAATTTGCATTTACCTGTCTTTTCATTTTAGGTGAGGCTTCAACGAAGAAGAAAAAGAAGAAAAGTAAAAGCAAGTGAGAAATATATTTTGTTTGTTGTATTATTAATCTCTAGTGTTAGCTTTGATGATCTTACTTAAAAAGCTGATGATTGTTAATAGGAAGAAGAAGAATTCCCTTCAACAGACTGATCCACCTTCAATTCCTGTTCTTGACCTCTTTCCTTCTGGAGAATTTCCTCAAGGTGAAATCCAACAATACAAGGATGAGTGAGTTCATGTACCTTTTCTTTATCTAAAGAGGAAATTGCATCATCTCAAATGGACAGTAAAAAAATGAGTGTGTAGACTAGATTCTATGTACATTGAGTCTTGCTAGCTGAATCTATATTGTAATGTAGTAATTTGTGGAGAACAACATCCGAAGAGAAGAGAGAGATGGAGAGGCTTCAAAAGCCGATATATAACTCTCTTCGCCAAGCAGCGGAAGTTCATCGTCAAGTTAGGAAGTATATGAGAAGCATATTGAAACCTGGAATGTTGATGATTGATCTCTGTGAGACCTTAGAGAACACTGTTCGTAAGTTGATATCAGAGAATGGTCTTCAAGCTGGTATCGCATTTCCTACAGGGTGTTCTCTGAATAAGTTAGTTCTTCCTTTTAAATTCTCTCTGCATTTTTGGCTCTATCTATCAAAATTTACTTGAACGTTCAGCGTTGCTGCTCATTGGACACCAAACTCTGGAGATAAGACTGTCCTTCAGTATGATGATGTCATGAAGTTGGATTTTGGAACACATATTGATGGTATGATATAAACAAAAACATTTCATCTGTTTGTCGCTTGATATAAATGTCGCATAGAAACAATAATTTTGTTGTGTTGGCAGGGCACATTGTTGATTCCGCTTTCACAGTTGCCTTCAATCCTATGTTTGATCCTCTTTTAGCAGCCTCACGTGAAGCAACATATACCGGTATCAAGGTGCTCAATAATATGTCTACTAATAGGATTCTTCTGTTCTTGGCAAATTTGTACTGTTTACTTCTGTGAAGTTTGCATTGTTTTCTTATAACTATATTGAACTTCTTCCTATTTAATCTTTATTGATCAATCCATTGTGTTATTAATTTTGTTGGTTCAGGAAGCTGGGGTAGATGTCCGTCTCTGTGATGTTGGTGCTGCAATTCAGGAGGTCATGGAGTCTTATGAGGTTGAAATCAATGGAAAAGTCTACCTAGGTAAACTAATTACTTCAATGGCAACAATTTTGGTAGTTTCCATTTGGATTATCAGAAAACTATAACAATGTTGTGTTCTTTTGCGGCCAGTCAAAAGTATTAGAAACCTGAATGGGCACAGCATCGGACGCTATCAGATACACGCTGAAAAATCTGTTCCTAAAGTTAGAGGACTTAGAATGTAGCCATTACATGAAAAACTACGATGTGGGACACGTCCCTTTGAGGTTACCAAAAGCAAAACAACTCCTTGCCACCATTAACAAGAACTTCTCCACTCTAGCTTTCTGCGGACGCTATTTGGACCGCCTTGGTGAAACGAAATACTTGATGGCTTTAAAGAATCTTTGTGATTCTGGCATAATTGAGGTAAACACCTAAAGACTACACTCATATACATTCTCTGATGACTCTGTTCATGAACATTTTGATGAAAGTTGGTTTATTTTTTGGTTATTTGTAGCCATGCCGTCCAGTGTGTGATGTAAAAGGAAGCTATGTTTCTCAGTTTGAGCATACGATCTTGTTGCGGCCAACTTGCAAAGAGATTATTTCCAAAGGAGACGATTATTGAAATGGCTCATTTTCACAGAAAACATCAAAAGGTTTTTTCTTCTGGCAAATGTTTTGTTGTTTAATTGTATTGTTCTTCTTTAGATTGTATAATAATTGTTTGGCTTCTTCGGTCGTTCTTGTGACCGTGTGAACTGACAACAAAAGCAGTACTCAGTGGCGATGAAAAACGCAAAAAAGAAAGATGATACATTTTAACAATCTGAAGCAAAATTAGTAAGACCAGTCGATGAAATCCCCTTCAAAACGTATATGTAGTAAATTACATTTTATGATCCGAAAGTGCACCATATGAAGAAGCACTGCGTGAATCACCCCACCTGCATTGTGGGAAGTCTTCCCAGCCCTTAGTAATCATAGAACTTGAAACTTTAAGCATTTATCGAATGCATTGCTAACCATTTTACCACTTTTCATACTTTGTTTAGTGTTAAAAATTTGTTTCTTTATATGTTAATCTATGGCTAGGCATAATCAAAACAGGAGAAGCTAAGTGTGGTTGCCAGAAAATGGAGCGCACAAAAGCATATCTTCCTTAGTACGGAAAACATTTGCACAGGACGTCTCAATGGTAACGTAAAAAGGAGAAATTTTGGACTCATCAATCATACCAACATTCTGCAACTTCCAAATAACTCAAAATCTTCCAAATATTTCAAAATGTTTCAGTAACGCATGAAACATGGGAGAAGTAGTCCAGATAAAGAAGAACCAAAATATAAGATTAAAAAAAGTTCAAGTTACTGAAGAGCTAGCTTACCAGAGAACAAGCCCAAGTTCTGATGGCTTCAATGCACTCCTCAAATGGTAATTATAGAGATAGTAGTGAAGCTTAGCAGCATCTCCTGGATCATCAAACTTCAACTCTTTCAAGAAACTCTTATTGTGCATCACATCCAACGCGTTAAACACATCGAAACCTTTTTTCTTAGAGACAATTAGCACATCATTCATCAGCTTGGGAAACGAGGTCGTTTCCGCGACATTGTAGTAAGAGTAAGCACATTCCACTGTTGTGTACTTCGGGTTATCAGAGATTGTGAAAGGAACAGCGTAGAAGCTGCAGAAGTCAGTGATGACGTCATGAGTTTCTACTAAGTAACTGTAGACGACATCTTTTCTTGGGAGAAGCCAGTGCTCGACATCGATTTCATCAAAGTCAGTCGCAACTCCAAACTGGCTAAGGTATTTCCTGAGCAACCTTGTAACAGCAGGGACATCACGTCGTTCCATTTCCCTAAATCCAGGAGTGATCGGTGCATCTGGTAACTTGTAAAGTTTGACGGCCCTGCTCATTGTCATTCTTTGACGAAGCTCTGAATACCCAACATCGATTAGCTTCTTAGGGTTCAGGAGTCTGCCCCAGTATTGGCAACTGCTGAATGGTGTAGGCAGTATATCAAGTGAGGTATAAGCCGCTTGCCATATATTCTCCAAATGAACCCTTCTAGTCACCTCCTTGACCAGGATAGGAGCAAATCCCTTAGACCTATATTGCTTGATAACACACAAGAAATCGATTTTTGCCATGTTAACAACCACATCACGCACTTTGATTCTTGCTGGCACGCCACTGATGAAAGCAACGAGTTTCTTTGAGGCCTTGACACGGACTCCAATATGCCAGCTCTGGTGATAACGAGGTGGACATAATGCCCACCTTAGAAAATCCCTCGAGTAATCAACCCTGAACGGACTTCTCTCATCAGGATAGTTTTCCTTCAAAAAGTTGTACACTTGTGAACACATATCATCAGAGTTCATATCGCATGTGGTCCACTCGAGAGCATCAGGAAGGATGTACGGTTCTTGCTTGAACTCAGATAACGGAGTTGCGGGCTCAATTGGGCCTTCAGGCAAACTCGTGTCTCCGATATCCTTAAACTGGGCAACAGGTTGAGTCTCCCAGAACTTATGGGTCTTTGAATAATCCTGTGACCTTCGTACTATGGTTCCACCTGAACTATCGTGCTTGTTGGCGAATGGGTTTGCTCTAACGCTTTGATCTCCTTTCTCTTCTTTTGAGCCAGGCTGAGATTTTGACATGTTTTCGGAGTGGATTTGTGAGATCTTGCCGTCTTCTAAAAGAAACAAAGAAGCTAAACCACTGGCGTCCGTATAGGGTTTCTCGACTTCTTGTTTTTTACACCACTAATTTATAAAGGAAAGTGACTTGGTTTAGTGCTGATTAATGTTGATGGGCCTTGAAATAATGGACCCAATAAGGAGCGTCAAGTTGTATGTTCGGGGCTTACTAATAATGTGACATTTTGCAGTTCGATTATAAGTTAAATTCTCGACTTCTTGTACTAAATTATCAAGGCAAAGTGACGTCGTTCTCATGTTAGATGGACCGATGTTATTACGGGGGGCGAGTTATGGCCGGCCCGCAGGACAGGCCACCCAAGGGGTGGCTTGGGGCACCACAATTTTTTTTTTTTTTTAAGGTTTTTTGTTTTTTTTTTTGGTAAAAAGGCACATAAAATGAAAATATTTGGTAGAAACTAAAGTCTTTTTCGAAAAAAATAAATAAAATAGGGCCCAAACAATTAAATTTGAATGTAATAATATTCAAAATATCATTATTTTTGTATAATTTACTAAAAATAGGTCAAAAAAAAAATTTTAGCCCTAAAACTTATAAATATATTGGGTCTCATTTTATTTTTCGTGTAGGGCCTCACAAATGCTCGGACCGGCACTGTTACCGTCAGTCTCAAGTTGCGTTCACGGCGGAAGTTGGGGGGATTAAGGTGGGTTCGTTGTTTGCTCGGTGGTTAGCTGCAGATCCGTAGGATCTTAGAGGGCGGTTGTGGATGTCGGGTGTAAGGGTTTTGGATTTGAGCCACCATCCTTTAGATCCGCCACAACTTAGCATCCATCGAGCCGGATTGATTCGTCAAAGCTCAGGGATCTTGGTTTGTTTTTCCGGTCTGGAAGAGAGGGGTTTCCGTCCAGTGTGTCGGATTGCTTCTTCAGGATCTGATGCCGTCGGAAGAGGAGGAAGATGACGATGACGACGAAGAAACGGGAGACATGAATCTAGAGCTCACTTCTCTTACTCTGGGCCGCCTCGACGACGGCGGAGGAGCCGGCGCCGGAGCAGTAATCGCAGGTGTAGATGGGTGCTCCATAGATCGACCGATTCTCGTCTCCATTTCAAATTTCTTCCAAATTGACAAAATTACCGGAGATTCCAGATGCCGGTGATTTTGTTCCGATTAGAAAACAGGTATTATTCGAATTGGATTGAAATTTTCGAAACCCTAGGCGAAGAGGAAGAGAAAGGGGAGAAGAAGAAGAAGAAGAAGAGACAATGAGAAAACTAGCCGTTGCGTAATTTTGCTTCACAAAGCGCAACGGTTCTCTTCTTGTCCGTGAAACGATAGGTTTTTTTTTTGTCTTGCTTTCTCGATTAAATTAATAAGATAAGATAAGCAAAGATTAATGTTTTGAAAAAACTATAAGCAAGATTAATGTTAGTGGGCCTATTAATAATATTGGGCCTAATAAGGAGCGTTTGAGTTTGGGTGTTCTTTTAAAGTAAGGGGTTGTAATTGTATAAATGAAAGTTTTGTTGGATCTTTTTGCAATTATTTTTAACTTTCTACATTTTCCTGGGTAGATGAAGAAAAAAGTTGGGAGTGAAAAAGGTGAAAAGAGTAGACTTTGACTTCTGATGATGAATTTTCTTCTGCACTTCTTCTCATTGAGCCTCCTTGTTAGAATAAGTTGGGATGGCGATAGGAAACCCAGTGGTAGCAACTATGGAGGAGGAGAATACTGAAGCCGAGTCCTCTAATGGAAATGAGACTCAATTAGCTTCTGACTTAACGAAGAATCTTGATCTTGCTCAAGTGAAGGAACACGAAAAGAATGATAATCAAGAAGAAGATGGACTGAAAGGTAAATCATTTCGTGTTTTTGAATGATCTTGTGGTTTAAGTATGTAATCATGAGGGGTAAAAGATTGATTTTTTGTTCTCTTTCGTGTGTTCTTGATTATTATAATTTAGATTAATAAATCTGGTTATGTCATCGGAGATTGTAACTTTCTAGGAACTAGTGTATGTGAAGTTGGTTTAGAGTTTCTCCAGCTTATTGCTTTTATTGTTGTTTAATCTTTTTGTCTCTTCATTTTAGCTGAGGCTTCAACGAAGAAGAAGAAGAAGAAAAGTAAAAGCAAGTGAGAAGTTCATTTTTTGTTTCTTTTTTCTATTGATCTTCAGTGTTTTCTTTGATGATCTTGCTCAAAAAGCTGATGATTGTTTTTAGGAAGAAGAAGAGTTCCCTTCAACAGACTGATCCACCTTCAATTCCTGTTCTTGAGCTCTTCCCTTCTGGAGATTTTCCTCAAGGTGAAATCCAACAGTACAAGGATGAGTGAGTTTCACATACCTTTTTGCTTTATGCTAAGAGAAATCTGCATTATCTCTCAAAATTGACAGTTAAAATGTGAGTATGAACTAGATTCTATAAGACATTTTGGCTTGCTAGCTAAGTCTGTATATTGTAATGTAGTAATTTGTGGAGAACAACATCTGAAGAGAAGAGAGAGATGGAGCGGCTGCAAAAGCCGATATATAATTCTCTTCGCCAAGCAGCAGAAGTTCATCGTCAAGTTAGGAAGTATATGACAAGTATATTGAAGCCTGGAATGTTGATGATTGATCTCTGTGAGACTTTAGAGAACACTGTTCGTAAGTTGATATCAGAGAATGGTCTTCAAGCTGGTATCGCCTTTCCTACAGGATGTTCTCTGAATAAGTTAGTTCTACCTTTTTCATTCTTTCTGCGGTTCTTTGATTTTTACTCTATCAATGCGTCTCAAATTTACTTGGACATTCAGTGTTGCTGCTCATTGGACACCAAACTCTGGAGATAAGACTGTCCTTCAGTACGATGATGTGATGAAACTGGATTTTGGAACACATATTGATGGTATGATATAAACAAAAACTTTTCATCTATTTGTTGTATTTCTCAATGTAATATGTCGCATAAAAATAATTATTATGTTGTTTGGGCAGGGCACATTGTGGATTCTGCTTTTACAGTTGCGTTCAATCCTATGTTTGATCCTCTTTTAGCAGCCTCGCGTGAAGCAACATATACTGGTATCAAGGTGCTCATTCTGTTTCTGTTGCTAATAATATGTGCTTCTGCCTCTATGGCTACTTGTGGGATTCTTCTGTTCTTGGATATGGTGAATGCAGCCATTCATTCTGTAGTGACTTCTTTTTTGAAGTTTGCATTGTTTTCTTATAACTATATTGAGCTTCCTCCTTTTGCTTTTTTATCGTTCAATCCAACTTAATTAGTCCTTTGTGTTGTTTTGTTGGTTTAGGAAGCCGGGGTAGATGTCCGGCTCTGTGATGTTGGTGCTGCAATTCAGGAGGTCATGGAGTCTTATGAGGTTGAAATCAATGGAAAAGTCTACCAAGGTAACTAATTACTTCAATGGCAACATTTTTGGTAGTTTCTATTTGGATTATTAGAAAACTATAACAATGTTGTGTCTTTTGGGGGTAGTCAAAAGTATCAGAAACCTGAATGGGCACAGCATTGGACGCTATCAGATACACGCCGAAAAATCTGTTCCTAATGTTAGAGGAGGCGAGCAGACGAAAATGGAAGAGGGTGAATTATATGCCATTGAAACATTTGGATCAACAGGTAACAACATTTTTCACATCAAACTACAAGAGATGTGGATGTTTACGAATTCAGAATAAAATGGTTTTTCTCTCGTGTCATTTTGCAGGGAAAGGATATGTAAGAGAGGACTTAGAATGTAGCCATTACATGAAAAACTATGATGTGGGTCACGTACCTTTGAGGTTACCAAGAGCAAAACAACTCCTTGCCACTATTAACAAGAACTTCTCCACTCTAGCCTTCTGCAGACGCTATTTGGACCGCCTTGGTGAAACAAAATACTTGATGGCTTTAAAGAATCTTTGTGATTCTGGCATTATTGAGGTAAATTCCTAAAGACCTCTGATCACTCTGTTGATGAACACTTTGATGAAAGTATGTTTCTTTGGGTTATTTGTAGCCATGCCCTCCAGTGTGTGATGTGAAAGGAAGCTATATTTCTCAGTTTGAGCATACGATTTTGTTGCGGCCAACTTGCAAAGAGATTATTTCCAAAGGAGACGATTATTGAAATGGTGATTTTCACATAACTTGAAAAGGTTTTTGCTTTTGGCAGTTGTTCTTCTTGAGTTTGTATAATAGTTTTGGAAGGCTTTTTAAGTCTTGTGCTCAAATATTTTATGTTCTTCAAATATGATTCTAATCATAAGAGCTTAGCGAATCCTTCATCAATTATAGCTACATGTTAGCTTATTTGTTATTTTGATATACAATTTTGTTTTTTTTTAAGAAGCCTAATATAATTTCGAAAACTGCTGAAATAATTATCTTCAAGTTTGTCAGTTTTCTTTGGCAAGAAATTAGGTATTGGATTAAGCTGATGATAGGAAGAGGCCAAGCTTCTTCAAGATTCTCAAACCTGCTAAAAAATCTGACGTTTGAAGTTTTCTTACTGGTCTGAAATATTTTCTAATTTAATAGATGTTGAAAGTTGGAATCTTTGGTCTTCCATGTTTGATGAGAGTCTTAAAGGAACATATATTTGAATGATTCCTAGTATTTTTCTTTGTTGGTGGTACCAAATAGATTAGGTGAGATGTTGAAACTTTTTGGACCTAAATGCTTGATTAATGAGAGGATTTTGACTGCTCTTTGGACAATGTGTCGTCTTCTGTGATTGAGTTCCTGGTTTATACAATTATATAAGATATATAAACTTTAGCTTTAAATGCCATGTTACTCCTTTTGACATATATCTTCCTTCATTCTGCATGTTTGTGAGTCGAAAAGAGGTTGATTCCACACAATTTCAAGACATGCAGGTGTATGCAAGAATCTCCCGCATCTTGAAGGTGGTATGGGGAAGATCTTGGACTGTGAATCTCTCAAAATTCATGGGATCTTACCTTATGGAGAAGAAAAAAGGATGAGACTTAAGGAGACAGCGAGTTTCTGACTTTCACAAACGAAGGAGATAACTGTTCAATAAGACTTGTAAAGAGATTCTCAGGTCAAGAAGATGTACAATCATCGGTTCTTCTTCCTCCCGTAAGTTCTCTAATACACTTTGATTTGAGGACTGATTTATGTTTTTCTGTTTGCTCTTTGGTGATAAAGAAGATCATGTCAAAGATAGAAAAGGTCCGGTTATAGACTCTCTCCTTATCTCTAGGACAAAATGAAGATGCATACAGAATATATATGATACATGTTACAAAATCACACTTCCAAATAATTCAAAATTCATAATCTCATGGGACAAGTAGTTCAGATAAAGAAGAACAAAAAAAAAGAAGTAAAAAAGGTACAATAATAATAATTCAAGTTTGTTGAAACCAAACTAATATCCTCCAGCGCAAGTTGTTGAAGAGCATCTCAGCAAACAAGCCCAATTTCTGATGGCTTCAATGCACTTCTCAAAGGGTGATTGAAGAGATAGAACTGCATCTGTGCATCTCCAAGATAAAACTTCAACTCGTTTACGAAAGTCTCATTGTGCATCACATTTAACGCGTAGAACACATCACAACCTTGTTGCTTAGAGACGATTAGCGCATCCTTCATCAGCTGGGGTAACGAGGTCCGTGTCGCGACATTGTAGTAAGAATAAGCACATTCCACTGTTTCGTACTTGGGGTTATTGTCGTCGATAGTTAACTGAATCACCCCAAGTACGAAACAGTGGAATGTGCTTATTCTTACTACAATGTGGCAACACAAACCTCGTTACTCCAGCTGATGAAAGATGCGCTAATCGTCTCTAAGCAAAAAGGTTTTGATGTTTTCTACGCTTTGGATGTGATGCACAATGAGTCTTTCAAGAAAGACTTGAAGTTTAAACTTGACGATTCACAGATGCACTACTATCTCTACAACTACCGCTTAAGAAGTGCATTGAAGCCATCAGAGTTTGGGATTGTCTTCTGAGTACATTGAAACCAGCTGATGAATGATGCGCTGTTCGTCTGATACACAATGAGAGTTAAAGACTTGAAGCCATCAGAACTTGGGTTTGTTCTCTAGTAAACTGTTCTTTTCTACAACTATTAAAACTGTTACTGCTTGATCCCGAATGCAAGTAAACAATCATTAAACCAATGTTTAGCCTAATATTCATGGGAATCTTTTTTCAGACAAATTTGTTTTGGATCTTTAAGGTAGTGAAACTGATGCTTTTTATCAATAACATTACTGCCACATCAATATTGTTAATTTGTTATGGTAGACAGATGTAAAAACCAAAATCCCAATATTTTAGAGAAAAGGTACAAAAGCAAATCTTGGAAGGGTCAGCTTCTGGGTACAAGTTAGCCCAGCTTCTTGACCAAGTCTCAAATGCTTCATCCTTCCAGACTTTGAAGCTAGCGGGATCGACAATGGTTGGTTGAATGATTTCCTTAGCCGGGAAAACTCCCCATGTAACAGCATTCACATCAGATTGGGCAGCGTTCGATACCCAATTTTCTCCTTTGTTCACAGCCATGTAAGTAATCGATGGCAAAGCTTTGCATTTCTCCACCACTGCATCTAATTTCTCCTTTGAGCAGAAGAACTCTAGATAAGCCTTTTGGTATACATATCCAACAGGACCTCCCCATCCTGCAAATCATACAGTATCGATGAATCAGGGATCAAAACTCTGAAACACTATTTGCTATGAGAACAGAGATTTAACAGGACTGATTCCTCACCAACAGTTGGGGAATCAGATCTCTCGGCGTTGACTGATGGTCAAGAAGCCTTTGGAGTTGATTTTTACCAGTTGCTCGTTTATTATCTTTGTCTCTGGCTGGAGTCCATCTAATTCAGACCAGGGACTGCTTTTTAGGTTTCCAAGGCAGAGCTCCTTAAATTTCTGTTATGTGACAGTTTTTGGCAAGATTATTGTAAACATCTGCCTTTTTTGCAGGTGAAAGTGAAGGACCAGCTGTTTATGTGTGGTAGTGAAAGAAATGTTCTACCTCCTGAATATCTTCAACACTTTTCAGTGGGACAACCCATTCTTGTTGAAGCTTCTTGTCACGTGCTCGTGGACGTGAGAACTGACAACAAAAGCATTTAGTTCAGCAGATAAGCTCACATGAAGATGTTACATTTAACAATCTAGAGAAAATCAATAAAACCAATCGAATGAAATCCCTTCAAAACCCATTTGCTATGAAATCCTGAAAGAGAGTTATGCAATTACAGATGATGTATTGTTGTACCTGATGATCCAAGAGTGCACCATATGAAGCACTCCGTGAATCACCCCACCAGCCTTGTGGGAAGTCTTCCCAGCCCTTGGTTCTAGAAATGTAGCTCTTTGGACGGTTTGCCCTTCAAAATATTAGAAGAAAGCACAAGTCTTATTTTCCCTGCGGATTAAATCTGTGGTTAAGCATAATCAGAACAAGAGAAACTAAGTGTTGTTACCAGAAAATGGGGCGCACATCTTCCTTAGTAAAGAAGGAGAAATTTTTGGACTCATCAATCATACCAAGATTCTGCAACAACAACAAAATAGTTAGGCTACTCCACTATCAGTATGATGCTTAACATATAATTTACAAGTAGAAAAGGTAGTAGAAAAGCTGAGGACCAACCATCAATATTGCAAGAGCTGTTTTCTACATGTTCAATGTGTAGAGATGAAGAGGCTTGATTCCATGAGCCAACATATTTTTACACATCTCTGTCCCAAGGTGAAGACCATAGGCTTTCACAGCTTCTTCGTTATCCTTGATAGGCTCCAACGCAGCCATGACCTCAGCTGGTATCTACAATATGGAGCATTAAAATCTACATTAATATGTGAGGATCACCATCATACATACACAAGCATATGAAAATCTATCTTTCTTTTATTTCACAAAAAGCACCGTAGCTCAAGCAATTCCCTTTGAAAAGTAACTCAAACAAAACACTTTCTCTGAAACGAAGAAATCTTAGATACACTTAATTAAATCAATATGTCTTAAGCTTGCAAACGAACACTGGAAACAATATATTCACCTTAAAGGTTATCCATTTGCAGGAAGTGGTGTGATTGCTAAGAGATCAAAATTTACTTTAGTCTTGCGGAAACCAAATTGATACAAAAATTTAGTCTTGATGAAACATTTAAGCAAAAAAAATAATACCTTTTTTTTTCTTCAGATACTCAAGATCACTACGATAAGCTTCATTCGTGATGAGCCTCTGAAAAAATCAAACACACAAACATCAAAATTTTAAGCTACAAATTACATGTAAACCAAACCAGAAATTGAATTCAAAATCGAATCGGCATCATACCCACAACGCAGAAAACGTTTTGCATCCTCGAAGTGATGTCGTGCGTTGGATCTGTGGTAGTTCCACCAGCTCCCCAAGTGATATCGCATAACGTTGGACCATTCGCTCGACATGGAATGTGCCGAGGCCAAGCCAAGTTGTTGAAGCTTGAGCCTTTGATCAAACCTGCTACAAGAAAAGAATAAATCGGCAGGATGAAGAACAGAGAAGAATCTGAAGCATTGAAGAAGAAGAAGAAGAAGAAGAAGCAAAGTCAACGACAAAGGGTTAGTCAAAGAAGAAAGTGAGGTCTTATGTCATGAACTTAAGAGGGCCATTATTGGGCTTCAGTTAAGCCCATATTATAATTGGTGTTTTTGGTATAAGAGGGAATCGACAAGAAGAAGAGGAAGCAAGAGTGCAAGACAAGAAGAAGAAAGTTGTGTTGTGTGACTAAAGTCAAGAAGCCTAGCTAAGTCATTAAGTCAACAACCCTGAAACAGTGAGAGTTAAGGAGGTGAAAGATAACACTTATGAGAAAGTTCAACACAAGTTCCTTTACCACAAGCTTTATGATAATTGTGAATTTGGACTTGCGGTGATAAGCTGACCAGTACTAATCTTTTTGGTTTAAAATAACAAAAACATTAATAATGATTACAACTTTTGTGATGGAAATTTTTGTCCAAAGTACTAATAAAACATTGAACCATCACCTATATTCGAATACAAACGAACTCATACAACTATTCTTCTTCTATGTTTCTTTTAAGACTTGTAAATTTGTTAAAGAGTAAAACGTACCCATGTTTTTGACGGTTGATATCGATCAGAGTATATGAATATTTAAAAGTTGAAAATACAAAAGTATCATAATGTTACATACGTGTGTGTGTTTGAATCTCCTTATTAGATTTTGTTTGTGCTTCTTACATCACTGTCTCTGTTCTTAAAACCAGCAAAAAGACTGCCTCCTCAAAGAATAAATTCAGAAATTGATATTGAAAATTTGAAATTGAAGATAAACAAAAGAAATAAAAAATCAAGTTTGTTGATGATACAAAACTAAGATCATCCAGCGCAAGTTGTTGTAGAGCTTTTCAGAAAACAATCCCAAGTTCTGATGGCTTCAATGCAGTTCTCAGACGGTAATTGTAGAGATAGTAGTGCATCTGTGCATCTGCTAGATCAAACTTCAACTCTTTCAAGAAACTCTCATTGTGCATCACATCCAACGCGTACAACACATCAAAACCTTTTTGCTTAGAGACGATTAGCACATCATTCATCAGCTGGGGTAACAAGGTCTTTGTCGCCACATTGTAGTAAGAATAAGCACATTCCACTGTTTTGTATTTCGGGTTACCGACAACAGTTAAAGGGACAGTGTAGAAGCTGCACAAGTCAGTGATCACGTCATGAGTTTCTACTACGTAACTGTAGACGACATTTTCTCTTGGGAGAAGCCAGTGCTCGACATCGTTTTCATCAAAGTCAGTCGCTACTCCAAACTGGCTAAGGTAGTTCCTGAGCAACTCTGTAACAGCCGGGACATCACGTCCCTCCATTTCCCTAAACCCAGGAGTGATCGGTGTATCTGGTAACTTGTAAAGTTTGACGGTTCTGTTCATTGTCATTCTGTCACGAAGACATGAAAACCCAACATCGATTAGCTTCTTCGGGTTCAACATTCTGACCCAGTATTGGCAGGTGGTGACTGGTGTAGCGCGTATATCAGGTAAGCTATAAGCCGCTTGCCATATATTCTGCAAGTGAACCATTCTAGTCACCTCCTTGATCATGACAGGAGCAAGTCTCTTTGACCTGAGCTTTTTGTGAACACACAAGAAATTGATCTTTGCCATTTTAACAACCTCATCATGCACCCTAATTCTTTCTGGCACGCCACTGATGAAAGCAACGAGTTTCTTCGAGGTCTTGGCACGGACTCCAATATGCCAGCTCTGGTGATAACCAGGTGGACACAATGCCCACCTTAGAAACTCCCTGGAATAAGTTTCCTCGAACAAATATCCGTCATCAGGATGATGTACCTTGAGAAAGTTGTAAACCTCTGAACACATATCATCAGAGTTCAAATCGCATGTGGTCCATTCATAAGGAGAAGGAAGGTTGTATGGCTCTTGCTTGACCTCAGATAACGGAGTTGCGGGCTCAACTGGACCTTCAGGCAAACTCTTGTCTCCGATATCCTTGAACTGCCCAACCAGTTGAGTCTCCCAGAACTTATGGGTCACTGAATTCGGTAACCTTGGAACTGATGTATCGTCCTTGGCTACTGGGTTAACTTCAACGATTTGATCTGCTTTCTTTTCTTTAGAGATAGGCTGAAATTGTGACATGTTTTGAGACTGGATTTGTGAGCTCTTCCCGTGTTCAGCTCTATCAGAAGCATTGACGACATCAGACGGCTTCATCTCCAAGAAACAGAGAAGCTAAGTGGCTGGCGTCCGTTTAGGGTTTTCTCGAGATCGTGTTTTTTTAACATCACTAAATTATAAAGGTAAAGTGACGTCGTTTTGATCACTTTAGTGCTAGATAGGCCGATGTTATTATTGGGCCTGTAACACAGTCCACTGAAACCTACAGAGAATGTTTAAATGACTCTTGACACTCAAAATAAATATATGTTGAAAAAGAGAAAAAAATGTAAATATATGTTGGGGCATTTTGCAGTTTGTGTTCGTCGATAATAGGCCCAATAGGCCCGTGAAGTTTGTGTAGCGGCAATCTTTCACGTGCGACGACCGTCTCCGTTTGCTCCAACTGAATGTTTTTGTTTTTGAGAAGGGAATTATGGCGCCAAATTTCTGAAAAGGCAGATGATGACACGTGGAGTCGCCTCAATCTGACGGTAACTTTTGAAGAAACCTGAGGGTCAAAATCGTCTATATTTCTGCGTAATCTTCAAAACTTACCCAATTTGCGAAATTAATCTCTCTCTCCTTCCCCGCCTCTGTGTTTCTCTCACTTTTCTCCGATCGTAGCTCCGGCGATCTTCTTCCGATTCTTCAAGCCAGAGCTCACTTTTCTTTGTTTTTGTTTCGATTCTTCAACCCAGAGCTCGCCATCTTCAGATTCTTCTCTCGCACTTCAACCCGAAGCCTTTGGTAAGTAATTCGTCATCGTTGATACTATAGTATCGCTCAGTTTTCTTGGGATTTTGTTTCGATTCATGGCCTTATATCGAATTCTTCATATCGATTTTTGTCCCGTTTCGTTTATATGGAGAGATTTAACTCGATCTGTGAATTAGATACTCAAAGTATTTGTGTTTTGTTGCTAGAGATTTTGGGATCGCTATATCTAGGGTTACTAATCTTGATAACGCTTCACACTGTAGCTAACTCGGAATTTGTCGTTTTCAGTTTTGATTCATGGTTGTTGCTAGAGTGCGTTTTCGCTTGCTATGTATTCATGATTGACTAATCAAATCTTTTTTGTGCAGACGAAATATCAAAATGTCAGATCCAAAACCGAATCCTGTGAAAGACGCACAAGGTGCTGATGCCAGAAGCTCACAAATTCAATTAGCCAAGGAAGATACTCCAGGTGGAACCATAGTTGGAAGGTTACTGCATTGCCAGTGTTGTTCAAAGACTCATAGTGGGTTCTGGGAGACTCAACCTGTGGCGCAGATAAAAGATATCGGAGACACGAGTTCGCCTGAAGGCCCAATTGAGCCCGCAACTTTGGTATCTGAGGTCAAGCCAGAGCCGTATAACCTTCCTGGTCAATTTGAGTGGACCATATGCGATATGAACTCTGATGATATGTGTTCAGAGATGTACAACTTTCTCAAGGAAAACTATCCTGATGATGGACATAGGTTCAAGGTTGCTTACTCCAAAGAGTTTCTAAAGTGGGCATTGTGTCCACCTGGTTATTACCAGAACTGGCATATTGGAGTCCGAGTCAAGACCTCGAAGAAACTTGTTGCTTTCATCAGTGGCGTGCCAGCTAGAATCAGGGTGCGTGGTGAGGTTGTTAAAATTGCAAAGATCAATCTCTTGTGTGTTCACAAGAAGCTCAGGTATAAGGGACTTGCATTTGTCATGATGAAGGAGGTGACTAGAAGGGTTCACTTGCAGAATATATGGCAAGCGGCTTATGCCACATCTTATATACTCTCTAGACCAGTCACCATCTGCCAATACTCGGGAAGAATGTTGAACCCGAGGAAGCTAATGGATGTTGGGTTAACAATGCTTCGTGAAAGAATGAAAATGAGCATGGCCATCAAATTATACAAGTTACCAGATGCACCAATCACTCCTGGATTTAGGGAAATGGAGCGACGTGATGTCCCTGCTGTTACAGAGTTGCTCAGGAACTACCTTTGCCAGTTTGGAGTTGCGATTGACTTTGATGAAAACGATGTCAGGCACTGGCTTCTCCCAAGGGAACATGTCGTCTACAGTTACTTAGTAGTAAGCCCTGAAAGTCATGACGTCACTGACTTCTGCAGCTTCTACAGTGTCCCTGCAACTATCACCAACCGGAAATACAAAACAGTGGAATGTGCTTATTCTTACTACAATGTAGCGACAGTGACCTCGTTACCCAAGCTGATGAATGATGCACTAATTGTCTCTAAGCAAAAAGGTTTTGATGTGTTTTACGCGTTGGATGTGATGCAGAATGAGACTTTCTTGAAAGAGCTGAGATTTAATGCCAAAAATTCACCGTTGCACTACTATCTCTACAACTACCGTTTGAGAAATGCATTGAAGCCATCAGAACTTGGGCTTGTTTTCTAGTGCTGTTAACACCACTGTTCTAAGAACAACAACATTCTAGATCAGAAGTCAGAACAATCCGAGTTTGTGAAGACAATTCTGTCTCCTAGGACCAAGTGGATTAGTTAATGGAGTAGACGATTTCTTTTTGTTTTGGATTATAAAAAGGTAATGAAACTGATGCTTTTTTGTTCTCACTCACATTATTGCAAATCAATATGAATACTCTTTGTAACTCTCCTCCACAGCCAACTGAAACTCACAGAGAGTGTTTGAATGACTCAATTGATGCCCCTCGAAATAAATTAGTGGGAATTTAAATTAATCAGATAAACCTGATTAATGTTGGTGGGCCTTGAAATAATGGGCCCAATAAAGGAGCGGCAAGTTGTGTGTTCCTAATTCCTAAACGTTGTGTTGGGGCATTTTCATTTTCTGGGATAGACGAAGAAGAGAACAAAAATTGGAAAAAAAAGAAAAAGAGAGACTCTTTTGAACAACAAACAAGGAAAAAAAATGGGTAGACTTTTTAGTCCAATCAAAGAGCAGAGTTGTTTCATCTTCTTCGTCTGAATAATTTATGGGTCTCATTAAGCTTGTACGATTTCTGGAAGAAGAAGGAATCAAAGGTAAATCATTTCTTTGTTTAATCTTGTGCACCCATGAGGACCAAAAAAAAATGGCTTTTTTTTTTTTGTCTCTCACTCGTGCTCTTGATTGTTATTAAATGGAAAGTTTGAATTTTTCGTTAAAAAATTGAGATTCATATTCGAATGCTTCCCGATCCGAGATGACTGACTCACCATAGAAGCTAACTTTCTAGGGATTTTAGTCTTATGTGAAGTTTGTTTTTAGGTTTCTTCCTTTAGTGGTTGATTTTTGTCTTTATTTAGCTGCGGCTTCAACAAAGAAGCTAACTTTCTAGGGATTTAGTCTATTATCCTTTAGTGTTTGCTTTTTTGATGATCGTTAACTCCAAAAGCTGATGATTATCACTGCTGCTTGGTGTTGATTCTGATGGAACACGTATTTTTCAATACAAATGTCACATATAAACTAATAATTTTGGTTTTTTTTTCAGGGCATATTTGTTGATTCCGCTTTTACAAATCTCCTCTCTTAGCCGCCTCCAGTGAAGCAACATATACCTCAGTGTATCAAAGGTGCTCAAATGCCCCCAACACAAATGTCACATACAAACAATAGGCCCGTCACGTTCACAACTTTTGGGTCCATTATATTGTTTTTGTTGCTAATAAATCATTTGTGCTTCTTCTGCCTAAGGATTCGTGTAGGATTAGAGAGTTTTAACTAAAAAATTAATCAGATCGCATGATTAATGTTGTTGGGCCTTAAAATAATAGGCCCAATAAGGTATGTGTTTGTGAACGTGAGGGAAGAGGCTTATTAATATAAATATGAAAGTTGTGTTTGGCCATATTGCAGTTTGTTTTCGTCCGTCAATTATAATGGTCCGTCAGGTTTGTTTTAACAGATTGCGACGACGACCGTCTCCGTTTGCACCAACTGAATTTTTTTGAGGAGGGAATTATGGCGCCAAATGTTTTAAAAGGCAGATGATGACACGTGGACTCGCCTCAATCTGACGGTAAGTTTGTGAAGAAATCTCATGGTCAAAATCGTCAAAATCATCTTCAGGACTTTCGCCTCTCAGTGTCTCCAGAAATTTCGAACTTCTGTTTTCTCTCACTTTTCTCCGATCGTAGGTCAACTATTTTCCGGCGATCTTCTTCCGATTTTTCAACCCGGAGCTTTTGGTAAGTAATTTCGTCATTGTTGATACTATCGCTTAGGTTTTGTTTTCGAATCATGGCTTTGTATCTGATTCTTCATAGCGATTTTTGTCCCCTTTAGATTATATGGAAATATGTAACTCGATCTGTAAATCCGATACTCGATTTCGGGAAAGTATTTGTGTGTTGTGGCTAGAGATTTTGGGATCGCTTTGACTAGGGTATCTAGCTCGGCTTTCTTATTCGTTTTCAGTTTTGATTCATGGCTGTTGCTAGAGTGCGTTTTTGCTTGCTAGCTTAATATGCTGTGTATTCATGATTAAGCAGTCAAACTTTTTGTCTCAGAGGAAACATTACAATGTCAGATCCAAAAGTGAATGCTGTGGAGGATGCACTAGTTGCTGATGCCAAGAGCTCACAAATTCAATTAGCCAAGGACGATACTTCAGGTGGAACCATACTTGGAAGGTTACTGCAGTGCCAGTGTTGTTCAATGACCCATAAGTTCTGGGAGACTCAACCTGTTGGGCAGTTTAAAGATATCCAGGACACGAGTTTGCCTGAAGGCCCAATTGAGCCCGCAACTTTGGTGTCTGAGGTCAAGCAAGAGCCGTACAACCTTCTTGGTCAATTCGAATGGACCATATGCGATGTGAACTCTGATGATGTGTGTTCAGAGATGTACAACTTTCTCAAGGAAAACAATTCTGAAGGGGGATATATCAAGTATAATTACTCCAGGGAGTATTTAAGGTGGGCATTGTGTCCACCTGGTTATTACCAGAGCTGGCATATTGGAGTCCGTGTCAAGACCTCGAAGAAACTTGTTGCTTTCATCAGTGGTGTGCCAACAAGAATCAGGGTGCGTGATGAGGTTGTTAAAATGGCAAAGATCAATTTCTTGTGTGTTCACAAGAAGCTCAGGTCTAAGGGACTTGCTCCTCTCATGATCAAGGAGTTGACTAGAAGGGTTCACTTGCAGAATATATGGCAAGCGGCTTATACCTCACGTCATATACTTTCTAGGCCAGTCACCAGCTGTAGATACTGGGTCAGAATGTTGAACCCGAAGAAGCTAATCGATGCTGGGTTGACAAGGCTTCGTGACAGAATGACAATGAGCAGGACTGTCAAACTTTACAAGTTACCAGATGCACCGATCACTCCTGGATTTAGGGAAATGGAGCGACGTGATGTCCCTGCTGTTACAGAGTTGCTCAAGAACTACCTTTGCCAGTTTGGAGTTGCGACTGACTTTGATGAAAACGATGTCAAGCACTGGCTTCTCCCAAGGGAAAATATCATCGACAGTTACTTAGTAGTAAGCCCTGAAACTCATGATGTCACTGACTTCTGCAGCTTCTACACTAACTCTACAACTATCCCCGGTAACCGGAAATACACGACAGTGAAAGGTGCTTATTCTTACTGCAATGTATCGACACTGACCTCGTTACCCCAACTGATGAATGATGCACTAATCGTCTCGAAGCAAAAAGGTTTTGATGTGTTCTACGCGTCGGATGTGATGCAGAATGAGAGTTTTTTGAAAGAGTTGAGGTTTTATCCAGGATGTGGACAGGTGCACTACTATCTCTACAATTACCGTTTGAGAAATGCATTGAAGCCATCAGAACTTAGGATTGTTCTCTAGTACTGTTGAAACCGCTGTTACCGCTCCCCAATGTAAACAACCTATGATCATTAAACCAATGTGTAGCCTAAGATTCCTCTTCCTAGATATCATTTGCAAGTAATATAAACAAAAGTTTAAAGCCTTTTATCTTTTTGCGTGTCTTTTTGTAGTTTTGCTCTGAACTATCAACACAAACAAAACTTCCCGAAGAATTGTTTTGTTCTGGATATTTAAGGTAGTGAAACTGATGCTTTTTATCAATAACATTATTGGCACATCAATATTGTTATGGTAGACAGATGTAAAAAACCAAAATCCCAATATTTTAGAGAAAGTACAAAAGCAAATCTTGAAAGCAGTAGGAAACCGATATACTGTAATTGTTTCTTGATTTTCTTGATTTTCTCAAAGATCGGCAAAGACCGCGAATATGTTACCATTGATGTAATCGTTCTCCACCAAGCTTACCAAATAGTAGCTGTTCTTCACCTGCATTTTTGGATCAAAATGTCCATTAGTCATTATAAATAAACCATTGTCAAGAGCAATAACTAACCCGATCAGATCAAGAAAAATGTATTAACTTACCTCCTCGAGCAAGTTTCTGGAAGGGTCGGCTTCCGGGTACAAGTTAGCCCAGCTTCTTGACCAAGTCTCAAATGCTTCATCCTTCCAGACTTTGAAGCTAGCGGGATCGACAATGGTTGGTTGAATGATTTCCTTAGCCGGGAAAACTCCCCATGTAACAGCATTCACATCAGATTGGGCAGTGTTCGATACCCAGTTTTCTCCTTTGTTCACAGCCATGTAAGTAATCGATGGCAAAGCTTTGCATTTCTCCACCACTGCATCTAATTTCTCCTTTGAGCAGAAGAACTCTAGATAAGCCTTTTGGTATACATATCCAACAGGACCTCCCCATCCTGCAAATCATACACAAGCAGAAGTATCGATGAATCAGGGATCAAAACTCTGAAACACTATTTGCTATGAGAACAGAGACTTAACGGGACTGATTCCTCACCAACAGTTGGGGAATCAGATCTCTCGGCGTTGACTGATGGTTGGCTATTGATGGTCAAGAAGCCTTTGGAGTTGATTTTTACCAGTTGCTCGTTTATTATCTTTGTCTCTGGCTGGAGTCCATCTAATTCAGACCAGGGACTGCTTTTTAGGTTTCCAAGGCAGAGCTCCTTGAATTTCTGTTATGTGACAGTTTTTGGCAAGATTATTGTAAGTAAGCGTCTGCCTTTTTTTACAGGTGAAAGTGAGGAAATGTGTGGTAGTGAAAGAAATGTTCTACCTCCTGAATATCTTCAACACTTTTCAGTGGGACAACCCATTCTTGTTGAAGCTTCTTGTCACGTGCTCGTGGACGTGAGAACTGACAACAAAAGCATTTAGTTCAGCAGAGAAGCTCACAAGAAGATGTTACATTTAACAATCTAGAGCAAATCAATAAGACCAATCGATAAAATCCTTTCAAACCCCATTTGCTAAGAAATCCTGAAAGAGAGTTATGCAATTACAGATGATGTATTGTAGTACCTGATGATCCGAGAGTGCACCATATGAAGCACTGCGTGAATCACCCCACCGGCCTTGTGGGAAGTCTTCCCAGCCCTTGGTTCTAGAAATGTAGCTCTTTGGACGGTTTGCCCTTCAAAGATCAGAAGAAAGCACAAGTCTTATTTTCCCTGCGGAGTAAAATATGTGGCTAAGCATAATCAGAACAAGAGGATCTAAGCGCTGTTACCAGAAAATGGGGCGGACATCTTCTTTAGTCCGGAAAACATTTGCAGGGCGTCTCCATGGTAAAGAACGAGAAATTTTGGACTCATCAATCATACCAAGATTCTGCAACACGAGCAAACTAGTTAGGCTACTCCACTATCAGCATGATGCTTTTACAAGTACAAAAGGTAGTAGAAAAATTGAGGACCAACCATCAATATTGCAAGAGCTGATTTCTCCATGTTCAATGTGTAGAGATGAAGAGACTTGACTCCATGAGCCAACATCTTTTTACACATCTCTGTTCCAAGGTGAATACCATAGGCTTTCACAGCTTCTTCATTATCCTTGATAGGCTCCAAGGCAGCCATCACCTCAACTGGTATCTACATTAATATAATCAAGTATCTCAATTTCATATCTCATCTAGCTGATCAAGAAACCTTAAACACACTTTTTTAAAATCAAGGTATCTTAAGCTTGCAAACAAACACCTTTATGAAAAAGGCAACAGCAATACCATCATCACCTTAAAGGTTATCCATTTGCAGAAACTGATGTTTTACTAAAAGACCAAAATTTACCTTAGTCTTGCAGAAACCAGTCATACGCAAGAACCCTCTGTAGTTATTAATAGGCATAATTCCAGGAACAATGGGACAATTTATCCCAATTTGCCGACAATCATTCACAAACTTGAGGAATATATCAGTATCATAGAAAAGCTGAGTAACAATCAGATCAGCTCCAGCATCTATCTGTTTCAAGACAAAACCCAAACTCAAACACACAATACAAAAATTTCATGAAACATTAAACCAAAAAAAAACCAAAAAAAAAAACAAACCTTTTTCTTGAGATACTCAAGATCACTCTGATAAGCTTCATTAGACGCAAGACCATTCTCACCAATAACATCAGGATGAGCCTCTGAAATATCAAAACTCATAAAAATCCAATCTTTAGCTACAAATTATACCAAAAGAAGAAAAGAAATCGAATTCGAATTCGAGAGATTACCAGGATAACCAGCAACAGTGATACCAAAGTAATCACCATACTTGCTTCGAATGTGATTAACGAGATCCAAAGCACAATCAAAACCACCTTCAACCTGAACAAACTTATCTTGACCATGAGGAGGATCACCTCTAAGAGCAAGCACATTCTGAATCCCATTAGATCTAATGGTCTCAAGAGCATGATCAATCTTCTCAACAGGCATGTTAGTACATGTAAGATGCATCATACTCTCAACACAAACAACGTTTTGCATCCTCGAAGCTATATCAAGCGTTAGATCTGCGGTAGATCCACCAGCTCCCCAAGTGATATCGCAAAACGTTGGACCATAAGCCACCATTCGATCCATTCTCTCAAAGAGATTGTCGACTCCATCTTCTGTCTTCGGTGGGAAGAATTCGAAGGAAAACGCTGTTTTGCCTTCGTCTGCCAATGACTGGATCTTATCAATCACCTTCATCTTCTTCCGATTGAGAGAGATTTTCGAAATGGAGAAGAGGCGAGTTGTTTCAGGTTCATGTAGTCACTGCTTTATACTAAACAGAGAGATCCAAAGAAGTTAGGTGGTTTTTAGACTTTACCTTACCCGTCCACTTCCTTAAATTATTTTCATTTTTAGAAATAATTATATTTTAGTTTAATGTAAATAATCCTTGTTTAATAAATTAAGGTTAATCATTAAGAAAAAAGGTAACATATGAAAAAATCATGAATCCGAGCTTTTGTTAGATTTTTAGGCGAGTTGATTTTGATTATAGATGTAATTATGCTGTTTAAATATTTTTAAATGAAACAGCATGAGTTACATAATTATTAAAAAAGAAATTTACCAACCACAAAGTCACTCACTGGTCACTATCTTTCTCCAACCCCTGATTTTTTAGTAGGTGAACCAGAACCACAAACCCACTTCACCACCTACCACGCAAGTCGCCGATCTATCACCGGTCGTCGGCGCGTGGTTTACACTGGCGGGAAAAAATTTGCTTAGACTTTGCAAACCTCTTACTTTACTTGGCTTCTGTCGGCGACACCGACACAGATGCACCAGTACAGTGTTTTTCAGCATGTGCTAATAACTTCAGAATAAACCGGTATTTAATGACAAACTCTAATAAATAAACCGGAAATGAGATTACCGGTTAATACAACAACCGTACAAAGTCGAATTATACACCACAAAGTTCTTCTTGCAAGACATCATCATTTTGAGATGCTTATGAAAACAACGAAATGAGAAGAAAGTACAGATGTGGTTACAACTTACAAGTAGGTGTATATATTACAAACATTATATTATGGCACAACACAGGTCAAGTTTGATGCAAGGACAATGCCACAGCACCATTTCCAAATTCTTTCGGTTACTTCAGTTTTTACCAAGACAGATAATTCAAGGTTTCTCAACTTCTTTCCAAGGAAATCTGCAGAAACATGGCAGCAAGGGTTACTTTAAACTCTATGCTTCTGGAAGTTGTAATGAGTCATTACATAGAGTGAAAACAAACAAAAAGTATATATCACCTGAAAACAATATTAGACAATCTCCCAGTCTTCTCTCGACATGTCGACAAACTCGGTAACACCGTCCTCAAACATCACCTGTACCAAGTTTAAAGATGTTAACAGAGGTCTTAAGTGATTTTGCCATGTTCGATGGTGAACAAGTATTGGCTAATTGTAATACCGAGTGCTTTCTTGAATACTCATCAAAATGTCTAACTAGGCCAAAACACCTGAAAATCTCAAAAAATAACACATTGGATGAGAAAAGCATAGAATGAGTCATAAAACTAATCCACGAGTTCGAATCTCAAAAAATACCTATCACTCGTGGGGCGAGATAACCTGATCACCACACCAATGCAATTACGCGAACATGTTTCCCTTTGACTAAGGTTGTTCCATGATATCCCTGGAGAAACGTGGAAATCTAAATAAATTGCTTTTCTTACAACCAAAAAGCAATGAGCTCCACTCGCAAATAGAGCAGAAAAAAATCCATACTTACCTGTATGGATATGTCCATTTTGATGCACCTAACAAAAAAAATGGAAAAAAGTAAGTCTCTAGACCTCATAACACACAGAATCTCACAGACTATGCAATGGAAAAGACAAGATAAAATTTCAAAATACCTTGGGCATTGTCTGGGCCACTTCATGTGCCACTAGATTAAAAGCTTCATCCGAGGCTAACTTAGGTTTACTAGGTTTTACACCAAGCTTCCTTCTGCAACCTACAGCCCCACAATGGCAGTCTTGATCTGCACCAAACTGAACAAACCTGCTCTATTTATTAGTGTCACAACTCAACAGATAAGAGAAAATAAGCTATGAAACATAGTGATGAATATAAAACCAGATATGTTATAAATCAAACTGGAGTGGGAGGAAATAAACTTACTGATAATCATAGGTCAAATGCTCTCCTTTTTTTATGCCACGAGTGGCGAAAATGCCGATTCTGGTTTCGCCATCAATTATCCTAATTGCAAGCAAAAGATAACCAAATGATGACTTTGCTCTCAACTAATCTAAACTAGAAAACAAGCACTAAGGATTGACAATAAACAGCAAACCATTTCTGCATCTGCGTATTCGGGTTGCAGCTATGATTGATATATCTTGATTTGTTTCCCTTATGAGTAGCATCAATCACCATATCTCTGGTTATCTCACATAAATAAAAGTTTGTCTCGCCACGGTGTTTCATCTTCCAAAGCCTTTCTTCACAAGTCTTATCATCAATAACTACAGTGAGCAAAGATTGAAAAAAGAACAAACAATTTTAACAACAGTCACAATATATTCAGCAGGGAGACAAAACATCAAATAGTCATATCACCTTCTCCGACATATTCAATGATAAACTCTCCTGGTTTGATTTCTTCTTCTGCTACAATCCCTGATCCGCATTTTTCTGTCTACAAGACCCAACTAATTTAACAAACCAACAACAAAAATCCACTAAATTCATTCAAAAGCATTCATACATTACCTGAATTAACTTCATCTTCTTGACATGCCGTTGTTGGAACGGCTTATTGTTACACTCACTCCCACACTTGCAACTTGAGGAACAGCTTGAGAATAGCATCCTAACACAAAAGATAAGACATTTTCCAGTCCAATGTACTCAAATTAAGCAGATAATAGTAGTCTTATTCCTAAATCAATGAAAAGCTCAAATCAATAGATCAAGAAAAGTAAAATAGAATCCGAGGCATACCCACAATGGCAATTACTTCCACACACAGTTGAAGAAGAACCAGGAGACGAGGAGGAGCAAGAACAGAAGATTCCATCATCTTCAACCCTCCTTTTGACTTTCTTCGTCAAGTATATATCTTAACAAGCTAAGGTAATAACAATTCAAGATGAAGTGAAATCGGCAAAGTAAAGCAAATCTACAAAGGATACTGCGCCTGATGAAGATATAAGGGGTAGGTTTTCCTTTATTCAACCAATCCGGTAACTCGAATTCTTCAGATTCTCCAATCTGATTCAATAGCTTGTTGAATACTTGCCCTAAGTGATTCCGGTCCGAAATCTGAGAAAAATATCTGGAAATTTCAGATGTCAAGAATAAGTAAAAATTTCATGAAGTTTTGGAACAGACCTTTTTGGTGGCTGGCATGGCGAATGAGTAAGGGACCAATAAGAAGCTCTAATAATAAGCAAGATTTGAAATTCGACCGATTGAGGTAACACCAAGTACGTCTAACTGTTGTTTCGGAATTCAAACTTTCTAAACCCTAATTATTACTTCTTCTTCTTGTTGTTGTTGTTGTTGAAGAAGAAGAAGTAACAATGGCGGATCTGAGACAGTAAGAAGATGAGATGGGTTAAAGAAAGAGCGGCAGTTGCCTTTTTTTAATCTTTTTTTTTTTCTCTTTGATAATTACGCCTCAGAAATAAATGGGTTTAAGGGTAAAACCGTAACTTGAACCTCGAGATGATATGTAGGCCCAGTATCAATATGGGCTTTTTGTATCCGATCCAAATTAGCTGAGCCTAATTACAAATATTGTTGCTTTATGTCGTGTCTATGTCATAGTCTTAGTCGTAATCACATTTATAGTTTTGTGTACTATCAACATATATTATAATTACCATAAAAATGAAATTGTGTTACCAAAGAATTAGGAAGTTGGAGAAAAATAAAATACTATCACTATCAGTGTTAATGTGATCTGTGTGACAATATATGCTGCAAAACTATATATTATATCAAAAAAATTCCAGGATATTCGAACGTTTATCCAAAAGTAAATCGGAGAGTCTTTTCTTTTTCCATGTAAAAAATGGTAAGACAGTAATTATAATCCTGATTATGTGAAATTTAATTGATAATTATAAGATATAGATTTGTCATTAATTGGAAGAGAAAGCAATCAACATCGAAGGATTTGAAGAAGGTGAAAAAAAAAAAAAGAATCGCCATTGAGATTGTCCCAAAACCTCCAAAGTAAACACACGTTGTTTCTTTGCTCTTGAGGTATCTTCGACGGGACGTTGAAGCGAGCAAGATACAACACGAAATCGATCTTCTTCTTTCTTCTTCTTCGTCTTCTTCCCCGTCGTCTGCTGAACCATTTGATCGATCTCTCAGGTGATCCTTCTGTTTCTTTTATTTCTTTCTTCTCTCTGCTAGAAATTGAGAGTTGTGAGAATTCCTGGGCTAAAAATTGGATGATGAAATCGTGTTAAAGAACTCGAATTCTGCTATATACGAACGAAGAGGAGTTGTCAACATTTAAGTTGATGAATTGATCATTTTCGATTACTGTAGATCCGTTAGTTGAAACTTCGTTAAGGTCAAGCCTGTTTCTTGATTTTGTCTTTTGCTAAAAAAATTCTTCAAATAAGAGAATATGCATGTGGAATCCAAATGCTTTTATCTTAAAAATTGTGATTTCTATGTCTCTGTTGACTCCCTAAGCCCCCCTAATATCATGCGGAAAAGTCTTTGTGGTGATGTTTCAAGAGGTCTAGAAGCTATAGATTCTTGCTGAGTTTTTGTTGGTTTGTAATTATAGAATCGTTATTGTGTTTCATGCTTGTTTGTTTTCATCATGTTTAGCTCTAGGTTTAACAGAGTGGTGTTAAGCTGAACTTCAGTGGTCAAGTTATGGTCGAGAGTTATTTGATTAAGCTTCTCTGAACCTTGAAGTCACACACACCCAATTTTGTGAAGTGTTTGCAGTTAATTTTGGAAGGTTTTAGTCAATCTTGGCTTTCTGTTACTTAAAGTATGTTGGATGTTAATTCGGTGTCTTTTGTGCTTATTATTTCAGATAAGGTTCTCAGGTTTTAAGTTACTTCTATGAGACGGATACGCTGCAATTGGTGCTTCATGTCTAGGTAATGAAGGCTTTATGTGATAGATTTGTTCCTCAACAATGTTCTTCATCAAGCAAGAGTGATACGCATGATAAATCCCCTTTAGTTTCAGATTCAGGACCTAGTGATAATAAGTCCAAGTTTACCTTATGGTCAAACGTCTTTACGTCTTCTTCCTCAGTTTCTCAACCGTATAGGGAGTCTTCAACTTCTGGGCATAAGCAAGTTTGCACCACTCGTAATGGTTGGACAGCATTTGTAAAAAGAGTCTCTATGGCTACTGGCGCAATTAGGAGATTCCAGGACCGTGTTTTAGGGCCAAATAGGACTGGTCTGCCGAGCACAACAAGTGATGTATGGCTCTTGGGTGTCTGTTACAAAATATCCGAGGATGAGGCCTCGGGGGAAACCAATACTGGCTGTGTAGTGGCTGCATTTCAACAAGATTTTTCATCCAAAATACTGATGACATACCGTAGAGGTTTGTAAACTCAACTACAGATTCAAGCCAAAATAAAAAATTTGCATAATATTTACCATTTATGAATTTTATTTTACAGGTTTTGAGCCCTTTAGAAACACAACATATACCAGCGATGTGAACTGGGGTTGCATGATTCGAAGTAGCCAGATGCTTTTTGCTCAGGTGTGAGGAAGAGTATTTCTTTTGGCATTTTGAAGTTTATAACATATTCTGACAAACCAAATATTATCAGGCGTTGCTTTTCCATAGGCTGGGGAGGTCTTGGACTAAGAAATCTGAGGTAAGCTCAATATAGCAACACTAGGAACAGAAACCTGGTTTCTTGCATCGAGAGAGTGGAAATCTCATGCTTGTTTGATTTAAAAATGCAGCTGCCTGAACAGGAATACTTAGAGACCTTGGAACCTTTTGGTGATTCTGAGTCTTCAGCTTTCTCCATCCACAATCTTATAATAGCTGGAGCGTCCTATGGTCTCGCTGCTGGGTCATGGGTAGGACCGTATGCCATTTGTCGAGCGTGGGAATCATTAGCATGCAAGAAGAGAAAACAAACTGATTCTAAAAACCAGACGCTTCCTATGGCTGTTCATATTGTTTCTGGCAGCGAAGATGGAGAGAGAGGTGGGGCTCCAATTCTCTGTATAGAAGATGCTTCCAAATCTTGTCTAGAATTCTCAAAAGGACAGTCTGAGTGGACACCGATTCTCCTTTTGGTCCCACTGGTTCTTGGGCTTGACAGTGTGAATCCCAGGTTTGCAATTGTGAAGTTGATTACATTATTTTTGGTTTGTGCTCGACTCGTATTTGTATTTGGCCTTTCTGACGCATTGCTAAAATCTGATGACAGGTACATTCCATCTCTCATAGCCACATTCACTTTTCCTCAGAGCGTGGGTATTTTGGGTGGCAAACCAGGTGCCTCAACTTACATAGTTGGTGTTCAAGAAGACAAAGGTTTCTACCTTGATCCGCATGAAGTTCAACAGGTTTCATTTCGTGCCTTTGAATTTTTAGAGTCCATAAATCTTGGTCTGGCATTGAGGTGGTCCATAATACCTAAGTCGGATTAGATGCCATTTCACATGTTGGTTTCACTGATTGAGACTTATCGTTTGATGATTGATTTAGGTGGTCACAGTCAACACTGAAACACCAGATGTTGACACATCCTCCTATCATTGCAAGTGAGTCTCCTCTAATTATCATGTCACAATCTACTTTTGCCTGGTTCAGTTTTATCTTGTTTCTTAATTTTATCTTGAATCTGCATCAGTGTCATTCGTTATGTTCCTTTGGAATCACTCGACCCATCTCTAGCTCTCGGATTCTATTGCCGCGACAAAGGTACTGTATTACGACATTCTCTAAAACCCAAAAGTTTTAAAATCTGTAGTAGTATCCTAACTTGATAAAAACTTTCCCTAATCTTCACCAGATGATTTCGACGACTTCTGTCTCCGAGCATCAAAACTAGCCGAGGATTCAAACGGTGCTCCACTATTCACCATAACTCAAACCCACAGCACGATAAACCAAAACAACTACGGGTTTTCGGATGATGACAGCGAGGATGAACGTGAAGATGACTGGCAAATGCTCTGATCATCATCATCAAACATTTTAACAATCTCAAGCTACAATTCTTTTTTCCTTTTGTTAACCAGTTCTTTGTTTTTTCTATGTGGTGGTGTAAATTACATCAGATCAAACACAATGTTGTACTATAAAATCTTTGGATTTTCAAACATAGATTGAAGCATGTGAAAATGGAAGAGTAGAGAAATCAGAAGGTATGTGAACATGACTCCATTGTCCCATTTTCTTCTCAGTCGTCATCTTCATCATCACTCCTCCTTCACCTTCACTCTCTCTTTTGCCGCCAATCATTACCACCGATTCACCTCCTAAGCTTCCGGCGAAAACTGAGCTTCCAGTCATCGGAAGCTGTATTGTTTCAAGATCCAGTTTCCAATTTCTCGAATCATCCTTAGTTTCCCATCGACGTTCACTCTGTAAATCAGTTTCTGTGAAACACAATAACTTAGAGGAGCTTCTTAAGTCTCCGGCGGTGCGACCTCTCGGGCTAGTATCTGGAAATCGCCAAATGTTTTCGCTTTTGGACCAGGAATTTGTAGCTGGCTCGTAAATTTCTCCGTCAGATCGGAATCTTCCTTGAGATTCCGTTCCGTAACCACTCAATACGCAAAACCTTAGATCCGTACCAATGGCGAACCCTTGACATTCGTCTCTTCCTTCCGTCATCGGAGGAACCGTCGACCACTCGTCTTTCTCGACGTCGTACACCTCCGCCGAGCTTAAAGCGTTTTTCTGATCGTCGTGACCTCCGGCAACGTATACCTTCGTTGAACCAACGGAGGCGCAGGCGAAGAACGATCGCGATTCCTTCATCGGCGCACCTCGTCTCCACTTCCTTCCGGCGAATTCCAGAACGTAAACGTCTCTCGTCGGCTGTAACGTCTCCGGATCCCAACCGCCGATGAGAAGAATCTTCCCGGCGTCCTGAAGCACGACGCACTCGCAGAAAAGCGGGATCTGCTGCTTCTCGGATAACGCAACGCGATGCCACGTGGACATCGCAGCGTTATAAACGCTCAATCCAAACCGCGGCGTGCAGAAAACGCGCGGTTGTGACTCATCCTCTGATTTTTTCTCGTCCACCATTAATGTCTCTCCAACCGCATTAGACGCTGGAATTGGCGGCGTAAGCGGTTGAACGAGGCAGAGGAGAAGCTCTGCTTTACCGCATCTCCGCCTCTCTCGAATGAAAGAAGAGTCGGAGAGTAAAGTTCGCCAAGAACGGCAAACGGATTTCATGGCGGATTGGAATTGGTACGGAACTCTGACCAAACACTCCAAAGCTAATTCGGACGGTAAACCGGGAATCAAATCGTGACATTTCTGGAAATCTCCAGCTTTCTTTTTCGACACTTCCATAATCATTGAACTGAATCAAGCTTGAAAAAAAAAAAACAGAGAGTGTGTTTGGTTGAGCAAAGTGTGTGTGTAGAAGAAAGACACAAAAACTGAACGAAAAATTGCGATTTAACTTTGAGTGAGTGTGAAGTTACAAAGAGGTGGCAGAGCCTTTAAATAGGGAAAGAGGAGGATGATGATTTTGCTTGCGGTTTAAATTACGCGACGGTTCTCGTTTAAATTTTCAAAGCTTTTTACTCATTTAGCAGCTTATAAAAATATATCTAGATTCGTGTATGTCGCAAAACGCAAACGTATCTAAAAATTTATATCTTAATCAGCTAATAAAATCGTTCCCTTTCAATTTCACCAAACAGGCAAGAGTCAACACTTGGGTTATTTTGATGCGATTTCCTTTATTAAGGAATAAAATTGTGAACTGGTTTAATTCATGAAGACGGTGCTTTTGTTAAAACAAACTTTTCATAAAAATAGGAAAAGTAGCAAGCTTCTAGAAGCTTTATATGAGTAAACAGAAGGGTAACTCATATACTCCTTCAAATTTTGAATATCAACCAAAATATCAAGAAATATCCATGTAGTTTTATGACGTCATATGTATTTTTATTCGCATTAAATTTCTATCAATTTTTTGTCTCTTGATTTGTGATATCGCAATTAAATTTGTGACATCGCACATTAGATAAAATTGGAAATTACGATTTCATATATAACCATCCCGTCGTTCTTTTTTTGCATATCAACAACGATGAAAACTATATAATACCAGTTTGTTTTGGCGGTAAATGTTCAGGGCGTTCATAGACTGCATCAACATAATATATTTTGGTCAAGTTCGAAAAGAAGAGAAAAAAATCGTTTCTGATGTAATTTGTAAAGACCAATAGTTGAAGTTAGGTCAGTGGTCATTTGGTTAAGTGAAGTTAGGTAACTTTATATTTGATATATACTGTGCCGCACTTTTTTGTTTAACGCTTTTACCCCTCTAGATTATAAAATGAGTTTGAACTAATAACTTTCTAATTAGTTTAATCAACTAGATAGATTACTATTCCCTTCCAATGTCACCCAACAATTTGGTTCTACTGACACGATTTCCTTTATATTGAAAACGAATCTATAACCTCTTGATAAAGTTCACGAAGACCAGCAGTGAGCTTTTTAGTATTTACCATCACTTTTTCTTTTGCTTTTATTTTAAATCAAAAAAAACTTCTAGAAGCTTTACAAAGACAAAAAAATAGTATGATACTGTCATAAGGAATGAGTCGTACTCACTGACGCAACCGTCAACCGATAAATAAATATCTCGTTAACTGTTAATTTATTAGTACAATTTAAAACAGGTATATATGTTTTGAAGGACATTTCATTTCAATTTGTCATTGTGCACGCACTATCAAACAGATTCTTAATTGTTCTTAATTCCTTTTCTTTTGCCAAAATTATTGTTCTTAATTGTTAGTATAAGTTTTAGGACATCATCATGTGTTTTTAATTTTGTAATACGTATTTTTTTACGTAGAACAATGTGAGAGCAGTTTCGTTTGAATAAAAGATTCAATAAAATTATGATTGATTAAAACTTTATAAGGGTTTCTGCTTTACTATATATAGTCTTCTAGAAGAAGTTCTCATGGATATACATTGGCATTAATTATCCTTTGGTCTTACTCTTCGATTATTCAACTGATTATATGAAAACGTTGACACGTATATTATGCGATGCACCGACGTAAAGGTATGTCTCGCGGACTTACAGCCTCACACAAGTCATCTCGTCTCCACCGGATAATGATGCTTTCTGTTATTTTTTTGGTTTATTTATGAAACTACACTTACTATTTATACCGTGATTTTTTTTCAAGGAAATAAGTTTAATTTGGGAAAAGTCGTGGATGAATGAATATGCATAAAAAGTCTTGTACCAAAAAAAAAAAGAATATGCAAAAAGGAAAAATAAGAATGGGGTCGAACATTAATAGGGGACTGGTCCATTACACTCTATCGCATTTTCCCCACATTGTCTGTTCTTGTTTTGTCAACTGTCCTTTCTTTTATTACTCTCTACTTATGTATTTTCTCTCTATCAGCTTTTCTATCTTTATTCTTGGGCAAGTTATTGTCGTGTAAACACAAAGCAATTAACGTAGATTTTCTTTGAATAGCAGTACTTCCGCATATAAACGAGTATCTTGCTAGTTGTTTGATTTATTTTCATTTTTAATCAATAATAACCCTAAAAGGTAATCTTGGCGATTGATCGATCGCGTTAGTCAAAGAAACAAGGGATATATCTTTTGAAACTTTTTGCTCAACAAGAAAAAACAACTATAATATCATAAGTTTTGTTTTGTTTTCCTTAAATGGATTATGGATGTACTATTAACAGATTCTATTAATGAATTTCACGACTACATAATAGCAAGACGAATTTGAAATCATCACGAAAGTGAAAAAGGCATATATATTTCAACGAATGTTGATTGATTTACGACTCCAATGAAGGGGATTGGTTTCTAATTATTCTGAAAATGAAATTTAAAATAAAATAGTAACAATTAAAAGAAAAGAAAAATAGGGATAAGGGTTCTAGAAGAGAGCAATGATATTTTCCCTTTTAGGGAGTAGTCATCTTTATGGGAAGGTAACAAGTGGGCCGAAACTGGCAAGCACTTATCCTCTTGCTTTTGTCTTTATGGTTACTAAAGCTTTTCTCTTTCTTTTCTTCTAGAAGACCATATCATATAGAGTAATTAATTGCACTACATAACTACATTTTGGTTTATAAGTAAACTAAGGGTTTGCTTCTTCTAATTACACAAAAACGAGTAGTCAATTTTCAATGATCCGATTCCGGTTCAAATCACATTCTAGTCTAAACCGGAGATTTCTCATGTTTGGGTGAACTTTGACAGAAAGGTAAACTAAAAGCCAAAAGGATTTCAAGAACATTTTGCTGAGAAGAACACAAAGTAAAACGCCCACAATGGCCAAAGGAACTGAATAATCAAATAGCCTATCTCTGATAAAGATCACAAGTCTCTGATCACTTGAACAAAAAGAACACTCATATCCCAAAATCTATGAAATTAATGGGCAAAGATAAAGAAGGAAGCTTGCTTTCATCAATTCATTCTCCTGACAAGCTCGTTGATGAAGTTCTCCCTGTTTCCAGCATCACCACCTTCGACGTAGTGGTTTCTCTTCTTCTTAAGGCCACCGAGTGGTGCCTTCAATTGGAATGGCCAAAGGAAATTGTTGGCTTCCTTGAAGTGAGGTCCAACGGTCATGATCTCATGGATCAGATCCTCCACGCAGATGATACCATGCTTCCCTAGAGCTTGATCCACAATCGAGTTGTCGGTAAGTGCTATCCTCTGGTGGTTCAGCTTTCCATAACCCCTTTTGTAGATCAGTTCCTTGACACTCTTCAAGTTTGGGTATCTGCACCAGAGATATCATTCGGTTAGAGCAGGCAACTTCTCATGGTTGCCATATATATATAGAGAGAGAGAGAGAGTCAGATTACATACCCGTACGTCACGTAAGGTTCAACTCGGCGCAACATGTTTACTGTTGCCTTGTTCACCTTAAGAAACACACCATTGAAGATCTGCACACGTTTATACCACAAGTAAACTTCCTGATAACGTAATAGTCTATCTACTCTCTTTTAAAGAGATAATCATCCCACAACTATCACATACTAGTTAAACATATGACAGATAAATCTAACGATCAAAGTTTCCCTGTTATACTACTAAAATGTCTGGGAGTAGACAAACGTAGCAAGCTGCGGAACCTACCTGTCTCAAACGCAGAAGCTGCAAAATTTTCTTGGTTTTTGGGTCAATAGCATTGATACTGCAAAAGAAAAAACAACCATGTCAAGAAACAACAGAAACAGTTTGCAACAACTAAACATAATACGAACATAATAAAGACACATACCCACGGATACGAATGATAAAGAGCAATTTCGCCTCTGGATCGACATAGAACCCTCCTTTCAACTTAGCCTCCCTCTTCAATCGGATCAACTCATTATCCTAAACAAAGAACATAACATTAGAACAACAATGAACACAACAGTCAGCTTAGTTAGCAAAGCCTAGACAAGTGTGTTCCTTTTACCTTCTCAGCGTATTCTTTGGCATACTGCTCAGCTCTCTTGAAGATGAGCTTGCGGGTCTCAACACTCTTCTTCTTAGCAGCAACAGTTTCCTCTTTCTTGGCCAATGCCCATTCCTCTTGCCTCTTGATCTTTTTCAACACAGACTCTGGAACCACTACCTTGGATTCAGCCATTTCTCCTACAAACAAAACTGTAATAAGCTATACGAAACAAACTAGTATATAAATATAAAAAAGACACCTTTGAGCAATACAATTATCAAAGGGTTGAAATTGAAGCAAGACAGCGTCTCTGAAAATGATTGAAGATTGTGAAACTCAATCCAACGATTCCATAACTAGGTTAAAATTTCTCAACAAATCAAAGTGAATTCTCTACAATAGAACTAGAGTAATTGGGTTTATCGATCACACAAACATCAGAACAAACAAATTTATAACGAATCAAAGAAAACTTACTATCAGAAACGAAACTAAACGATGAAGATCAAAGAAAGAAGCTTACTTGAGATGAAGAAGAAGAAGTCTGAGAGAGGGGAAGAGATAGTGTGCGGCGTAGAAGGAGGACAAAACAAACAAGTCCAAAATGTGGGTTTAGGGTTTACTTCGTAACCCTAATTTTTCTTCTTCATTTTTTGGGAACGGGCCTTAATTACATAAGAGGCCAAGTAATCTGACTTTACATGGGCTGGGCCTGAGTGATTTCGTTGACTTGACGAATACAAATTGTCCAAATTATGTTGCTATCATTGACCGATCAGTTAAATCAGTTATAGGACGTTTTATTAGTAGTGTAATTTAGCGTTTAATCGTCCCTAAATTTAATAAATTGTCCTTATAAAACGCGACCTTTTGACCTCGGTTAACTCTTAACGTCTTTGTAACATTTAATCATATTATCTATGCAATATTCATCTCTATGATATTAATAAGTATTAACTAGTAAAAGTATAAAACTATGTAGATTTAATTAGAAAAATTCAAACATAGAGGACGTACACACACACCGCCACCACATAAGAAGATTTTGTGTATGATTACAACCAACCCTTTATATATATAAAAAATCATAAAAATGAATGACACCTAAATGTGAACCTTTTTATATATATAAAGACACGTTCTTGAAAACAAGATCGCCGATTTGAAAATCGAAATTTATATATTTTAAGTATACTTTGGTCAACGTAGCTTACCTCATTATATAATTAATGGATCAAGAAAATCAAGAATCACCGGAGCAGAAATGGCGGGAGGAGGAACGACCTTGGAGTATACGCCAACATGGGTGGTTGCTCTCGTCTGCTCCGTCATCGTCTCCATCTCTTTCGCCGTCGAGCGTCTCCTCCACCGTGCCGGCAAGGTTATCTATACACATATATGCATAGCTTGTACGTTTTTGACTAAATGACGTACGTCTCTGTATTTATACATGTGAAATACAGCACTTTCGGAAGAACGATCAGAAGCAGCTTTTCGGGGCATTACAGAAAGTAAAAGAAGGTTACGTCGTGTTTGATATATATAGCCCCATATTTATAAAATTTCCCTTTGTTTTGGATATTGCATTGGCAATAAATTATGTTTTTGGTGAAATTCCAAGATCAATATAAGGTGATGTCATTTGATCATCGTTCTAACATGATTCTTAAAAAAACATTGTGAATTGGAAACAGAACTTATGCTACTAGGGTTCATATCGTTGCTCCTATCAGTAAGCCAGTCTAAAATAGCAAAGATTTGCATACCAAAGGACTTGAGTGAAAAGTTTCTCCCTTGTAATAAACCAAAAGAAGATAAGTCCCTCAAAGACACCACCCATTTCCAGTTCAGCTTCACCGGCCGTCATCTCCTCGCCGAAGATTCCGCTACCGGCGAATACTGCTCCCAAAAGGTAATTACCGTTTTTTTATTTTATGGTCAAACCCAAGATTTATCTCTTTTTGTATGTCTTACACGTTTTCAGCAAAAAGATATATGATTGGATATGAAGACGTGCATAGAATTGACATATAGATATTTTTGTTTTGTTTTAAATTCAGGGAAAGGCACCATTAATGTCATTATCAGCTCTGCACGAGCTTCATATATTCATCTTCGTATTAGCTGTAGCTCACATTATTTTCTGCCTCTTGACCATTCTTTTTGGTACCATGAAGGTATTTTCTTAATTACACCTTACTTCAACGATACTCAAAAATTTTCCTATCTTCAATCACTTAACTCTAAAATCAAAGCTCACACCATAAGATGCAATAACACTTTTATATCAGCATTAGAAGTTTCTAGTTAATTCTATCTAATGACCATAATATAATGTCATTGGCATAGATAATGCAATGGAGAAAATGGGAGGATCAAGTTTTAGAGGAGGACAACAACACAGACAAAGGTATAATAATACAATTATGAAATAAAAGGAACATTGTAAAAATAAAGATTTACCTTTTTACTTACTAGAATGATTTTTTTTGTTTCAAGGTCTTGACAACTTTTCGTTTTTCGGATAATTCTAATCATTTTTTAAACTTAACCCTTCTTATACACATACCTACACAGTGATCCAGAAGAAATTCACACACGTTAGAGAACACGAATTCATCAGGGGACGATTTCTTGGTGTTGGAAAAGCTGATGCTTGCTTTGGATGGTTGGTGAGTCATCTTAGTTCTCAAGACATGTTTGTATGCACATGCAAAAGTTTTGAGTGTGTAATATTGTCCTTTGCAGCAATCATTTATGAAGCAGTTTCTTGCGTCAGTCAATAAATCAGATTACATCACGATGAGGCTAGGCTTTGTCACGGTATATACCTCGGATTCTGAATGGTCCATATAGAATTGAGTTTCTATCTACAGTAACTTCTTTATTTTCTTTCCTACTAGACTCATTGCAAGACCAACCCAAAATTCAATTTCCATAAGTATTTAATGCGTGCCCTTAATTCCGATTTCAAGAAAGTTGTCGGTATCAGGTAAACAATTTCAAGCTTGTCCAAAAACCATACTTAATTACAAAAAAACTGGTCTTGATTCTATTCTAATGTATATATCAACTTGCAGTTGGTACCTTTGGGTATTTGTGGTTCTCTTCTTGCTTCTAAACATTGCTGGTGAGAGAACATCTTTTAAATTCGATCCAGGCCGAGTTTTCTTCTTTTGTACGTATAATCATCGAGCCCATCTTTTTTTTGCAGCATGGCATATTTACTTTTGGCTAGCTTTTATTCCTTTGATTGTAAGTCACTAATCCGCTCCTCCATGTTTATGCTTCAAACTCATTTTGATCATCAACCGGATTTACGCGATTTTCTCCTCAGCTTTTGCTTGCTGTGGGGACGAAGTTGGAGCATATCATCACAGATTTGGCTCATGAAGTTGCAGAGAAACACATTGCTGTGGAAGGAGATTTAGTGGTCCGACCATCAGATGATTTATTCTGGTTTCAAAGTCCCCGGCTAGTTCTCTTCTTGATCCATTTCATTCTTTTCCAAAACTCCTTTGAATTAGCCTACTTCTTCTTTATACTCGTAAGTGTACTCTTACCATAAATCGATCTAAACCAATCTAAAAATCAACATAACAGAGGAGAACTCTTGCAATTGTAACAACAGGTAACATATGGTTGGGATTCTTGCATCATGGAACATGTCAAGTTCATAATTCCAAGACTCATCATCGGGTAATAATAGCTGTTAACGCCAAAGCTTTTCTACATCTATCTCCTTAAAAGTTTCTTGATCTTCAAATGAAGAATCTTTTCACTCTGTTTTTCAGGGTATTGGTTCAGCTTCTCTGCAGTTACAGTACCTTACCGCTCTATGCACTCGTCACTCAGGTACAGATTTTGTATTTTCTTGTCATTCCCTTGTGGTCTGAATATCAACTAGACCAAGACACAAACTCAAAACCACACCTTCTTATCTTGGTGGAAAGATGGGAAGTTCATTCAAAGGTGCAATATTCAACGAGCAGACACAACAACAGCTTGTTGGATGGGCAAAAATGGCTAAAAAGGGAGTGAAGAAAGGGACAACTCAAGCAGCAGGCACCAGTCATGGTGGCAGTCCAAACCCTCTTGCAGCTACTCCTTCACCACGGTCTGTTCAGTTGCAGTCGTTGCTAGGAAAAGGCTCGTCTCAACAAAACCAGCACCTTGGGGAAACACCAGAGATTGTTGAGGAGAAAGATTAACAAAAGCTTCCATCAGACAAAAACGTCTTGGGACTTTGTTTGATATCTAAAAAACTGATTTAACAGTGTTGTGAAAAATATATACACCAAAGAGGCTGAATCTCTTTGTCAATTGATCAAACAAACTATTTACTTTCTAAACAAGCCTTCGTTTTTCAAAAAACTCCTATCCATTTTTCGATGATTTCGTGTTCGTTTCTGTATTTCGTATACGAAGAGATCCAAAAGAAATAAGTTTAAAGAGGATTCTAATAGCTGAAAGAGCCATCTGATATATGTCACTCCAAACAGGAACCACGAAATCCAAACATTTTTGGTTTTTAACATTTTGTTTTTGGACAAGGAAAAAGGATAAAGGGGAACTGGTGACCACGATGAGATCTGTATCAAACAGTCAACATAAAGAGGGGAGAAAGAGAACTGGTTACATCATTTGGTGATTAACAGATAGAAGAGAGAGAGAGACAGAGCTTGCAAATTTTTCTCCATTATTCCTCCTCTGCAGCACTAGCTGCGTTAAGATCCACACTTAGATCCAATTCCTGCAACATAAAAAGTGATCACTTCCCAATCACAGAAGATGTCGGGTTAATAAAACCGATATATTTGTGATTCTCAAACATTTACCTTTCCAGTGATCAATTTATACATGTTCAACACATCAACAACAGTTGTGTCAAAGTGTGTTGTAGCATCATAACTCTGTTGTTTTGGACAGGAACACAAGGTTGTTAGAAACCAGCCAATTCTAGGATGCTCACAACAAAAAAAAAGGATAGCTAAACTAACCGTTGATATGAAGCAGTTGTCCAAAGTGGGTTCGTTGACAGGCTCATATCTATCATAGATGTCGAAGAATAGCTCATCAACAGGACCCAGAAGGTCAATTCCAGGCTTGAGCTCAGTTTGAGGGTTATCAGTTTCAGCGTCTGTCGACACAAATGCTATGAACTTTCCCTTGGGAGCAACGTTGTGTGAATACGAACAACAGAAGACATACCTGTCATATACAATCAAGATGTAATCATGAGCCGATAAACAAACATATCAATCGACTCAATGATACACACTGCCAGGTTTTATAGAGTGTATGTGTTTTAATCAAGAAAATAATATAGTTGAGAAGAGTGTTTTGCCAACATTCGTCTAAACAGAAATTCAGAAACTTTCTATTTTACTTTTCAGCTTCAAGTGTGAATCAAGAAAGGTATCTCTGCAAGCTCGATCATAATTCAGACAAAGCTTAGCTACCACAGAGAACAAATATATGCAAATTGACGTTTCCTTCAGGTCATTCAGGCTCATTTACTTCTATAAGTGGAATCAAAAGATGAATAAGAGAACTCACATGTCTGATTTGCGGCCCAATTGTTTTTGGGGTAGGATGACTTGCACCGAGTGAGAATCATTGGTGTTTGGAATAGGGTGGCTCATAATAGCAATCGCCCGAGCAACCCTGCCAATCTTCCTGACCTGTTTCAATTGGATTATATTAAAACATATCAAAGTAATGTTAACATACCACGAGCCTATATGCATCCAACAAAAAAGTCAAGCCACAGACAAAGCTAAATGTCACTGTAAGATATCCGGTCGCAGCCATTACCTTGTTGGATAGGTAAGAAGGATCGCAGACAACTTTTTTGCATTTGGCAGTCTCTCCCTCAGATGTAACACCAGTAACCTTACCCTCCTCGTCAAACTCTACCTGTTATAAAAGCGACATCAGGTTATCAGATCTAGCATCCATACAGTTAACGACAGAAAAAGTTGCAGAACGACCGAAACAAAAAATCTACAAAGATAAGGAAGTCAAAGACGCACCTTGCACTCAGGTTTGTTCAACATATACGTCCCACCATAGACAGCACTAAGTCGTGCAAATGCCTGAACCAAGGAAGAGAAGAGAAGTTCAAAGAGAATTCAGAAACTATAACCAAAACACCAGAATAGTTGCACCAACCAAATAAAGCATGTATAAGAGAAGACAAAGAAAAACCTGAGGTAATTCTCCCAATCCATAGAGAGGATAGATATATGGTGAACCTCCTTGAAAACGTGCAAGGGACTCTGAGTAGAGCTGATAAAGCATTTAAAGAAACAGAGTCAAGCATGGAAAACTGAGAGCAAAAAGGAAGACTTTAAAAACAAAGGGAACCAAACTTTAAAGTCCTACGAGAGAAATTCACCTTCATTCTCATTACAGTATCATAGGCAGGTTGATGGAGATGATTGTCATTACAGTGAAGTGCCACTGCATGCCCAATAAAGTCAATAGTATCTTCACCGAGACCAAATTTCCTGCCGAAGTGTTATCTTGATAGTTAGCAGCAGAGAGTCTAAATCAAATATTGACAACACCATAATGCAGAAGACAAAAGAACATCAACTTACGCAATCAAATCCTTAGTTGTAACTCTCCTCAAATCCATTCCATCATGTGTTTTTGGGTCCTTCTCGTCGTATTCCTGAACATAACTGAAAAACTTTCCGGCTCGACGTTTCTCAAAAATACCCATGAGAGGAGATTTGAAGGCCTCCATTGGAGTTGCTGGCACCTTTTGGACCTGTAGGATATAAACAGTTAATATAACTAGAAAAAAATTACTTAAACTGCAAAAATCTGCAGCTAGAATGATCAGTGAAAAGCTTTTGACCAACAGAAAACATGGGAGAAAAAAAGATGCACAAACAGACTTGAAATCTATGGGAAAAAAAGAAGAAGAGAAATAGTCAAAAGATAAAATGAAAATGAGTAGTCACTGTACCTTGCCTTTGACGAAAACATAGCTTCCATCAACAGCTTTAAAAGACAAGTACTTAGTCACATCCGTATGAATAAGGACACGAACAAGCTTTCCATTTGCCATCATAAACTGGTCAACCACATTGAGAGAGAACACTTAGTAATACAAATAAGCTAGTAAAGGGACGATTAAGCTGGAAAATAGCTAATATGATACCTTGGGCATCATGTCGATATTATAGTCTCTGCTAGAGCCTAAATGAGCAGGAGCCTTTTCTTCCCCCCTGAACTTCTTCCACAGCTGGTTAAAACAAAGCAACATCAATAACACTCGCTGATGATAACTTACCACAAAAAGTCTTAGTACAGATTTTAAAGAAAACTGACCTGATTGAGATTAAGCGAAGTTGACTCTCCACCATAGTAGTCATTCCTGTCCATGTGAAGTACCTATTTGGAAGATACATGAAATGACACCATAAGATTACTCAAAAAGAAGTAAACTTGGCTTATTGGTTGAAGACAAAGTCAGCTAATCAATCACATAGAAGATTTAGGAGTCGAGATCATGAAATTTAGTATTTTTACGCAATCTCAATAACTAACTAAATGCATCAAACTCAGATTATAGTCAAAATCGCGAGGCCGATTGATTCTCATGTTGAAGCTAACAAAGCAATCGCTTAAAATCGTAGAACCAGAGCTCAAATCACACAATCGGAGATATAATCTCATTACGATTCGTTCATCGTGTAAAGAATTAAAAGTTGAATTTCTCCGGATCAAGCATGGATTCAAAAAGCTCCAAAGACAAAAAAAAAAGAGAGGAGAGTTGAGGAAAGAGACCTTAAGACCATCGACGGAGAGAAGACCACTAAGGATGCACTCCTTGAGACCAGTTCCCAGAACTATGACTTCGTACTCTTCATCCATGGCTGCTGATCCTCAAAGAGAAAGAAAAAGATGGACTTTTTGATATGCGACCGTCGAGAGAGAGAGATCGGCGGTGATTGCGTCTTTATATCAATCAAAGAAATCCGGAGATGCTTTCTTTGTTAATAAATGTTTTTTTTTTTTTTTATAAAGAGAAATCAATTTTCTTTTTTTTGATAAACAAAATCAATTTTCTTATGGGAGTATATAATGAAATGGATAAATTGAATCTTTTTATTCACTATTTTTTTTTATATTTTAATCAATCAAAATTCGCCACATAATATTTTTATATTAAAAAGTCAAAAAAAAAAAACAAATGGATAAATCAAATTTTTTTTACCAAATAAAACTTAAATTTTTTTTGTAAGACTTTTTTGTAATAGATTTACAATATTGTTTATGTTTTTAATTTTTTAACAGTAAATGGACACTAAAAATTAAGTCACTAAAGATAATTGACAGAAAAAAAAAGAAGAAAAAAATTACATGCATTAAGTTTAATGTGGTGAAAAATTTCCTTTGATCTTTATGGAAAGAAACATTTTCCATTTTTACATCGTGACCGGGTCAACTGTTTTTCTTTGAAAGTTGAAACAATGGAACTCGATCAAAACTTGTAAAGAGAAATCAAAACTGTTTTTCTTTGAAAGTTCCATTTTCCATTTTCACTTCTTGAATAAAACTTGAATCTCAATAGTGATTACAATGTTGTTTGGTAGTGGTTAACCCGACCACAGTCGAGCAATACCTTTTCAACATTGTATTACCGTCTCTAATTGGATCAAAGAGAGACGATCGAGGCACAACATTGTAATTTAAAATTTCCATGCAATTTTATTTAACAAAGATGGGTTTCTTTGGCTTCTTGTTGTTGTATATACATATGCAAGCTTTCTTGCTTTTATATTTGAGTTAGATTGAGAGGTTCAACGCATAAAACCTGGTCCCCTTGGTTAAACTTCATTTTCATGTACCTAACCTAAATGTGGTTAACAAAAATAAGTCTCTCTACCTCATAACACCACCATAATCCATAATGCCTTGGCAAAGACAAGATCTATATATTTGAAACAATCAAGTTTTATGAGAGGCATGTCTTGAACAAGACAAGACTGCTTTTGTTAGTATAGTTGTCCGAACTAATTCAATAATTCAATTAGCATTTTCTAAACCAAATTATTGGTTTAGAGAGGCAACTGGAGAAACAATTTCGTCTCTTTTGTTACTACTGTAAATAAGCAAATTAATTTAATTATGGTCATTTCAATTTTCAGAATAAATAAATAAATAAAATTCTCTCATTATTTTTTTTTCCTCTGTCTCTCTCTCTCGTAACCTCTCAATGAAAATCTCGTCCAGGTTCGCTCCTCTTCCTATCTCCCTTGTCAATTCTCATCTGCGAATGTTCTTTAGGTAATTTGCAAAATTCGCATTTTTCTTCTTCTTTCCGATGCAATTTTCATGGCCGAATCCACAATTGCTGGGGTCGGGCATGGATTCTGATTGGGATCAGTGTCGGATTTTTGTTATCTAGGTTTGGATGCTTCTGTTGACTACGTTTTGCTAAAATTCAGACCCTTGTCGCTCTCCTGAATCGATTCTACAGCATTTTCTGGACGAAATCTCTAGTCTTTTTTTTTTCTGGGTTTGATTTCTTGAAGTGGCTGATTGCGCAAGTAGATACAAGTCTGGATTTTGGTACGAGCCATTTGCTTATACAAGGAGAAAGGGAATTGGTATAGACTAAAGGCTTTGCCTTTTCTAGTGTTTTTTCGAATGTCAAAATAAGTTTTTGGCTGCTTTTTGGATTATTGATTTTGGAAATCTGGGTGGATGGAGAACGATGAGATGTATCCTGATGAGCCTGTAGGTTCTGAGTTGGAAGCTGAGGAGATCATTGCTCAATCTCCAAACCAGACATTTACCGTTGAAGGAGGAGAAGGGAGTGATGTGGTTTTTGCAAGAGAGGCACCTCTTATAGGTAGAAATCAACAGAGCAATGGATCTAGTGCAAAGAAACTGAAATGCAGGGGACTTGGGCAACAGAAGAAGCTTAATAGACAGGATAGAATCGAATTGGGACGACTTTTCCAAGGTGCTGTTAGCTCACAGGATTGGCAACTCTCTGAGAGGTTTATTCATCTGGCTGATCCACAAACTTTGAATGATCTTTTGTGTATTAGTTTAGATTCTATTTGGTTCTTGACCACAGAGCATGAGTTACGGGGAATCACAGAATTGATTGCAAAGATCATATGTCATGGTGCTCATGACTATACTAGAGCTACACTTAGGACTTCGTTTCTTGCTTCTTGTGTTTCATCTTGCCAGAGTCGGACTGTGAGTCTTGCTGATACTGTAACTGTTATGGCTCAAAGGTACACATTTTATACTCTCATAAGATGTTCCCCTTTTCTCATAATATTAATTGCGACGCAGTTTTGGATTATTGGATTATTGGGTTTCTGTTATGATTCCATGTTTTTGCTTTATTTTGCTTTATTCGTTCACTACATTGTGTTTTAGTGTATCTTTAATATCTCTTATGTTCATCTTCCTCCTGGTTTATCTTGGGTTAGCTGGGAAGGGTGAGATACCCTTACTATATAAATCCATTTTTTCCCATCTCGGCGTTTCCAGGTTGCACGAGCGTCTCCAAGAGTGTAACGGTGATGAAGTCCTTAAAGCAGAAGCTGGTGCTAAAGTTCAAAAGTTTACTGAATGGGCCCTCAAATGTATAGGTTTTCACTCCCGATGCCAGGGCCCTAGAGATAAATCTAACCAAGACTCAGCTGCTGAGAGCCAACTCCAGCTTTCTGCTTTCAAGATGTTCTTAGATCTTGCAGGAAACCATCTATCAGGAAAGGATTTCACAGAAGCTTTTGATGCAGCTTGCTTCCCGCTTACGCTGTTTTCTACCTCATTTAATCCTGGCTGGGCTTCTGGAATCTCAGCTACTGTCATACATGGATTGCTTGGTATGCTGGTAGAAGGAGGCGCAGATAATGTAAATCAGTGCTTCCTTGAAGCTTCTCGTTTTGGGAGCACAGAACTTGTGCGCATCTTGTTGCAGGTAAATCTAATCCTTAATGATTGATTGCTTGCAATTTTATTTTTTTGTGCAATCTAACTTTACTTTTTCCTGGTGCAGATAGCTCAAAGGAATAGCTTAGACGTGGATGTTGACTTAGCACTGGGTTTTGCCTCGCATTATAGTAAATTTCAAACGATGGATTGCCTTGTGGAAGAAGGTCATGCAATTGCTTTCTTGGGTCCCTTGATGAGAGCAGCAGAGAGAGGTTGCATGCAAGTTGTTCAATGGTTTGTGAAACGAGGCTGTCGTGAAATGGAGCTATGCTTAGCTCTCACAGCCGCCACTTCAAGCAGCCAGGTCGAGGTCGCTGCTTATCTCCTTCCTCATGTACCACGACCTGTCCTCACTGCTCTCAGCATTGAAATCCTCAAAGCAGCCGGTGAAAGAAGTGGTGGTTCCCTCCACGGAGTAGAGTTTCTCCTTAAATCAGATTTCCTCGGGGATCCAATAGCTACATATTCAGTTGCAGAAACCATTGCAAAGTCAGAAGACGAGTCTGTTCCTTCAGATCTCAAATCCTTTCTCCAAGAACACTGGTCAGAGGCTGCATTCAACCAAGGACTGAGGGAAAGCCGGGAAAATTTCATGAATTTCATGAGGGTTCTGAAACTCGGAGAGTCTGCAATAAGTATAAAGGATCTCCCAGCACCATTGAGAGTAGCAATTGCCTACATGCCGCTGTACAGAGAGTTTGTGAATGCGGGTGGGCGGCTGCTCTCACAAAAGCTAAGGGGGCAGCTCGTAGAGACTGTAAAACAGCTTCAAGGCTTCGATGTAGACACAGAAGAAGTAAAGAAAGGTCATCATCAGCTAATGGCAGTTTTGGAGCATCACCTTCCTCTTTTTTTGGTCAAAGCTTCTTCACACTGAGCAACAATGGATTCAGCATCTGAGTTAGGGCAACTCGTTTTCTTAAAAATAGTTGAAAAAATAAGAACTGGAAAACAACCATACCACTACAGGTTGTGAGATGATGAAAAAGGGTTCTTGTACAAACGTCCTACGAGAATGTCTTTGTCAAGTCTCTCTATATCTGTCTTTTATGCATCCTAAACCATTGGAGAGATAATCAAAGCCTTTTATATTATCTCATCTAAATATATATTATTTCACTTCTTCTGTCTCCTACCCTGTAATCAAAGCCTTTCAATTTTTACTTCTTGTACTAATCTCTTATCTGGTTTTGCTTCAGACCATGAGAAAAATGATATCATGATGAAACTATTAATTATTCTTTATTCATATAGATAGTTGTGTATAATTCTGAATCAACAAAACAAGTTTTACAAATGAAATATTAATCTCTTACCCTGAAACCTTATGTAATGACAACAATAGACAAAACCTCCTCTCTGTTTTTTTTTTTTAAGGATTTCTTCAATTAAAGAAACGTTTATTACATAAAAGTGGAAGAAGTAACATGTTTGGAATTAGAAGAAGGCATGAAAGCAAGAACCATAAGCAAAACCATAATCCCAATAGGAATCAAAAGCAGCATAAACGGAGGAGGAGGCAATGGCGGAAGAATCAACGGTAAGATCAAGAGAGATGCTGTGAGACCAACAAGCAAAACCATTGATTCTAAACTGAAGTAACTCGCTGATATTAGCCTCCTTGGACTGTTCTGCGACGACAATGTCCGAAACAACTCTTGCTTCCCCATAATCGGAGCTGGAGCTGACCCACGAAAAGTCATGTTTTTCCGGTTATCTCTTCTCATGTCCATGACTGTGCTGTTGTTGTTGAGAGAACAATGTTCTTGAATGTTTATGATGTCGTTTTGTAGACTGGAGATTTCACGAATCATTTAAAGAAAGTTTTTTTTCTTTTCTCGAGGTTCGATCTGGAAAATCAGATCGATGTATGAAGAAACTTGTAGTTTGTTTTATCCAAACGCATAAAAAGCAACGAACTTTTTTTCTTCTTCTGTCAATGTAGCTTGGTTGAAGAACCCTGATGATGAAATTACCCAAGAACTCGAAATGATCTTCTTGGCGTTTCCAGACCTAAAAAAGGACTAAACTTTTTTTTTTCCGGTAGAGAGAAAAGATTCGATTGGTGTTCACGAAAGCTGCAAGAGAAAATTGTCGAAGTTTTGATCAGTAAATCGTTATGATTCAATCAAAAACATGAGCAGAGACCAATAATGAGCAACGAACGAATCAGGCGAAGATTTATCAGAGAATGAATCAGAAAGCTGAAAGTAAGTACCTTTAAACCGTTAGAGCCAAACTCCTTCAGCGAGAAGAGGAAGAGATTAAACGTTGGAAACCAAAAACTGGGTGTTAAAGCTTAAATACAGAGGAAGATGAAGAAAGTTTGTTTTTGTAAGAAAACAGAGAAGAAAGAAATAAAAGTGGGTGTGGTTTTGATATGGGAATTGGTATTAAAGAATGGTAAAAGATAATGAAGAAATAAATAATCTTTTGGGGTTATACTGTGGAATCAGAGAAGAAACAAGAAACAGAGGAAGGTTCACTGAATTTACAAGATTTTTTTTTTCAATGTTTTTTAAAAAAGGATTTTTAATTTGTTTTTCTCTTTTGGGGGTGACAAGTGTGAGAGGCAAGTTGCTGCTGATTCTGGAAGGTCTGAAAAAATTGAGATTACTTTCTCTCTCTCTCTACACAATCACAGTGATTCTTCTCCCCTAGACACTTTGTCTCTCTCTCTCTTCTTCCTTAGAGTTGATGCTGACGTGGGATGGAATTTATTTGGGGTAAGCCTCTGTTTGAGATTGAGGTTTCAGTTTCTTTTTGAATATTCAATGGTTGGTTTAATTAAACGAATCTAAAACTTTAACATTGTTCGTGTATTATAATCAGGACTATAGTCAAAGTTGTTTAATTAGTTGAAATAAAGAAACCAGTCGTGATTTTTCCTTTCTGATTTGTTATTGTTTTAGGCTTTTTAGTCTTGTATTATTTTTATGATTTAAAGTAATCGTTGGTACTACGAAAGCTCTTAAAATGTTAACCACTTGATGTCCACAAAAAAAAATGAAGCTAGCTAGTTGCTTCTTCGTTGCAGTGTTTTGAAAGGTAGATTGTGTTTTTTTTTTTAAATGGTTAGACTGACAATTTGTCATGATCGTGATTCGTGATCAAAGCATTTGAGCATCGTTAATCAAATGTTTCTAATTTTCTATATACACGAACAATAAAATCTAACTAGATCATCACCCGTACTACAGTACGGGTTAAATTTTATTTATTACAAAATTTATATATTATATATTTTAAAATAAAGTTGTGATATATTATAATAGTAATTGAAAAAATATAATTAGATTTTTGTCAGTCCCTATATATAATATTAGAATGAATATTTTTTTTTTAAATTATACTCAATTATGGATTTTTTTTAAAGATATGAAAACAGAAAATAAAATTATTTTAATAAATTAATATAGTCTGAAAAATGAGTAAATTTATATTAACAACCACAAAATGAGATTGCATATAATTCAGTTAGATCAAAAATCAAAATATTATAAATGAATCGCTTCTAAAACGTAGATTATTTTTAATTAATTAAGATAGTTAGCTATTATTTTGAATTAATTTAGAAAATTCTTTTTTCAATTTCTAATTCTTTGGTTGTTGAAATAGAGATTTGTTTGAGGTAACTACGGAATTTATCAATTATTCGCGTAATCGAATATGTTATGAACATATATTTAGTATATAATATACCAAATTCAACCCGTGCGTGGAGTCTATATTTTTATTTTAGAATCCTAATGAAAATATTGCGTGCACAATCTATTATTCGTTATTTCCAAAATTGCTTGCACAATCAAATTTTCAAATATTTTGAGGTGTCAACCTTATTTAATCTATCTGATCATATAATCTTAACATGCCTTCTATTATAAGGATCATAATTTTATATCATATAATATATTACATGTAACCCTCCGCCTACTATAACTATTTTAAATATATCTTTTTAGAAAATTATAGTATTTATAATTTTTTTTTATCTTTTTAATCTATTAAATATTTATGAATTATGATATTCATTAAAATATTAAATTAAACTATTTTTAAATGTTCCAATTAAAATCTTTTAAAATATTTCTTTTAGTATATAAAATTATGAATTTCAAAAAAGAATTATATGAAATTAAATAGAAATATTCAAACAATTATAAGGATCATAACTCATTTGTTAATATAATATATTATATTTAACCCACTGCCTATTATAAATATTTGTTTACAAAAATCAAATTAGAATATTTATTGATGATATTCTTTAAATATTGATGATATTCTTGAAAAATATCAAGTAAAACTAATTTTATATGTTGCAAATTAAAATGTTTAAAAATCTTATTATAGTATATAAAATAATACATTTCAAAAAATAAATGTATGAAATTGAATATAAATATTCAAATTCTGACCCGTTACTCAGTCTAAATTTTTGTTGAACTTATTTTTGGTTAAAAGAAATATATTACTCAAATGTGAATTTTTGACACGTTAAATTTTTTTCTTCATAGATTTTACAATTTAATTTCGTTTTTAAAAATTCAAATCTTGGCATATGGAGAAAAAAATTACTTTTTTTTGTTTATATGGATGATATGATGATTTATTTGTTTCATAAAAATAGGATCATATAAAGATGAGAGGTGAACTATAATGATTAATAACAAATTAATATGGTAAGTTAGATATCAAATCTTATATGTTCATTTTGATTGGTCATTCTTTTTTTTAAATTAATAATATATTTTCGTTTTTAATAATTAAATTAATTAAATTGCATAAATTAGTATTTGACTTGTTTATCCTTAATGAGCTGAATTAATTTACTCTTTAAATTTTTATCTGTAATGGCATTCTTAAGTAATTTTTTACAAATGAGAAGGTTAGTTAAGGATATCTTATAAAGTGTACTCCCCAAATAATAGTATAGGATATTATCAAACTTTGTAACGAATTAGCTAGTAAGAAAAGTTTTATTTACAAAAAAAAAGAAGCAATTATATCTCTACAAAAAAATGCTATAATCATTTAGAGTTGTAATCTATTGAAACTATATATGGACCGGAAACGAGCTAATTATAGATTCGAATTCATCCGCGCACTAATATATATACTGAAGTGATAGCAATAATTAATAGATTGAATGCGGTGAATTACCAATTTAATTTGATTAAGTATATTCAACATTTATCAAAGAGACTGTATATATAAATAATGTTTTTATATTTGTGAAAAATCAAATTTCCTACCTAATAATAATGTTGTCTATGTGTTATCGACCGATGATGACCCATATTGTTATTCCTCTCCTCGGCATTTCATGTGGTGGCTATATCATATTATCGTTCCTAGTGGGACAGTTGGTCCAATATTTATTTCTCTTTCGGTTTTATGCTTTTATTAATAGTTATAATAGAAATGCAAACTTCAATTTATAAAATTAGAGACCTTGTTTTTATATATAGGCTAATTCGGTAGATGGAACCTTTTAAGAGATTTATATAAAAAAAACATTAATAAGTGGTGTTGTTTTTAGTCCAATTTTAACAAAAAAAAAGTGATATAGTATAAATGTATAATATATCGAAATATCGAATAAAATAACATGATAGTATGATACTGGTTGTAATCATTATTATTTTTTAAAACTCATAGTCATAAAATTTATGATATGATTTTTTTACATCCAGCATTTCTCAAATAAAAGGACATAATTTTTTTTAAATTTTTTTAACGGCATCATGGATATACTACTTTTAGTTGAGTGTTTAATTAAGAGGGACATGATAATTTCCGCAAGCAGTTTTGTTTTAGCCGTTCTGGTATTAAGTATTAACCAATTGACAGCTTACCAAAATCCACTACTCATTTTTTTTTCAATCCAAGATACAATACTGATTTATCCAAATTCAATGAATCGCATGAATAACATCTATTGATTACGTCTTTTCTACTAAAAGAAAAAGAAAAAGAGAATTGTTAACGTTTTATTCGTCAACCACTAGCTAAATGACATTTACTATTCTACAATTATAAGGCTCAAGTAGACATAATTACAACAAAACTTTACCTCCCGCTAGCTATAAACAAAAACAAAACTTGACGTCATTAAAAATATGATGATGCACGACGCAGACTTAAATTTGTTAAGAACAAAGTTTAACAAATATATATTAACTTATATATCATAGTGATATCTTCCCGATCTTAAAAGATATTCAAATTATCCTATGGATATGTACTTGATTCGATATCTTTGATTTTTTTGTGTACATGATCTTATAGTTAGGATCGATGCCACCAGTTCCTATGTAAATAAATAGATATATCATATATGTACGTAAATAGCATGCTTATACCAATCTAAATGCCACTCAAAAATATATTGCCATTCTGATACAAATGTATATAATGCCATTCAGATTTATAGAAAAACCATATTTAATTATCATGATATATATAAGAACGTATACATAGAGCGCAATCTCTTATCCAAATCAGAAAAGATTGTTATTCGTAGCCAAAACCAAGAAAGATATCGGATTTTCTTAGGTGAACTATAGGAGGGTTTTTAATTTTTTTTTACCAGTAATTCTTGGATTCTATTGGTTTAATCCATGGTGTGTATATTTAATTTTAGAAATTTAGAAAGAAACAAATGGTAGAAAGGGAAAGCTATAGAAATGGCAACCCATGCATGATTGCCTTGAACATCGCAAACCCTCCCTTAGATTGCATGTCTAGTGGTGCATAGTGGACCTGCAACAATATTCAACGAAATATTCATATTATATACATTGCATAATGCATAGTAGGACATAACAAGATGAATTATTATGCTCAATGACAAGTTTTTATGATATATGCCCACAGTTTCATCACACATACTTGAGTTTTAAAAATGAGAATGATTCTATTTCTCTATTAAGTTAGCCTTTAATAATGTTGGTGGTATACGTAGAGATATATTGAAGAAAATAAGTTTAAGCAACAAAAAATGTTGATAAATAAAGAATTAAATAAGCAATGATTTCAAAAGGTATGTAAGGGCATATGCAACGCCAAAACAGTTGGTGTGATCTTAGTAATTTAAAATTAAGAAATAATGGGAATAGTGCGTTTAGTTCTTGGGTTTAGTTCTTGCTCAAGACCTGTTCCTGACCCTGTTCTTGGGTTTGGGACTTATTTTATTTTTTTTTATTCTAAGCACACCATTAAGATGATCTTCCGATAATTATGTGGATGAAACGGCACATGTCGTTGTCACGTGGCTCGTTCCCATCGATTCAATGCATATCTCGACCAACTTGACTTATTAATATTCCTCGTACAACTCTCCAATCTCAAGCCATCTTTCTTCTACGTTTATTCATTTAACAACTACGTTATACATTTTCCTTTTTCTGTTTTCTTATAAATTACTTTATCCTCTCAAAATTATTGTTTTGTGTATCTAAAATGAATGTCGTTAAGAAATGGTGTCTTTTATAACATTGTAGAAAATATTCAATAAATCTCTAATGTATCATTAATTGAGTAATTATTTACAGAAATATAAACTAATCTAAAATTTATAAAACATTGAATATTTCTGATAATTTGAAACATTCTTAAATATTTAAAAAATACACGCATATTTCTCAAACATATTTAATTCTTACAAGAAATCTCTATATATTTAAAAAATTCTTCTAATCATTCTCTATTTTATTTTCTTTAGCTAGAAATCAAAACAAAAACAAAAAATCCTCAAAATTTGAAAGGTAAGCTAATGTTGTTTTTCCTAACAACATCCATTTATGACACTCGTGGTTTAAAGTTTGCACGGTACTGTTAATTAGATACTACATACAACCGTGGACGGTGGTGGATCTTCATCACCTAATCCGTATTAGTAATTTAATCATGTGCATTAGTTAATTTAGGAACTAAATGATAAATATTGATCGACTCTAAAGCAGTGCCATAGATAAAGCTAAAGTATATATTTTCTTCAGTATAAAGATAGGAATATATGGGGACATATACTTTTGTCGATTTTGTAATCCAGCTTTCTATTAATGAAGTCTGAGCAAAGATATGACCAGGCTAAAAAGTGAACTAATTAAAAAGATGCATAACAGAAACATAAAAATAAAATTCATGCATCTGCTAATGTGAGAGGTTATTGGATTCATTGCACGTATCTTAATGATTCGTTTTCATTTCACATCCCTTGCCATAAAAGATTTGAAAGAATAAGAAAGTTTGAAATTCTTTACGTCATATCATTTTCAGTATTTGTTCCTGAATCAATTAGATATTATTTATAATTTAATTTTCTTCTTGTGTTTTGTACGTCACTAGTTTCTTTTTTTCTTTGGTTATGTACCAAAACATGAAAAGCTCAAAAATTGTTAATTAGAAGACTAAATAGAAATAAGAATAAAGATGAAATGATGAATTGATATGGAGGAGTAGGACCCAAAGATTGGAAGGCATGGTGGCTGCTCTGTTGTTTGTTACATCTCATTCTCAATCTTAATTCCAATTCTGTGTGCTTCTTTCACTATAGAATACCATTCTTGGTTTTTTCTCAATTTTCAAAACCCCTAAAGAGAACTTTTTAAATAGTTGGTTGTTTAGACCAAGGACAATGTCAAATTGGTTTCTTCACTTTTTAAATTGATACAAAGCGACGGTAAATCTTTTTTTTTTTAACAACTGCGACGGTAATTCATATAGATAATTAAGAGAATAAAATCCTATATTTTAGACTAGCTAGGAATTCCATCTTAATTAGTTTAAAATTATGCAACTGTTATGTAAATATATTCTATAGGAATACAAACATGCATTACCAGCAAGCAAAATTATGTGGTAAAAAATGTATAATAGTATTCTTTTACTTTTGGTACCGACTAATTTCCAACTCTAATCTATCAGTGAACGTTTCAAAACTAATGCTGACGAATATAGATTTCTCTGCTACAACATTCATAGTTTCATCAAAAAGATAAAATTCCGATGTCAGGTATAATTTAAAGTTTTGTGGTAATATAAGTCAAAGAAGACATTTGTGTTGAATGTTTTTTTATCGTGGGGATTGATTCAGTGCATTGTTACAACCTTTTGACTCTTTCTCTTGTTTCCTTTATAATTCGTTTTCTGAATTATACTTTTTAGACCCTTTCCTCGATCGAACCTTTTATTTGAGCGCTACTCTACCTAGTAATACATAAGCCGCCATAGAACAATCTCTCAAATTTGATTACGACAGTTTAAATATAAGAAAAGAAGGAAAAATCACATTATTTAAAACGTGGTCATGATGAAAACGTTTGATTTCGATTTTTATTTCAATAAAAGGAAACACGTACGTAACCATATTTATTATTAACTGATCAAAGATCCTCCAATTTCATGAAGCCTAAAAAACTCTCAAAAACAGATTCAATAACGTCACCAAATCTTGATCGGCTATTTAAAGAAAAAAGGATTTGAAGAAAATCGTAACTTGACCCTATGCATCCTGCTGTGTACAAGGTATTTGTTTACTCTTGAATTCATTAAATTGATGCTTGTAATTAATAATAATATCTTTGTTCTAATGAGTGGTTGATATATTGCTTCATTAAGATGAATGTTACTAATTGTGTACTGAATAATGAGTATCAGTTGCATGTGGTAATCAGGTTGGTCTTCAATATCTTTCTGGGGATATTTCTGGTGGCAATGCCAGGTGTATTGCGATGCTCCAAGCATTCCAAGAGGTTGTCAAAGATTATTCGACACCGCCTGAGAAGACTCTTAACAGGGACATGGCTGCGGAAATAAGTAGCTGCGTCTCTTTCCTCAGAGAATGCCGTCCGCTTTCGGTTAGCATGAGAAACGCAATCCGATTTGTGAAAAACAGGATTGCAAAGCTGTCTATAACACTTTCTGAATCTGAAGCAAAAGCTTCTCTTAAGTCAGATATCGAACGGTTCATCAACGAGAAAATCATAGGGGCAGATATGGTGATAGTCAAACATGCTGTCACTAAAATAAGAGACGGTGATGTCCTTCTGACCTACGGATCTCCCACTGCTGTTGAGATGGTATTATTACATGCACATGAACTCGGGAAAAAGTTTCGTGTCTTGGTGGTGGATTCTCGCCCAAAGCTTCAAGGGCAGCTACTGCTTCGTAGATTGATCAAACGAGGCATTAACTGTGCATACACTCATATAAATGCCATTTCATATATCATGCATCAAGTCACCAAAGTGTTTTTGGGCGCCTCATCAGTTTTCTCTAACGGAACAGTTTACTCTAGGGTTGGGACTGCTTGTGTTGCAATGGTGGCAACTGCTTTCCGTGTTCCTGTGCTTGTATGTTGCGAAGCCTACAAGTTCCATGAGAGGGTACTATTGGATTATTCAATATGCTCGTCCAATGAGCTCGGTGATCCAAATGCTATTTCAAAAGTTCATGGAAGAGAAGACATAAACTACTTTGATGGCTTGACCAACAATGCAAACCTAAAGTTTTTGAACTTGATGTAAGCTAGCTTGTGTTAATCGTATACAAGCGAAATTATCTTCTGTTAATACTAGCTATTCTTCTCTGACACTAAACCCTTTTGTGATTTTTCTAATGACAGGTATGATGCTACACCTTCAGATTACATTTCCATGATAATCACAGATTATGGCATGGTAAGATTAATCATCGTCTCTTAAAAAACATAGCATTAGGGTCCTCAAGTCTCATCCATAAACATAATGCAACACAGCTTCTCCACTCATTCAGATTCTCAAACCATCGGACCCTGACCATGTTTTCTTTTTTCAGGTACCTCCCACAAGCGTGCCTGTCATCGTGAGAGAATATCAGAAAGAACACTTGCTTTGAAAGCCCAAAAATTGTTATTTAGGAGATTAAACGCATAAAGATGAAATGATAATTTGATATGGAGGAGTAGGACGCAAGATTGTAAGAATGGTGGCTGCTCTGTTGGTTGTTACATCTCATTCTCTATCTTAATTCCAATTCTGTGTGCTTCTTTCACTTTTTTCCCTATAGAATACCATTCTTGTTTTTTCTCAATTTTCAAAACCCCCTAAAAAGATCATATTAAATAGTTGGTTGTCGAATATATGTTTTGAAAAAGATAAAATTCCGATGTTGGGTATAATTAAAAGATAAACGTTTAGTTTGAGGATCAAGTAAAAATCAAAGATGCAGAATCCTAGCTATTCTTTGTTGTTTTTCTCCCATTACACTACAACTTCACTTTGGTAGGAAAGATTTTAACTTTGCTGATGCTAGCTCACTTCAATCAAATATTCAGTACCGGAAACAAATGGAAATAAATGTATACCTCTTGTCAAGAGACGGCATAAGCTCATTATATTTTTGTGTGTTTACTTCACTTAAATAGGTTTCAAAATCACCAAGTGAAACAATATAAATTATGAATAAATATATATATCAACTGTTTACGATTAAGAATCTAAAGTTATCGAGTCAATGTTTTGTAGAAAAAATGAAAACTGATTTATAAATTTCAAAAGCTGCCGAATAATGAAAGGATATAAGAAAAAAAAAAAACTAGACCTTCTGGCTTGGAGTCTTCTCGTTGTCTTACCGTCTTTTTTTTTTTGATTTGGAATTTTCAAAAAGAAGGACGGAAAGAGAAACACCGTGTAAGCCAACGATTATACCCCATGCAACCATTTTCGACCAAAAGTCGTCGTCCTTACAAGTTTGAGCTTCCATGGTGAGGGCCTGTTGATGAGCTTCAGCAACAGTGAGAGGGTTTAGCAAGTTAAGTTGGTCTCGGATATTTTTCCGCAAGCCACCAACGAAACGAGCCACAATCTGCTGGTCCGAATCTTGCAGATCAACACGCGTCAAAAGCAAAAAGAATTGGGTGGAATATTTTTCTACTGAATCCTCTCCTTGTCGCAACATGTGCAAGCGTTGAAACATCACTTGATCATAGTTGAATGGTAAGAACGTCTTACGCATCTTCTTATTCAGCTTGTCCCACGACAAGATTCTAGGTTTACCGGAACGTGCTCGAGACGCCTTTAGTTGCGACCACCAAGCTGCCGCTCTGCCGCGGAATCGCATCACAATCATGGGAACACATCGCTCTAAAGGTACGCGTTTGAACTCAAGAGTCTCTTCGACCGTGAAGATCCAATCGAGAAACTCTTCGGCTGATTGTCTGCCATGATATTCGGGAAGCTCAAACTTGAACCCTTGCTCCCACCGCAGATCTTCTTCTTGTGGTTCAACATTGATGTAATCCTCCTGCTGGATGGCGAGAGCTTGCACAGCCGTTGCCAACTGCTCGATATCACGCTTGAGTGTATGCACGTCTACTGGAGCCGGAGGAGCCATGGCCAAGGAACGTATGTATAGTAGTGCTTTAAGATAACTCTCTCTCTCTCTCTCACAAAGCGACTGAATAATTTTCTTTTAAGAGCTAAAAGCTATATAAATAAGGCCCTAAATCTAGGGTTTCAATCGACCCTAGCTTAGAATTAAGGATCTAATCCGATAGAGAATTTCTGCCGAATTAAACCAATTTTTTGGATTTTCTTGGTTAAAATGGGTTAAAACCGGTTAAATTAGGTTAAAATCGAGTTAAAATCGGTTAATTTTGATATATATATTTTTAATATAAAAAAATATATTGGATACCACCATCATTGATTTTAGTTTTTACTCACTTTTGGAGAAAATATTTTCATTTACACAAGCTCTGGCATTAAGATTTTCATTTGGGGAAAAGATTTTGGAGAATATACTCTCTCTGTGTCAATTAGATTATATTCCCTTTTATTTGATTATTTCCTATACACAAAGAAACGTCCCAACCTTTTCTTTTTTTTTAAGTAAGGAAAACGTTTGATTTCGATTTTTTAAACGGAAACACGTAACCATATTTATTCTTAACTGATAAAAGATCCTCCAATTTCATGAAGCCTAAAACTCTCAAAAAACAGATTCAATAACGTCACAAAACCTTGAGGCTTTTTCAAAGAAAGAAGCATTTGAAGAAGAAAATGGTAACTTGTTCACCCATATCACATTTTGGCTGCTGCTTCTGCCAAACGCTTCTTCTTCTTCTTGACACTAGCTGATTTGTAACCGCCTTTACACGGTTTCCCCCACGGACTAACCGATGTCCTTCCTCTGCTTCCACTACTTTTGCTTTTTCCTTCACCTCCACCGTGTGGATGATCACACGGATTCATCGCCACTCCTCTAACTTTGGGCCTTATCCCTAACCACCTACTCTGTCCTGCTTTATATAGCTTCTTCGTTCCATGAGACGGGTTCGACACTGTGCCAATCGTAGCACGACATCTGGCGTTGATCCACTTGGTGTTCCCTGACGGAAGCTTTATCAAGCATTTCCCTGAAGCAGGCTCCTTTAGGATCTTGGCGTTGGTTCCTGCAGCTCGGACCATCTTTGCGCCTTGCCCTGGGTTCATCTCGATGTTGTGGATGATTGTTCCGATACGCATCATAACTAGTGGCATGGAACTTCCTACCATTGAGTTGATGTCCATGTGGAGCATCTCTTCTTTCATTTGCGCCACCAATGATTTGTTCTGCGCATCAGCAAAACCTGTATAATAAAAACAGAAATAGAGGCGTTGAAGTGTCCAACAAAACATAAAACGCACACAAAACAGAAGACATCGATTTTGACAAAAAAAGCCTAGATTGAAACTCTGGATCTCCAAATCCCTCTGGTTGAGATGTATATACTCCACAGAGCTCAATCTTAATTATAGAAAACCATATAGACTAGACAGACTCTTAAGTCCCACAAAGTAGCTACATGCATCAATTAAAGATACTCAACAGAGCTCAATCTTAATTATAGGAAAAGAACATGATACAGCTAGCAAGAGACTTAGGAGAAGAATTTGATACAAATAACACCAGAGTTGCAGAGATCCAAGCTTAGGTCCTAGTTATAAACTTTTCTATGTTCTAATGATGATGAATTCTACCAACAAAAGAGTATCTTAACTTGAAGTAGCATAGTTTGAGCTCATTCTTTCATCATATCCAGAAGTAAGTAAGTGCTTTCATTCAGTTCGTAATCCATCTAGAAGAGGTTTGCACCTTGATAGAACCCACAACATAGGAAAAAATCAACCTGAACACTTAAATAGAAGAGGCTAACATAACAATAGCCGTTTCCCAATGTTTAGTTGTTTGTAACAATACTGCCTAGGCAAATGGAGAGAAAAAAAAACCATTTTCTTGATACAGACAATCAACAAAACTAGAAAGCATACCATACAAAATGAAGAGATATCACCTACCTGTAGAGAATTTTCGAAATGCTGGACGAATAACGCTGTTGAATAAAGAAGACGAAGCAGTAGCTCGAGCTCTGCATAACGCCACAAGAGCCGCCATGGCTCTAAACAGTGAAAAAAAGTAGGGTTTTTCCGCAAGATTCTAGCTCCAAAATCCCTATCAAATAAACACAAATAGTTAACAGTCTGCAAGTGTGCATATCCCTAAAATTAGGTCTTCTACGCACGACCCAGATACCTATATCATCACGAACGATTTTTTTTTTAATTCCGAATCAGAAAACTATACGATATCACTAAATCTCGAGTCATTTCTTGCAATGATAATTTGAGTCTATCAATCTATTGGCTTAATTAATGGCTTCGTATAATGATGTAGCATGAGATCGGGACAAACCTGAAGTATGCGAAAGTCCTCGACGAAACCTTTGCAATTTGAGAGAGAGAGAGAGAGACTGATCGAGGAAGACGACTATGGGAGTGTGAGAGAGCCTAAATGCCTAATTGTTTTTATTAAAACAATTAGGCCCAATTTACAAAGATAAGCCCAATCAACCAAACCCACTAGAGAGACCCATCACCCATCTCGTGTCACACCATATGTAACAAACGTCTCCATTGTAGAATCCCGACCTCTCCCAATTGATTACGTTAAATCACTTGAGATTAAAAAAAAATTAAGTATGGACAAACACATTAACTGCGTTTTACATGTAATTGACAATCACCATGTGAATTTTGTAATAACCAACCATATAGTATATGAGTATGTTTATCCAATTTCCAAACCCGATTGAAACAAAACATAACCAAGCGAAGCGGACCACAAAGATATAGCAAGTCCAAAAAAAGACAGCTCTATTCAGAAGTCTGATCCATCAGTTATCAAAAGCACACAAAATAAAGTCTTTCATATTAATTTAAATAGTTTTTAAGATCGGGAGATTCAGTTCTTGACCATTCTTTTTCTTGGGCTCTTTTCTTTATTCCTGTAAGAAAATGGAAGATAAATTTTGTGAGCAAAAACGATCATAATGTTCAAGCTATAAGCAAAAGAGAAGAACATATAACTAACCTCATCGTCGTCATCATCATCTTCCTTCTTCAGACGGGTCGATCCACCTTCCTTGATTATAGGAAGCTTCATAGCTCCAAATGGTGTATCGACATCAACATTACCTTTGATAGTGTACCCAGTTCCTTTCCCACGAATCATATCCCAAAGAGCAGAACCAAAGTCCTTTGGTCGGAATGTCATTGGCACATTAATCAAGCCGCTTCCGTTTTTGTCAAGCTTGATCGAGTCAGATATCTCTGCTTTCCCAATGCTTACATCACACAGCCAAACTTCACAGTCCAAGTCATTGAGCCCCAAGTCAAAGTCATTCATGTTCTCAAGCCTCACATGGAGTATGGCAACGGTTTCTTCCATAGAGAACTTCTGGAACTTAATCTTTTCGATATCAACGTCTGGTTTCTTTGGAATTGGGATCTCTCCACATTTCTCCAGCGGCAATGTCAGTCTTCCCAATACTGGCACGTCCACAATAAGATCAACCTTGATCCTGTAAGGTATGATCATCCCGGGGTTGATATCGTTGTAAGTGCTCTTGATGTCATCATAGATCAAAGTCAATGGTATCTTCACAGTTTCTTCTCCATGAGCCTTCAGGGTTCCAGCATCCGGGATCAATCCCGAAACCAGTTTCCTCCCATCGCTCTCGACCAGGTAGTTAATATCGATCAGAGGGATAGGAACTGGATTCGGGTTCTTCACAAGCACATCCACAACAATATCTGCCCTCTCAAGATTGATCTTAGGGATATGAATCGCAGAGACATCAGCAGTTGGCTTCCCAAACCCAATGGTTCCTTCGATTTTCTCACCAATGTCATGAATGAAATCTTTCACCTTATCGAGGAATCCACCTTTCCCTTCTTCTTCCTCGTCCTTATCCTTCTGACTTCTATCGACAATTTCCACGTCCCCCTCCTGATGAACTCTACTGAGTTCTGGTTTATCCTCAGAAGTCGACATACCTAAGCTGCAGCAACAGGTTATAAATTTCAAAAGTCAATAACTAGTACTACAAAAAAAAAGCTTAAAGAGTATCAAAGAATAGACAAAACTTCAAGCATTCAACGCTGAGAGTAGTATCAAACACAGCAATTAAGCAAAAGACAGAACAATGGTTGTAAAAGTCAAACAAACAGTAATCACAGTTTTCAGTAGTTGTAAAAGGCTAATACAACATAACTACAAAATAATGCTGATTCATCATCATATCTTTGATCTCTAACCAAACATCATAGAGAACTCGCAACACATTAGATCTCATCAACCAGGATCATAACAACATCCTAGTGGTATAGCTCAGAACATACAATATTACAATGCATCTCTGTACTACGAGACAATGATCATATCACGTGAATCATGTGGATTCGTGGGAAAATACAGATCCTAATCTTCGATCTAAAAAGATAGCACTAGATCAACTTTAATGTCAAACAGATCGGAGAAAATAAGGTCAGAATCAGAAAAGTTCGATCTAACCACAACCTTTTTCCATGTATTCAAATCATAAAGGATCAACGCAAGAACAACAATGAAGAGAAAGAAAACTTAGTGGATTTGAGTTTTACCTCGAGAGTTGGATTGGATGAATGTGAGTCACAGAGAGACAGAGAGAAGAGAGTGCTCGAAGAGTCACAAAATGATTGAAGATTGTGGAATTGGTTGATCCGTTGAACTTTATATTAACTATTATCAATGTGACGCGTAATCTTCGCTTGCCGACAAAATTTTCGTCGTGTAAGGTCCTTATTGGCCTTTAAAATTTAAATCCGTTTCGACACCTCAATTTCAAGATATTACAACAAAAAAGATCACATTTTTTATTAGTGCAGAAAGACCCCCAAAATTCGGAGGAATTATTATATTATCACACGATTCAAAAAAAAAAGGCCAAAAGCTTACAAAAGCGTTTAAATGATTTGTAACCAAGGGTAAAACATTTTGACAATCTTTGAGGTACAATTTTGGAGGTTGGGTTGTAACCAAATGCGGCAACAGCATGTAGTTCTCATACGTGATCACTGTTCATCCATGGAACCAGCGGAGCTATTTCAGGTGGTGCTCAAACAACGATGCCATTTCGAGCTGAAGAAAGAAAAGAGAGAGAGAGAAAATTTCAGGACTTTACCGGAAGAGACAATAACTAGAATGACCACTTGCGTGATGGAATGATTAGGAACTTCTATATCTTGTTCTAAGATTAAAGGACTGAATCATAATGATACTTACCGCCGTCAAAGCAGTTTCAGCGCCCTTATTTCCGGCTTTGCCACCAGACCGATTCAAAGCCTAGAGTTTCAGTTTGACCACAACAGCAACAAGTTCAGTGTTTATCCATATGATTAAGAAACTATATATACCATCAACTCTTGCATATCAAAACTTAACCTGATCCATGTTCTCGCAAGTCAGTACACCAAATATGCATGGAACCCCTGCAAATTGGATTTTTTATAAGCTTTAGTTACTACTAGAGTGAATAGTGCTTGAACAACCAGAAACAAAATTTCAAGAACTGATTCATGATGCGGGAAATTTAATCATCCAAAATCCTAAGAAAGGCCAAAATCAAACAACCAGCTCTTCAGGTGTCTAAAAATGCATATCCCGCAAATGAATATAGAGGTAAACCTGAATTTATACTAGCAGAAAGTACTCCAGACGCAGCAGAGTTGGCAACAGCATCATAATGTGTGGTATCTCCTCTTATCTAAACCAAAACAAGGACAACAGTATATCAAAATCCAACTCTAAGCATATGTCAGTAACATAAAGCAACTACTTTCTGAAGCTTGAAGAAGTCATATGAGTAGAAATACAAATGGAATGGCCTGAGAATTGTTTAAAACAAGAATCATACCACAGCGCCGATACATAAAACAGCATGAAATTTTCCCGATTTCCCAAGATTTTGTGCAACAACACCAATCTCAAAGCTGCCAGGAACCCATATAACCTGAATAAAAAGAGTGTCATTAGCTTTGTGAAAGCTCAGAACTTTTTATTCTGAGTTAACATATCATCATCTACAAGCAAAAGACTTTTACTTCAATGTCTTCTTCTCTGACTGAATACTTCTTGAAAGTCTCAATCGCTCCTTCCAATAGCAACTTGGTCACAACCTCATTGAAACGAGCTACAACCTTGAAACAACATTGAGAAAGAAAAATGAATCAGAACCAAGCCACCAAATCAGAACTGATTCATATGAATCAGAACCAAGTCAACACTGCAATTGAGCTCGAAGTTTTCAAATTTCACTGTAAATCAGAACCAAGTCACCAAATTTAAGCAGTGCAAGAAGTAAGAAAGCGATTCTGAGAACTCACGATGGCGAATCTAAGACCTTCGCCTCTGATAAGAGACCCAGTAACATGGCGAACAGCAGCCGTCTGTACGAATGAAGAGCGTAATTCCTTCTCTACAGCGAGTGGTGACGCAAATCCTAACACCAAATTTTAAAATCTCATTCACGAAATTGCGAAAAAACGATTGAGCTATTATAAGAGAAGTGAGAGAAAGCAAGCTTACCGGATGTGGATGAGGAGAATGAGAGGTTATTGGATTTGTTCACAGAAGAGCCACCGTGAATATAACAGGCTGAGGAAGATTGACGCGAATTGAGCTGACGGTGGGCCGTCGGTATCAGGCGGAGACACGGCGGCGAAGCTAATGACTTCATGTTTCGCTCGTCGGAGTTTGTTTTTGAGATGGTTATTCGTTCTTCAGGTTAAGAGTGAGACTGTGAGGTTCATTAGCTTATCAAATCGGTTCAAGGCTTCCGGTTAAATATGTTAATTAAATTCCGGTTTTATTGAATCTATTAGTTTGGTTAAGAGATTCCCGGTTTGATGAAAAGGGATAAGCTAAACCCTAAATCCCCAATCTCTCTCACCGGCCGGGAAATTTCAGACAAAAGTAAAAGATTTAAACTTTTGTCCGTCGTAACAAAGAACAAAACTTTCGTCTCCTTGGAAGAGAAATTAATGGCTACGAATGGGTACGTTTCGAAACCTACGAATTTCACGTCGGAATTTTCGTTTTGATTGATGGAGATGAGCTTTTAACTCTTTAAGAGAATTCTACTGAAATTAGACGTTTTGATCACAGGTTAATGGCGTCTTCCAGTGTGTTTCTTCATCGCCCGCGTATCGCATTTGCTTCTAGAACGAATCAGGCTTCAGGAAAATGCGGTAAAGGCCGCGTTAGTTTCATGGGCATTGGGACACGTCGTCTTCCGGTGATTTTATCTATGACGGCGACGGCGGAGTCCGGTGAGGAGGCTGTGAAATCTGTTTTGCCTGGAAATGGCGTATCCATCATGGTAATCTGATCATCTGATGAGCTTAGACTCAAAGTTGTGAGATTTGACTTTGTATAATCATTTAAGTTTGAAATGTAGAAATGTAAAAGCTTGTTCCTTTTGAAATGGTGATTGTTGGGTTTAGCTATATTCATGATCTCTTATTCTACAGGTGAATGGATGTAGTGGCAAAATGGGGAAAGCTGTAATCAAAGCAGCAGACTCTGCAGGAGTAAATATTGTTCCCATATCATTTGGATCTGCTGGTGAGGATGGTCAGAGAGTTGAGGTCTGTGGAAAGGAGATTACTGTGCACGGTCCTACTGAAAGAGAAAAGGTTCTTTCTTCGGTGTTTGAGAAGCACCCGGAGCTAATTGCTGTCGACTACACAATTCCTTCTGCAGTAAATGGTAAACTCCAGAATCTTTCATTTTTACCATCAAGAGACAATTGTATTCTGGATTTGTTGAATGTATGATTGAATTCTGGTTGGGGGAACGATCCTTGTGATCCTTGATTGAGTTACTTTAGAATTTGTGTAAGTGCATAATCATCTGCTAGAAGTTTTTTTTGTTTGTTGTTAGTTGAATTCAAATTTGGATTTTTTGCAATGTGTAGATAATGCGGAGCTGTATAGCAAAGTTGGTGTTCCTTTCGTCATGGGAACAACTGGTGGAGATAGGAACAAATTGTATGAAACTGTTGAGAAAGCAAAGATTTATGCGGTGATTTCCCCACAAATGGGTAAACAGGTATCTTGGATGTTTCTGGAAGAACTGATTACTTATTCATGTAAATTAAGATCCTTTAGCTCATATTTGTGTGCTTTGTTGGTCTATAGGTTGTTGCATTTCTTGCGGCCATGGAGATCATGGCTGAGCAGTTTCCTGGAGCCTTTTCTGGTTATTCATTGGATGTACTTTTCTTAATTCTTTTATACATTCAAATTCATTTTTTACTCAGTTAGTTTTGTTTTACTTCTTGCTACGTCTAATCAACTGCCAATCTATGTAGGTAATGGAGTCTCATCAAGCTAGCAAATTGGATGCATCCGGAACAGCAAAAGCTGTTATTTCTTGCTTCCAGGAATTGGGTGTGTCTTACGACATGGATCAGGTGCATTGGCTCGTCCTTTATTGTTTATGACTCGACCATGACTTATTTTATTTTTCTGGTTATGAATTTCTGTGTATACAACTTTTGTGGTAGATACAATTGATTCGGGATCCAAAACAGCAAGTGGAGATGGTGGGTGTTCCCGAAGAGCATATCTCTGGCCACGCTTTCCATCTTTATCACTTGACATCACCCGATGAAACGTAATGCAATATCTAAGATATTGTTTATACTTTTCTTAATCATTGTAAAAGTGTGTCTGTTCCATAACTAGCTCCCTTTTCTTTGCCTTTCTTTGCAGTGTCTCCTTCGAGTTCCAGCACAATGTCTGCGGCAGATCAATATACGCCGAGGGTACTGTTGATGCCGTGCTCTTCCTCGCCAAAAAGGTTCTAAAGCTTACTCATATTGCTCATCATGATTCTGCGAAATTGAATCTCAGCTTTCTCTTAGTCTAATCTCTATAATGCTAATTGTTGATTCAACACTTTTGTGAAATGCAGATTCGATTGAAAGCAGATCAGCGAATCTACAACATGATCGATGTTTTGAGAGAGGGAAACATGCGTTAAGCTTCCGAGTTTTGTCAGTGCATTGACCAAATGGTGGTTCTAGAAAAAGCTGAGGACAGGCTTTTAAAACTCCTTGGTATATACAGGAACTTGCCATTGTATTGTTCATGTTTTGACCTCTTTACCTTAAATGTTATTCTCCTTTCTGGATCATTGAAGTGAAGTCTTATAGATAAAATTTCTCCAAATGTTCTGAACAACGATCTCAAGGTTTGTGAGTATATTCATCATCATCATCATCAGTCATCACCAAAAAGTTCTAATTTTTGGTGAAAAAATTGTGTCACATGTCGACTGTAACTGTGGTTTTTGATATTTTTACTGAGATGGTAAAAAAAAAGGAAAGAGTAGAGAGTGAAAAGCTCTCTATCTCTCTCTCGTTAGGGCTTCTCTCACGCGCCTTTCGTATCTCTCTCCTCTCTAATCGCGAGAACCTTTTTCTCGATTAGCCATTTGATTTTTATTGCAAAGTCGTAATCTTCTTCGACGCCAGTCTTCTGGGTATCTCCAGAATGAGCTATCTTCTTCTCAGGAGGAACAAATTCTTAGCTTTAATCAAAAGACAGAGTCTCATCTTTCCGATTACTTCCACTGAAACTAAAACCCTGATAAACCCAGATCCTAATATCCCTCAATTTCAAAACCCTTGTTCGATTTTCAGGATTGCTCACTATGCAACTCAATCTTCAAAGTTCCCGGAGTACGAGATGCCTACAGTCACATGGGGAGTTATACAGGGGAAGAAAGAGAAGCTTGTGAATCGTGTCAAAATCTGCGATTATCTCAAGGGTTTGGGGATAATCACCGATGAATTGGAGAGTATTGAGCTACCTTCCACCATTGAAGTCATGTGTGAGCGTGTTGAGTTCTTACAGAAGCTAGGGTTAACCATAGACGATATAAATGAGTATCCTTTGATGTTAGGTTGTAGTGTGCGTAAGAATTTGATTCCTGTCTTGGCTTACTTAGAGAAAATTGGAATCTCGAGATCGAAATTAGGAGAATTTGTTAAGAACTACCCTCAGGTTCTCCATGCAAGTGTGGTTGTTGAGCTTGCTCCTGTGGTTAAGTTTCTTAGAGGACTTGATGTGGAGAAGCAAGATTTGGGTTATGTTCTGATGAAGTATCCTGAGCTGTTAGGGTTTAAGCTCGAAGGCACCATGAGCACATCGGTTGCGTATTTGGTGAGCATTGGTGTGAGTCCTAGGGACATTGGTCCAATGGTGACTCAGTATCCTTATCTTTTGGGAATGAGAGTTGGAACCATGATCAAACCTTTAGTAGATTATCTAATTTCTATTGGTTTGCCGAAGAAAATTGTGGCTAGGATGCTAGAGAAACGTGCATATATAGTCGGATACAATCTCGAGGAGACTGTTAAACCAAATGTAGATTGTTTGATTAGTTTTGGCGTCAAGAAAGAGCTACTACCATTGCTTATAGCTCAATATCCTCAAATTCTCGGGTTACCCGTAAAAGCCAAGATGTCTACACAACAGTACTTTTTCAGCTTGAAGCTCAAGATTGATCCTGAAGGATTTGCTCGTGTGGTAGAGAAAATGCCACAGATCGTAAGTCTTAAGCAGAATGTGATAATGAAACCCATTGAGTTTCTCTTGGGCAGGGCATTTCAAGTGGAGGACATTGCGAAAATGGTTGTGAGATGTCCTCAGATCCTATGTTCCCGAGTCGAACTCATGAAGAATAGCTACTACTTTTACAAGACTGAGATGGGGAGACCGATGAAAGAACTCGTGGAGTACCCTGAGTATTTTACTTATAGCTTGGAGTCAAGAATCAAACCGAGGTACCAAAAGCTACAGAGCAAAGGAATTAGGAGTTCATTGAACTGGTTCCTCAATTGCAGCGACCAAAGATTCGAGGAACGGTTGCAAGGTAACTTTATCGATCCAGATACTGAAGGTCCAATGTTCGACATGGGCGGGAAGTTAGAAATGCCTGGTGGCGAGATTGTGTCTGATGAGGAAGAAGATGAGAGTGATGATGAAGTTCTCTACAGACGCACTCTTACTTTGTAGAATAATCAAAAGTCTTTAGCTTTATTGAGCTTTTGCATTTAGCTACACTCTTTTTGCAAGCATTGTGTTCTTTTGCTCTCTCTTCAATTAATTTTGTTGCTAAATCTTAAATCTTTAGATGTTGAAGGAGTAACTCTGACTAATCTACAGCTACTCAGATCCTGAATCAAAATTTTATTTGGTTTATAGAATTTTAAAATATGTTTCTTTGGTGGTATCTTAAAATATGTTTCTTTGGTGGTATCTTATGGAGAAGGAACAACTCTGAGGGGGCTATGGTCAAATGTGGATTAGGTCAACAAGAATTTTTGGAGAGTTATTAACATTATTTCTAGTTTGGTCCATACAACTTTTCATTTCTCGTTTATGACCTTACAAATATACATTTTAACAACAAACCCCAACTACAAACTTTACGTATACATCAAAAGATCACAAAATAACGATATCTACATGATTCTTTGTACATAAAATCAAACACAACACGAAAGAAAATGCAAATTTCCTATTTATTTTTGTTTTTTTTCTGTATTTTGAGAATTTTCTTGAATTGATAAAATTATTGACCTGAGATGCAAGAAAACAATCTATGGCTCTTGAATCGTACAAGTTGACCCTCCCGCGGCGGAGTAAAACCCTTCTCCGGAGCTACACCACCGTTTCTTTTTGTTTCCCGGCTTGATAACGATGAGAAATCTCCAACGGACCAGCCACGGCGATGGTGACGACCGTCGACGTTCATTTCAATATCGGAAACAAAGTCGTAAGACTCACGAGTTGTGGCGGAGGAGGAGAGACGTTCGTAACGACGACGAGCCAGGTTCTTCTTCACGGCCTTAAGGGCCATCGGTATTAAACCATCCATTGATGATTCACTCTATTTTTGTTTTCTTATTTCTCTCTTTGTGGTTCTTTTGAGATGAAGCAAAAGGTTTTGTGTTTATGGTTATTGACTTTGGGTTTGGTGCTTAGTTACCTTCCAATATTCTTCTTTTATATTTATCTTTCTTTATATATACAAGAAACTTTTTTCGTATATATTGTTTCTTCTTCCATTTGATTTATATCTTAAATTATAAGTAGGGTCAATTTATATTTACTTATTTGGAATTCCAAATTTCAAAGCTACACAATAAATTATATGAAGTTATAAACAAATGATTATCTTTAGTTTGTAGAGTTATATGGTTACGGTGTATCTTGTTTTGGATTTCATGATCATTATTTTTGGTCATGTTCAAAACATTTATACTCCCTCCGTATTTTAATAAGTGTCGTTTTAGAATTTTTACTTTTTTGAATTGGATGTCGTTTTCAAATTTCTATGCAAAATTTATTACTTTTTAATGTTTTATGACATCATAAAACATTAAAAAGTAATAAATTTTGCATAGAAATTTGAAAACGACATCTAATTTTTAAAAAAAGAAAATCCTAAAACGACACTTATTAAAATACGGAGGGAGTATGTAATTTAAGTGTTTAACACCAAGTGGTTGATCGTGAGATTAATACATTTTAAACTTGATTTATGATTCAAAAATTAGAGTATATATATATGAGATTATCGATGTAAGCTTTTCAAAAGTTTAGCATGTTGCAACATCCATACATCACAACTTTGTATATTTGAAATTCAAATGATTATTATTTTTGTCAACGAAAAACAGATGATTCAGACCAAACTCAAACGTAAAATCATTAGCGTTTAGTGCATATGCATATAATTACATAACAAAGGGTTTGTGATTGAGACCTCAAAAAAGTCCAACAGGTCACTTCCTTTAAACAAATGATTTAGCTGTTGCACACGTTATCCACCCTTGATCTTTGACTTGGTGTTGTGTCCAAGTCTAACAACAAGCCAAAAAAATTCAGTGAAGATTTTGTGAGACTTTTTGTTTGTTTGTTTAATTTAGTTTAGGTTTATCTCCAATAACTTTCGTTTTATGTACCAATAACTTTCGTTTTTATGTATATCTTCCTGAAGAGAAGACGGGTTAAGATAACCTCTTATGCTTAAAGAAAGTGATATATCAATAAATAAGTTGAGATACTTTGCCAAATACCAAAGAATGTTTTCTTTTGATTAGAAAAATATCATAATGGTAGAATCGTATACAATAAGATTACCAAAATTTGATGTCACTGAACGAAAATATACCGAGTTCTGACAATTATATGTTAATTAAAACAGTAACTAATGTGAAAATGTGGATTGCTGGTTTATAATAATAGCAAGATTTTATTAGTACTTAACATGTGATCAAATTATGTAACGAACTATCTATTACGAATGATTGTGTTTATACTATGAATTTGAACCCAAAATTTTATTTCTACAATAATGGTTTTGAAAATCTAATAAACATCGTACATAAACTCATCAAATGTATGATGAGAATTTGTCACGTACATGGCGAAGGAAAGTATTGATACTTCCCTAATCAGTATTGTTAGAATTTGTCTCAACGTTCAAGTTACCACCACATTAAAGATGCTCTTTCGTTGAAGAAAATAAAAATAAAATTAAAGACGGTTTAAGTCGTTGGAATCTATATATAGTAAATTAGTAAAAAACTTAAAGAAGTTTAAACAAGAAGTGACGACAAAGCTGATGATGTTTCTTACGCTAACAAACACTAACCATATTGAATTATTCAAAAGCGACACTTTTATCTGATGATAAGAGTTAAAGAAAGTGACAAAAAGTGAAAGATAAGTATTGAAGGAAAAAACACACACTCAATTTCTGATATATGTAACTTTACTGGTGAACTTGACATTTTAGAACAATAGTTCTACAGATCGAAGAAACTCAGGTTTAAAATCTACGACAACGAATTTTTTCTTATATTCTATTTTGGTATAAACATAATATTTTAATATCAATTTTCTATGACAACAAAAACCTAAGTAGTTAAATATTAACTTATAAATGTATGCTAATATAGCTCTAAAAAGGAAAAATTAGTTACGTAAAAAGGTATGAAACAACCTAAGAGTGTTTATCATTTACACCACAAACGATGAATAACTTCATCTATTAGATTAAGATGCATTAAACACTTCAAATTCACTGTTCTATTGTTCAAGGCCTTCAAGTGTACTTCACCTCTCAGTTTAGCTCTGGCCTCGAGGATTATTAACCTTCTCTCTATATCATTCTTCAACCAAACAGGTGATGTCTGATTCCCTCTGTAACCCACTTGTGTCCTAACCTCTGTTCTCATGGCACCATATGAAGCCACTCGTTGTCCATTGATCCTCATTTCACCAACAACATGACCGTTGTACAAGATATCTCCTTTACTAGTGGGAAACTCAAAGAACCCGAGATTTGGATTCTCAATTCTGATTTCCATAGCCAGTGTTGCGTTAAAGTAAAGAGATGATGATGATGATGCATCGTTTTTGTACCTGAGGTTTCTTATAGCAACAGATGTCAAGCTTGCTTTGAGTGGCTTGGCTATGAAAAAGAAACCAATGACGATGAAGATGAAGAGCAGCATGCAAAGCCCTGAAAGGATGAAGATGATCATTTTACCGGTGATATCACTCTGGTAAATTCTGCGAGCTTCATCAACATCTTTGCTCGTTCTTCCATATGTTGTTTCAACATAAACCGACATTTTTCCTCAGAGATTGTTATGACCGATAACAATTTCAGTATTGTCAAGAGGAACTTTGATGATAACAAAAAGATATATAGTACTGAATCAATCAGCAAAGCCAAATCCCAACAGAAAAAGGCTGAGAATATGTGGAAAGTTGAAAGTATGAATGGTTTCTTGATCAACATTACATTAAAAGATGATGTGTGGTTTCCGAAATAAGTAAGAGATGCTTAGAATTCCTTTTTACTCCTTAAAGACTTTGCTTTTTTTCCAAGACCTGGAACAAAGGGAAGGTATCATGAAAAGTTTAAGTATCAAACTTTAATTGGAAGATACCGAGAAACAACAATGTCCTTTGCAAGAAGAAACCAAAATACAAGAATATAATGATCCGATAATTGTGTGGATCCTTCTCTTGTATTTTGAAGGCTGAGCAACAAATAATTTAGTGATTTACCGAAAGGCTGTATAGGGACTTGACCTTTTTCAGAACCTGGAGCAAAGGGAAGGTATCAGAAAAAGTTAAGTAGCAAACTTTTACTGAAAGATGCTGAAATAACGAGGTCCTATTATAGAAGAACCCACAAGACAAGAATAGAGTGATCCTGATAATCTCCTTCTCTTGTACTATATGAACTGAGCAACAAAAAAATCAATGGTTGAAGAATCTCAAATATTCTGATAAAAAATGCTGTTTATAGTGGAAATGTGGAGACAACAAGAGATAAACACAATAACAGAAGGAAATTTCCTTTAGGTATCTTGCTAACGTGGACCTACTTACAAAGAAACAGATGCTAAAACTATTCTTTCTAGGAAGTTAATTCTTGTAACATGCCATCCAATTTGAATCCTCAGAACAAATCAGACCACCACCATCAGTGCTTATTGACTCTGCAGCAGAGAATGGAAGTAATTCTCTTTCTTTTCCCAGAGGAGCAGCACTTTCTTTGTGATTTTGCATATCAAATTTAGTATCTGTAATCTGTTGGGATTTTATTTCAGGCATGTGGCAATTTGTTTGCTCTACTCTCACATGTGTCCTTGACACTGTATCCAATGTTACATGAGGATGAAAAGAACTCCTGTCAGCTAAAGCTCTCTGAAACTGTGAGAGATCAATGGAATCAGAAGATGTAGCCAAAGAGTCAAAGTTGAAACTTGAACGGCTCGGCTCCCGTGATGAAGCCTGGATCCTTGGTGACAAACCGGCTGACTGAAAATTCATTGTCAGTGATTCCAAATATGAACCAACATTATGTTTCTTTTGGATTTCAGCTTGAGAACATGAGAGTCCGAAATAATTGTCGAAGCTTGAGTTGGATTCAGGTGTTTGGATAACATTCTCACTTCCCAGCGTATCGACAGATAAGGGAGACGATTTGTCTCCTTTCAAATGCACTGAAGGATCTAGCTCACACGTAGGGGAAGCGTCGAATGCTGAGGCTTCACCATCACAGGATGAAAGGTGAATAAATCTTCTGAACCGAAAAAGCTCATTTGGAGAAAGCGAAGAACTGATCCTTCTTGTTGTCTCTTTATATATCTCCATGGGCGAAAGACTTCTACCGCTACTAATGTTGCATAGATCCGAAGATGCACTACGATCTGATACTGGCGAAGGAGTCTCATGGCCAACACACTCAACAATTTGCTGCAACTGAGAGAAACCATCATCAGATTTTTCATTCTCATGTTCTTTCTCCTCATCACAAGGAGATAAAAGCCAGTGCACTGACGCATCCGCAGGCAAAGGCATATTAGAAATGTTAACACAACTTCCGTCATTACCAAAATCTCCTTCATCAAATTCATCAGAATCATTCAGTATCTTGCCCTTACCAACCTCAAAACCATTATCGCCCACAGTGAGTATCCCTTTAGGCTTGCATTTCCTCTTATCACTAACACCTGAGAGTAAATGCCCCGCAGCATAACAAGCTTGTGATTGATCTAATGCCGACAAATTCATAGACGATCCACACTGTATCTCTGGAGACACCGAAGCTTGAACCGGTGGTGTACTGTCTTGATAACTACTACTGTTGCTACTTAGCCTACCATCATCAGTAGCTTCACCGTTGCTTCTATAAATCAAATCAGATCCGGTTCCTAATTTAGACACAGGAGTACTCTGAGCAATACTGTCATCTACTCTAATCGTAGTTTGGCGATCTCTAAGCTTAACATTTCTAGAAACAGAAGATTGTTTCTTCAAAACCGAAACTTTCTCCGGTTTCATGGTAATCTTACAAGTTGTTCTCTTTCCAGATACAGGATTTGTCTTACATCTCTGAGATTTCTGCAAATTGGATTTCTCAGTAAGAGTGGACTTTAGCTTAACCTCCTCAAGAGAGCTTGGTTTCTTTCTTATTAAGGGTTTACTCACAACTGGAGCAGATTTGGGGGTTTTATCTACTGAATTCACTGGTCTACGAGTAAAAACTCCCAACGAAGAAGAAGAAGATGAAGAAGACGATGAGAAAGAATGAGAATGCAAAAACCTGTGACAACCGTTGGATGCTTCACCAGAAGTTGAACCAGAACCACTCACATTGCTACTACTACTGCTTCCAGAGCTTCTTGTACTGAAACCTCTCAGAGGGTTCACCGGAAATCTCTCCATTTTCAGGTTTTTCTCCTTTTTATCCGGCGGCTGCGACTGAGACTGAGACTGAGGAAATTTCTTCGTTTGGGCATTGGAAGAAGACGTTATTCGATTCATTCTGCGAACATTCGACCAAAAACTCAAAGTATCTCTCTTTCTTTGTGTCCCAGTTCTCACAGTTTCCGATCTGCTTGATCTGATTCTTCAAAAGTCAAAACGAATTTATTTTTATTTTTTTTGGACGGAGGAGGCGCAGAGACGAACAACAAACATTAAATGAGAAAAAGCTCGAAACTTTGACGGAGAGGCTTTGCTTTTGTCTTTTTACTTAATTACCGACTTAGCCCTCAACTTTTATATAGTGCTTTTAGAATACAGTAAGGGTAAACTGGTAATTTCCTTAAAGAACCAACACCTTTTTTTTCCGACTGCGTTTAACGGCTAAATCGCCACCGTGTATTGAGATTTATTCTTTTGTTCCTCAGCTGAGAGAGAGAGAGAGAAGAACGATGAAAGGGGTTCTACTTGACGAATCTGTACTGTTTAGTCATCAGAGTGAAGATTCTTCGCCGAGTCTGCGAGAATCAGTCCCGTCGCTTCTCAGGCTGCTTCGTTATTCCATGATCCGAACGGTAACACGATTAATTGATTAGCTATCTCCAATTCAAAACCATCAATCTTATCTGCATTGCAGATTCCCCAAAAGTAAACCCTTTCATGCGCAATTGAGAGCAAGATGATAAAGGATTGAACTTTATATCAATTCAGACATTGATTTTCTTCATCTACTGTAATGAAAATTGGATTATATTTTCTGTCATGCAGGGAATTTCATATGGACTTGATCTTCCGGAAAACAAGGTTTGAGACTAACTATTTCAACTTGAGTCCACGAATGTGATGACTCTTCTATGTTTTAAGCAAAAGAGTTTTGTTTTAACTTTGTGATGGGATGATTTGTCTCTAATATGTTATAGGTGGATTTACTGAAGAAAACGGCAGCAGAATACGCCATCGATTGCTTACCTTTAGAGACGTCTCTGACAAGTGTTACCTTTGGTGATACTCTCAAAGCATGGTATAGTGACGGTAGTATTCTGTATGTTGCTTCAAGCAGAAAAGAAGAGACACTGCGGGAACTAAGTCCCAGCCAGCTTGTTGTTATACTCGGTTAGTGATGAAGATAATCTATATAGTCCCATGAGAGATAACATGTTCAATAATTTTCAGCTTCTGCATTTATTGTCTAAACAGTTTTCTCTTTGAATGTTTTAAACATGCTTCCTGATTCCAAGTATGGATCTTTTCGATTTATGAACTCTCTCACTAATAGGAAAAGGATAGGCCATTAAAGTTTGCTACATTTAAGTCCTGAGTTTCCTTTTGTACTGATAACTTTTATGAAGCACCTAAATTTGTTGGATTTTTTGAGTTAGATGTTGTAGAAGGCGATTCACATGAGGATCCTAACATGATTTATATCCATAGTCTTGAGGAGCTGCCGATTACTATTTGCTGCATAAACAAAAAGGTATGTCTTGACTGCAGTTCTGGCTTATTCTAGAATACGCTTATAGTTGAGAAATAAGCTGGTCTGTTTGAAGAAAGTACTAATTGTAGGCCAGAACTAAACAGTGTAAAAAATGTAGTTCGAGATGCTTGATATTACACATTCGTTTCCCATTTTTTAGTTTGTATGTCTTGCCGATATTAGTATTTTGATCACCCTTTTGATATCACCTCCCAAAGCAGGCAATGGGTGATGGTGCTGCAATAGTTGCTTACATCATGAAGCCATCTCGGGTAGAGGACTTTGCCAAGGTTAGAACCTTATTTGCAATCTGACTCTGAAGTATTATCTTTATGGTGATCATTGCTTACTTTTTGGCTCACTGTGCGCTGGTCGTATATACGCTTTACCCTCAAGGTCATTATTGATTCATGAAAGTAATATGGTTAAATATGTAATGTTCACCGATGTTAAGTTTTCTGATTTTCTTAGAGGGGTGCTTTACCCATGTATCCTACTTCATGTGGGTTGATATTTCTGCCCCTCATGTTTGAGTTCCCTCTTGCATCTCAACTCAAACACGCTGATATCATTTTCCACAAAGCAACTGATGAAATCTTGTCCATTGAACTGAACTGCTCCGACCCAAAATCATCTATTGCAGTTACATTCTCTACCGGCATGGAGGAACTGAAAAAGTAAGCTTCTCCATTCTTTGTTTTCAATCTAGCACTCTGTTATATCAGCAAGTGGCGTATAGATACCATCATACACAAATATGAGAAACCTTGTTTAAAGCTCTCTGTTCAGGTTTGCATAATGATATAAGGCACTTGCAGGTATATGGAAGATCAAAATGATTGTGCCGTAGTCGACCCTATTCAAAAGATATATTCTGTCCTGGACCGACTCAAGATGCAACATATTCTTCTTGGACTAGAGGACCTTACTGCAGCAGGACGGAAGATAAGAGGCGCCTGCTTTCTCAAGGTAGTAAAAATCCTCTCCTTTTTATCAACTCGTTAATCTTCTTTATGCTTCAGATTTGACATAGTATCTCTTGAGACCTTTCCCAGCAAGTCTGGCCTCTTGACTTCTCCATTATATAGTTTCACATTGATGCTTTTCTTGTTTACTTTAGCAAATTAATATCAGAGTTCCTTATCTACAGATTGACAGCTATGATGAACCAGATCTGGCTCAGAACTTGTCAAAAGCTGGACTCTCTCTTCCATCTATTGTGAAACCTCAGGTTGCCTGTGGTGTCGCTGATGCTCACAGCATGGTGAATATTTCACACTTTCCTTCTAGCTTTGGTATCTCGCAATATCTGTTTCTCTTTTCACAGCGGAACAAAAAATTTCCTCAATTTCATGTTTTTTCTCACAGGCCATTGTCTTCCGAGTGGAGGATTTTAAGGATTTGAACACTCCTGTTCCTGCCATTATCCAAGTAAGTCATAATGTAATATGGATATCCAATTCTAGGGGAACACTACTAAATCAAGATGTCAAGCATAGAGAAACTTGTCAACCATTGTTTTGCAGGAGTATGTGGACCATTCATCCAGGATTTTCAAGTTTTACGTGTTGGGGGAAAAGATCTTTCACGCGGTCAAGAAATCGATCCCTAGTTCTTCTAGTCTGAGGAAAACAGCCGAGCAAAATGGTCTCAAACCAATTCTCTTTGACAGGTAAGATTTCATTACAGTTCCATGGACACATAGCCTTCACTTGCTAAAAGATTGTAACTTTGGTAGTTCCATTACCTCCACAGCTTAAAATCCTTACCTGTTGGTTCCGTAAACCAGAACCCGGTAAACGAGATTGATCTAGAGCTGGTTACAAAAGCAGCTACCTGGCTCAGAAAGAAGCTTGATCTCACAATCTTCGGCTTTGACGTGGTTGTAAGTATCATCCCATCACATGACCCTTTATATAACTCAGGTACTTACACATTGTCTCTTTATTCATCTCCACAGATTCAAGAAGGAACAGGAGATCACGTGATAGTAGACTTGAATTACTTACCATCGTTTAAAGAAGTCCCTGATAACATCGCAGTTCCTGCATTCTGGGAAGCCATCAGAAACAGATTCGACCAACATGTCCAAGAGAAGCATTGAATCCAACATTGTGGGAAACGAAACTCTTCTGTCTGTTTATTTTAGGAATGATGAGCAGAGAGACACCGAGACTAATAATAATTGAGAAACCATAAATATCTTATGGAATTTTGTAATTTTAAGACCAAACAAGTGAAGTTTTTTTTTTTGGTCGATAAGAACAAAAGTCCCATTCTATAAATACACGACAAGAGACGACCTTTGAGACTCGAGAACCTCTCTCCAAACAACAAACGAAAAGAAGCGACTTTTGCCTCTTTTGGTCTCTCCCCTTCTCCAGGGGATCTGCTCTCTCTCTCTATCTCTCTCTCAATCTGTAAGAAGATTCTCAACTTCAGTAAAAACCCTAACTTTGCTTGGGAAATTCTTCATCTATCATCCTTCAATTGTCATCATCGATGGCTGATCAACAAACCCTAGATTTGTCTACTCCTCCTACTCAATCCGATGATCTATCTCACTCCCACTCTACTTCTTCTACTACTTCAGCTTCTTCTTCATCAGATCCATCGCTCTTAAGGTCTCTCTCCTTAAGTCGACTCAACGCCGGAGCTCCTGAGTTCGTTCCTGGTCGAACTACTCCTCCGCTACCTCAACCTCCGAGGATGATTATCCCACCTCCTCCACCTCACGGTATGCTTCATATGTATCACCACCAGCCTCCTTTCAATACTCCGGTTCTTGGTCCTGTTCCAATCCAGCCTCACTTGGTTCCTGTTCAAAATCATCATCCTCATCATCGCTTTCATCATCATCACAATCGTCATCAGAATCAGCAATATGTTCCGGTGAGGAATCACGGAGATTATCAGCAGCGTGGTGGTGAGCAGGAACCGGATTTGGTTCCGAAGAAGAACGATCGGAGAGATCATAATAAGAGAGAATCTAAGACCGACCAAGCTACTGAAACTGGAGCTTCTGTTTCTGTAGATTCGAAAACTGGTTTACCTGAAGATTCTATCCAGAAGATTGTGAATCAGGTTATTATTAGATTCAGACTTGACACTCTTTTTAAGGCTTTGTGATCTTAAATCTAATCCAATTTTGGTTTCAGGTTGAATACTATTTCAGTGACTTGAACTTGGCGACCACAGATCATCTCATGAGATTCATTTGCAAGGATCCTGAAGGATATGGTAAGATGTCTGTTTGCTAATCATATGCATCTTCGTGAGTTCGTTTTGGATTAAAAAGTATAATCTTTTTGTTCCAATTTTTAATGTGATTTCAGTGCCTATTCATGTTGTTGCATCGTTCAAGAAAATTAAAGCTGTCATCAACAGTAATTCTCAGCTTGCCGCAGTGCTACAGAACTCAGCAAAGCTTGTGAGTTAGTGTGTGGTTTTTTTTGTCAATAACGTGATTTGATGTTCTTCTAACTTTTGAGTCATCTAACAGTTTGTTAGTGAAGATGGAAAGAAAGTGAGACGCATAAATCCGATCACTGAGTCTGCTATAGAAGAGCTCCAGGTACTTAAACTCATTCAAAGCTATGAATAAAGGATTATGGATTTGATTTTCTAATAAATATTATTATATCCAGTCTCGCATTATTATTGCTGAGAATCTACCTGAGGATCATTGCTACCAAAATCTGATGAAGATTTTCTCAACTGTTGGAAGGTACACAACTGTTTGATCATGTTATAAAACCTAGAATCTACTTCTTCTTCTTTTTTATACAGTTGAGGTTTTCTAAACTTATGAGTGTTTGTCTTCAGTGTGAAGAACATCCGTACCTGCCAGCCACAAAATAATGGAAGCGGTGCTCCACCCGCAGCAAGATCAGCAGCCAAAAGTGATGGTACGCTTTTCAGTAACAAGGTAACTAGATAGACCCATGCGGCTTTGTGTTTGCCTTGTAGTTTTGGATTAACTGGATGCAAAATTGATGTCTCTTTTACATGTTCCTATAGGTTCATGCTTTTGTTGAGTATGAGATGGTTGAACTAGCCGAGAAAGCAGTAAAGCCTCACCTACTTAGATTTCTTGACTATATATGTTGATACCCTTATTGTGGTAAACTGAAGGCATGTTACTGTACAGGTTGCCGAGTTAAATGAAGCGGGAAATTGGAGGAGCGGTCTTAAAGTCCGGTTGATGCTAAAGAATCAGGTATGTGATTTTTGATTTGACAAACACACTAGGCCTTTACCCGTCCATTATCACTCTAATGAGCAGAGTCCAGATATCTTTGTAGTTGAGAACATTTTGTGAATTAAATGTCATCGGTCTGGGTTAAAGATCTGTGGAAGTTGATGTTGGTTCCATTTGGCTTATATGGTATTACTCTATCATACAGATAAAGGAACCAAAACAAGGTCAAGGGCGAGGAAGAAAAGGACATGATGCAGAAGTAGACCATGAGGAAGATGATGCTACAACATCCGAGCAGCAGCCGATTGAGAAACAATCTGAAGAGTGTTCTGGGGAATGGGATACACATATGCAAGAGCAGCCAATAATAGTAAGTAGACCAAATACGTTATTAGGTCTCTGCTTTGTTATCCATGGATGATTCTAACCTTTGCCATATAACAGGGAGAGGATCAAGGGAATGAAAAAGCGGGTGGGCAGAGAAAAGGGCGTAACAGAGGTAGAGGAAAGGGACGAGGACGAGGTCAACCACACCAGAACCAGAACCAGAACAACAACCACTACCACAATGGGAGAGGAAATCATCATCATCAACATCATCATCAAGTGGGAACACCACCTTCAAACAATCCAATGAGCAACATGGAGCAACCAGGCATGGGGAAGCAGCAACCACCTGGACCACGGATGCCTGATGGGACGAGAGGATTCTCGATGGGACGGGGAAAGCCAGTCATGGTTCAGGCAGAGTGATCCAGAGCTGTTTTGAAAAGGAGGTGATGTGAAAGGTTCAAAAGGGAGATAAATAGAGAGAGAGCAAGAGAGAAAGAGAGAGATTTATCCTTCCCATGGGGAATGGTTAGTTTTGCAGACTTTATATTTGTCTTACTTACTTCGAAATACTTTTTAATTACGCTTCTCTTACAAGGAAAAAAAAAACATTTTCCTCATATAGTGTACGTGTAATGAAACAGCAATTTCAGTTAATATTTTGTCCCTAAAAGCTTTTATAATGAAATAATGACATTTTTATCTTGTGTCACTAATTTTAGCTGACAAAAGAGAAGATGTTATATTAGTAACAATTAACATATGATCATAATTAATTTAGTAAAATATTTTTTAAAAATTCTAGTTAAATGTTGTGAACTTGGGTATCATTTATAAACTCAGACCCAATAATAAGACATTGTTTGCTAAATGACCCAACAATAAGACATTGAAGCGTAACAAATAAGGACCCACCTCTTCATCCTCCTCCTCTTCTCCCACCAGCAGTTCGGAATTACCGAGGTCTAGTTGATAGTGGCGGTTTTAAGGTTACCCTCTCGGAGCAATTTGCTCTTTCCCACGAACGTCATGCGTTTACTGTTGGAATCCCTCAAGGCATGATGCGCAAGGAGCTTGGTATTATTAAGTTCACAGCTCAGTTTGTGGTGCGTTATGGGAATGTGTTTCGGAATGCTTTGTGTGATAGAGTGTCTACTGATACTCAGTTCGAGTTTCTGGATAAGGGAGGTCCAAGGTATCACTTTTTCTTTCGTCTTGTTCATGGGTATGGTCGTCTATTAAGGGCTTGGGAAAATCCTCCTGCTGGTATGGAAGCTCTTCTTGAAGGTTTTTTCACTGCTTTTAATGCTTTCAAGAAAAAGCTAGAGGATGATGAGGAGCTAGTGGACAAGGTTGAGACTGATAGGCGTGATTTTGTGGTTTGTGATGAGTATTTTGTTGACCTCGAGAACAAAGCCCTTGAACTCATTCCAATGGCCATGAGGCATCGTCCTCCTTTGAATTCTCAGGGTAGATTCATGGTGCCAGCTGACCCTATCTTGTTTAGAGTTGAAATCCCTGAAGAAGGCATGATGCGCAAGGAGCTTGGTATTATTCAGTTCACAGCCCTGTTTGTGGTGCGCTATGGAAATGAGTTTTGGGATGCTCTCTGGGATAGAGTGTCTACTACTGAAACAGAGTTTCAGTTTCTGAAAAGGAATCCTGGAAATGATAGCGGAAGGTATACGCTTCTTTTCTCTCAGCTTCTTCTTGCGTATGGTAATGTAATAGAGTGTTGGGGACTGAGGCCGAGAAAGAGTAACCCCCCGGCTCGTATGGAAGCTGTTCTTGAAGGGTTTTTCACTGCTTTTAATACTTTCAAGAAGAAGCAAGAGGATGAGGAGGATGAGGTAGTGAACAAGGTTGTGACTGATAGGCGTGATTTTGTGGTTAGTGAAGAGTATATTCAGTATTTTCTTGACATGGAGGAGTCTACTCCTCGACCTGAAATGCTTCTTAACGCGACGTCAAACGGAATCGCTGCTTGCTCGTCCACCATCCAATGGTGCAACCACCACCTCTACATGAGGAACCAGAGCCAAAGAGAGAAAAGCTTGATGCCCTTGTTTCAGAAGAAGAGTTTCTTGCTCAACATCCAGTAATGTTTTCTTCATAACTTAATTATATTTTTCGTCTCAATGTCAATCCTTCCACTGCGTTTTTTTAATCACTAAAACTCAGACACATGACAATTCCCCGGTGGCAATCCCATTATTAGTGGCTCTTTTTTGTAGATACAAAACTTGCAAACTTCATACTAACATCAAAGAAAACAGTGTTGTGGTTTGCATAACAATCATTTGGGTCAATACCTTTAAACTTCTGAGGGAACTCAACATAGCAGATTCTATCACCTCCACGATCAAGCAAGAAGAACATTCCTCCCCTCAAAGCCGTGGAGTTGCAGATGTAAGATGTTAGTGGTCAGAATCACGATTGAGGATGAATGGCTCCATAAACATGTTCTGCATTAGGAGGAACAGAATTCCAGAGATAGTAGAGGCTTCAAAGAAGGCAAAACTTGCTTCTTCTTCCTGTTCTCGAATATAATCATCAAGGATTTGCAGGTCCAAAGATGCAAAATCGGGTATTGATCCTTTTGGAGCCCAATTATGTAAAAAGGAAACAATATAAAGTTAACTAAAAAGTAAATAACAGAGTCGTCGAAAAAAGGAAATAACAAAACTCATCGAAAAAAGGAAACAATCGAAAATTTCCTTTTTTGTTTTGAAAGAACCGAATGCTTATAAATAAACGCCTGAGAGAATGTTAATCTCCAACATCACTCATTCTCTCTTCTTCCTTGAGATATCAAAATTAACTCTTTCTCTCTTCTCTTCTTCTTCTTCGGTACCAAAACAAAAGAATTCTTCCATCTTTGATTATCTCTTCTCCGTAAGATTGATGGGAGCGGAAAATTATCTCGTTTCCTAATTGATCTCCATCCTCTGTTGTGACTCATCTTCACTCAATCCAAACGATTTCAACTCCGGCCAACGACGGGCCACCGAAGGAGAGCACCAAGACGGCCAAGGATGCTACAGCGGGAAAGAGGACAATGATGAGAGAGACAAAGAGAGACGGTGTTTCCATGGATGTGACCATGAAAGCGTCTCCTCAGACTCAGGATGATCGATTAGTCTCTGTTTCGTCGAACAAGGTACCTCTCTTAATTTCCTTTTCTTCTCTTAAGAAATATTTTAATTTTAGTATTTTAATTAATGATTTTGTTTTTTTTTAAATGTTTTTTTTTGTTTTTTTTTATAAGTGTTAAATTTTTTTATTTTGTGTAAACTAATTGGATACATCATCCAAATCCCTAAGAGGTGTTCTAGGTTCAATATGGTTTACACATAATTAAATTTTTAACATTTGTTTTTTTTTAAAATGTTTTGTTCTTGTTTTTGTTTTTTTTTTTATGTGTTAAATTTTTTAATTTTGTGTAAACTAATTGGATACAACATCCAAGCCCCTAAGCGGTGTTCTAGGTTCAATATGGTTTACACATAATTAAATTTTTAACATTTGTTTTCTTAAATGTTTTGTTCTTGTTTTTGTTTTTTTTTTATAAGTGTTAAATTTTTAACACTTAATTTTTTTAATGTTTTTTTTTTTTGTTTTTTTTTTATAAGTGTTAAATTTTTTAATTTTGTGTAAACTAATTGGATACAATATCCAAACCCCTAAGAGGTGTTCTAGGTTCAATATGGTTTACACATAATTAATTTTAACATTTGTTTTTTTTTTAAATGTTTTGTTCTTGTTTTTGTTTTTTATAAGTGTTAAAAAATTTTAATTTTGTATAAACTAATTGGATACATCATCCAAACCCCTAAGAGGTGTTCTAGGTTCAATATGGTTTACACATAATTAAATTTTTAACATTTGTTTTTTTAAAATGTTTTGTTTTTGTTTTTGTTTTTTTATAAGTGTTAAATTTTTTAATTTTGTGTAAACTAATTGGATACAACATCCAAACCCCTAAGAGGTGTTCTAGGTTCAATATGGTTTATACATACAATTAACTTTTTAACATTTGTTTTTTTTAAATGTTTTATTTTTTTATAAATGTTAAATACAACATCCAAACTCCTAAGAGGTGTTCTAGGTTCAATATGGTTTACAAATAGTTAAATTTTTAACACTTGTTTTTTAAAATGTTTTTTTTTTCTTTCTCTTTTTAATAAGGGTTAATTTTTTAAATTTGTATAAACTAATTGGATACAACATCTATTCTAGGTTTAATATGGTTTACACCTAAATAAATTTTTAAACATTTGTTTTTTTTATTAAAAAGGTTTTTAAATTTATATTTTTATATTACTATTAAAACGTTAAGGATTTTTATTTTTCAAATAATATTTTGGATAAATTGTTTTTGTTTCTTTTGATAAATATTAAATTTTTAACTTTTGTGTAAACTAGTTTGGACACAACATTCAAACCCCTAAAAAGTGTAATAGATTCAATATAGTTTACACATAATTAAAATTATATTTTTTTCAAGCAGTAATCGCTATATATATTGTTTTTACAATAAAGATGTAGTTAACTATCCAAATGTAATATTAATAGTATTGTAGTTACTTGTTCACCTGATAAACTAATAAACAAAGCTTTCATTGTTTTCCTTATATATAATCATGTTGTATTATTAAGTCATCGAAATAAAAAAAATTTTTTAACAAGATGTTAATTTATTTGATTGTTCACTATTTTATAGTATAGTTTCACATTCTTGAACTAAAAAACGTGCGAACCATACATAACCAATTAACGAAAAAAAGGAAACACTACCTACCTAATTAACGTTAAGAAAATGCTTTCATAGTGGCCAAAATAAACGATCTCTAATTTACAGTATTTTAGAATAAACGTAAATGTAAAGAAAAGAAAAAAAAAGAGACAAGTGAAGTGATCAAAAAGTAAGAAAAACAAGAACCGTCCGTTTCATAGTTGTGTCTTGTACTTGTTACACTTGAATCTCGTGTTCGCGACTTTGCGATAGATTCTCTCAAATCCAATTCCAATGGCGGATCCATCTTCTCAAAACCCTAACCTCACCACTCCCCCTCCTCCACCACCTTCTTCTCCTTCACCAACCCATCAAATTCAATCTGGTACCTCGGAATTATCGCCACCGACTCGGCCCCCTTGCTCTACCTTGTCCTTTCTCAAGACTGCAAACAGACCAAAACTCCGTGTGACATCTGAATTCGACAGCGATAGTCTCCTTTTCTTAAACAAAGTGTCTTGTAAGCTCTTCGATAACCTCGCCAAGCTCAAACTCTCGTTTCAGAACAATTCCCAGCGCGAGATTTCACAGCCTCAGGTCTCGTTTACTTCCAAACACGTCTCTGTTCTTTATGATGTCGAAGAGAAGAACACTTTCATCAAGAGCACTCTCGATGTTCACCCTCGTCTTCAGCTCCGAGCTCTTCATAATGTCAAGGTACATCTCTCTACTTCTTCCTAATTATCACCCTTCAATAATAGAAGGATTGACTTGGGCGTATTTGCCATCTATGGAACAGAACAATTTATGTGATTGATTGTGGAATGATGTTGATATTGATAGGATTTGTGGTTCCTTATATCATTGATTTTGTTTTCCTTTTTCTGTTGTGCATATAACAATGATAGATAGAATCTGATTGTTTCAAGTGGGCATTTAAAAGCTGTGCAGCTAACTATCAGTAGCAATGAAACTTAACATTTCCTTGTTAGTTTTCGCTTGTAGGCTAGTGCTTCAATCCTTGATTATGTTGGTTTTTACTAATTCACTGATTTATGTGAGTTTAACTGTATTTTGTTACAGGCACAACAAGGAGAAGTTGCTATGGAGGCAAATCTGCCTGAACCTGGCTACTCTCTTGAGCTTTCATCACCCGTTCCTATTGGTTACGTGAGTGCCATCTCTTACATTGTCTATTTGGTTTTGCAATTGCGGTAGTATCAATTACCGGTAAATTGTTTTCTTGCTTGGTTGGGAGTTTTCTTTAAATGCTAGAACTTTAATCCCTGATGGTTTACTCTTTCTGCAGCCAAGAGCGACTCTTAAATTCCCACTTGGCGAAATTTCGTTACAAGAAAAAGAAGATGAGGAGGAGGAGAAGCAGAAAAGAACTTTATCTGTTAACGGGATCCTCAAACGTCAAGTCATGAATGGTGTTTGTACCGCTCTATACACAGATGAAGAGTTGAGGCTGAGATATGCTTATAAGGTTCCTGACTTCGAAATTCCTTGTCTGTCATCATGTGTTACTATTCAATAACTTATAAAGGTTGCACATGCAAGAGAATATGTATCCTTCGTCTCCCATCTTTTGGATCTGACATCAAAACTTTACCTTTTTTCATACAGGATGATGCATTGTCTTTCATCCCAAGCATTTCCCTTCCTTCCAATGCTGCATCATTTGCATTCAAACGTCGGTTTAGCCCTTCAGATAAGTTGAGGTTAGTGGCCTCAGTGTCTCTCTTCTGGTGGAACCATTTCATCTGCTACAATCAGTTTCATATAATATTATGATGATTACAATGCAGCTATTGGTACAACTTTGATTCAAACATGTGGAGTGCTGTGTACAAACGAACATATGGTAAAGACTACAAATTGAAAGCTGGCTATGATTCTGATGTACGCCTTGGCTGGGCATCTCTCTGGGTAAATCATCAAACTTTAGTTTTCTTTTCTCTCTTCTTTTATTCAGTGATATCCTTCTTACTCGCTTAAGCCCCAACCCGAGCTGTATGATTATGATGTGTAGCATAACATTCACTACACAATTGTACCTAGTGTAACTACCATCTAATAAGACTATGGACACCATCGCTCTTGAGCTAGCGTTTGAGTGAGCTGTAATCATGAGTCTCTTGTATTTTGGTTTGAGTCTAACATTACTTAAACTCGACGGTCAAATCGTGTCAGGTGGGGGATGAAGCTGGAAAAGTGAAAACTACGCCAATGAAGATGAAAGTCCAGTTCATGCTTCAAGTTCCACAAGATGACATCAAATCATCAGTCCTGATGTTCCGAGTCAAGAAAAGATGGGACATTTGATGAAATCTTTGAATCATCTTGTTAGTTTCACTTTCTTATCTCTCTGTAAAACCCATAAAAGTTGTTTCTTTCTCCTTATATATCAATCTTTTGCAAAAAAATTGTAAGAAGAAGATACAAAAGATTAGAGAATAATTGCAATTGTATTTTTCCTTGGCTTCTTTAAATGCTCTCTTTCACACGTGTGAGACTATAGTCAAAAATATTCTTAATTTTGTTTCTCGTATAAAAAGTTCCATTGCTTTTTACCTTTTACCTTTACTTTTTAACCCATCTAAAGTCAATTTTAGTCACTAATATAATATTAAATTATGCAAAATGGAATATTCTTCTCACAACGAAAAATAAATTAAAAATATGGTTCGCTTATTTCCTCCGTTATTATGTTTTGTTTTTGTATGCATTTGGTCTGTGTGTTGTGTTGTTGTTTATCTTCTTCTTCAATCCGACGGGAAAAAGAGTTCCGACAAAATTCAAGAACTGGAAGATTTGTCATTTGTCTCTCAAATATCTGCGGAGAGAAGAGAAATTATCAAATCAAGAAGACAGTGTTGTGGGAGAGATGAGTTCGTCTCTACCTCTGAGGCTACTTCTTCTTCCTCTTACAACTTCTCTGATATCTCCTCCCCCAGATTCTTTCCATGCTCCTTCTCCGTTCAGATCGAAAAACCCTAATTTCAATCGCCGATTGTCTTCTTCTTCTACCTCTTGTTCTTCCCAGTCACAGTTTCTCTCTGGGAGATTCAGATCCTCTTCTCCGTGTGTTACCATGGTATCATTTGATTTTCTCTCTCATTGTTTGCTAATTTCTCATTGAGGTTTTGTGCTAAATTGCTTGATCAGAATTTGTTTGATCAATTTCGAAAAGTGCTTGAATTCGTAGGACTGTGTTAGAATAATGATTGATGTTTTGTTTCATCAAAGATTGTATTTTTCCCATTAATAGATTTATACCTGAAATTTATTCTAGGTGTTATTTACTCTGTATCGCTTTCTTCTTCAATGTAGTAGTTAGGTGAGATTCCAGTTTTAATGGCCATTGCTGACTTATTCATAAGTTCATTGTATATCAAAAACTTCTCATGATTGTATCTGTCTCTTTGAACCCTTAGTGTGTATTTATAAGACTACATTATATTGTATCTTACCATGTACGTAATGTCTTCTCATGATGAAGATTTTGTTGTACGAGGTGATTTCTGTCTCAAAGTTGGTTCTCTAGTTCACTTTAATTGCGTTCAGGTTTTCTTGGTCTTGAAAGCATGTTTCTATACTTCTTGAAACATCATCTTTCATTTGTAGAAGATATTGGTTTCTTAAGTTTCGTTGAATTGCTTTATGATAGGTGTAAGCTTGAGAGTTTGTGTTTGTGTCTTTCTTCCCAAAAGTCTATTTGCAGTTGTTTTTTGGCTTTTCACTAATGATGTACTTCTAGTGACTCTGTTTTTTATATGCTGTGTATAGTGCTTACCTGAACACACGAGAAATCAAGAGAACACAGAAATCTTGACAGATCAAGATGACCACATTGAATGTGTGCTTGAATCGGATGAAGATTCAGGGCTCAGGATTCCGACTCAAGCACAGGCTATCGTTGAAGGATCTGGTTCAGTTGCGGTTTCAGAGCTAAAACCTGCTGCTGATGTAGATTACATACAAGTAAGACTAGTTCCTTGGCAAATCTATCACGCACTTATATCAATCTTTTGGCTTTATGCTGTGTAACTATACATGTTAATTGGCAGACTTTGGAATATCATCAGTCTTTTAGCTAGTTGTAACCGTGTATGTTTAAATCGACAGGAGCTATTAGCGATACAGCAACAAGGGCCTAGGTCAATTGGCTTCTTTGGGACAAGAAATATGGGTTTCATGCATCAAGAACTGATTGAGATACTTAGCTACGCCATGGTTATAACCGTAAGTCATTAGAACTTCATCCTCTTGTGTTTAACTCCGATCTTTCCATTTAAAGTCTCCCTAAAACATGTCTCGAATAATTCGGCTTCTTGCAGAAAAATCATATATACACATCAGGTGCATCTGGAACTAATGCGGCAGTCATCAGAGGTGCATTGAGAGCAGAGAGACCAGAGCTGCTTACAGTAATATTACCCCAAAGTTTGAAAAAACAACCTCCTGAGAGCCAGGAACTCTTGTCTAAAGTAAGCAAAACTGGTTCTTCTGCTAAAAGCCAGGAACTCTTGTCTAAAGTAAGCAAAACTGATCCAATTTTGGTCTGAAACTCTTCTTTATTGCTGTGTCATTTTACAGGTACAAAACGTGGTAGAAAAGCCACACAATGACCATTTGCCATTATTAGAAGCCAGCAGGTTGGTGAATGAAAAAAACCATTGTCATCAATCATAATATGATCTCTACTTTGGTGAAGATAGAAACTGAACCTTTTGGTTAAATATTTTGGTGCAGGCTGTGTAATATGGACATCATATCACAAGTACAACAAGTGATCTGTTTCGCGTTTCATGACAGTAAGCTTCTTATGGAGACATGTCAAGAAGCTAAAAATCTACGCAAGATCGTCACTCTCTTCTACCTCGATTGATTCACATTCTCTCTTTTATCTTCTTCTCGTTACAAAACAGAGAAGCTAAGATAAGCCTCGTTGTAAATTATGAATCTTCTTGATTAAACAAACAAACACACAACCAATTATATTCTTTTGTCTAAATTTTGATACACATCAGTGCTATTTTTATAGGATTATTTATTTCTCAACTACTATTTGTCAGATCACATCTCTGCAACAGAACAGTGGATTCCATTACAAAGAAGAAAACTAAAAATATGACTTTTAAATTTTTAATATAACAAAGCACAAAACTTTATTAGCTTTTCTACGCAGAAACATTTATTCTCTCTTAAGTCGTCGCCGATTTGTTTGCGTTCGCTGATCAGATGGAAAACGCCGGTAAAGCTACGTCACTCCAATCTTCCCGTGAGATCTTCCACCGGCTGATGAGCGAGAATTCTTCTGGTTAATAGAATCCCCTAATTTTCTCAGCTCAATTTCTTCATTTGCCCTGAAGGAAGCATTATTGTTCGGTGTGAAATGGTTTAGGTGGGTGGGAGAAGAGTTGGGAAGCAGGAGCAACTCCATGGGACTTAGGAAAACCAACTCCGGTTATTGTGCATCTCGTCGAGACTGGTTCTTTGCCTAATGGCAGAGCTCTAGTTCCTGGTTGTGGAACTGTATGTTCTTCAATACTCTTTTGTCTCTTTTAATAAGTCTACACTTGAAAATGTTAAAGAACTCGGCTTTTCTTGTTATTGTAGCCACTTTGTTCTTTGAATTTTGCTTTCTGCTAGTGAAACTGTGGCCGTTGAGTAGTACTGTTAGATATGTTCTGTTGTACATACACCTGCCTTGTGTCATTGGTTTTTGCATGTTTTTCTGATTGTCTTACTAAGTCTAAGATGTTATGGTTTTTGCAGGGTTATGATGTGGTGGCAATGGCCTCCCCTGATCGTCATGTTGTTGGACTGGATATATCTAAAACTGCGGTTGAGCGATCAACAAAGGTTTGAATGGTTTCGATTCGGAACATGAGATGGACATGCCTGCATTGGTGGTTTTAACAATGCTTGTTTTGAGTCGGAAGTCTTGCCTCTGATACCTATTTAGAACTTCGTAGGTTTTAATACATTTTGTTTAATCTCAATGCAGAAGTTTTCTTCATTGCCCAATGCAAAATACTTCTCCTTCTTGAGCGAAGACTTTTTCACTTGGGAGCCAGCTGAAAAATTCGATCTCATTTTCGATTATACGTATGTATATAGTCTAGATGTGTGTGTTTCTGGTTCATAAAAAAGTGACTTCAGCTTATATATCACTGCATTATGACCATTCTTGCAGCTTCTTCTGTGCCTTTGAACCTGGCGTGAGACCTCTATGGGCACAGCAAATGGAGAAACTTCTGAAACCCGGTGGAGAGCTTATAACATTGATGTTTCCTGTAAGAATCATAGCATCTCTCTCTTCTCTGATCCGTTTCCTTACATTTAAGTAGTTGCTGAAAAATGTGTCATTGTGCAGATCGATGAACGTTCTGGAGGTCCTCCTTACAACGTATCTGTGTCTGAGTAAGAATCTACTGTTATCTCTTTTACTAAGAGCAACATCACTGAAATATTCTGCTTAATATTTCTCTGTCATCTCTCAATATGTAGATACGAGAAGGTTCTGATTCCACTGGGGTTTGAGGCAACCTCCATTGTAGATAACGAACTTGCTGTAGGACCACGCAAGGTAAAACACTAACATGAACTTTCAAATGTGCCTTCAGATAACTCAATAGAGATATTTTCAGTTTCGGTTTAATAATCGGAAGATAATGTTACATTGGAATCAATTTCAGGGAGTGGAGAAGCTTGGAAGATGGAAGAAATCTTCCACATTTCACTCCACCTTGTGATTTGTCATGAATATGCTTCAATCTGGATGTTTTTTTGTGAATTTGTCACTGATAGATTAAACTTGTAGGGCCATTGAATGGGAACCTAAAAACCTGAAAAAAGTAATTGTAAACACTTGTGATATTCAACTTTTTCCCTTTTAATCAAAGGCAAAGTTATAGTTTGCTTCGTGCTCACCAGATGGCTGTGTATCTTTAGGTTTGATTAATCCTTTTTTGGATTCTTAATTGTCCAGAATGTTGAATAAGTCTTGATATAGCTTTTTCCCTGATCCAGTGCATCAACTCTTTTAGATTTTATTGCTTTGAAACATATTTCTACGTTGGAGGAAATTCTAAAGCAGAAATGGTTATATATAATATGCCATATTTGGTTATAGAACTCGAATGCAGCAAAGAAGCAAAACATCAGCTATAAGCAAAAGAATCTTTCCATTCTGTTTCTAATCGTAGTGATCTAGGTACCTATGGAGATCAAAGAGCCTTAGGTAACATCTTCACATCTAAAGTTGTTTTCTTTTTTTTTTGCAGATCGATTTCGATGTTAAATGACTGTTGATGATTACATTCACACACTCATAATGAGATATGAATGCATTATAAATAAGATAAAGATTATGATGTTTATAATGTGTAGACGGAAAAACATTGTGGGATTTAGCCATTTAGGAGAAGCAACTCCCTAAATGTTATGCAGTTCGATGATCGCTTGCAACCTCCGTACCGAGTATCAGTTTCAGCGTAGAATCATCTTCTTCTCCTTAATCTTTTCACAACTCTAAAACTAGATCTCTTAACGTTTTTGGTTAAATATCAAAATTGTTTAACTGTTTTGTAGCTACGAAGAGCTTTTGATTCCCTTAGGATTTGAGGTCATCTCTATAGTGGATCACGAACTTGCTGACACCCGCAAGGTATAAAAAAAAAAATCCGCTTCATCACTCTATATTCATAGCGAAACAAGAAAGGACGTTTAAAGTTTGAATTTTGCCTTCAGCGAATGGAAAAAGTTGGCAAATGGAAGAAGAAGAAGAAGTCAATGTGATTATTCCTCTTTACCATCACATTCACACTCTCACTGCTCTAATTATTCCAATAAGATGTAAATACTTTTTTTTTTCCTTTTTCTTTGGCCTTTTGCTTTGTGTGTTTAAAAAACTGAAATACAAAACTAAATGATATAAAAATATTTCGTAAAGTTTCCAAAACGTTGAAGGAATCGATCTTCAAAATAAGTTGTAGAATTTTGCTAAATAATAATTAAAAGAAAAACATTTACAAAAAAAATATTGTATAATTCATTGAATTCATTTATTTAGGGTAAAAGCTCTCATATATGTATATTAGACGCACAGAAGCAAGAAACCCTACATTAGACCTCCCATCCCCAAGGCATGAACACAATGACGGCTGAAGCAATGAAGAAATCATCGTCGACAAAAAAACAAAAAAAGATGAGGAAATCATCATCAGAGTCGTCTCCCATCTCGTTTTTGTCATTACCGTATGAGGTTGTTCTTAACTGTCTGTCTCGTGTGCCGAGAACTCATGATCAAATTCTATCTCTCGTATCCAAGAGTTTCCGATCAATCGTCGCTTCCCCTGATCTCGAAGCCGAACGAATCCGCATCCTAAAAAACGAGACGTGCCTCTATGTCTGCTTAAAACTGAATAACACCAACCCTAACCCTAGCTGGTTCATACTTTCCCAAACTCCTAAACAAAAACTGATACCACTCCCTTCTTTTCCTTACCCACATCCCAATTGCTGTACTGTTGTCTCAAGTGGTTCAGAGATTTACATGCTCGGCGGATTTGTCGCAAAGGGAAAGAGAAGCAGGAGAGCTTATGCTCTCGATTGTAAATCTCATCAATGGCGTCGACTCCCCAAAATGCGTATAGCTCGAAAAGATGCAGCCGCTAATGTTGTAAGTGACGGTAGAATCTATGTGTACGGAGGATGCAGCCGCGTTTACAATAACAGCGTAAACTGGGGAGAGATTTACTACCCAACGACTCAAACTTGGGAGCCGTTTCCGGAAGGAGAAGAAGGTACCTTCAACAAAGAGGGTGTGTTTGAATGTGATTTAATATTGGATGGAATAGTTTTTCACGATTTTGGCCTCCTACTTGGTGGAAAAATTTATGACAATAGGAATGAGGACAGTCTTCGCTTGTGTCCGAATATTTGCAGGGTACGGATAGATTGCCAAGACTTCCAAGCAACGGTTTCCAACGGGGAACTCCACCTATTCTGCTGTGATGACTCTAGTCCGTGGGGTGCGGAGGTTGGGGGACTTGAAGGAATTTCTTCTAATTATCTTCTTTCGGTGGCAAGCCCTGCCAAAGAGAGGAGAGTGACAGTTTGGTGGAAGACGTATACTAAGGAATGCAAAACAGAGATTTGGTGTGCAATGATTTTGTTTGAGATACCCTTGATGGGCAAGTTGCTTCGGGGAGTTGTGGAATGGTCTGAGAACGTATTTACCTTCCATGGATCTGAATCCGATTCCGATTCCAATTCCTTCCTTTTGCATTATGAAGTGATGACACTTAGTCATCGCCGAATTCATTTTATTTAGTTTTTAGATAATTTTTTAGTCTTGGTGTTATTTTTTTTATGGTGTTTTTGAGTGATGAATTTGCAATTATATACTTTTTCTCCTTCAATTATATATATATATATACTTTCACAAGTCTGTCAATCTTATCATCATTAAACTCCACTCTCTAGGACCAAGACGATCTAAACCTCGACGACTCATCACTAGCCAACTCCGCTTCGAGTTCTCTCATCGTGAAAGGTTTTAATTTGGTCGACGAAGCCCTAACTCGATCTATTAATGCCGAGAGACTTCTTCTCTACAAGCTCGGATGTGTGTAAGAGCCGTGTTTGGGAGAAACATGAGATATGGGGATTGCTCGAGGAAATGATATACAATGCTAATTAAGACATATGTTTGTTTGGGTGCTATGAGTTTTGGATTCGGAGACTATTAATTAATATGATGGTGAATGACTGTTTCCAAGCTCGGCAAGTTTAAGGTAAGGAGGAGAAAGCTATGAAGAAGAAGTCAATGTGATGATTCCCCATTACCATCACATCAAACTCTCATGGGCTCAGGGCTCGTCTAAGTATTCCAATAAAAATTACATTGTTGGTCCTCCTAATAGAGTCAGAACCGAATGTTACTACTTACACGTCTAAATACATAAATGGATCAAAAGTTTCATTTTGTAATAAAATAAACGTGTGTATTTAATGAGAAGGAATGTCTAATTTCTCATCCACAATGTACCTTGTTGGTGAAATTGGTAGAGCTTAAAGAGAAATAGATGTGTTATTACAGTCACACTTCAAAACAATTGTTGTTTTGTCTTTTAAAAAACGATGTCGTGTTCACTTTCAATCCAGTGTTAGTGGGAGTTAGGTCGTACTCTGGTTTATTGCTTCTATTAAATTGTGTGGTGGTCCCTTGTGATCACTCACTCGTGAGTCAGTGACCTCAGAGAGGCATTTTTTGGAGCTTCAGAGCAACTTTATTGGTAGAAACGCTGAGAAGTTCTCAAAAAAAGAAAAAAATCTTTTTTATGAATGTTCACTTCAAATAGTACTAAAAATGAATAATCTAATTATTTTATTGGGAATTGGTGAATAATTGAGTGAAACTAGCTAGGGCCACTTATTCCACTTGCTTCTGATTTTCACATACCATGGATAAGATAATTTATGGTAATGAAATGAGTGTTACATTATGTATTCTATGATATTATATCAAAATAATAGTATATAGTATATAGTATTTCTGAATTCTGATGAAATGGATAGAGATTATTAAGATATTGTTTCGTATTATATAAGTTGCTTTATAAATACAGTAATACTTCATTTAACATTTTCGAAAGTCAAATATGTTAAATGCTAGTGATCATTTTATTTATCTTCCTTTTTTTTCTATATGAAACACCAATCGTATAATTCCACCAAAATTACAAAAGCCGTTGATCGTCTTTAAATTTTTCTCATAATTTATCCAAAAAAAAAAAAAAAAATTGTTTCATAATGATTGGGGACTAAAAATCTAAATAGCTACGTGTTCCAATGAAAGAACACACAAAATGAGCAAAAAGTCATGTCGAGGGTGAAACACACAATAATAGATTTATACAAAATCATTTTATTCAATTATTGTTTCTTTTTGTTAAATATAATAATTCAATTTGATATTCTCTATATAGATAGATATCATGTGCTTATAGCTTTCCACAACTTCAAGACCCTTCACCCCCACGGAAAAAAAATATCAAAGGAAATCATTAATAGAAATACAAGAAAGAGAGAGATTATATTAGAACTTGAGAAACACTAAAAATGGCTGAAGAACAACAAAACTCAGGTCAGAGCAATGGTGGAAACGTTATTCCAACACCTGAAGAAGTTGCTACGTTCCTGCACAAAACTGTTGAAGAAGGTGATTCATTCTTCTCTTAATATTTTTATCTCACAATTAACATCTCGACATAAACTCATATAGCCTTTGTGATAAATGATTCACACTAACCAAAATCAAATGCTTTCTGAACATATAAAGTTGTATATTGTTAAGTTTAACGAATTTTCTACTCAATTTTAATTGGTAGTGATTAGATTGACTCATATCACTTATGTGATTTTAATCATCTATGGATCAAAAGATTCAGAAATTTTTATATTTTGGAAGGTAGACAAAAACAACACTTAAATAAGAGAATACATATTTAATGTAACTTAGTAAATAAAATTATATATAAACAGGTGGATGGGAAAAATGTTGGGAAGAAGAGATAACACCATGGGACCAAGGAAGAGCCACACCTCTCATTGTTCATCTTGTCGACTCTTCGTCACTCCCACTTGGCCGTGCTCTTGTCCCCGGATGTGGTGGAGTCAGTCTTCTTCTTACCTCTCTCTCTGTTATTACAAAAAAAAAAACTAACTAGTTTAACTGAATTAAAATCATCAAAGTTTGGCCTTTTATAAATTTCACTACTTAATTTAGATTGAACCAATTTACTTTATGTTAAGTGACTTTAATGAACAACTCTGAAAATGAAACGCTTGTTAATTAACTTTGTGCTTAAATATGTTATGAATGTGAGTAGGGACACGACGTCGTTGCGATGGCAAGCCCGGAACGTTTCGTTGTTGGATTGGACATTTCCGAAAGCGCACTCACGAAAGCTAATGAGGTTAAATGGTTTAATCATCTTCATTTTCTTACGTTCCTCTTTAAATAAAGAAAAATTAATAATTAAATTATGTTGATTACATAAAGACTTACGGCTCCTCACCAAAGGCAAAGTACTTTTCGTTCGTGAAGGAAGATGTTTTCACTTGGCGTCCTAACGAATTATTCGACTTTATCTTCGATTATGTGTGAGTTGATTGAATATAACATAATTAATGTTTGCATTAAGTAACTAAACAAAAAATATTGGGTTAGAAACAAAAAAAAGTGTAATTAAAATTCGAGATTTAACTAATATAATTAATTAACAGGTTTTTCTGTGCTATTGAACCGGAGACGAGACCTGCATGGGCTAAATCCATGTATGAACTCTTAAAACCTGACGGCGAACTCATAACTCTCATGTATCCGGTAATAATTTTCATTTTTTTTTGGTAAATGTTCCATAATCTAGTGATATATAATCAGAGTATATGGAATAATACTTTGCATTTCAATTAATTAGATTACCGACCACGTTGGTGGACCTCCCTACAAAGTAGATGTCTCTACGTACGTAATCAATCCCTCTGTTTCTCTTATATACATAATTATAGTTATATGAGTAATTGAATTAGTACTTAATTAACTAAAATGTGTGTGTAAATGTGGATTAGCTACGAAGATGTGTTGGTTCCCGCAGGATTTAAGGCAGTGTCTGTCGAGGAGAATCCACACGCCATTCCCACTCGTAAGGTATAATACAAGTACACTCACATCGTGATTTAGATTTACTTACGTTAAAATTGATTTTTTCGTACATAAAACACTATAAATGTTGAGAACACATAGTTGATATCTTTTGGATCTGATGAATAAAAAAACAAATGGACAGGGGAAAGAGAAGCTTGGAAGGTGGAAGAAGATCAATTGATCCCTAAGAAAGAGATCATCTTACTGTTTAGTAAGATGAGTATTATATGTGTAATCTACCAATCTATGAAGAGTAAAATGATTATCTCTTCCTTTATTTACTCTATGCATGTGTGTTTGAAAGTGATGATTATTATCTGTAACAATAATTTTTATGATTCAAGAATCTGTTTTACTATACTTGACTCTCAAATAATACAAAAACATAATAAACTAGACAAATTCTCCTCCTGATCTTTGTTTTTTTAGCCAAGACTTTTTTCTCACCAGGTGGTGGGCTTTTGGCCCAATTCATTGGTTTAAATTAACAAAAATAAAACCATGTTTAAATTAATCTCTTTTGTTATATACTTCTATACATCACTTAACACTGAAATAATACAAAAATAAAATGAAGGCAAGAGAAGGAAAGGAGAAGAAGATGGAGCGTATTGCAGAGAAATCTCCCATGAAAAATGGAGAAGCTAGAGAAGCAACAAACTTTCTTCTTCTCGCCATGTTTCTCCCGAACACTTCGCTCCATCTCTCTCTCTCTTCTCTTACATTTTCTTCTCCCCATTTCTCTCATTCTCTCTTCTTCTTCTTCTCTTTCCTCTACCTTCCGCCATGGATATCAACAACAACAACCACCGTGACGACGAAGAAGACGACGACGACGCTATCTCCTCCATGAGCTCTGTTCCTCCTCCTCGCAAAATCCATTCCTATAGCCATCAGCTTCGTGGCACCGGTCAAAAAGGTCATCACCACCGTCAACGTCAACACAGCCTCGACGATATTCCTAAAATCACTGAAATCATCTCTGGTTGTGGTATCTCCGGCGATTCTTCCGATGACGAGTTTTATCCTTACGCCACCACCACCAATTCCTCATCTTTCCCTTTCACCGGAGATACAGGAGATACTGATGATTACTTGCACCAGCCTGAGATCGGAGAAGATTTTCAGCCGCTTCCTGAATTCGTCGGATCTGGAGGCGGCGTTGGGATGTTTAAAGTTCCGACGCGGTCTCCTTTGCACTCAGCGCGTCCTCCTTGTTTAGAGTTGAGACCACATCCGTTGAAGGAGACTCAGGTTGGGAGATTCTTGAGGAACATTGCTTGTACGGGGACGCAATTGTGGGCTGGACAAGAGAGTGGTGTTAGATTTTGGAACTTTGATGATGCGTTTGAGCCAGGTTGTGGTTTAAGCGGTCGTGTACAGAGAGGTGATGAGGATGCTGCACCGTTTCATGAGTCGGCTAGTACTTCACCAACCACTTGTTTGATGGTTGATAATGGGAATAGGCTTGTTTGGAGTGGTCATAAAGATGGAAAGATTCGGTCTTGGAAGATGGATTATGTGGTTGATGATGGTGATGATTCTCCTTTCAAGGAAGGTCTCTCTTGGCAAGCTCACAAGGGTCCCGTCAATTCCGTAATCATGAGTTCTTATGGTAAATTTCTACCTCAAAATTCGTACTTTAGTCTTGTAATTAATTCAATCTGAAAGCCATTGCTTTTAATTGGAAAATCTAGGCGATTTGTGGTCATGTTCAGAAGGTGGTGTGATAAAGATATGGACTTGGGAATCTATGGAGAAATCTCTTTCGCTTAGGTTGGAGGAGAAACATATGGCTGCTTTGTTGGTGGAAAGGTCAGGGATTGATCTCAGGGCTCAAGTTACTATCAACGGAACTTGCAATATATCTTCCTCTGAAGTCAAGTGTTTGTTAGCTGATAATGTAAGATCTAAAGTGTGGGCTGCTCAGCTTCAAACCTTCTCCTTGTGGTGAGTATTGATTGATACTTGAGCTCCAGAATTTTATTCCAAGTTTTGATCTTTTTGTGTCTTCTTTGATGTGATATTCTTATGGGGTCAATATCTTTGCAGGGATGGTCGTACAAAAGAGTTACTGAAGGTGTTCAACTCAGAAGGTCAAACTGAAAACAGGGTTGAAATGCCATTGGGGCAGGATCAGCCTGCTGAAGATGAGATGAAGGCGAAAATAGCTTCTACTTCGAAAAAGGAGAAACCGCATGGATTCTTGCAACGCTCAAGGAATGCTATAATGGGAGCTGCGGATGCTGTTAGAAGGGTTGCAACAAGAGGAGGAGGGGCATATGAAGATGCCAAAAGAACAGAAGCCATGGTTTTAGCCGGGGATGGCATGATTTGGACCGGGTGCACAAATGGATTGCTTATACAATGGGACGGAAATGGAAACCGGTTGCAAGATTTCCGTCACCATCAATGTGCTGTATTGTGTTTCTGCACGTTCGGAGAAAGAATATACATTGGTTATGTTAGTGGTCACATCCAGATAATTGATCTCGAAGGCAATCTAATCGCGGGATGGGTTGCACATAATAACGCAGTGATTAAGATGGCGGCAGCCGATGGCTATATTTTCAGCTTAGCCACTCATGGTGGTATACGTGGATGGCATGTGATTTCTCCTGGGCCTCTTGACGGGATAATAAGGTCGGAACTGGCAGAAAAAGAACGGACATATGCACAGACGGACAGTGTTAGGATTCTGATCGGTTCATGGAATGTTGGCCAGGGAAAAGCTTCCCATGATGCACTTATGTCTTGGTTAGGCTCTGTAGCTTCAGATGTTGGTATTCTTGTTGTGGGCTTGCAAGAAGTAGAGATGGGTGCTGGGTTTTTGGCAATGTCAGCTGCCAAAGAATCGGTGAGACAATAGTTTGAAAAAGAGAACTCTGACTTTTTATTCTTCACAAAAAGGCTGGTTTGAATGCGTTATTTATGTCTTTCTTGACCTCCTTTTGGTCTTATATTAGGTAGGAGGAAATGAAGGTAGTACGATAGGGCAGTACTGGATAGACACAATAGGGAAGACCTTAGACGAGAAAGCAGTTTTTGAGCGCATGGGATCAAGGCAGTTAGCTGGTTTGCTCATTTCACTTTGGTGAGTTGAAAATCCATGAGAGACCTGATCCAATAAAACTAGTGCTGCTATATACATAATTTGATGTTGTCCTGATTTTTTTTTTTTTCAATTCAGGGTGAGGAAGAATCTGAGAACCCATGTAGGGGATATTGATGTTGCAGCAGTTCCATGTGGTTTTGGACGCGCAATAGGAAACAAGGTAAATATTTCTTTGTCTTCCGAATGAAAAGGAAAGTTAAATTTAATTACCTTTGCGTATAGCTTTTTGTTTCATTCTCGCCAACAATGTGGACCATTCTGGTTTCTGATAGCAGCATTGCACCTTATTTACTTTTGTATATCAAACCAGGGAGGTGTAGGTTTGAGAATTAGGGTCTTTGATCGCATTATGTGCTTCATCAACTGTCACTTGGCTGCTCATCTAGAAGCTGTAAACCGCAGAAATGCTGATTTTGATCACATATACAAAACAATGTCCTTTACCCGGTCATCAAATGCTCATAATGCACCAGCCGGTATATTTCTATTCCCAGTTTTTCACCTATCTTCTCTTTCTTGAAGCCATCTGCCTGTATACCTCATTAAATTGAACTTTTGCAGCTGGTGTGTCTACCGGTTCTCATACCACAAAGAGCGCAAATGTAAGCTTCTTTTTGTTTTTCATCCTCTCTAGTTTAACACAAAGCTAAATGATCATGGTTTACACCTTTGGTTTGAGTTTCTTGCTTAACTTAAACCCATCACATTTTCTGCAGAATGCAAACGTAAACACAGAAGAGACAAAACAGGACCTAGCAGAGGCGGACATGGTTGTATTTTTTGGTGATTTCAACTACCGCCTCTTTGGTATATCATATGATGAAGCTAGGGACTTTGTCTCACAAAGAAGCTTCGATTGGCTTAGAGAAAAAGATCAGCTCAGGGCAGAGATGAAAGCTGGAAGAGTATTCCAAGGAATGCGTGAAGCCATCATTACTTTCCCTCCAACTTATAAGTTTGAAAGACACCGTCCTGGCTTAGGAGGTACATAAACCGCATTTGTATGCAAGTGTTTGCAGCATATTAAAAAATTTGACTTTCTTTTTCAATGCTTTCTTCCTCAGGGTACGACTCTGGTGAGAAAAAGCGGATTCCTGCATGGTGTGACAGAGTAATATTCAGAGACACGCGTACGAGTCCCGAATCTGAATGCAGTTTAGACTGTCCTGTTGTTGCTTCGATTATGTTGTAAGATTTTCCTTACACACTACTGAGATTCAAACTCTTTTATATCCTCCAAGTCTTAAACAATTTTGTTTTGGCGGGTTATGGATAGGTATGATGCTTGTATGGATGTGACAGAGAGTGATCACAAACCGGTCCGTTGCAAATTCCATGTGAAGATAGAGCATGTTGATAGATCGGTAAGGAGACAAGAGTTTGGGAGAATCATCAAGACCAACGAGAAAGTCAGAGCGTTGCTCAACGACCTACGTTATGTACCAGAGACAGTTGTTAGTAGCAACAACATCGTTCTCCAGAACCAAGACACCTTCGTGCTTCGCATCACCAACAAATGCGTCAAGGAAAACGCTGTGTTCAGGATCTTGTGCGAAGGGCAGAGTACGGTGAGAGAAGACGAAGATACACTCGAGTTACATCCGTTAGGCTCATTCGGTTTCCCACGGTGGCTCGAGGTATCGAAACTAAAACGATCAAACCTTTGTCAAAATTCTCACAAGACTCGCCTTGTTAAGACTTAAGATAATTCGGTCCTTTTTTTCAGGTAATGCCAGCTGCAGGAACTATAAAACCGGATAGTTCAGTGGAGGTATCGGTTCACCATGAGGAGTTCCATACATTAGAAGAGTTTGTAGATGGAATTCCTCAGAATTGGTGGTGTGAGGACACACGGGATAAAGAAGCAATACTTGTGGTGAATGTACAAGGAGGTTGTTCGACTGAGACTGTGTGCCACCGGGTCCATGTTCGTCACTGCTTCTCGGCTAAAAATCTTAGGATCGACTCCAGTTCATCTAACTCCAAATCTCAGAGTAGTAAGAAGAACGAAGGAGATTCTGGCTCCAAGTCTCATAAGAAGAGTGATGGAGATTCCAACTCAAAGTCTTCGAAGAAGCGCGATGGAGATTCTGTCTCCAAGTCTTCGAAGAAGATCGATGGAGATTTCAACTCCAAGTCCTCGAAGAAGTGCGATGGGGATTCGAACTCCAAGTCCTCGAAGAAGAGCGATGGGGATTCTAACTCCAAGTCTTCGAAGAAGAGCGATGGAGACCCTAACTCCAAGTCTTCGAAGAAGAGTGATGGAGACTCCTGCTCCAAGTCACAGAAGAAGAGCGATGGAGACACCAATTCCAAGTCTCAGAAGAAGGGCGATGGAGATTCGAGCTCCAAGTCTCACAAGAAGAACGATGGAGATTCGAGCTCTAAGTCTCACAAGAAGAACGATGGAGATTCGAGCTCTAAGTCTCACAAGAAGAGCGATGGAGACTCCAGTTCTAAGTCTCAGAAGAAGAACGATGGAGATTCTTCAAGCTCATACAAGTCACAGAGTGGGGAGAAAAACAGTAACACGTCAACTGGAGAGGAGAGCCGGAATTGCCACAACAAACGTTGACTTCAAAAAGAGAAAAACAAAAAAAGCTCAGTGTATTTCTTTGGAGTAAATTTACCAACCTACCTAAAACTGTAAATTGTCCATGCTCACTTGTTTGTATTCATGCTTTTTTTACATTCAATATTTTTTTAGAATCTAACTATCTATTGATCTTTCTGTACCTAGCTAAACTTAGGATAAACATTTTGATTTTTTGTTCAAATACGCTTTACATTAACAAAAAATATCAATCCAGTGTTGGACTTGAATCTTTAATAGGTTAAAATATATTTTGTACAAAAAAAAGGAGTACAAATTGAAGTTTCAAGATATACATGGATGAAGACTCCTTCAAATTCATGAATTATATCAAAGACAACCTTGAGGCATCACTACACCAGCCTTAACTCCTTTAATATTCTTACACGTCGAAGTAGCGGACCGACCGTTAAACGTTAGCTTAATATCGTGCAATCTAATCGCTTGGCACGGATTACTGCGACTGCAATCAAACGTTAAAGCCTGTTGCGTCCGCGACGTCCCTTGAATGTTTCTATACACAACCTGACTAATCTTCACTCCAGAACCCTACAAATATATAAGCCAATCAGATTAAGTTTCTATAATTCCATTGTTTATGTAGTAGATAGGTTCCAATTTCCATTTATAAATTTACCTGTTTGGGACAACCTTGATTAGCCGGACAGTAATTCTGATCGACAATGATCGGGTTCTGAACATTTTTCATGATCAGATTCTGAAACAAAACGTTTCTTACAAAACCTGTACTTTGTCTAGCCCATGTCTTGATCCGAACACCATTATCGGAACCCGAAAAAACAGAGTTTATCAACGTTATGTTCTCTACTCCAGCTTCATTTGCATCTCTTCCCAAACTCCCAATACTGCAAACAATTAATAATCAGTATCAAGAAAAAATTTGAATCTTGCTCTCCAAGCTATTGAATAAGAATAATAGATGCTAACCTGATTCCATGGCCTGGACCGCAATTGAGTTTAGACATGTAGAGGTTACGAGTTCCCGGACCGATTGAGATACAATCATCTCCGGTTTGAAATGTGCTATCAGTTACGGTAACACCAGCAGAACCTTGGACGTGGAGCCCATCTGTGTTGGGACTTTGGTCTGGAGCCACTAGCTTTACTTTCCGGACAATTACATTGTTGCAGCTGTTTATCACTAAATGTGTTGCTTGACTGTTTATTGACGTTAAGCCGGTCACTACGACGTCGTTTGCCCAGTTAAACGTCATTGACTGCAAAAACAAAAACAAAATTTTGAAATAATTTTAAATTTAGTAATTTATCTGATTAAAACCAAACTTGCATCAAAAAACCAAACTGATTTGATGTCATAATATTCATTTTGAAATCAGTAATTGGTTTTATATTATTAACTAAGCAAACAAATTCATAATGATTTGGTTTTATTTATTTGTTAATATGGTTCAAATCCCGGAAAACCTAAACCAAGATTAATTAAACTCCGCCAAAATGTTGAAAGAGTTAGTTAAAACGGTTATCTTACTCTGGCACCAACAGGGCAACTCTTTCCGGATTTACGACAAGCCCAAAAAGAAGCACCTCTAGCATCTAACGTTCCTCCATTGATTGAGATCCGGTTAACTTTCACGAACAAGATCCAATAACCGGAATTTCCCAAACCACGGTAATCCAAAGGAGCAACAATCGTTCCATAGATCTGAAACGTGATTCTACTGCGACATGGACCGCGAAACTCCACCGGTTTGAGCAAGAAGTTCCCTCTCGGGACCGTTACAGTAACCGATGCAGCTGAACGGCATGCCGCCTGCCACGCCCCGAGAAAGGCTTTTGTGGAGTCGGTGCGACCGTCTGGTTTAGCACCGAAGCTGACGACATTGAAGTTGTTAGCAGCCGTTGATGATTTCATCAGCAAGAAACTTGAGGAGAGCATCACCAAAACAGCTACAAGCTTATTATTATCCATATTTAATGTTTCTTACAAAGAGAAAAGAGTGATAGATCTTTGTAGATTTTGGATTTTGTAAAGTATTTATGTTTTGTGTTTGAGGTGAAGTGTGAGGGTGAAGTAATCGTAAACGGTTATGACGGGTATTTATATGTAATTGTATATATAGTGGTATGCTTGAATAATTTTAAAGAATACGTTGACAAATTCTAAGTTATAATGCTAATGATTGTTTGATGATGATTAAATTCAAATAAATGATATGTACGGTTCGCATAATCGCATGTGATGTGATAAGCAGTTGTGAATTCCTTAAGCAAATAATGCTGATCTAAAAACGAGTAAGCATGTGATCCATGTTCACTTGTATCATTTATATGTTAGTTAAAGTCGAGAATGTAGTAGTAATAAATAGGTAATTGCAAAATAAAATAAATAATATTAATCATGCAAGTGTCCGTGAAATTTTCTTCGTTCTTCGGTTAAATTATATTTGATGTACTCCACTAGTTTAGGTTTCATGTATAGCATAATTTATGGCATGTGACATGTGGACTTTGGAGATCTTATATTAAATCGTAGCCGTAGAAGCAGGAAAGCCTCCGAATCCTACGGTCATGAGCAGCATTGGTCAACAAAAGCTCTTAGAAAAATAGAAAGATTGCTGAAAGTCAGCGAATGATAACTTATCACGTCATAAGAAACATGCAACATGGGATGTATTAACATGAATAAATGGGTCATTTGGTACTAATTATTAGACTATTTATCACATGGGTTTACGTGAATCATGAATGGATAATGGGCCGTACCGTTATCAATGACGGTTACTCTCCTCGAAATTTTGGGTCAAGCGAATTTTGCAACTAACCTAATAAATAATCTTACCCATAACTTTTGGGTCAAGCGAAAATTTGTTTTTAATTTGAATATTCGAACATGTTGGCTTGAGAAGTGAGACCAAAGGTAAAAGCTTTACAGAGAACTAAAGGGGCATAACAGAGCAAGTACTAATTAATTAGCTTAAATCAGTTTCTTGCTCAGAAAGAAAGCGATTATGCACATCGAATGGTTAAAACAAGACATTTCTTTTTGTAAATTTTGATTCCGGCATAAAATCGTATTAGTTTCTTCTCCGAAACTTCATTTCTTTGTACGATTTTGAGGTGATGAAGAGAGTTATTTCTGTAATAGGTTATAATCGTTTAATTTTATTATTGTTTTGGTTGTATGCATCTTGTAGAAAATATGGTGGTAAACTGTAATGTTCAAGCTTTGTTTAAAATTGATCTGATTTTGCAGGTTTTTCAGAAGAACACAAACTCTTTGACGGTGCAGATGGAGTAATGGAGGGAGAATGTTACAGAACAGAGAGATCTAAATGCAACCTTTGGAATGTGCCATACTTCGATTGTGTGGATTTTGTATGTATCGGATGTGTCATGTGTGACGAATGCTTGTAAGATAAGAATAGTATATGTGATGATAGGTTGTATGTGTAGAACCTGTGACGTATGTATTTGTAGGTTAAATGTGTAGCGTGTGAGTGTGTGACTGACATGACGACTGTTGAAGAGTTATAGGTATGGTGTGATACTGTGACGTATGCTTGTATAGATAAGATGAATGTGTAGGATGAGATACACACGAACAAGTTATTGATTTCAAGATAAAATAAATTTTCTAGGAAAACTGAACAAACGGATGCCAGAAAATACTTGCTTCTCTTTTAAATCCATTCACACCGTAGCATTCACCACTTCCAAATTCGGATGAATCTATATAACAAGGTTATGAAAGATGAAACAAAACATCACCTCATAACATATCTTTGGGTTACTGATTTTACATACAATTCTTTGGAACCATAACCCCAGAGGCTCGTCCTTGGGCGTTCCTACTATAAGAAGCTGAAGAAAATGAGAGAGAGGTGTTGCTTTGGTTTTAAAGAACTAGAATATTTATCATATGGGTTTACGTGAACGCTGAATGGATGATGGTCCGTACCGTCATCAATGACGGTTGGTCACAATTCTTAAATGGCTTTCTTCTGCAGCGAACCAATCAATAAGTATTAATTTCAATATTCGAACATGTTGGCTTCAGTGCCGTGCTTACCCCTTAACATAAAGGGCATTTGCCTACAGCCACATTTTATAGACTTGATTTTTAGGCCACATTATTAAAAATATTTTGTTGGTTCATCAAATTTAAGTTGTCTTATGCATGTATTTTGCTTGAACTTTGATCCATGTTAGCATAATTCATTTCACTATATAGATTTAGAACCTTGACTTTGTATTGTAGTTCACTTTTTCTCTTCTGGTTATATTTTAGGCTCTTTAAAAAATAATTATTCAACTAAATTAGATATGCCACATTTTATTTTTTGTTCCAAGCCCCAAAAAGCCTTGGCACGGCACTGGTTGGCTTCAGACCGAAGGTATTTTCAAAAGCTGCACAGAGAATTAAGGGGGATAACAGAGCAAGTGAGAAGGATTTGGATTTGTTTAATAAGTTTCTTGCTTGCTCAGAAAGAAATCGAATAGGCCCATTTAATGGTGAAAATATATATATATAGGTTTAATTTTGTAAATTTTAGTTACGTTTGAAGTTTGATCTACTTTAGATGTTAAACTGAATAGAAAAAGACCACGAAACAAAAAAACGGGAGTGGTATATCATTTTCTCCATGTTCTCTAGCTAATCCCAAAACCAATTTACCGCTTCTCCTCTGCTTTTTATATGAAATTATACTAAAAATAAGAGTAAGACTAAGGTTCTGCTCTGCTTTCTAATTGTATTTTCTAGAAGAGGCAGACAACTTTGGTAAGTTTATTATTACGTGATCTCAAACAAACGTGATTTCATTTGTAACATCTTGGATAATAATTAAATGACAAAAAAAAAAAATAAACCAAAATCCTAAATTAGAAAAACATATATATATTTCATAATCTGAGCCTTATGTTATGGAATTGGCACGTGACATGTGGTAATGGAAGGGAAGAGATCAGATCTCAACGGTTAAATAGTAAAGGGGCCCTCCGTCCTCCGAATCTTGCGGTGCTACATAATAGTCAACCTAAAAACGTCAACCAATTAAATATAGA